TTTTACATAAAACACACAAATCCAAATTTAAATTTTTTTCCCCCCCCCCCCCCCCCCCCCCCCCCTCATCGTACTAACCAGCTTCGAGATGCTCTATTGAATCTCATTCTCCTCAACGACGTCTCGATCCAGGAGACTTTGGAGCGTTCCGTCTCGTCGACGACCATGCAAAGCGCACCCGCCCTCATGGCCCGGCTGAGTTCGTCCCGCCTGACGGTCCCGGCGTGGGAGAGCAGCCAGCGGGCGGCGCGCAGCGACCCGGTGCTGGGGAGGAAGAGGGCCGTGATGACGGTGAAGCATGTCTCCAGGACGGACTCGCCGGGCCGGCTGGGAAGGGTGAGGGCGTGGACGAAGTAATTCGTTGCGTAGAAGATGATGTAGTCGGACCAGATCGGAGGAGTGCAGAGCAGGCGAGGGTCGCCGTGGTTGACCGTTCCTGGAGGGACGGTGATGGTAAGGTTCATTTTGAACTGGAGTTGCGAGTTGAACAGCGGGTTTCATGTCTTTCGCTGATGACGAGATGTCGACTTCTTATTTCATGGGAGACAATAGAATGTTCTTGGGAACGACAATAGAAGCAGCAGACTACAGAGAATGGCACTGGACCTCGGCCAGGCTGCTGCGTCTTTGGTGGTGGCAGTGAGGGTTGAGGAACTCCTAGTCGCACTTTCAATCCAGAAAATATCATGAAAGTGTAGGAACTAGTAAGTTTCCAAACTCAATATTCGGTGTCATTCAGAAGAATCAAGACAACACCATGCTTGGCCATGTCATCGTCACCCGTAGGTGCATGAGAAGGGGGGAAAAGGGAAGAAGACATTCACGACGCATCGCCACCGTTTTCATCAATGTGGAACTGAGAGGCCTACGTCTGAGCACAGGAGAAAAAGGGACCGACAGAAAAAGATCCGACGAGATCTCATTCTTGAGATGCGTTGAAACAGACCTCAGCTCTGGGCTGACTGGACCTTGAGCCGCTATTCGTCAAGACTTCAGCAGAGACGGAACAAGCTCCAGCGCATGACAGACGCTAAAATACAGACTCGCCTCGCTTGGCTCCGAAGCAGGCCAGAACCTTGATGGTTTCCTTATCTTATCGGCGCCGGATTTCCCAGTGGTTAGTCATCAACCCCACCACTAGCGCATGCACTTTAAGCACGACGCGTCGAGACGCGTCTTTGATTGTGCCTACATTCAGATGGCATCCCGCCTACACCAACCATCCAAACCCACAGGCAAAGACACAAACAGCAATGGCACCCGCTGCAGTTGAAACCGCCAACATGTCCGCTCCCGAGAACCCGACGAAGCAGAACGGCGGTGCTCCCGCTAAGCGTCACGAGGAGTACCAGTACCTTGACCTCGTCCGCGAGATCCTCGAGACAGGCGAGCACCGACCGGACAGGTAGGCCATTGCACGCTCATCGACAATGTGTACGTCGCTAACGGAATCTCAGAACCGGCACCGGCACATACTCCATCTTCGCCCCGACGCCTCTCAAGTTCTCCCTCAACAAGGACGGCGAGCCTCTCCTACCCCTCCTCACCACAAAACGCGTCTTCCTCCGCGCCGTCATCGCCGAGCTCCTCTGGTTCGTCGAGGGCAACACATCCTCTCTGGCTCTCAGCGAGGCCGGCGTCAAGATCTGGGACGGTAACGGCTCGCGCGAGTTCCTCGACAGCGTCGGCCTCTCCCACCGCGAGGTCGGCGACCTCGGCCCCGTCTACGGCTTCCAATGGCGGCACTTCGGCGCCGAGTACGTCGACTCCAAGACGGACTACACCGGCCAGGGCGTCGACCAACTCGCCGAGGTCATCCACAAGCTCAAGACGAACCCCTACGACCGCCGCATCCTGCTGAGCGCATGGAACCCTGCCGACCTGAAGAAGATGGCCCTCCCGCCGTGCCACATGTTCGCGCAGTTCTACGTCTCGTACCCGCGGTCGAAGAACTCGACCGGGAACGAGGAGAAGCCCAAGGGGCACCTGCACTGCCAGCTGTACCAGCGCTCCTGCGACATGGGTCTCGGCGTGCCGTTCAACATTGCGAGCTACGCTTTGCTGACGCACATGATCGCGCGCGCCTGCGACCTGGTTCCCGGAAGCCTGACGCACGTCATGGGCGACGCGCACGTTTACGCGGACCACGTGGACGCGCTCAAGGTACAGCTGGAGCGCGAGCCGAGACATTTCCCCATGTTGGAGATGAAGGACAGGGAGGCCGGGTGCAGCATTGACGGGTGGAAGGTGGAGGACTTTGTGGTCAAGGGCTACGACCCGCATAAGACGATTGCCATGAAGATGTCTGTGTGAGGAGAAGAAAGGTCTATGCGTTGCCAGGGACGGTTTTGGTCTGATTGTTTTTGGGTCGGCATTTGGGTGTTGGGAGTTGCATTAATGGTTGCGACACTACGAGCCGCGATGGCATGAATATGTGGGAGAAGAGCATGGGAATCATGACGATTGGCGTCTTTTGAATAGACCGTTAAAAGATGTCGACAATGGGAGAAGAATATAGATATGAATCTTGGCGGGCCTTCAGACAAGAGTGCTGAATGGGGTCAAGCAAAGCAATAAGCACTTGTCCAGGTAGTAAGTATTGAATAAGGTCGTCCTGGCTCGATTGCTGCAAGTGTTAGCATGGATATGGATGGCACCTATCCTTCATATCTAACTAAGTGCGTAGTGCTTTTTTACGTGTGCATCGAAACCGGCATTTGAAACAACAGTACAGTTATGCACCGGGTAATGCAACACACACAGAAAGAGACTCTCTCTCATGGATGCTTCTCTGGTGTGAGGAGGGGGAAGGGAGCTTGGGCCAACCACCCCCCCTCTGGCGAATTTTCCAGCTCCCCATTGGATGCATAACGACAGTACATGCAACCTTGGCCAGCCCCGAAAATAAAAAAGAAAAAAGAAATAAAAACTGCACCGTGCCTGGGGGCCGTGCTGGCCTGAAAATCCCCACGGCCTCGCTTCCCTCCTGGTGCTAAGTCCCCTCGGTCCCCCATCCCGCCCACCGATTTTTCACTTTTCGACTGGACGCTTTTCCTCACTCCCTCCCCTTAACCGTCACAACCTCCACACCAACCAAAACCTCACTACGGATACAACGATTTCTTCAATTGAATCAAAACGAAGGCGAGCCATCACCTACAACTACGGATATATTCCCATTATCCCACTTCAACAGGCCTCCCCCGCCGCTGAGCCAGCGCGCCCTCGCGCCTGGCCTGCCGATTTCCTTCACCCTCGACGAGAAACGCACCCCTTGCCGGAAAAACAAACCTCATCGTCGCCGACCGCAGCGCCCGAGTGTTGCGCGCCTCGAGACCAACACCAACACCACCGCCCACGCCCCCTTCGTCTGAAATATGTCAGCCGCCGCCGTCGCCATGGCCGACCACGACCCTCACCCGCATCCTCATCCTCACGCTCACGCCCACTCGCACTCGCACTCTCACTCTCACCCTCATAACCCCCACGACGCGCCACACGACACCGCTCACGACCTCCACCCCTCCGACCCGGATGCCAGCACCCTCAACGGCCCCGGCGCTCCTCCGGACGGCGTAGACTCCCCGATGTCGACACCGAAGGAGCGTCACTCCCTTACCCTCGACCAGCGTCGCGCGCTCCGCCGCTGGGCCAACGCGCAGACCCTTCGTCCCAGTCACAAGGCCTGCATAGACTGGTTCTACAACCAATACGGACAGCACATCTCCCAATCGACCGTATCCCACTCTCTCAGCCCCAAATACTCCCGGTTGGACGGAGACAACCCCCAACTGAGCGGCTCGCGACTGCGCTTCGGCAACTGGCCTGATGTCGAGAAGCTCGTGCTGCGGTGGTACCAGCAGGTCCAAGCCACGGGCCGCCACCCGACGAACGAGGAGCTCGGCGAGAAAGCAAAGGCCATCTTCACGGCTCTGCCGCGGTACAAGGACGAGACGCCGCCGGAATTCTCCCCGGGCTGGATTCACAGGTTCAAGAAGCGCTACGGTCTGCTGATCAGGCGCCAGCGTCGACACGGCGAAGGCGGACTCAACGCGGCCGACGACATCGGCTACCTCGCCGACTGCGTCCCGCGACTGATGGCCCTCTCCGCCGAGACCAGCCCCGCCGCCATCCGCGAATCCGTCATGCGCGCGCTGGGCGTCGAGGCGAGCCTGCAGACCTGCGCTCTCGTGCGCGACGAGGTGCTGCGCCGGTTGAGCGCGGGCCCCGGCTCGGCGGGCGCCATGTCCCCGACCTCCGCCGCGGCGGTCACGGCCCCGGACCCGCACAGCGCCGACGCGAGCATGGTCGCGCCCCCCGGCAGCGACACCCCGATGTACGGCGAAGAAGACCCGGACATTGTCCTGCAGAACGCGCTGAGGCAGCTGCAGCAGGAGGAGGCGGAGGCGGAGGCGACAGCCGCGGCCGCGAGGGAGGAGCGGGAGCAGCGGGAGCGCGTGCAGGGAACGGCCGCGGCCGCGCTCGCGACGCCCGCCATCCAGCGAGCCGTCTCGTCGGCGTCGAGGTTCGCCCCGTCCACGCCCGAGCTCAACCTGACGCCCATTAAGAACGACGATCCGGTCTCGGCCAACGAGCGGCCCCTGCGGTGTCCGTTCTGCGTGAACCAGAGGATGCTCCGTACCATTAAGGAGGCGGTGGAGCACATGTCTACCCACGTCGTTGTGTAATAACAGGTTTGTGGCTTTGCGCGGGCAGAGAAGCCATGACACGCCTCGAGTACCAGTGCGGAGGAAAGGAGAGAGTGGGAGGGGGGAGGGAAGGAAAAAAAAAACCTGAAATGAAATACCCAGCTTTTAGTATCAGGTCGGAGGATTGGAGCCAGGCCAGGCCATGCTCTGCGAAGTACGGGAGTTTTTCCACGCCCGAGGAGCAAGCAAGCATTTCTATTTCATGCGATGGATGTGGTTTTATTGGGAGTCTTGAGGAAGCTATGAGGACGAAGAGAACGGTGATATGGCGTCTCTGCGACTGCGAGGGGAATTGTACGCTGCTTTACATGCGGCCTTCCTTTTTAATGATATCAAGTGTTATTCCAAGCTCTGGTTTTCGGCGCACGATGATTTTTAATAGAATCAGTGTGACCATGTGCAACGAGAGCATCAGCCCTATCAAACTCAACTCAGAATCATTCGATTTCACTTTTGGAATGGGTCATGGTGTGGTGTGAACAGGCTTTATCTTCTCTCGTTCAAGTACTGGTATTGCGCCTTCCCGCGCCAACTTCTGCGTCATCCACCAAGTCGTTCCATTCGTCATCGCAAGGACCTTTTGGCCTTGTCCTCCTTCCGTGCGTACTGCACGACCAATCAGAGAAAAGGACCCTGGCAGAAGCCTAGGTAAAGAAAAGAAAAGACACAATTGGCAGCTCAAGCCTGCCATTTGACCAAAAACGCCCGCCAATGTCCCCTTTCCCGTGCCCTCGTGATGGAAACATTTCCGTCTTTCGTCTTATGGAAAACTCTTGGACATATGGACCCCTGGGGGCCGTATCGATAATTCTTTTTTCCCCGTCATCAACATCAACGTCCGTCAAGGCAAGATCGTAAGTGGGGGCCTGCCGAGGCCAAAGAATCGTAAAAAGGAGCGTAGCCGCTTGTGCTTCAAGGAGAGTCGATCCACTGGCATCATGGTCGTATATCGAGTCCAGCTACTAGAAGAAAACAATATAGAAGTGAAAATCGGCCGGTCCTGTGTAAAAAGACAGGACCTGGCAATGCGTCGCGTACGCTGGGAATCATGAAACAAGAATGCAATGGAGGTTTGGAAGTGGGGTATGCTTTTCTTCGAAAGTAGTGGCAGGAACCGTCCAGAATCACAAGTCGGGATGAGTCCTCTGGCTTGTGACTTAGACCTGTTCCACGTAAAGTAGGAGCTTCCCATTCCGGTCTATGGCGACGTCGAGATCGTTGTCGCTCATCAAGTTGGGCTTCTCGCCTGACGGCTCATCCTTGTAAAAGAGTTGGATCTCTTCGCCAGCGGCGACCTTGAGTCTGTCCCTGATCTTGTCGTACAGCTGTTGGAATGAGATGTCTGTCGGTACACGAATGGCAATGAGGTCGCCGTTGAAGTAAAGCTTAATCTTCATAGCTTGAGCCTGACCGATGCCGGGAGAGACGGACGGCTGGGACTGTGATAATGACGACGGCTGCCGAGTCATGCCGGGCTGCCCCATTGATCTTTGCTGCGGTGCGGCGGAAAGACCCGCGTAGCCGCCATTGCCATTCAGGTTATTCCTCGAAGATTGCCGCGAGGCGCCGTCGGCCGGTGAATCAGTGGAGGAGGGTTGCGACCCGCCAGAGAGTCTGTACTCGTCTTCGTTCGGTGCGTTGGGGTCAATCTCGTAGTCGCCCTCTCTAGGAGCGAAAAACTGCCTGACAAGGGGACACCTCGCGATGTAGGCTGGCTGTGCGAGGAGATTCTTGACGTAGGCATCCAGGTTGTGCAGGCGACCTTCGGTGATGGCATCCGTGACGTAGTTGACGGGGCCCGGCATATAGGGCAATGTCCGCTTTTGCGTACCCGTGTTGCCTGCCTCCGCAGGGAATTCGGTGAGGAGAGCAATCTGGAAATCATAGAAGTCCTCGTAGTATCTGGACAGCTCCCAGTGACGGCCATCTTCCAGTACGGCCTCGATGACAAACCAATACTTGTCCTCGGCGAAGCAGTATCTGGGGATGCGAGCGGAAATGGGTGCGTAGAGTTGATCGGCAGACTTGGTGTAAGGAGTAGTGGGCTGCGAAGCTTGTTGTGAGCTCCGCGACGGTTGGTAGTTGGCCTGTTGTTGTGGTTGTTGCTGCTGTTGTTGCGGCTGTTTCTCACGTTAGCTTGTGCGCATTCCATGGACCGACATGTCCAAATACTTACGTAGCTGTTGCCATTTTGCGACTGCGAGCCCCGACGTTGACCTTGCTGTATGCTCATGCGCTCCATGCCTTGCTCCAGAGACCCTTGCTGCGGCGAACCCCCCACATCAAACTTGCCCAGAGTAATGCTGCTGTTCTTGTAGTCGGCTGCCATTTTCTTCCACTCTTCGACCTTTGGGATGCCTGCCTTCTTGATAGCGTCTGAAGCGTTGCCGACGGCACTGTCCGTAGCCATGTCGCGAATCTCAACAAATGACACGGGGATCAGGCCGGGTCCGCCGAGTCTGCCGATGGGCTTGGCGACAAACCACTCAGGGTTGGACTGCGCGATGACGATGATGGCCTCACCAGCCTTGGCCTCAAGTTCGTCGGCGCGCTCTGCCACAAAGTCGTACATGACAATACCGTAGACCATAGCACCGGATCCCTTGCCTGCAGACCTGGATAAGCGCAGCATTGCCGGAGGAGACTGCATAGCTTGCATGCCCCCAGCAGAAGGTGGCGCGGCTTCCGCGTAACCGGAGTCGTGGTCGGGGTTCTTGGAAATAGTTGGGGACATGGTCGGCGGCCGGGGCATGCCGCCGCCATCGGACTGGCCGCTATCTCTCTCTGTGCGGCCCAAAGCCTGGAAGAAGGCGACTGGCACAAGGCCACGAGCGTCAGGCAAGGCGGGATTGCATGCTTCGTACCAATCGGGGTCGTTCTCTCTGCCGATGACGTGGAAAAAATCGCCTCGAGAGAAGCTCAGTTCTTGATTGGACTGGGCTTCATAGTCGTAAAGAGCTCGGATGACCTGGAGTGGAGTTCGCGGTCAGCATTATGTGCGGCGCAACGCAATCGTCATGCGCTTGCGCGCGGGCGGGCATACGGCGCTGTCGGAAATGGCGAGATGTGTAGAGCAACGACATACCTTTTTCGGGGGCACGATGGCGACAGCGGACTTGGGGGCAATGTTGAGTTTGGCGTTGTCCTTCTCGCCCTTGATGGACCGGCGGAGGGCCTGGAACAGGTGAGGCATGGTCAGTAGGTGGTCGGAAAACCGATTTCTCGCGATGGATTCTCGCGACGACATGATGAGAGTCGGCGTGCGCATGCGGGGTCGGGAGTGCTAAGAAAGAAGGAAGGAACGCAAATGACGAGAGGTACAGGGAGTGGGAAAACAAATGCACCTTTCGGTCTCGGTGACTGAGAGAGAAGGACAACGTGGTGGCAGGAAATCGCGAGTACACGTGGTTGAAGAAGATGGCGATATGCGCGCGACAAGCTTCGTACGAGAGGAAGAGAGGGGGGGTGGTGGTTGAAAGGGGGAAGGGGACAGAGGTGCAATGCGTCGACGAGAAGCAGAAGCACGACGGCGAAGTACACCACAGGTGCGTGCAGGCAGTGCAGCAGGTACCAGAGGAGAGGGGGGACGGTGAATCACGAACCTTCATCTTGTGTGACGTTCCCTCAGGGCAGGAGGAGTCTGGCGAAATGGGAATCGAATACGATGCTCAAAAGAAAATGGTATTTCGCAGTCGACGGGGGGGACCTGTGGCACCACGGAAAGAGTCGATGTCGATGCCGATGTCGATAGGGAGGGATATGATATGGTCCTTCCGTAGAGCCTGATTGGGCGCAAACAGGGGGGGGAACGCAGCAGTGAATCAGTGCGACTCTGTCTGTCTCCTTCTCTCGATGTGTCTGTCGATAATTATGCTGCTACTTCTTGTCGGGAAGGCGTACGTAAAGATGGTGGGCGGGTGACTGTTGACTGGTGTTGTTGTTGCTTATTTTTTATTTTTATTTTCCTGTCTCTCTTACTCTCTCTCTCTTTCTCTCCCCAGTGAGGAAGGAGGGGAGGGGCCGGACTGGGCTGATGACAGTGCGGACGGAAAGGAAGGAGAGAGGGGCGATGATGACCGGGTCGCACTTTCCCTGGAAATTGCGTTGTTCGCTGAGTCGCTGCCGTTGGGCTCCTAAAAGGAAGGGGCCGGAAAAAAATAAAAAATAAAAGATGGGAAGAAAAAAAGTAAGGAAGCAACGGCCGGGGGTTGGTCTACTCGGGAGACGAACGGTAATCGGATTGGGCTCCTTCTTTTTTTTTTTCCAAATAAAAAAAGAGCCTGACTTGACGGGAGTTGACCAAATCGAATGTCGAAGTTGTTGTTGTTGGGTTCCCTCGTCTTCTTCCTTGCCTTACAAACTTCCTCTCTCTCTTTCTGTTCAAATACCAACACTCGCTGTGGTCGGCGCGCAAGAACTACGCTTCGTTGATGTCGACGTCCTTCTTCCGGCTCTCCCGTTGTTCAGAGCAGAGGCAACGCTGTCCAGTTGTCCTCACTGTCGGGTTGGCTGATCGGTCCAAGTGGCTCGCTGGTCTGTCTCTCCCTGACTTTCTTATTCCGACTCGGAAGATGGCTGACTTTCTCGGCCTCCGAAACAAGACGCCCGCGAATCAACTCGGGCTACACGGTGGTGCTCAACGGAGTCGCAACCGAACGGGGTCCTATGACGCGAGATGGCTGAGCACACCTTCTGCGTCGCTCCTCAGTCTATGACTGTCGTCCAAGGTCCAAAGTTGAAGTTCGACTGCTCGGCGAAGTGCAAAGATTGCGCTGGAATGCGGCGGGCGGGCTGCGCTGCGGGCTGTTGACGATTCGACCTGGAGGGGTGGAGGGAAGGCAAGGGAAACACGTCAAGAGAGAACGGCGGATGGGCGAGGGTAAAAAAGGCTCGTTCGCCCAACCCGACAAGCCTCTCTCCCGTCTGCCTCTACGGAGTACCTCTGCCTCCCTCGCCCTCTCCCCATGCACCTTACGCTGCCCAAGCCAGGGTAGAGTACCTGGGTACTCGTTGTAGACGCTAATACAACCCTACGCCCACGCAGTCCTCCGTACGCACACTCCAGCGCCCGGGATGCGCTCCCAAATCCCACCAGACCAGACGAAAGGGAAGGGAGGGGAGCCCCTCTGCTACCGACGGTTGGAAGAGGGCTTGACTGGTGGGACTGCCCGTCTGCACTCTGCACAATCGACGGCCCAGTCACCAGTCACCAGTCACCCAACAACCCTGGCCCGTACTGCGGTGCGGTACCCATCCCCTCACTGGGCGTGCGTGGGTAAATTGCACCAGGGTCGCGGGTGGGTGTCGTGCCTCCAACGAGGGTGTCGACCTGCAGATTATGGTGGTGCTGTAATCTGTGTGCCTCTCTTCTCTTCCTTGCCTAGGTACGAGGGTGAGTGCTCCTGACACAGCCTGGTCGAAATGTTTCTTTCTAACCCTCCCCTCCCACCGCAGGTGCCGTCCTCTCTCAAATCGATTTCTTATTCCGCTCCAAATATCAGTCCAAATTCATGCCTCACTCCTCCAACCTCCTCGGCCTTCTGTCACGGCTGTCATCGCATGACCAAAGCTGACGAGACTAAAGCCATCGCTCCATCCGGTAACGCAGCAACGTTCGGGACGCAGCCGTTGCTAGACAGCAGAAAGAGCCAGAGCGAGCCAGGCGAGCGGCGGCCCACAGGCACGGAGACTACCAACACTGCGTACACTAACAATCAAGCAAGATAAACCGACTTCTGTGTACAAACCGGGCATTGCGCGAAACCATCCCAGCGGGCGTGGCAACCAACATCAGCAGCCCTCACCTCAGATGGAAAGCTTAATCACCAATAAGTGCCCCCGGGGACCTTCGGAAATGTGTCGAAAGGGATGTTGATGCCACAGAAGGGGTTCCATGATCCATTCAATCCCTTCGCACCGTCGTCGTCTCCTGCCAGTTCTCGGCTCTCAGTGGACCGTTCGGCCACTTTGAACATTGTCTCGTCGCTCTTCCGCGTCCAACGGGCATCTGTGGTCGCATGTCTCTTGCAGCATGGTCAACTCCAGAGTTCAGGGACGGCTTCTTGTCTGCCACTCAAATCGTGCAGCTGCATGTCTCGCCTTCATGTTCCCCAAAACTCATGCCGGTGGTTGCACCGGCTCCTCCAGCCGAACCAGAGCATCTGGGGCAGCGCAGCGCAGTCCTGGGCCTGCAGCAGGCCCGGCGCTGTTCCCTATGACGGCACCGTTGCACTTTTCGTACAGGGCATCACGGCGTGGCTGGTCGCAGGAAACACGACGACGACTCGCACGACTGGATCAGCCCTCGTCTGCAATGTCCCTGGGATACGGCCCTGGCACCATAGTGGCTAGCTTCCCGATAGTTTGGTGATCTTCTTCAGCGCGTCCGTAGAGGCAATTCAGCTACGCCAAAGTCAGAACGACTGTCAGTCATGAACCAGCGGATGGTGATGGACCTTTGGCTTATCTTAGCTTCCCCTCTTCAAAGCTCAAGGCTCAAGTCCCTTCTTTTCCCCCGCGGTTGCACAACCTTTGCCACTGTCTTCCTGGGCACGCACATGGCAACCCCTCCGCTAAAACACAGACCTTTGGCTAACTATCCATCAACGCCCCTCTCGGTCGACATTGACCTCCCACGCCCCCTGCGAAACAATAGCATGCAACCAATGGCATAGTCTCGTGCTTTTGACACTTGCTTTTGCATGAACCGACCTCTCCTCCAAACAGCTTATCCCTTCAATCTGGATTGTCAAGCTTGCCCAGAAAGCAGTGCGACGCAGGGGACTGGACGGCAGAACAGACTCGGAGCGGCATCTTATCGATTAACGCAAAGGCTCTCTCGCTACCTTGTGATCCCGAGCAATGCGGGAGGACGGGGTATCCTGTTCCTCCCTCCATTTATCGGCCACAGCCTAGCAGAGTTCTTCCTTCTTTGCGACCAGGAACAGCTCACAACTCAACTCTGAGAAATGCCTCTCCTCAGTGACCCCTGTATGCTGCGGCGGACCCGGACGGTTTTTCCCTCGCCCCATTGAGTTCCAGCCTAACAAGTCAAGTCCAACGGCCCAGTCCTGGTGCCACATCGGCCTCGACCCAACGACCATCGGACCTTGCCACGCGGAACCCTTCCCCGGCTGCTTGGGTTTAAGTAAGCCGGTGCGGATGCTCAATTACACTTTACAGTGCTGGCAGCGTTTCTGCTATACGTGTATCAGTCGAGTGTCTGCATTGAGACGCTATACTCAGTGCTTCTCGAGCGGGTGGACAGCCTCTTGCAGCCAACAGCGTTTCTTTGGGCTACTAGAACATGGCGGTGTTCGCGATCTCCCACATCATCTGCTGGCTGCGCTGCGGGCCTCGCAAGTTCGCATGCGACCCGGTACGCTGGCGGCCTCGAAAACCGGGATTGAAATCCCACCAGAGGTTGGCCTTCAAGCGAGGAATGCCATGGCAAAAATCCCGAGCTTTTATTGCAAGGATGTCGTGGAACCAACGCGATCCACGCCAAGCCAGCATCGCGAATCTTTCTAATGTTATCTCTGACTGGTTATGCGAACATCGTCAGACCGACATAGCAATCTTCCATGGCGCGCAACGTCTCTCCGCGCTTCCTTTATCTCCGCATGTCAGACGGGCCAAACCTTACCGAATTATACATAGTACGCCTTACCGGCACAAGAAACTCACTCGCCCTACCGTTGGCCTCAAGGTCTCGAAGAGCTTTGCGTTCAAGGAGACTTTCAAAAGTCTAGGCCGGGCTAGAAAGCATCCTAGCCTATTGATCAGCGCGAAATGGAGGACTAGCTTACGCGCCAACCCGTTGGTTGGACAACTTGGCGCGCGCGTTACATTCGACACCCATTTCTCTATTCTTGCTCGGGAAGTCAAGCTGGAAAATCCGGCTTCGCATCACCGAAGTTTTCAAATACATCTCCACCATCGCGACTACGCTGTACCTTGCATGGAGGAAACCATGCGAATCTCATCAGAATGACCTCATCCGCGGACAGCCCTGGCGGCGGCGCCCTCGCAGTCCGTCCCAACTTTCCGACGCTTCGAATAAATTGCTGCTTCTCCATTCGCTCACCCCTGGCGCTCATGATGGCGCCCTAGCTTCGCCTGGCTAAGGCTGGTCGAGAACCCTTGTCTGCGTCCCGTTTCAGCGGGACGGTTCAGGAACCACATCCCCGCGCGTCCTTGGCTTCCCCAGTGACGGAGGTGGCAGCCATGATACCGCTTGGGACCGTCCTGTTCCTGATGATCGTCCTAGCCCGTCAGCTATCTTTGCGGCGAGAGTCAAAGATAGTAACGGGATGTCTTTTAACTCAACGTCAAGCCCCAGGGTCTCATCTTCACACCGGCACACTACATCCACACTTCAGGACCCTTGGTCTGCTGCTTTGGACAAATTGCTATAATCCCCCGGGCTTTGCAGAGGATGACGTATGTCGGACAATCGCATCGCGGTGTTGCTGACTGCCGACCCCATGACAACGTGCCATCCCGCAGCTTGTCCCGCATCAAGACGCCGTTCCCCGGTCCCAAGGTCATGCTTCCTGCGGTTGTCAGTCACGCTTCCAGAAGCTTCGTTACGATTCCCCGGAATCTGGTGGGCGCAGGCGCGTTGAATGCCCAGTGCCAACCTTGGCCGGTAGAATCGTCACTGTTCAAGGGAAATAATGCGCAAGGGTCTTCCAATACGATAGCGAGTGCCAGATTCCAAATACTCCAGGTTGAGCGAACCCACCTCTTTGGTTTGCCCACCAAAGACAGAGTGCGAGTAACAAGGTCAAGCTTCGAGTTGATGCCGCAGTTATGTTCGGATCCAGCCCATCCCGTTCGCGGACACCACACAACTTGAAACTCGACGTCCTATGTTGGCTGAAACGGGGCGACAGCCACTAAGCTGACCAATAAGATAACAGCGAAGAACATCGTCCATAGATGAGATCACTTTTGATCGAGTTCCAAATATCAGGAGGAACCTTGGGCCGTCGTCAATGATCGTCAAGTGAGGGCCACCGTAGATCAGGGTGCCTCGGCCAGAATGTCAAACCTGTCAGCCCCAACTCCGGATGCGCGACCGAAGGAAAACGAACGATCTTGGAAGGCCAACCTGAAAGCAAGACTACCGCGCAGCAGCAACATGGCTCAAGCGTTTGTGGAATCCTTGGGATGGCCGTCAATTCGCACGAGTTGCAAGATGTATGCTTGAGTAGTTTCTAATCTTCTCTCACGGAGCCGATGATCTCAACCTGCCAGGCAAGCTTACGGACTACTCCAACCAAGCAAGGGAGCCAGGGAGTCTTCATCGTCAGTGGATGTTCGCGTGAACATACAATGGAAGGCTCGCTGACCAACATCTGTCGTTAGTAGGACCTGACTCCGAAACATCTAGTAGGAGGTCGGCATGCAAGGTCCCGTCCACACCATCCCGTAGCGCCGAATTGCGGGTGCCGATCCGCGGCCTATTCAGGGGCGTGGAGACCCCGTTCAGGTTGAGTTCGCGGAGAACAGCTGTCTTGGCACGATGAAACTGGGTCCCCGTCCCATCCACGCGGTGACACCACGCCACTTATTGCGCTTCCTCGCGCAAAGAGCACTTATTCGGTGTTTGCCCGCTTCTTTCGGAGTGGCGAGATGCGGGCGTCGGGACCTCCCGCTGCTTCTGGCAACGAGTTCTCCGGCCGAACGGAGACCATCGTTCCGGAGCTGGCGGCCGGGCGGACATGTCACCATTCGGGAGATCTGCCAGGCCAGCACCTTGGAAGCTAGATGGTAGCGCCGCAAACATATAGGCGGCCTGCGGCTACACTTTTCATTGCCATCAACTCAGATGGTGGCTGGGCGTAACGGTCAGAAAGAGGCATGAGCATATCGATAGGCCTGTCTTATGACGAGACCATTTCAGTTTTCAGTCGGCTCGGCAACGCGGCGGTTCATTCTAAAAGCGTCACATTGAGATGTGATGTTCATCAGGGAATATATGGAATTGCCACTTATTCTCAGGCATCTCTGATGTCACAGAGGCTGACGCGGCGAGCACTCAACTGATCATATTCTAAATAGTATTTGCTTTTCAACCCCGATAACGATTCACACCGGAAGAGAACGGCTGAGCACCGCTCCCTCCGGCAGCATCGCGTCCCGCCAGATGCTCTCTGGAACTGAAACCCCAACTCGTTCGATGTCCCATTCCCTCTCGCCAATCACAGCCACGTGAACCATCAAGACAGCTCGAGCTGTCAAACGGAACAGGATAATTCGGGCTAAAAGCTGAGCTTCTCCGAGTGGTCAGAGCGAGGAAATCTCGCCCGTTTGCAATACCACAGCGTGCAGATTGGGGCATGAGCAAGGATCTAGTCGCGAGCACGGGCGTATCTCTCCATCAGCAAATGGTCGATGCCCGTCAAGGCGCTCTACCGCGCTCAGGGCCGCGCGAAGAGCAGACGAGGAGAAACTGAGGCAAGGTTTGGCTCATATTTTGACAAACCCCGAATGGAACCATCCCCGGGGCAGCGAGGAGGCGGACAGCAGAGCTCCATCTGGAGCTCTTCTCCCCAGGCAGTCCGTTCGCGCACTCGGGACGCCACATCGGCAGACTTTGGTTTGGTCTTCTGCGCGAGACCACTCCAGACCGTCGACGCTTCTCTCAAGCTGGCGGCAGTAAGCTCTGATGCCCACCTCGGGCCTCTGCGGGCAGCTGGACCTGCCCGCTCCCGAAATTCTGCTCATGTCCATGTTTAATCGCCGAACCTGATGACGGCAAGCTCATGTTGAGTTTCGTCTCTGGCCACACAGCTGCCACGCTGGAACGGTATTTCCAGATGGCAGGTGGTGGGCGGGCGTTATTGACGCCCAAGGACGAAGCTTCACGTCGTTCCATATCCGCATACGGTAACCACCTCACGATGGACCTGGTGGGTATTGAGCACGTGTGCCGAGTTGTTCAACCATCACATGTCTGATTTCGGTTGACGTGCGGGCACGGGACGAACATGAACTAGACGATGCCCGCGATGATCTTCTTATGAACCTTGATCCACCGAACGAACGTCCGAGGGCCGGCTTGACCGCTGCTGTCAGTTGGACAATAGCTGAACAACCGCCATGTGCAAACAAAGAGGCGATCATGCTGTATTGCTAACAGCGGCAATAATACATCCCGGCAACTTGACTCATAGGCGTGGCCTGATCCATAACCGTTGCTTAACATCAATAGACCAATCTCATAACCAACGCCATGATCCTTTACAAAACGATGCCAGCTTTGATGCCAGAGTTACTGCTTCGTGTCATGGTGCACATCGCCCACATGTCAGATGTAACTTCAATAGAAAATGCCGTGCCATGGAATCTGGAGAGATCAGAAAGACAGGCGCGGCAACGACCTTGCGCGTGCCCTTTGAGATAACCAGTGACCGCCAGAAAACAGGCGACTGGCCCAAGGCTGAGACTCGCGATGCTGGTATGATGCGGTCCAGTTCTCATTCATGACACGATGAATCACTGGCCTCACTGATAGACAGACAGGCAGTCGTGACACGAGCTCGGGGGAACGGGATAAGGTAGTCTCGCGTTAAGTGGCCTAGCGAAGCAAGTTACTTCGCTGGATACTTCGCGGGTACCCAGCGAGACATGATGCGAAATGGTGGCTTGGTGAATGATACGGACGGCACCATGAAAGAGATAGCCAATAGTGAGCGCCTAGATTGCCAGGTGATGAAGAAAATGGGTCGCTCAACAGCAGGCAGCGCCACGGAGTTGACCGGGCGGTGCCTCGGCGTGGGCATAGTTAAAGCCCGGCGTGGAGGCCAAATGGGGACGGCAAAGGGACGGCAGTAATCTGAACCGCAGAGCAGCGAGCACAGTGAAGGATCTGGGAAATCGAACCCTTCGGTCTAACGAGAAACTGGATTCGCTGTGCTGCTAATGCTAGGGTTCGACACCTGGTCTGATATAACAACGTATATGCGGAGCTTTGCACCCGACCAGCAGCTGGTCAAACTCCATTCGCCTTTTATCCCTGAATATACCGATCCCATCTTTTCCCATTCCAACGCCACCCACTTCGCATACACAACGGTATGCCGAACGGGTATCAAAACTGAAGCCCCCAGAGCCAACTGCCGGCCACCGTAGGCCAGCGGACAATCTTCATCACCAGCGGCAACTCCGCCTGGTGTGTCGCCATTGCTTTCGTCCGTCGACTGCCTCCCACGAGCCCCCCGAAAGGTATCCCGCTGCTGAAGCTGTGCGTAAGCGTCAATGCCGTCATAGGGAGCAGAAAGGCAGATCGGTGAATCGTGAGTTCGTAACCAAACGACGAGCGGTTTTCGAAAAGTCGCAGGAAATGCATGGTGAAGAGTGCGAGTGCTGTGACAATCGGAGAGGAAGAAAGAAAAAACATAAAAATAAGGTCTACGAGGAGAGTTCGGTCCAAACCCGAAGGCTTCGTGATGTGGATGGAAGATGGAGAGAGGGGCCGCGTGCATGACCAGTGACCGGCGGTAGGAGGGTAGTTAGAAGGTGTAGAGCAGGTTGCGATGAGAAGGAAACATGGCGAAGAGCTCAGATCTGGCCTTTGATGTCAACCTTGCGGAACGCCTCGGTCCTCGCAGATTCGAACAGCGGTCCGGCTTTCCCGGTCAGGAGAGCAATGTAGTCTGGTCGTTCTTCGAGCAGGTGCTGGCCATTGAAGTCGACAATGAACTGAGCCGCATCAACGTCGGACTCGAAACCGAGTTCCTCAGTGATGAATCGTAACTTTACGTCTGGCTTGTATCTAGTATGGATTAGCGCATGTTCTGGAGCCTGCAGAATGGAGCGAAACTTACGCCTTGCAAATGTTGCACAATGCAGCGAGACGTTCACGAACAACGAACATGTCCATGAGGTACGCTCCCATATTGGGAGTATCCAAGTAAAGCTGGAAGAACTTGTGATAGTTTCCCAAGGCGAGAGCAGACCGCACCTGCAACGCGTGCTTGATGGGTCGCTCCTCCTTCTCTGCTGTGGTTAGATCTGCCAACGCATCATTAAGGCCGGTACGGTTGGCGGTGTGAATGAAATACAAAATGCGATACGCCTTGAATTCGATGGGGTTCCCTTTCAGTCCCTTTGCGTACAGGGTACGCAACTGCGTTTGGCACTGATTATACTCACCAAGGTCCCCCTTCTCCAAGGCAATGCGGGCGTGGAGTTCGTATACGGACACTGTGAAGTCGTTTTTGATCCGCTGGACTGTCAGGTCTTGACGCATGGACTTGAGCTGGTCGCAAATGTAAGAATAGTTGCCCTCCTTCTTCCACTTCTTCTTAAGGAGATCGATGGTCTTGTGCAGGACTCGCTCCGGCCGGACCTGGGAAGGAACGGGAGGAGCCGTCAACCGCAGGTACCGCTTCTCCAACGTCTCGCTGGTGCCGACAACGGGACCATCCGAGGGAGGAGGGCTGGGCGACCGGTAGGCAGACTTGTAGCCGCCATCGAAACGGCGTTGACGCTTCTCCAACTGCTTCTGAAACTTACTTGACTTGGGCAGAGGTTCGTCGAAGCTGGCGCGTTTGTCGGGGGAGGCGAAGGTGATGCGATCTTCCAGGGCGTTGGATCGGTGGCTGTTAGTAGAGCGCCAAGGCACAGCAGATTTGTCATCCGATGTGAATTCATTGGACTTGCGCTTTTTCGGGTTGGGCGTCGAGTTTTCATATCGCGTATCATACGAGAAGGCAGCACTCGGAGAGGAGTTCAGTTGAAGTTGGCGTTCATTTTTGATCAGGGCGGCGGGACACGGCATGTTCTCCCAGTCGGTAGACTCGAGAGTTCCGTTCTCCATATGCTGGGAGATGGTCGCCTTCAACTTGGCTTCAATCTCGGGACGAGACACGGACGGATCCATGTTGGCAGGAAGAAAGGACTTTTGGACATAATCGCGGACAGAGGCTGGCCATTCCACCTTTCGTGGCGGCTGCGCTGGCGGGACTTGCGCACTCTGATCGTAGGAGACCACGGGCTGGGGCGGACTGTAGACGGGTGCGGCGGCTGGGGGAGGAGGATACTGGCCGAAGCTCTGGCGAGCCTGGACTGCGGTGTATGCCGGATCTGAGAGATGGTTAGTGACTGGAGGTTCGGTTCGATTTGAGGACATGTTCAAATAACTTACTGGGAGGGTAGGCGTAGTTGGCAGGAGGTGCTCCGTACGCAACGCCGGGTGGCGGCGCCGGCCAGCTGGTTGGCATCATGTTGTCTCGGGTGAAGAAACGCTGAATTCTGAGTCGGGGATTAGTTTGACGAAAGTCGAAAAGCAGCAGCTTGCGTGTTGGCTGGTGGTCGGGGGTGGTCGTCGACGGAGTTGTTGATGTTGGCAAGAACTGAGGTTGGGGATATTCCGAGAATGGCGGTGGAAATGACGGGTGGTCTGTGTGAGAGGGATTTCAGGCAAGTCAGAAGAGTGGGGACCAATAATATTGTGCCCAAGCTCAAAATAGGCGCTCGTGGCCTGCGATCCGTCGGTTAAACTACGGGCTGGGCTGACGTAAGGCGCCTATCTTATCGGCTGTCGGCGATAAGGCATATGCCCGCCTTCCGTTGGGTTGGTTCGCAGCAACCGTGGGGTAAAGAAGGTACATGGTCCTGCGAGATAAACTCACTCTGTTACGCCATCATCTGCATGAGCATCACGCGTGCTTCTGCCCGTAATTCCAGACACTCTCAAGGCGGTCGTTTTTGTTTTCGAAATATGTCCGACTCCTGAGCAATTTACGATTGCGGCTCTCGATCCCCAATACAGCCCGAGACTGTCACTGACGTATGACGCTTCGTGGCCCCTCGCCTCCATCGATCATCTCCGGTCATCGCAGTGCTTGCGCGCATTACTCCCTCAGCATCCTGTCGAACAGATATGACGGATGTTTCTAAAACACATCGACCTCACGACCGCTCTCCGGCCCTCTTATCTACCGGATGAAGTCTTGTTGTTCGTCCAAGACAACGTTGGACTCTATGAGGGGTACGTTGCTCAGCCAGGTCAATCTCCAGTCTTGCTCGGCAGCTGACCATGGTTCGTCATTTACAGAAAGTTCAAGCTTCCTCACCAGCAAAATGGACAAGTCTACCTGACATCCCACCGAGTCTGTTACGTCGACAAAGAAGAGCCGCGCAAACACTCCGTCGCCCTCGATTTGAAAGATGTGGATCGATACGAGTTCTACGCGGGGTTCTTGAAGTCATCTGCAAAGATTACTCTGATACCGAAGCCCCTGAAGCGATCTTCTCTCCAGACAAGAGCTTCTGCCATTTCGTCTCCGAGGCCAGGCGCTGGGTCACCTGCCCGCGCCGACAGCCCATATAGACCCCCGCCAGATCCTACAGCCACGGCGGCGACCTGGGTATGCACGATTTGCAGTTTCTCGAACCCGGTTCCGTCCAACTTCGATCCTACAACAGCGAATATCCATACCCCTTTGCCACCTTGCCTGGCATGTGGCATCAAGCCGACTCTGGCGCATGTCTTGAAAGCATCCATATCTAATGCGACCAGTCGAACACCCGCGCCTCCGAGTCCAACCGTCAGCTCACCTCTGGCCGTGCGATCGCGGTCGACATCGAACAGACCAGATGACTCAGGGTCCTTACCACCGTGGCCCGCTGCGTCTAACATCACGGGCGCGCCACAGAACCCCTCCGACCCGAGCGCGACCTTTCAGTGCCCTCGATGCACTTTCCTCAACCACCCGTCCCTGTTGGCGTGCGAGATGTGCGGCGCACCTCTGATATCGCAGGATATACCGCAAGTAGTGGCACAGGAGACGCAGCGGACAGAGTCTCCAGGCCCCGTTCTCAACCCGTCGGCCGCGGGTCAGGACACTGCGGAAAGTGTCAAGATCTCGTTCAGAGGAGGCGGCGAGAAGATCTTCTACGAAAGACTCAAAGGCTCGATGACCCAGCGAAAATGGCTCCTCCAAGGCGCCCCGCCCATACCCCAAAGTAGCCGGACAATAGACGACAACGGTGTTATAGTGAGGGCTCCTGTAGCTACTCCCGCGCGTCCAAAGGGTGTTGGTATTGCTGGGCTGGAGCAGCGTGGTCTTGATATGCGCAAGAACAACGAAGTGATGATCGGCAGTGCGTTCGAGGACCTCGACGCGCTCATGGCATCCGCCAAAGAAATTGTGGCACTGGCGGAGCGGTTTGCGAGGCAGGCGAACGGCGGGAGTGGCGCTGCGGCTTCGGAAGCCAACGCCCTTTTGGCGGAGTCTGCCAGTCAGCTTGGTTTGGTCACGACGAAAGACATCGTGGGCGGCAGCAGCTCCGAAACCTTGTATTTGTCCGAACTGGCGCGAAACCTGGCAGAGTTTTTGACGGACGACGCTCGCGGCGTGTTGAAGAAGGCCGGAGGAATCATCAACTTGGTCGATTTATGGGCCATGTTCAACCGCGCCCGGGGCGGTGTCGAGCTCGTGAGCCCAATGGATTTTGAAAAGGCGGCGCAGATGTGGGAGTCGCTGAAGTTGCCCGTTCGGCTCCGTAAGTTCAAGAGCGGAGTTCTGGTCGTCCAGAGTAGCGATCGCACGGACGAGACCACGATCAAGGCGCTGGTCTCTTGGCTGGACGACTTACACGAGTTCCCACCAGAAAAGGAGCTGGCTTGGGACTGGCGGCAGTTTGGGCGCGGCGTCACAGCTCGCGATGCTGCTGAGCGGTTTGGCTGGAGCATCGGTGTTGCCGAGGAAGAACTGGAAATGGCCGAAGAACGCGGGGTTCTCTGTCGCGAAGACGGCATCGAGGGCCTCAAGTTCTGGAAGAACTACATCGACACTGGTGACACGAAACGTAGGCGTAAGAAGCACCGGTGGGAGGAGGACGAAGTGATGAGGGCACTCAAGGAGAGCGGCCTGATGTGAGGAAAGAATCGTTGACTTGGGATATCTATTTGTGTGCCGCGTCGGCGCAGTCACAGACATTAAAGCGCATTACTATTCTACATGTCCTGGGGTCCCCGCGGTCTGTCGTCTAGATGCCCCATTCTTTGATGCTGGCGGCTGGGTTTCCGCCTCCCAGTCTATGCTCTACCGAGAGGAACGCAAAGGAGAAAAAAGTCAAAACCTAAACGCCGCCCATATGAACCAATGCCCAAGGGTAATACTGACAACCAAAAGAAAACCAATTCGTTGGCCACATCCAGATCGGATCAAGACGTCAAAAACACTCCTCTTCATTCCAGCTTCTCCATCATGCTCAACCTAACCTTGCGGTTGACGACACCGCCAACACCGTATGCCGGGATGATACGGCAGATTCTCGCCATTGTGCTGATGCCCCAGTTCTTGGCCACGATCTGCCAGCGGTCCTTCCACGTCACAACCGCACCCGCGGCACTAGGGCGGTTGTACACGTCCAGGCCGAGCAGGTGCAGCGGCGTGCTCACGAGCTGCACCATGGCCGGCGCCGCGAACTGCATGACGGTCAACCCGCTAACCTTTTTCGCGACTTCCTCTCCCATGCGCTCGTTCAGCCACGGCCCCATGCGTGGCGGGACGTTGAAGCTCGCGAAGATGGTCAAGCAGTCGCGCAGGCCGAAGAGGGCGTAGGATATCATGGGCACAGCGCGCGGGGTGACGCCGGGCGGGCCGAACATGCGGACGTAGACCTGGTCCTTGTACATGCAGATGCCGATGTTGGCGGTGCTCGAGGCGGCGAACTTGCCGGTGCCGGCGGTGACGTGGGAGGGGCTCTTGTTCTGGACGGTCGAGACGGCGGTGTCGAGGGTGTTCGCGGTCAGGTAGGTGCCGCCGTAGAGGGCGAAGATGAGGGCGAAGGGTTTGCTGAAGACGACGTGGTGGGGGCGGAGGACGAGTTCGCGGAGGCAGGACTTTACGGATTCGCCCAGACTGCGGCGGCCGGAGGCGTTTTCCATGATCGAGCTGTAGGTGGACGAGTGGTTAGATTCTTGGTGTTTTCTGTCATGGAACCGTATTGCTTACCGATCAATAATGGAGACGATGGGAGCGACCAAGGTTCCGGCGCAGGCGGCGCTGATGAAGTCGGCGCCTAGGCGCATGCCCAGGTTCGTCGTGTTCCACTTGGTCTCGCGCATCTTGGCCTCCATCTCGACCTTTTTGCTCGTTGCCAGAGCCAGCGGGTTCGGGGGCTTGATAGTGAGGTCTGGCGCAACGGGTGCGGGAGCGAGCCCCTCTGGTCTGGTGTCCCTCTCAGCCATGCGGCTTGTATGTCTGTCGGTTGGGCTTCCGGAGCCTGAGTATCTCGAGGTCGCGGTGGGCTGCAGGCGTCGGTCGTCTGGCAGCTCTTGAGGGACTCGAGATATCGGGTGTTGCGGTGCTTCCCGATGTCGCTTCGCTTTGCGACGGGTTATATAAACAGGTCCAGATCGGGAGAGGTTGGGTGACGTCTCAGGCTGTGTGACGTCGTCTGGAACCGGCCGGAGCTAACAAAGCATACACGAACGAAGGAAAGAAGAGATGACGGCACCAGACTGGACTACCTGATCCTTGGGGTAGGGTAGGTAGGTAGAGGAGGGAAGAGAATGAGGTAGGAAGTAAAGACAGCAAAACCAAGAGAGGGAAAGCTGGGGAAGAGGCCTAGCTTATGGGGGAAAGCTATGAATCCATGATTGAGAGGGAAGCGACGGGGACCCGGAGCTCGTGCTTCTTCTCGTTCGCTTGCAACAGACAGAGACGCCCAATTTTTTTTCCTTTGTGTGTCTTGAAGGGACCCCCGGGAAAAGCAGCGGTTCAGCAAATGACGATTCGGATTTTAGTGAATAAGAGGGGACGAAAAAAAAGGTCCCCCGGGGACGGTGGACTGGCGGACGGCGCATCGACGAATGGACGGTCGAAAATTTCAGCTTACTGGGGACCGAAGTCGGAGATAATCGGTACAAAAGTACGAAGGGTCGAAGGGACCCCGAAGGAATGGAACGCGGGAATGGCTGACAGCGTGGGATCGCGGGCGGGCTGGCGTGCTATCTCAGCCCGAGCTCTGGGCCCTTGGAAGTCAATTGATGAGAGTCGGAGTACCACCGCCGCGACATGCCTGTTTACACTATAAAAACTGGGTGTGACGGGGTTTCTTCCGAGAAAGTCTCAAAGCTGGTTGATCGACAGCTCTTTTGGCTCTGGGTTGTTCGTGGAGACGTTGGAGTCACGAGCAAAAGGACGGTGGGGGTCATGTTGGTGATATCGCATGATTCTCTTCGGGGAGGTGCTTAAAAGGCCAAAATGGGAAGTTCTGTTTCTTGCACAGTGGGTCCTCCTCCGTCGGCCTCCATGCCGTTCCCCGTCCGGTCCTGTTCCGGGAGTGCGAACAACCTGGAAGCCGTGAGGTGAGGTACCTTACAGCGTTCCTCAGTACCCTACCAGGGGGCCGCGTGGCTTCAGAGTGCGACAAATGGTTTACAACACGCACGTCTTGGCGTATATGAAGTTGTTTGAAGTATTAATAAGAATTGAGGCCCATGTTGAACGGAATTGACGTGTCAATATTGCTTCTGAATGACACCGCCAATCCTTCACTGGACCTCTTGATGCACTAAGAAATAATATTAGGTAGCAAGTAGGGCACAGCGCAGCGTGTTGAGTAAGTAACTTTGTATACTTCGACCGCAGGATGATCAAGACGCTGGCTGCTGGCTGCTGCCTTCTGCCACGCCATTCGCGAGTCCCAAGCGGGAAGGTCAGTAATCTGCTCTGTGCGTGCCTGCCAAACCTCAGGAAGCCACCTCGAAAACGCTGTCGCGTCCCTCTAGCTAGTTTGCGTCAGCCTCATTCGTACTTCCAGATCATCACCTCAAATCAATTCCAAGACAAAATCTCTCATTCATCCAGTTTTCGTGTTGATTCCTGCCGCTCTTCTGCGTTCTGCGTTCGCGGACTCGGACTCGTGTTCATTGCTTGCTTCACCAGTGTTTCCACCGCGAGTCGTCAGTACACACTCGTTCACATCTCACATTCTCCATATCCCGACATCACCCTCAATCCCAGCTCAAAATGCGCGTGGCCAAGGATTTCACCCCCGACGTGCTGCTGAGCGCTCCTCGTCGTGGCTCCGCCGTCCCGAGCCCCGATGGCACCCTCATTCTCTACACCCAGTCGACGCACAGCTTCGAGGACAACAAGACCGTCAAGGAGGTCCGCCTCATGGATATCGAGAGTGGGGCCTCCGACCAGCTCACCGATGATGACAAAGTCCACGATGCCCAGTGGCTGCCGGGCACCAAAACCGATGTCATTTACTTAAAGTCGGGCGAGAAGGGAACGACGCAGATCTGGATTGCCAATGGCGACGACCCGGCCAAGGAGCATTACGTCGCTGGCGAGTATGATGCGCCAATCACTGCGCTGAAGTTGAAGGCGCTGGACGACGGAAGTGTTGCGTTTGTCGTTGCCGGACTGGTCGGTCCTGACGGCGGTCTTTTCAATGACGAAACAGAAGAGAAGAAGAAGTCCACTGCTCGCATCTTTGACGGTCCCAAAGTCAGGGTTGTAAGTGAACATAATGTTTCTCGATGGTGGTATGCTGTGACTAACACGTGTGTCAGTGGAATGAGCTATACAAGTCACACAAATATGCTCTATGGTACTCAACTCTTGTCAACGCACACGGAAAATGGGGAGTTGCCGGAGAGTTGCAAAATATCGTCAAAGATACGACTCTTGAGGCGCCAGTGGGCATGTACGATGTTGCCGATCCGACAGACAACTTTGACATCAGCGAAAAGGGCATTGCTTTCGTTGCTGAGGATCCCAGGCCTTCGTCGCCAGAGTTTGTCCGCATTGCCCATGTCTACTATGTCCCCCTCGCATCCTTTACAGCCGCACCACCTACACGGCCAAGGCCCGTCGTCATGGGCATATCCGAGACCAAGGCGTACTACCAGAACGTGAGGTTCTCACCAGACGGTTCGAAAATCGCGTTTCTACATGCGCCTTACGCCAACCCTGTAGATGTCAGGTTGTATATGGGCCATACGAGTTCCTTCGGTGCTTATCACGTACATACCATGATCTTCGGCAAAGGGCCTCGTCTACCTCCGCGGAGCTTCGAATTCGCAGGCAGCTCTGATGCTTTACTCATCACAACGGAGGACTGCGGAAGGGTCAAGCTGTCCCACCTTGAGCTTCGGCACGGTGCAGAGGCAACGTCGCTCGTTGAGAGCGGCGTTGTGTCTGCCTTTTACCCTCTGAAAGAGGGCAACTACGACCAGCTCCTCGTTACCAGCAACAGCATCGTCGAGAGCAGCTTGTGGCAGATTGTCGATACCACGCTGAAAACGCAATCAAAGGTGGTATCTTCCTCCACAAAGCACGGGGCCAAGTATGGTCTCTCACACAGCATGGTTTCGGAATTTTGGTACGAAGGCGCTGATGACGCCGTCGTGCACTCTTTCATCATCAAGCCCTCCAACTTTGATGAGCGCAAGAAGTACCCTTGGGTCCTCCTACCCCATGGGGGCCCAGAGTCGTCTTGGCTGGACTCTTGGTCCACGAGGGTTAGTCACCAACAAGTTTACTTCATGTATCAAGCTAACGACAATCGCAGTGGAACTTAGCTCTCTGGGCACAACAGGGTTACGTCCTCATTGCGCCGAACATTGCCGGTAGTACGGGCTACGGCGTCGACTTCACCGCACGCATCTACCGTTCCTGGGGCGGCGCTCCGTACCAAGACCTCGTCAACCTGATGGAGTACCTCAAGCCGCTGCCCTATCTCGATCACGACCGAGCCATCGTTGCGGGGGCCTCGTATGGAGGGTACATGGTCTCGTGGATGTTCGGACAGGAGATGATTCGCAAGTTCGCGTGCGCCATTTGGCATGACGGCATCTTCAACTTGCCCGTGTTCATGATCCAAAGCGACGTCGTCGACGGCGGGCCGGATTTTGCGGGTGCTCCGTACTTGTGGAGCAACGGCGAGGAGCTGGAGAAGTGGAACCCCGCGCGGCCGGAGCTGTTGCGGAACTGGAAGCATGCGCCGCCGACATTGGTCATCCATAGCGAGAAGGATTACCGGTGTCCTATCACCGAGGGACTGGCAGCGTTCAACACTCTGCAAGCTCAAGGGGTTAAGAGTCGCTTTCTGACTTTCAGTGATGAGTGCCACTGGGTTTTGAACCCGGAGAACTCGTTGGTTTGGCACCGAACAGTCTTTGAGTGGATGGAGAAGCACGTTGGAGGAAAAGAGGCGAGGGAGATTTAAGAACCTATTCCGCAGGATATTGTGCAATAAAGTAGCGACTTGGATCTATAATGCTGGTTTTTCTCGTTACAAATTACCCTTAGCTTAAGATCGGTTCGTGACTTGCCAGGCTTAAGGTAGCCCAGCATGAAAACCATTCCAGGGACCATAGATTGTATCCGAAGCAATCTCACGCTCACGCCCATGACTTACACGTCTCGGGGCGATAACACCCCGATAGCATCGCAGCACAGAGTGGACCGGGACTTTAAATCCCCGTCTGAACAGAGAGTGGATATCTTCACAGCCCAGGAACTTCAAACTTCCGCCTTTTCAATACCCAACTTGGCAGAATTCTGGCTTCTCTCACTGCTGATTCGACATAGGGACACACGATGCGGGCGGTTTTCCCCCGACTCCGTACCAATCGGCCGTTCCAACTCCTCAAAATGTGGGGTCCTCCCGAGCCCGGGTCTTGACCCGGTGGTTATGGACGCGGGGACGGACAGGCATCGTGACTTCTCTCAATTTTGTTTATAACCTTCGCCTTACCGACGCGAGTGATTCTGCGCTCTGTAGGAAGCGAGTCGCCTTAATTTTTCGGGACTGTCAAACTCGGGACCCTCTCGTATTGTGCTCTCGACGGTCACCATGCCTCCTCTCATACATGAGCTCAGCACCGGCTGGTTCTTCAAGCAAAAGAATGACGCTTCGGGTAATCCATGGCTTCCCGTCGCCAAAGTGCCTAGCGAAGTCCATGTCGACCTCCTAGCCAACAAGAAGTGAAACCTCCCAACCACAATTTCTTGGATTACAATCTAACACACTACAAGAATCCCCGACCCGTTTCTGGACATGAACGAGCTCGCAGTCCAATGGGTCGCAGAAAAGGACTGGGTCTACCGCGTCGAGTTCCCGACACCGGCCAGTGTCCCTCCAAATGCCGTCACGGATCTCGTCTTCAAGGGCCTCGACACATTCGCCACCGTCACGCTCAACGGCGCCGAGATCCTCAGATCAGACAACATGTTCCTCGAGCACCGCGTCAACGTCTTGGACCTCCTCCTCACAACAGACGGCAACAACGTCTTGGAAGTGGACTTCGCCTCGGCCCTGCTCCGCGGGAGGGAGCTGGTCGAGACGCACGCGCACCAGCACCGCTTCATCGCCCGCCAGACGGAACAGGGACGCATCCCCGTGAGAAAGGCGCAGTACCACTGGGGCTGGGACTGGGGCCCGATCCTCGTTACCGCGGGCGTGTGGAAACCCGTGTTTCTGGAGACGTACACCGCTCGCGTCGACGACGTATGGGTCAAGAGCGAAGTGAGTGCCGACCTGGCTGTTGTTTCGGGCCAGATTGTCGCAAAGACGCAGGGCCGCGGGGCTGGGAAGCTAGTCGTGACATTCACCCTCGACGGGAATAGTGTGCTGGAGAAGGAGCTCGCCGTTGACGAGAACGGCACGGCGCAGACGGAGTTCCTGCTGGAAAACCCGTCCCTATGGTATCCCTTCACCTACGGCCCTCAATCGCTGTACACCATCACTACAACGCTCCTCCACCCCGACGGCAGCGTCCTCGACAGCGTGACCAAGAAGACGGGCTTCCGCCGCGCGGAGCTAGTCCAGGAATCCGACGACCTGGGCAAGTCATTCTATTTCCGCATCAACAATGTCGACGTCTTCGCGGGAGGTTCCTGCTGGATTCCCGGCGACAGCTTCCTCTCGACCATCACACCCGAGCGCTACCGCGACTGGGCGCGCCTGCTCGTCGAATCGAACCAGGTGATGCTTCGCATATGGGGCGGCGGGGTGTACGAGGCGACGACCTTCTTGGAGGCGTGCGACGAGATGGGCGTGCTGGTCTGGCATGATTTCTGCTTCGCTTGCGGGAGCTACCCGACGTATCCATCGTTTTTGGCGACCGTGGAGGAGGAGGCGAGGCAGAATCTGAGGCGGTTGAGGGGCCACCCGTCGATTGTCATCTGGGCTGGGAATAATGAGGATTACCAGGTCCAGGAGCGGTATAAACTTGACTATCGGTATGACGAGGACAAAGACCCCGAGTCTTGGCTCAAGTCGAGTTTCCCTGCGCGGTACATTTATGAGCATCTCCTGCCCAAGATCGTGCAGGAGGAGAGCCCTCATACGGTGTACCATCCGAGCAGTCCATGGGGCGACGGGAAGCCAACCGCGGACCCGACTGTCGGAGATATTCACCAGTGGAACAGTAAGTCCCCATTTTCCTCAGAAAGTAGTGCTACACTAACAAGAAGCAAGTCTGGCACGGCGCAATGAACAAATACCAAGACGCCTCGCAACTCACAGGCCGCTTCATCAGCGAGTTCGGCCAAGAAGGCTACCCGCACCTCTCCACGACCAACGCCATGCTCACGGCCCCCTCGCAGCGCCGGCCGGGCAGCATGGCGATGGACTTCCGCAACAAGGCCTACGACCACGAGCGGCGGATGATGACGTACGTCGTCGAGAACCTGTCCGTCAGGTACGACATCGGGTGGTTCACGTACCTCACGCAGCTGATGCAGGCCGAGACCATGTCGTTCGCGTACAAGGCGTGGCGGCGCGACTGGGGACGGCCCGGGAGGAGAGGGTGCGGGGGCGTGCTGGTGTGGCAGCTGAACGACTGCTGGCCGACCGTGTCGTGGGCCGTGGTCGACTACTGGCTTGTGAGGAAGCCTGCGTTCTATGCGATCGGGAGGGCGTTGAGGGGGTTGGATGTTTGCGTTGGGAGGAGGGTTGATGAGTGGACTAAGTGCCACGCTGATCCGACTCTCGGGGCTCGGGGGGCGGAGTTTGAGGTTTGGGTTGCGAGTTGTAAGACGGTGGAGGTTGAGGGTGTTGTTGTGGTTAGGTTTGTCTCCATAGACTCTGGGCAAGAGGTCAAGGAGAAGGTTGAGAGGAGAGTCATGATTGCTGCGAATGGGACCACGGAGGTTTTCGAGAAGACGAAGATTGAGGCTCTAAAGAGGGAGTTTGAGGATGAGAGGACGCCATTCGATCCCGCGATGGATGTGCCGTTCGTCATCTACGCAACCCTCGAGGTGGATGGGCAGATTGTCGCCGAGGACTTTGCGTGGCCCCAGCCGTTGAAGTATCTCGAGTTTTCGGATCGCAAAGTCAAGGTCACTGCGAAGGGCGATAAGCTGTTGGTGTCTGCAGAACGGCCCGTAAAAGGGTTCATTATTCAGGAGGAAAGGGGCATGAAACTGAGTGACAATGGCTTCGATCTCGCGCCTGGCGTGGAAAAGGTTGTCGAGGTCAAAGGGATCGAGTTTGAGAAGTTGCGGTGGACGTATCTAGGAGCACCGAAGTCTTCGATCGGTTTATCGGAATAGACGTGGGATAGAACGGGGATTGGCGGACTGGGTATGCTCTTACATTCACATAGATAGTCGCATTATATAACATTATACGGGAACACACAAACTTGTAAAATGTTCATTCTTGGGGAATCCATTCTGGTCATTTCTCATTAATACATAACATTAGAAATTTCGAAGCCTTTTCGCCGTTCGGCAACCTGCGTTTCAGAGGTTAGATAATATCACCGCCGAATCCTCCGCCAAAGCCTCCACCGAAGCCGCCGCCGCCGCCGAAGGGCCCTCCCCTTCCGCCATGTCTGGGAATGCCACCAGGGCCAACGGGGTCCCATCTAGCACCTGGCGGCGCCTGAGGATCGAGACCGCCGTCACCCCCTGCTCCAGGACCACCAAACAGAGGATCATCGAACGTGGGGTGCATTCCGCCCCCACCTCCGGGACGGGGAAGACCTCCACCGATGAAGGAAGGTCTCAAAGGGTCGTGAGGTCCGAGACCGGGCGGGTTCAGGTCATCATGACCGATGTTGAATGGTGACCGCGCGGGACCACCAAGAGGACGCAGCGGGCCGTTGATCTCATGCTCGTCCTCGAAACCCGGGGGAGGGAAGTCGCCCGCAGGAATCGGGCGTCGAGGCGGGCCAGCCAGCGGATCGTGAATCGGGTAGGGGTGTTCGGGCTGCGGCCTCCTTCCGGGGAAGGGATGTCCTGGCTCTCGTCCGGCTTCTCTCCGAGCCTCCTGCTGCGCCTGCTCCGTCGCGTCCCGGTCGTCAGGTGTCTCGGTGTATCCCTCGTGCTGGAGCTTCGGAATGAGCTTCTGTACGATCTTCTGCTTGAATTGCTTGATAAAGTCTTCGACCGCACTCGAGGAGACAAAAGCCTGCTCAAGTTTCTGGACAAGGTCGCTCCTGTCCTCGGGTCCGTCTTCTGTCAGTGTGATGCGCAGGGGCAGCTTGGACGAATCGACTAGGTCTTTGGTCGTGACCTCGAATCGGTGAATGACGTTGTGGCCCTCTGCCATGCCACTGATTTCGACCTTGCTGCCGACGCGGCTAACGCGAATGATGGATATCATGGAGGATTGCTTGTGCGCGTATACAAAACGAATGGCGCCGAAGCCGTTGTTCCACGAAGGAGGAAGTCGGGGGACGAGTTTCTGGATCTCGTCCTCTGGGGTTTGGGTTAGCGCTTGTAGGGTGCTACGGGCGTCAAGGGACGTACCTATCCTCTTCTCCTCGTCGAAGCCAAGAAGGCGGAATCCGAGTGCCGACATGATAGCATGGGAGAGAAGGGCGGGCAGCTCGTAGCTGCTGCTGATGTCGGATGTGGTGTCATCCTTGGGGTGCGTCGGAAGCGCGTCCGCCATGCGGAGCAGCACCGGCTGCAAGGCGAGAGGGTCTGCCATGATTGCTTGATGTCGATGAAATGAAGTTTGGTTGCGCGTGGATGCTCAAGGGAAGTTAAAACGTGTTGGAGATGATGGGTTGTCGTGGCTATATAGATTGCGATCGGGGCTGAGCCTTTTGGGCTTGGGGAGGCCTCGAGGTTGGGTTCGTTGAGGTAGATAGAGAGCTTAGCTCGGGATGTGAGTGGCAGCAGGTGGCGTCACAGACTGGTGCCTTCAGCCCTATATGTGGAGTAACCCCTCATTCTGCATCCCTGACGTTAACCTCGGTACACGCATACATGATCCTGGGGAATTGCTAGGTGTCTATATGCATCAAGTGCGTTCACGTCCTGCCCGGGCATAGGTCTTGAGTTGGCAATGCGGAACAAATCACAGTCGCCAATGTCAATGTGGATGCCAAATAATTTCACCATTTCCCTATTATTCCAGTTTTTTCTTTTCTCAGTGCGTATTGTTTGGTGATGAGTCCGCTGTTCTCAAAGTGAACATTGAGCCTGTCCACTGATGCACCTGACTAAGCCAGCACGTGATGCGGCGTCGAATTCGCATCACGTCCTCGACGCGCTTTCGTTCAACATCATCCTGAGCAGCTAGCCCCCATCGCTCCCAAAAGCGAGGCGCCCAAAAAGACGACATCTCTCGATTTTCTTCTTTTTTCCATTCCTATTCTTGCATCATGTCATCCAGCTCTAAGCCTCCAGAGTCAACCTCCGGGACCCCGGTGCCCATCCCGCGCCCCCAGGCAAACACCCTCCTGACCTCTTTCACGACATTCATGACTCTCACGATTCACACCATATTGTACTACAGAGGACTCTATCCACAGCAGACATTTCTCATGACCAAAGCCCACAACCTCCCCGTACCACAATCACGACATCCCGGCTTGTGCGAGTGGATCAATTCGGCCTTGGCAGCAATCCAGGATCAACTTGCGCTCGGCACCGTCGCAAAAGTGTGTGTCGTCATTCACTCCCCAGAGACCATGTCTGTCGTTGAGAGATGGGTATTCGATGTCGCGAGTTTTCCCGTTTGGGCCACCGGCAAGGGCAAGGAAAAGATTGGCGTTGGGCAGAGGTTCCAGCGACGGGAAGAGGATGACGATGATGGGTCTGTCAACTGGGTTGATGTGAACGAGGCATACCGCGGTGCACTGAGGCGTATCTCCTACGCGGGTGAAATGAAAGGGCACTTGCCGGAGGGCTGCACATTCACACTTGCGGTGGAGTTGCGCGACGAAGCGCCGGCGCCGATAGGGGTATGTCATCACTTGTCTGCGAAGTGACGAGTTGAACCGCTGACGATCTTCTAGCACCCGCAGCCTTGGATTCCTTCCGAGCCGTCACTCCAACCAGCCTCCAAGACGAACCCCGTACCAGGTGCGAAGATTGGCGGCGCTTTTACCACACCCTTACGTTCCGTCGAGGCTGGGCCGCTCTTCTTCGAATGTTGGATCGAGGAAGGAAAGGAAGATTTATCGCAATCACCGCCCGCTACACAAGATTCTTATTATTTGTGAATTCAAGATACCCCGTCGCTGTCCCGTATGCTGCCAACCTCATGTGCTTGGCTCTTTCCATGTGATGTACTTAATCCCCATTCCCCAAGACGTGATTTATTCCTCGCAACTGCATTATACGAACAAAACCAGAGGCGCAAACAGAACAACTCAAATACAACTAGCAAAATAGAAATAAGAAGAACAAATAAGATAGAAAAAAAGAAGTTCAAAAAAAAGACGATTTAGACAGACTCGAACCCCAAAATCGTGCAATCCTCAACAGATGACAGAAGACATAAAAATAATAGGCAAAAAATGCAAAAGTTCAGATCCAGCAAGTGCTGGACCCTATGAAACAGCGACCCTGACACAAGGGCACTATGATCGATGCCACGATGTAACTGGATCATGTGTCAGGACGGCGAGTTTGCACAATGGTAAGTTGTGCCAAAGGCACACTCATACCACTGCCCCAACCGTCCCCCCCTCTCGGGGGGGTGGTGAGAGCATTGGAAAAAATCTCGTAGATAAAGGGTGGTTGGCAAGTCGGTTGCTGCCTTGGGTGAGGCGCTGGAGAAAGGCATCAACGGTGAAGTGGCGCTTGGTTGGTGCGGAGCCCCTTGATGGCACCAGACTTGGTCCCGCCATCAAAGCTTTGACTTGGGACGGAAAGGTCTGTAAATCAAAGTTATCTTGGTCTTGCGGGCATTGCAGAATTTGATACTGTCCTGGCTGCCATGAGACTGAAATGGCTCAACCGCTTGGTATGCTACGACTTGGGACCTATTGCTAACCTAGGCAATTGATTACTCAACTCAACTGTATGCAGACCTTGACCTCAATGATGATAGCTGATTATTATTCGAATACAACCACAGAACATACCCTGATGTCATATGAAACGCTATGATCGATGTTCTCAATTCCCTATTACTGATCATGCCGTCATGCCCTGTACCTGGGCGGCGCGCGCCGGTCAAAGTTCACGACCATCACCATCTACCACGTCGCGCGGCACTTCGAAGACGAGTCCCTCAAGGAGCGCTTCCTCAACAGAGTGGACTCGATCCTCAATCCGAAGCTTGGGGGCAAGGGCATGGATTGGGAGTATTTCGTCCAGGAGTCGCCGCGGGAGTTGTGGAAGATCAACGGGATCTATCCACCCCCGACCGGATCGGAGATGGAAAAGGTCTGGGCCCGGGAGAATAGGCCTGTTCTTGAGGGGGAGACGAAGGCGTCCCTGTAGGGTTTGTTTGGGCTTGTCTGTCTCTCGACATTGTCTGATCCGGCCACGCATTGTACGTTCGAAATGAACAACGCATGGGCACTGATGTCCTTTGAGAAGATTGAAGACAGAGCGCCCTTTTGTTTTTGGTTCAATAAGTACTTAGTTGCAGGTGCGACCCAAGAAAAGCTGACATCAAAACAAAAATGTTTATTGGACTTTCAACAGAAACAATTTCTCAAAGCTCTTTGCTTGTCTGCTTGTCGGGGGATGCCCGACATTGACACCCAGGAAAAACAAGGGGTGTGGGGAGACTCGCGTTCATGTTGGATGGATTGCGTCTTCTCCCTAGTCAATGTCGCAACATCCACAGCAACATCGCCGTGTTACAGCACAAATTTGCGTACAATACTCCACGATTATTATTCCTGGTCGAATACTAATACAGTGATAACGGATAACAAGCGCAGCACTAGAGCTACTAGCAGCGAGGATAGGCATAGAGGGAGCAAGAAGTAACGGAAAAGATAAGCGTGGAGGACTGTAAAGAAGCAGCAGACAGACTCCGAGGGCCGGCAACACGGCACGTAAGCTTCCTAGATGATTGCAAAATGGAGCCAAACATTTGCATGCAAGAGTCCTCGTTCACGATAACGTCGAAAGGCAACACGATCCACTTAATGCGTGCCGGAAACGCGCGAAGCACGTCTTCGCATTGCATACTGATACCATCATGTAAGATTTCGGGCGATTGCCGCTGACAGGAGTGTCAATCCCACCATGCAGCCGACGACTAGGAACTTCATATATTGATGCTGGTTGTCTATTTCGATGCTCTGTGCCAATACGACGTGGACAAGCGTAGTTCGAAGCACACTGGTGCGGTTTTTCATTGCCATTTTAAATTGCAAAAATACCCTGAAAATGGGAGTGCCAGAGAACAGCGACAGTCAGGTCAGAGCCGATGACACCAATGACCGACTACCCGACAAATCTTACCAGTCCGGTGGCGGTATCACTCCTATTGATAGCCAGCCGAAAGATGACATCGATCCGCAGGAAGAGAGAGCATTCTTGTGTATGCACAACCCAGCTTTCAGAAGGCTTCGGAGACTGAGACTAACTCACGTAAATAGGGCGTCTCGACTTGTTCTTCCTCACAATTGGCTTCTTGGGTTACATGTTCAAATACATTGACCAAACAAACATCGTGAGCATCCCTACTGTCGATGACGAAGACCACACGCTAATCTGTCCCAGAGCAATGCTTATGTTTCTGGAATGAAAGAGGACTTGAGCCTATTCGGAAATGAGCTCAACTACTTCACCACCTTTTTCAAGTGAGCACTATGGTGATGTGCGCATATACGGTGTGGGTGCTGACGAACCACAGCATCGGATACATGATTATGCTGTATCCATCCTGCATTGTCATATCACACTTTGGTCCTTCCAAGTGGTTACCGGCATGCGAGGTGCGTGTTTACAGGCTTACTGTTTCGTGCCTTCGAACTAACAAAACACAGCTCATCTGGGGTGTTCTCACATGCTGCTTGTCCGTTGTCACAAGTGCCAAGCAGGTCAGTTCGTCAACAGCGTCCTCCGAAGCTTCTACGCGAGAACAGCTCCAATAAGCTGACAATGAACCAGGTTTACGGTCTCCGATTTCTCATCGGGTTGTTCGAAGGTAAGGTCGATCGTCTTTCAGACTCCCCGAGACAGGTAGCTGAATAATTCACTAGGCACCGCATGGCCCGGATACTTCACGCTGATATCTCAATGGTACATGCCCCACGAAGTGGCTCTTCGCATGAGCCTTTACAACATCGCCCAACCCGCAGGCGCCATGTTGTCAGGAGCAATGCAGGGTGCGCTGTCCACCAACTTCGAAGGTGTAGCTGGCAGATCGGGCTGGAGATGGGCTTTCATCATCAATGTAAGCCAAATCGAAGGTCTTCGAGCCTGTGTAGATGAAGCTAACATATTGCGATAAAGGGTGCCTGTACCATCGTCGTGGCTCTCGCGGCTTTCTTCATCCTCCCCGGCTATGTAAGTTCTGATTCCGAACATCCTTCGGTGCTCATATCTGATCGAACATCCAGCCTGAACGTCCGAACCCTCTTTCCAAGTTTTATATGACGCCTAGACACATCGAGATCGCCCTCGCGCGTGGCCGCCGGGTCGGCCGCAAGCCGCAGATTGGTATTACCGTCAAGTCCTTCCTGAGGTGCTTCACCTTTTGGCAGCTCTGGGCGATCGCAAGTACGTCTTTTCCCGCTGGGTCTTGGAACGGGTAATCCTCGTAACAGAATTCTGACCCGTGATTTCTAGTCGCGTGGCCCATCGGTGGCAACTTCACGCCCGCCAGCTACTTCAACCTGTGGCTCAAGTCCCTGAAGAATCCCGACGGTACAGCCAAATAGTGAGTTCACTACCGGGATTCCGCGTCTCTGGATTTACTCTGACCGAAGGAAAAGCTCTGTAGCCATGCTCAACTACCTACCGATTGCCGGTCAAGGTGTGCAGCTTATCTCCGAACTCTTGTTCAGCGGTTTCAGCGGCTACTTTGGCGTCCACCTCCCGTTCTTGCTTATCCATTCGGTATGTTGCCAAAGTGACACAGAGAAGCGAACTCTCCGTGCTGATTACGCATAGGCTATCAACATCGCCTCGCAGATTATCCTGATCGTCCGCCCAAGCAATGAGCAAGCATACATGGCCGGCTGGTACATGAACTACATCGGAGCGTAAGTCAACACCAACACCATGCCTTGAAGATCCGCACATGTAACACATATCAGTGTCTCGACCATGCTCCTTTGTTCGTGGGGTTCGGCTCATCTCCAGCACGAGCCCGAGGTGCGCACCGTGTTGTTCGCCAGCGGCACCGTCATCGCGTACATCATGAGCGCCTTCATCCCCATCGCCGCCTTCCCCGCCTCGGAAGCACCGAACTGGAGGATCGGGTCGAAGCTGTATCTCGCGTTCGCGCTGGTGGCCGTGGTGATCTTCATCGGGATACACTTTGCGTTCAAGTGGGACGATAAGAAGAAGGCGAGAGAAGCTGCCAAGGAGAGTTCCGTTGGCGAGCCTGATGACGCAAATGCCGGAGTCAAGAGCACGGACGGCAAACATTGATGAACATCATGAACATAGTCTGCCAGACAAAGTCATTGTTTTCGCTGCGTTCGACTCAATATATCCAGAACAAGTAGAACAGAAACTCTCAAAACTTCCAGTTCCCACCAAACTCCCTCGGCCCAGGGGCTGTCGCACCCCATCTCTGCGCCGCCATACACCCACCATCAATAAGCACATCGGTCCCGTTGATATACCCGCACCGACTCACAAACTCAACACCCTCAGCCATCTCATCCGCCGTCCCGGCCCTCTTCACCGGCAACGCCTCAATCATCGCCCTGATCCCGTCCCCGGACCCCCCAGCCATCTCCTCCCTCAACATCTTCGTATCCGTCGTCCCGGGACTCACGCAGTTCACCCTCACCCCCTTCCCCGCGAACGCCTCGCTCGCAGCAGCAGCCTGCACACGGAGCACATTCGCCCTCTTCGCGACGCAATACGCGGCGCCCTCGTGCGTCAGTGCCAGCTCCCACAGCTCGTCGTTCGTGAGCAGCTTATCCAGCGGCGCGGTCGCCAGGTGCGTCTCCAGCTCCGGCGAGAGCGGCGGGCTCATGTGCTGCGCCATGCTGCCCACGCACACGAAGCTCGAGCCGCGCGGCATCTCGACCTCGTTCCCGAACGCCGCGATGGCGTTGGCCGTCCCGAGCACGTCCACCTCCATGATCTTCTTGGAGCTGCCCATCGAGGGCGAGATGGCCGAGGTGAGCACGACGGTGCCGATGGCGCCGCCGAGCGAGGCGGCCGTCTCGGCCACGGCCGCGACCGAGGCGTAGTCCGCGACGTCGACCTGCTGGGTCGTGAACTTGTGGCCCGCCTGCTTGAGGGCCTCGGAGGCGCCGGCGAGGGTTGACTGGGAGCGGGAGGCGAGGAGGATGTGGTGGCCTTTTCCGAGGCGGAGGGCTGTCGCGAGGCCGATGCCGCCGCCGCCGATGATCACGAGGACTGGGAGGGTGTCGAGGGCCATGGTGTCGCTGTTATCGTCTGCTTTCGCCGTCTGAGGCTATGTATCCCGCAGGTAAGGTAGGTCATGGCGGGCAGGGACTCGGGGAGTGAGGTGAGGCGGGCTTTAAATGTTTACTCCGTTCGTTCGGATTCGCGTCATTGAGCTCTCTCCTCGCATCGACAGTAGGGAACATGGGGCTCTGAGAAAGCTGCGACGAAGGTTTGCTGGGGAGATGGGAGATGGGATGAGTTCGATCCCGCGCGTACATAGTGACTAAACAAAGAAAACAACGGCTTAGTTTGCGACGTTCGTAAACTCTGGACAAATCGGCAAAGGGGGAATTACGCACCTCCCTCGCCAGACCCCCAGAAAGAAGGCACGGGTTTCGCATCACCGCCTCGGCCAATCCGACGGACGATGGTTTCGGCGTGCAGGGCGCTTCAGTAAGGCGCGGATGAAGCCCGAGTCTGCCAATGCCGGAGGGATGCGGCGATGCGAGCTCGCGTTCGGCAGGTCGGAGAGGTGGGGAGAAGGTTTGGATCGTGCCGTCGCTTTGGCTGAGGAGCGCCCCCGAGTCACCCGAACGCCGTCTCTTCCTGAGGGGTCTGGAAGTTTGTATCATGGTGCCACAGAGCAGGACCACATTTGGTGGCGATCATGCGATTGATGCATAACCTCTCGTTCCGATCAATTCTTACACGTGAGATGGAGGAGACGGAGAAGATCGTGCGATCAATGGACGACATGCGCGAGGTCTGAGGCATGGGAAGAGACATGTCACAAGTCAGGAGGGGAGAGGGAAAAGCTTGTAGTGTGCAGAATTCTTCTTGTTCTGATTGCGTATCTCGAGAGCCTTTTCTATCTCTAGAGCCTTTCTATCCCCAATGTCTGTCTAAGGTAGCTAACTAACCACGTTACCAAGACCATAGAGAAATATCTTCATCCATTCGTGTCGATAATCATGATGAGTGAGTCGCGAGATGTCTAACTGCCATCCTGGCACCGGTCCATCTGCTTGCCACCAGCGTCCATGATGACGTTGCCGACGCAGCCGCCATTCTTGTCGACTGGATACATGGCCTCGAGCTGCCAGAAGGCGCCCTGCATCTTCGGGTTGGTGTCGGTCTCGTTGGGGTTGAACCACCGCCAAGTGACGTTCTGGAGGTCGCCTCCCGCGCACTCCCGGATCGACTTGATGAGGCCAGTACCGTCGTGATCTCCAATCCGGTTGTCCTCGAAGCCGGAGCCGATCATGAAGAGCTTCTTGTAGCCGTCGGTCGTGTCAAAGTCTCCGAACCAGCAGAAGTTGGTGATCCAGGAGTCGTGGAGAGCGCGAACGGTGGTGTGGTCGAGGGCGACGCCGGGAAGCTTGTAGATGGGATCCTGGTACTCCATGTCGAGGGGAGCGCGGGTCTTGCAGTCCGTGTAGACGAGAAAGACAACACCGTCGGGAACCTGCCTGTTGGGGTCGTCACGGTCGGTGATCTTCCAGAGGTCGGATGCGCAGTAGGAGCCATTGTTCCAAGCGCGGTGATCACCGTTGGTGACGTTGCCGTTGGGGCCTCCCCAGGTGGAGCATCCAGTTCCGAGGACGCCATCGTCTCCAACCCAATGGGTCAAGCCGGGGCGAGACTCAGACATGACACCGCTAGGTAAGAATGTTAGCCAAATGATCAGATGTGCTAGGAGGAGGAAGTGCTTACCAGACAACCTTCTTGACGGGAACGAAGGTGAAGTAGCCGCAGGGAAGCTCTTCAGTCATGTCGATATCGTAGGCATGATTGGTGGCCAAGTCGTGGTTATTGTGGTAGTTACCAGAGATGCCGAGCTTGAGAGCCTTGCCAACCTTGGGGCTGAGGTTGATAGACCAGCCGACGGAGGTCTTGTCGCTGACAGCAAGCTTGCACTTGACGGGGTAGTGGCAGTCAGAGTTGGGGAAAGGCGCTTCCTGAGCCCACTCGAAGTGAGTCTGCATCTGGCAGAAAGAGGCGCACTCGAGGCCACCATCGACAGAGTTCCACTTCTCGCAGGTGCCGAAGGCGCTTGCAGCAGAGCGAATGCCGTCAGTGTGGAACTTGGCAGGGCAACGATCCTCGTAGTAAGTCTCGTAGAGAGTGGCACCCCAGCGGCGCTCCTCACAGGGGTTGATGTCATCGCCATTCTTGAAAGCGTCGAGGGCAGAAGCACCACCAGCGAGGAAGGCAGGGCGCTGCTCGGGACGGATGGCCCAGAGAGGAGGACTCTTCCAGTTGATCTCACTCTCCTTCGGGAGCTTGAAGGCGGACTCGGTGTGGTTGGTGAGGTTGAGGTTGATGCCAGCAAACTCGGGGCGGGTGATGGGGTTGGAGGGGTCAATGTCCATCGTCCAGTTGCGGTCGAAGCCACTGATCTCAAAGCCAGCGGCAAGACCAACGAGGAAGGTGGTGACGAGCAGGAGAATGCTCATTGTGACTCCCTTGCCCTTGGGCGAGGAGCCAGCGAGGGCGATGGCGACCATTTTTGGTAAAGGTCAGGGGTGAAGTGAGTAGTTGGGGTCGCAAGACGCGTGAGTAGTTGTGAATGGGGTTGACAAGGTAAGGATTTGGATGGATGGATACAGGTTGAGGTGCCTGGATCCTGAAAGATTTGTGAAGATGGAAGAAGTTTGTGAATGGTTGTGAGTGGGAGAGGTTTGTGTGGGAGGATGGGAGAGAGAGAAGGGGTTTTGTTGTGGGTGGGCGATAAAAAGAAGCGAGGTGGGTGGCTAGCCTTGGGCGGTCGACTTCAAAAGGAAGGAACGACGACCTCAAGGAAGACTTTTTCAGACTAATGGTATTTACTCCTTGAGAATAAAAAATAATTCGTCTCTTCTGGTGAATGTGAGGTGGTGGTGGTGGGTGTTAAGCGAGGACTCAACAACAAAGGTGAGGGAGGAGTTTTTTTATCCTGAGCCTTTTCTCGCTAAAAGTGAGAGTTGCAAAGGAAGAGGAAAGAGCGAGATTTATTAGGTGGGTGACTGCCCTTACTCTTCAAGTCAGCTTGAAAAGTCTTCTGATTCTACAACGTTGAGAAGTGAGGTAAACATGGCGATGACCTCTCTAGGTCTACTGCCAGGAAACTGACTGGCTAGGTTTTTGTAGTATCTTCTGTAGTTTCAAGTCCACTGACCATCAGGACAGCTGAGGTGTCACACTGATATTGATGGGCTTCTTGACTCCAGAAGCATTGAGGTATGATGTTGCTTTTATGTTGTGTCGACCTGGAATTTGACTTCAAGGCAAGCTGCTCTTCTCTTTAGCAAGGCATACCGAAGCACAACAGTTCGCCTCCCCTTCTCACATTAAGAAAAAGCCAATATTATGGTTGTTTGGTGTCAAGTACTTGTATTTGTGTTGTATATAAGTGTAGGTACCCAACAAAGACCTCATGTTGCAGGCTATGGGCCTGTTCTCCCCCATCTAATGTACACCTGCAACGTTCCATCTACCAAACGAGGCCATGACCTCCAATAATACTGATATGTACCTACTAGTCCATTATTCTTACAGTCGTGAAAAGCACTAGGGCAGACAAGTAAGAGTCGGACCCATCATGGTGCTGTCGGCGTCGAATCCATTCAAAATCATGCTACTCATATGCTTATAAGAATCGACCACCACCCCCACCGGGCTGTGACCGGTGAGGTGGAGGTGTCGGCGCTTCCGACTCGTAATCTGCCTCCCTTGGATCACTGCCTCTCCTTGGCGGCGTCGTGATACCCCGGCCATACCTGGACGCCTGCGGTGGGCTGGAGTCGATGGCCCGCACCTTGTCCTCGTCTATGTAGGCATCGTCCTCGTCGTCATCGTCATAGCGCTGAAGAACAGGCATCGAGTGAGAATCCCCCTTCACAAGGCCAAGTCGCTCCTCTTCAGTGGCATTCTTAACCTGCGGGCTGGAGTACCCTCGCGACCCCAGACCGTACCGACTGTGCGGACGAAGATGAGGGTCATCTTCGTGGTGCGCTGGCGACGCCGCGTCGTTATGATGCCTCTTGAAAACGTTGGTAAATGAGAACTGTCTCTTCGCAGAGTGCGGCGGCGGGGTTGGCGCCAGGTGAGTGCTAGTGCCGCTGAAGCCGCTTCCTTGCGATACTGCCCGTTGATCGTAGACACCTGCGGCGCCGGAGTATTCCATATCACCATGCTGAGCCACTGGAAGTCCGTAAACATGCTCCCTGCTCCTGCCGTAGTACGGCGACTGGTCGTCGTCCGACTTGAGCGTGGCGACTGCAATCTCCGTCAGAGGAACAGGATGCATCGGGCTTTGCACTTTCGGATCTTGGGAAATGTGTGGCTGGTTTGTTGACAGAACACTCCTCGCTCGCTCTCGGATTGTACCAGCAATACTCGAAAGCATGCCCGGAGACGTGGGTCGATCCCGTTCAGACAACTCTTCTTCGGTTGGGAAATGGGACATGCCGAGAGGTGGATGAGCCTGCGGAGAGCTTGGAACGATCGTGGGCGTGCGGGGGATGCCGGAAGGTACGCCGGACGGAACGCCGGAATGGGGAATCGGGTACGGCGAAATGATAGTTCCTCGGGTGCTTCGGCTGCCCACGGTCATGGTTCGACGTCTTCTGATGCCGTCCCACTCGTACATCGGCTGGCCATCCTCGCTGACAGGCTCCAAAGACTCGCGCATCTTCTCTTCGTGCAATCGCTTGAACTCATCCTCTTCCATCTTCTGTCTGGCGGAGGACAAGCGACGCACAATGGCAGCGGCTCCGCGGATGGCGTCGGCTTTGGGTTCGGTCTCGGGCTGCTCCTGCTCAGCGATTGTGTGAATCTGGTTGAGGTCACCGGTGAAAACTGCCGTGTCGGGAACATCTTTGGCCGATTTCGATAGTTGAAGAAGCACGACACCAGAGCAGATGGTCAAAAAGCCGTTGACAACTGTGACGATGGCCGTGGGTGTTCCCTTGAAGCCCCTGAAAAGCACAGCGGAGGTGATGATTGTGGTACTGGTGAAATAAACGTAGTAGGTCGGAGTGACGAGAGCTGCGTTGAAAAGATTAAGTGCTTTCTGTTTTCATGTCAGTGTCCTGGACTCAGCTTGGCGAGGGGCTCACTCACGTTGAGATAGATAATCTCAGTCAAAAGCGTCGCAATGACAAAAACAAGCAGGACGTAGAGAAACCACTGGTTGAACTGGGACTGACCGCCAGCCTGAGCTACGATGGCGGCTCCCAGGCCCTGAGTTGCGACGACACTCAAGCCTCCGATCCAACTGCAGATGGAGATGTAGACCAACATGTTCTTCTTGCCCCACCTCGGGCCAGCGTATAGAGCTGTTGCGATGGAGCCAACGATGATGACTCCGGCGTAGGACAAGAATGCGGGGTGAATAACGTAGCTTTGCATCTGCTGGATATTGGCGACGGCCGAGTTCTCGGGCGCGTTCATGACAATGACGACGGATCCGACAATGCAGAGGAAGCAAGCCACTTTTCCAACCATGCTCAAGCGTTCCTTTAAGAAGATGGCCGAGAGGATAGCAGTCAGGACGACGGACAAGGCGCCCAGCGGGGTGACGAGAATGGCATCGGTGAAGGCGTATGCGACAAAGTTGCAGATTTCTCCCACAATCATGAGAATCATACCAGTCCACCACCAGGCATTCTTCAGATAGCCATAACCCTCACCGGGAGCTTCGTTGTACTTTTCGTTGGCCTTTAGCAGACCGACCTTCTTGATGACGAAGGAGCAGCCGATGAATGCGCCGGAAGCGACAGCCAAGGAAATACCAATGGCTTTGTAGGCGGGCGGGCGCGTAGCAGCATCTGCCGAAGAACCTCCCATTCGGGCGTATATTTCGTGTGCTGCTGTGAGCAGCTCTCCTGATTGTTCCATGGTGGCGGATGCGACACCGGCGGCGTGGTCGCCGGGGTGATATATTTGGAGGGGCTGTCGTCACTCGATGTTCGTGGTCATTCGCTGAATTTCGTTACAATGCGCGGGGATCGAACGTGGACTTTTCGAGGAGAAGAAGACTCAATGCGCTGGGCATAGACAAGTCGCAGTCGAGGGGATAACCTGGCTTGTATGGGCAAAAAGTCGACCAGGCTCGTGGGCGGATGCGATTGTCAACAATCTTGGCAAAGCTTCGACGGGACAACGGCGGCGGGAAGGGTGTGGGTTTGGCAGTCAAGCCGATAGGATGCGGAGGTGCGCAGGCGCAGGGGGCTGTATAAGGAGAAATAGCCTTATGATGGCAACAGAAGTTCGAGGACGAGACGGTCGGCGGTGGGATGCCTTTTTTTCTCGGAGTGGTGTGGGAATTGGTGAGATCGGGGGCTCGAAGGAGGCTGTGTCGAGGCCCGTCGAGTGGAAAACGAGTCGCTCGCTTGGTGAGAGGTAGGGTTCAGGTCCAGTAGGTCGTGTTCACTGCAGCAGCTAGTCTTCGCCACAAGAGCTTGCGTCAGCTTGCTTGCATACAGAGCTGAGGGATCGTGACAAGTCGTGAGTTCGTTAGGTCAATATCGAGGAGGAGAAAGGGCCGTATTCGTAGTATAGGACATGTGCAGGAGGAAAAAGGCACATGCAGACCTGCAGAAAGAAGACGTTCCCGAGCTGACGCAACGTAACGGCGGGAGCTTGGCTGATAGCTGATAGGAGAGCAGAGAAAAAAAAAAGGTGTCAGACGGGCAGGCAAGACATGAAATTGCAGAAACAGAGGCTGGGGACTGTTCTTCATTTGGGAATGGGAAAGCGCAGAAGACACCGAGAGAGACTGAGACTGGGCTGGCAGCTGGGCTGGGATTCAGGATGGAAAAGTCCTGGAAGACTGAACACGACCGGACAGGGTGGGTGCTGGTCTAGAATCCCGGGGTTTAGACGACGATGATTGGACGAATGGCTGGATGAGGGTGGGTATTGGTGGGGGCGGGTTTGGTCGTGGTTAGCGCCTTCCCGCAGCGCGGGACGCACCCTGTTCTTGGAAAGAGCGACCCAGGCACAGGGCACAGGGGCTTCAGTGTTTCCTGCCACCTCTTGCTCTTGCTCTTGCTGTTCAATTTAATTGTTCATTTTCTTCAGTCTTCGCTCTTGGAAACCGCAGAAAATAGGTATCCGTACGATCCAAATGGTTCAAAATAAGGTAACTGCAACGTAGCTAGCTATGAGGTCACAGCGCAAGATGCACCGACCATCGGCTGAAACTTTCAACTGTTGGTTGGCTGACAGATGCCCGTGATGGCCTTGCCTTATTTGTTCCTCGAGGAGCAAAAAATGACGATTGTTCGACACCGCCGTCGCATAGGTAGGCATAGACGACGGGCAACTCTTTCCATGCGCATAAGGTCTTTCCCTCTTGGGTCGGTCCATCCCACCAGTTTCCGCCCTGGAAATGCGAACACGCAGCTTGTGCCGCACCAACACCGCCATCCCCGGCAAGCTTCATCCTAGCACCGGTCGAACAGGAGTCTTGGTTTGGTTTGCTCTCTTCTAACATTGTCGTACTCGTGCTAGAACTGATACTAACTACCGCCGCAGTCCAATCCCTCCCTTCCGCCAGTCGTTTGTTTCGCAATCTTCTCGAAAACCATCGACTCGAGAAAACGACAGCCCCTCGACGACCTCGACCCGTTCCTCCTTGCGACGTCCGTTTTGCGCAAGCCACCGACGCCATTGGCTCCTGTCTCGACATGCTCTGAACTTTGACACGATGCGACACACGTCAATCAATTACGCTTGTGTGGGTGCATCGTAGCTGTTTGCAGCACCTTGTCCGTCATTCAGTTGGTTCCCGGCTCAGCTGAGCACCGCAAAAAAGATGAGAAGAGCGCTTGACGGCGTCACATCAATCATCCCGGCCGGTGATGTCAAGGCCAGCCAGGAATGTGGCCCTCTGCAACGGGTGATAGGCCCGTGTCACTTCAACGTGCGACAACCGTGGCTAATCTAGACCCTTGCAGCCACCGCGTCCAGGTCTCTCTCGCCGTGGCAACGGAAACAAGCTCTGGGGCCAAGGTCAACAATCAAATCTGCGCATTGCCTACACACGACTCGACCGTGAGACCACGTTGCTGTCGTCTTGTCCTTTGGAACATGGCCGATGGCAAAGAATGGCGAAGACTCGGAGATGTTCGTCAAAACCACAGCTCGTCCCATGCTCCTAGGATACTCACAGCTGCCAGGATAACGCAGCTTTGGCAGTTTGGCTGAATTGCCTCAGCTGCCCAATCGACCCCACCACAAAACCCGACACCAACAGTCCCGTATCGCAAGAGATAGCCCCCTTGCACTCCGCCAAAAACAGCGAGGATTCTCTCTTCGCCCCTCCTCCCCTCACGCTGACATCCCTCGCCAGCTGCCACTCATTGGCCGCCGGCTGCGCCCTCCAGTAGGCAGCCATCCACCACCGAGTCAACTCAAACTGCACGCGCCATGCGTTGGCCACGACCGACTCAAGGGACCCTTTCACCCGCACCGACTGTATCACATTTCTCGGCCTGCATCTGCCTTGTCCTGCACGCCAGACGGATCTCCTACCGGTGCTTCCCCATTCACTTCAGATCCCTGGGATCCGACGACAATCGTAGACAGGATGCGCCTGCCGCCACGCTGGTTTCGCGAGCGGACACTGTCACGGACATCTACCAAATCAAATGTCAACCTCCCTCCATTTCGACTGTACTGGACTTGTTTGGTATGAAGGCCTCTCCCTTAGTGGCCTTCGACGATACGACAGTGTACAGACATGCCACTAATCTCCAGCCCGAATGTGCGAAAACCATCCAGCCCGTGGATGAAAATAGACCACGCTGCTGCCCACGATAAGCCACTCAGCACGGTCAACGCGGCGAGGTTGGCTGAAAGCCTCAACGCTGGTCTAACACCCAGTGATGAAGCTTGTTGGCACGGCCGTGGCGCCGCTAGTTGCGCCTCTACAGCCTCCACCAATGCAATGCTACCAGCGACGGGGAGCTTACCTTACCGTGCAGAAAAGAAGGATTGCGGGTTTCTGCAGCCATCTCCGGAACACGAATGCTCGGCTCCTTATCGATGGTACCCTTGCTGAGCCGCATCTCAGCATTGAGCTCGGTCCAGCGTGCTGGAACTCCTAGGCCTCCTCAGAAAGGCCAAGAAGTCGGGACCGGTCCAACGCGGTAGAAAAAAGCCTGATGAAGGTCCGCCAAATGACCGTCTCTTCTCCTATCGATAACCATAATCTCCCATCAGCAAGAGTTTGATGGTCAGCGCATTTTGTTTCGACCACGGGACGGATCTACAAGAAACGAGACAACCTTCCGTGAGGCTCGTGCGGGGCCCGGGACCGGCCCTTCACGGGTGTTGCCCGCCGCGGGGTCTTGTATCCGCTCCCGATTTCTCGGCATTTTGCCCGACCTCAACAGTATCAAGAACGTGACTCGCCCAGTGCCAGTAAGAGTTTCACGGATGGAAAACTCTGCAGACTTTTCATCAGACGAACTTCATCGACTACCTATGGTTTCAACGACACAAGATCTTTCCAACTGCTTAATCATCCTCCATTTGCTGTTCCAGGACACCACCCGCAAAGCCAAGCGATCAAACGGAGATTTCCAAGACCTTGGCGTCGTTTGGATGATTGGCAGCTAAGCATTAGTTGTAACTAAACGACGAAAACTTCAGATTGAAGATCAGCATTACTGCCTGAGAGGACTAATACCGGCTTATTAGCTCAGTACATGTGCGGGAACCTCGAGTCTTCCGTCACCGCTAACGAGGCCTTACATTGAAGTTCATCGTACATGTTGTAGTGCCGTAAAATCCAGATAAATTACGGCGCCTACCAAGATCCTTCGGAATATTGGGCACCACTTGGCGTGGTGTGGATGTTGTCCCCAGCCTTTCCGACAAGCGGTTAACATTTGTGGATTGAGGTGCGCGTCCTGGTAAACAGAAACTAACCCATCAGTTCCTATTCGTCGTCAACATGAGCTCACTCCAACCTCTCTCGGATCAAACTCAAAAATCTGGACGTTGCAGAATTCCAATCGGAAAACCACGCTGCCGACAGAACCACAGCAACCGGCACGTCCGGAAAGTCGATCAGCACGACCCACCGCCCAGCTCATCGTGTGCTGCAGCATCGAGGGAAAGCCAAGGCTGGTAAAACAATGCATTCAGCCTCACTTTATAGAACTTAGCAGAGCGTGCCGCACATTCTCCAGCTCAAGTCAATTTGGAGGTCGTTTCGCTTGCGCCGGTCAATTCCTCCCGGGCCTTGGTAAAGAAATCATCCCGCCGGTATCGCCAAGGCTGAAGTCTCCCCTCTCAAACAACGGTGCCTATCATCGTAGTGCATCTGCATCGCCATTGCTAGATAATCGTACCATATAAGTGAAGGAAAATGGGTTGCGGGCCATGTGCTTGTTAAACCTTTGAGTTGCGTATCACAAGACGCTCGGAACCAAGCAAGATAAGCAAACCGTACTCAGACATCTACGGCGTAGCTCCTTGGCTAGAACGTTCCTTTTCTGGGGTCATCTGAGAGATGAAGCCAAAGTTGAGACGTTGTGTCTTGGAGTTCATATCGTGTCACTCACAGGAATGTCTGGTCTTAGACAATACATCTCGGTCTATTCCGAGGATCGCTATTGATTAAGTACTTATATCACGGGGCCGAGTCGTCTGAAGACACTGTCAATCGACGATCGTGAATCTAGGTTCTCATCACAGGCACCTCATGCTCGACATTTCATATGGAAGGAGACATCTCACTGCGAACGAGAGTTGTAAGTAAACATGGGAGCTGCTTCACTGGGTTGGGTTGGTCAACAGAACGAAGTCAGATAACAGTGACGTCTTCGCATATTTTCCATCAGGGACGACGTCCCGAAAAACATTAATATAATTACAAGTCTAGTAAGGCCACTCAAACGAAGTGGAAATGTTCACAGTGAAGTTCTCACCGCTGGACAACGACTTCACCCGTCCGAGGAGGTGTTCGGCGTGTCTCAGCGCGGTGCCGGGGCTGTACTGCGGGACCATGTGTCCGCTCAGCTTGGCCGTGGAATGAGTAAACCCGCGCTCGGTGTGGAACGTCCCCTGTACGTTACCACCCGCCCAGCTAATGGTGTTATCGTCGTTGTTGTTGATAGTCGGAAGCACCAGCTCCTCCGAGGGCGCCGTCTCAAAGCCCTGCTTCCCGTTCCACCGGATGCGCTGGATCCCGAGCGCGGTCACGTTGGGCTGGATCACGTAGTCCGCGAGGCCGGAGCCGATGTGGACGTTGTTGGTGCGCTCGACGAGCGTCTGGAACTTGATCTCGTGGTCGGTGCCGTTGTAGTTGTCGTTGCCGTCCACGAAGACGGGGTCCTGGCACTCGCTCCAAGACGGGTAGTCGACGGGGACGTGGATGGCCTTGCGGACCTCGGGGATGTTGAAGTAGAGCGTCGCGTTGGGGGGCGAGTACATGACCGAGGGGAAGCCGAGCACGTCCCAGAGGACGGGGCACTGGTCGAGGATGTGGTAGCCGTTGAAGCACGGGTTGATGACGTTGATGAAGTTGTCGAAGTGGTTGACGACGTCGTAGTCGGGGTCCCACTGGACGTTCGGCCACGGCGCCGCCGGGGGCGGGTAGGACAGGTACTTGTCCAGGTACGCGTCCAGGCCGAGCTTCTTGTTGTCCTGTTCGATCTGCTCCTTCATGCTGTTGGAGAAGCCGAGGACGTTCTCCCAGTAGCGGTGGAACGCGGGGAGGGCGGCGTGGTCGAGGCCGAGGTCGTCCGAGTAGGGCATGACGGGGTCGTAGTAGAGGGCACCCTTGACGTTGTAGTACGAGGTGTCGTTCTTGTCCAGCATGGCGGCGCCAACGTAGGGGACGTAGATTCCGGCGTAGCTCTCTCCGGCGATGTATAGCTTCTTGCCCTGGAGGCCAAAGGTGGACACGAGGTTCTTCCAGAAGGAGACGAACTGGTCTGCCGTTTCGGCGTTGTTGGTGGCGGTCACGTTGCCGCTGCTGAAGCCGGCGCCGATGGGGTACTCGACCCTCCGGGGATGTTAGTCAAAGCACTCGCACGTAGAGGACTCTGTGTCATTTCTTACCAGATCACGTTGGCCAGCTTATGCCAGGACCAAGCGTTCGGGATAGGCTTGTAGGTTCCGTATTGCCAGAGGAAAGGGCCGTTCTCCTGCAGGAAGCCTGCGTGTTGTTAGAAAAGACCTTTTCGGGGTACCTACTTAGACGAGCTTACCCTCTAAAGACGAGCAACCGGGGCCGCCGTTGAACCAAATGATGACATCGTCTTTGCCAGCGGGGTTCTCGGTCGGGAAGAACCAGAAGAAGTTCTTCTGCTGTTCGCCCTCGGGCTTCGAGGCGTCGACGGGGATGAGACCAGCATAACTCTCCCCAACGTTGAAGTCCACCTCGGGAATCTTGGTTCCATCCACGTAGAAAGCTGTGGTTCGAGAACAGTGTGAGCATGGAGAGCCTCCACGGTGATGAAGAGAGGTCACCTACAGCTGGTCTTGTTGGTGTAGTACTGCAGTTCACTACGACGCAACGCTCCGCGCGGTGCCTTCACGTCATGGCTTGCCGCGACCTGGCGATTGGCGAGACGGGCTCGGTGCGCATGAGGCGAGACCCAGGCCGAGACGAACGGAAGGCCGAGGGCCGCGAGGACGCCGGCGGCGATGCTTGACGAGCGCATGCTGGAAGATCAGAGACGTCGGAACCGCAACACGGGAACTGGAGCCTCAAGGAAACGAGAAAGCTGCCAAGAGAGAGCCAAGATAAAGCCAAGATTCGCGTTGCACACATTGGACGACCAACTATATACGGAAAGCATCCGCATCACGCCGGACCTACTGCCGAGCGCCCTCCCTCCTACTCCTCCCGTGCAGGAAAATGACGCGATGGGAGAATTGAAAGAGTGGACAGACCTAACCTAAGAAGGCATGTCATGTTCGCGCTGTACCCATTCACTCTCGAGGAGCAAATGATGAATTCGTATCGACAATTTATGAGCGCCGCGTCAAAGGCAGACGCATGGCGATTAGCTACGAAATAGGCAGGTCGGAAGCTGAATTGCGGCTTGCTACTGGACAATTAGCTGATAAGCATGCCGAAGTGCCGAGATGAACAGCGAGGGAAGTGGAGTTGGTTCAGGGATGGGGGTGCTTCTGAAAGCTTGTTTTTCCACCCCGCATGACGGGATGCCTTCGGCGATGCCGGTAGTGGAACGCCGGGCAGATCCTCCCGATGGCCGATAGGCCGGCCGCGTTGGATTGTAAGTACGAGGTGGTGCGGTCCGCGACGGCCGGCGACTATACGATGCCGTGTCCGTTGGTACGGGGCCGAAGCTTGCGGACAGTGCTCCACATGTCGGCTTCCTGGGCCGGGTAATGACTTGCCCGGAACGTGCTGAGTTCCGGAGTGTCCATGCCGTGCCCGGATTTTCTTTTATCAAAAGACTGGCAATCTTACTAGTCACTTGATTTAGCCGTAGACCTTGCCTCGGGGGTATCGTGAACTGTTCGGGTACGTGACACATCTTGATGGAATGGTCTGATTGATTCTCAGTGAGAATGAATACACGCAAGAGAACCTAACCGCAGTGTAAATAGAAGACTCATAGAAGTTTGGCTGAGAAGGAATCTTCGTTCTGAAAGATGGCCCAGTCCAGAAGCGGCTAATCGTGCTGATCACACGCTGTCTGCCGCGTAGACATTTCCCAGTAAGGCGCATGATTTCTGGGGCAAGCATGCCAAGAACCCCCTTTTAGCCGTCCGAACCGACATCAACACCTCCTGTGAAGTTACCGCTACGTTTCCATGGCCTCAAATATTTAGTTAAAGTATCTTTGGGTGATATATGGGATAGAATTGGTCATTACTAGAATCTTTCCCTTCTGTTGGACGAGTGCCAACATGCAGTACTCTACTGTTTCGTCAATAATGCCAAAGATAACGAGAGCCATAGATCTGACGAGTCGTGGAATGACTTATAAGCTGATTGCAAAGTCCCTTTGCGTTCATTCATGGACCATCCACTATTTAATGCTATCATTCCGCCCAATCCATATGCATGCACTGCGCGCGCGATCCGCGGAGTACAATCCGGAAAGGCTCACACCTCATCTGCACTCCTTAACTCATTCTTTTCTTGTCGGGCTGGCCGATAAAAGCCCACTGATCCCAGGAGTATGATTTAACATGACAAGTCACTTGAAAAGCTCGCTCTTCTCTCATCTACAATCGATCTGGTTAAGTCGTCAATAAGTTTGCCTAATCAACAGGACTCAGCATTACTGGAACCGGGCTACCACTACGTATTTCAATTATGAAGCCCACTTGAAGCAGTTGAGAGAGTCTTGAAGGTTGACGCGTCCACGGCAGAAGGACCATGGCGAGGCCGAAAGATCACGGTACTCGGGCATTACCGCCGTGCCGAATCACACAGAACGATTCACGGACTTCTTTAAAGCCCTGTAAATCAAGTGAAAAAAAGGTCCCGTACCGCCACAAGGGGCCGTTGTAATGGAGCATCCCACCGGCGATGTTAGCCGTGACGGCCGAAACGGGAAGGAATTGCACGTCGCCGTATATCGCTGTTAAGGGGCGGTGCACCCGCCAAGTATCCTAACACCGCACAATTCCAGGGGCTCAGAGGTCGAATAGCCATCCCATGAGAGCCTCAACTCCACAGAAACGCCCACATTCCGAGTCTGTACTCGTGGCGACGTGGGTAAACGTCAGCCTTACTCTAGTATCTTCCAATCATGTTCTTCGCGACGTAAGCCATTCCGGAGCTTTTGATTAGTTAGGGGCGTAAAGAACGAAAGTTGATGCAAAATATGGCCCAAAAATAACGAAGGATAGGAGTTCCGTGGGATATAAGACGTGATGGTCTCCCTTCGTCCATGAGATCTGCACTCTAGAAGCCAACCACAGTCACTCTCTTCTCCAACTTCGTTCTCTCTCAAATTTCTCAAAGATGCAGATCACCAACATTCTCCTCCACGCCTTGGCGCTGGCCCCTGTTTTCGCTCACCCAGAGCGACTTACAGCCGAGAAGGCCAAGGCCGAGGCGCATGTGGTCGGCCGAAGCACCAACAAGTGCGCCGCTGCTATTGAAAAGCGCAAGGCAGAGATCTTTGCGAACCGCGCCAGCCGTCTGCGTGCTCGTCGGGCCGAGGCCGGATATGCTGATGCTCGGGACCTCATGCAACGCGATTCTCTGCACTACACCACCATCCAGAACGACACTTGCGTCCTGGCTCCTGACACTGTCTGGGGTCCCTATGGGTAAGTTATATGTAAGACTTCCTGGTAAACATGCACTGATGTTCTATAGCGTTGACGGCGAGATGGTCCGTCATGACCTCCGTGAGTCGCAAGGAGGCTTGGACTTCTACCTTGATATCGGTGTGATCGACATCGAGACCTGCGAGCCGCTCAAGGGAACCGCTCTCACTATTTGGAACTGCAACGCCACGGGATCCTACTCATCATTCACTGGCATCGACCCTGACACCGCGGAACTCTTCGATGACTGGACGAAGAGAGATGATGGGACAACCGACGATGAAACCTTCCTGCGCGGAATCCAAGTCACTGATGACAATGGTATCGTCGAATACCTGACCAAGTTCCCGGGTTACTACGTCACGCGCACCACGCACATTCACGTCACTGCTCAGACGAACATCACCAACGGCACCTCATACTCCGCCAGCAAGGTCCAGCACATCGGACAATTGTTCTTTGAGGAGGATCTGCTGAGCCAGGTTTACGCTCTGGAGCCGTACAGCGCACACTTGACGACGCTGAACCGCACCACCAACGCCGAGGATTCGCTCTTCTCCGACGCCAGCTCTGATGGCTACAGTGCCGTCATCAGCGTCACTCAGTTGACCGACAACATCGAGGATGGTCTCGTTGGCTACGTAAGTAGTGCTCATCTTGCCATTAAAGACACAAACTAACCATGGTTCTCAGATCACTCTCGGAGTGAACTCTTCGGCGGAGGGTCTTGCCATCACTGGCGGCGGCGTCAACCCCCAAGGATACTTGCCCACTGTCAGCGTGGATGCAAGCAAGTATGCTCAGGCGACCGCGGTCGACAGGGCCGACGGATACCAGTCATAAAAGACAATCTTTAACGGGCTTGGCCATCTTTATGCTTAGAGGCTCGGCATTGGGAGGCGTTTTGGGTGACTGCATAGACGGGAAAGGGATATCACAATCATGGCGCAAAATTAGAAGCTCACATCATTCAGCATCAACAGACGTATACCAAAGTGATACAATAAGAATTCAGCATCCGAAGGAATGATAGTGACACGATGTGAGGATGATGATTTGGCAAGCGGTGCTCGTCAGCCATCTTTGTCTCTTCATACATCATGCACGTGCGGAGTTCGATGGGCGGCCGACAGCGGAGTTGGTGCGGCGATTTCACGTCTTACATGCCCACAGCGGATGTCTAGCGGGAGAAGTCAAAGCAAACACGCCAATCATACACCACACAAGTAATGGAATGCGGAAACCCTAGATTTATTCAGCGGGCTTTTGATCCTACATCGGTTTGTAAGCTGGTGAGAAGTTGAACCGGCTCGGTCGCTGGTGGCAGCTATCCGCATCTGATGACAATACCGTATAGCCAGATCGGAATGAATTCGTAAACAATGCTACACGCACACAGCTTGGGCCCAGACTCAATGACCAAGCAGATGCTATCTGCAAATTGACATATCACGAACGAGACCGGCTTGGCAATTGACGCTATTGAGTTGCGCCCCGGGAATGATTTAAGTACGAGAATCAACCCAATATTCAAGAATGCTCAATATGTACTACAGCACTCATCTTCAGAAAAAACCCTCTAGTATTTATAAACTGCTTGTTTTAGCCTTTTACCTTGAGAGGGCATTCAACATGAGTCTTCCCAGCCTCACACAGTACCACAAGAAGCCTTATCCAGCCATCTCACCGTCCCGTCCCGAGTTGAACCAGTCGGGAAAGACCGTCTTGATCACCGGTGGAAGCAGTGGTATCGGCTTTGCCATCGCCCGCAACTTCGTCGCGGCAGACGCAGAGCGCGTCATTATACTTGGGCGCCGCGAAGAGACTGTCAAAACTGTCGTTACCAATCTCTCGACAGAAGCCACTCAGTCGAAAAAGTCCACCAAGATAGATGGACGAGTTGGTGATGCCTTCGATGTTTTGTACATCGAAAAGCTTTGGAAGGACCTGCAGTCCAACAGCATCTTTGTAGATGTATTGGTGCTCAATGCTGCGGGGTTTGGGGCCAAAGAGACAATTCTACAGGGCGGCATCTCCAAGGTTTGGGCCGACTTTGAGGCGAACGTGAGAAGCCCGCTAGCCATGACGGATTATTTCTACAAACAATCGATACAAGGGGCTGTCAGACAGAAAGTAAGCTAAAGGCCTCTCCGTGGCTTGTGTTCATGCTTCAGAATTTCGCTGAGATGAACATAGTTCCTCGTCAACATCTCAACCGTTGCTGCTTACATGTGGACTACAATGGGTCCCGATCGGCCAACGTACGGACTCACGAAGAATTCCGGCACTCTTTTGCTACAACAAATCGCCAAAGACACCAAACCGACGGACATGCAGATCGTTAGTATACATCCAGGGGGTGTACTTACGGATTCTGCCCGGTCCGCAGGGTTCAACGAGGACATGGGCATCAAGTTCGATGACGGTAGGCGGGAATAATCCATAGGTTCCGAGAAAGAATGCTAACAAACGATGGCAACTCAGAAAACCTGCCCAGTCAGTTCTCGCTTTGGGCTGCCAGTCCCGAAGCTAGATTTCTTCATGGCCGCTTTGTGTGGGCCAACTGGGATGTCGAGGAACTTATGGCCGGTCTCGTGAGAAAACAGATCGAGGATGATGAACACTTTTTGAAGGTGGGCATCGAAGGTCTTTCGGAGAAAACGGGTGGAATGATTTTATGAATTCACTTTTGTATCCAGAGGGAGAGCTGCTGATTGCAATCCTCACGTCGTTAGATGCGATGTCACAAAAGCTGAGCGAGGCTGAATTTGTGTGCTGATCCCATACCGAAAGCAATAGAAGATATATTTAAGATGGTAAATGAGAAACCCTAGTTACATATGATTTATAGTTAATGAAAACGCGAGAATGCGCTATAGAAGGAGATACATCAAGAAGCTGAATCCAGTAACGTGCGTCAATTTGGCACATTCGAACATGGATTGTTTTTTTCGGCGTTACATCACGTACACAACCTACTTCTATCCGTGTTGGCCAGGTCATCCATTTGGTGTTCTTGGTCTGCATTGGAGAACTCCTAACATTGAGTTGATGCTCATGTTCCCACCCCGCGTGACCAAAGTTCCAAATCTGGCAGCTCACAGAGTGCTTGTGCTTGTAGGAACTGCCCGTAAATTTTCAAAACAGATTCTGAAATCATGAGATCCCTGACACTCTGTTAAGCTTCTTTCCTAAACTGCTGTCCATCGTGTTGGTGCCTTTCCCGAATTAGGCTATGGGGCGAGCTTGCCTCCCCGGCCTGCCGCTGTGAGCTGCATGTCGCCACAAAAAGGGGCTTCCTTTCGACCTTGCAATATAAAGATCGAGGACTGGTAGAATCGCAAGATTCCGCTGAGACGAGCTGTGCAAAGCCATATTCTACAGGCGATGGGGTCTGATCGGGCTCATGTGTTGTTCTCGTCGTGTCAGTCTCACAATACCCCGTGCTTGTTGAACCCCGCAACATTTGGGACGTTGGTTTCAACCAGCTCTCGGTGGAACTCGTTCGATAGAATTGACCAGAGTCTAGCTCTGCAACCGCCGTGGGATATTCTTGGACATCTCGGCGCGCGTGTTCTTCGTTGTGTTGTCTTTGAGCTGCCGCCCCACGAGTGTGCACTGCAAAATGCACACGGCGTGTTCTGGCAGAAATTGGGGATTGAGGATTCTGTGAGAGCTCCGGAAGGGGGCTTGTGTTAGGAAGCTCTCGAATATGGTCTTCATGAAGCTCCGAGTAGCCGAATGAATCTGCCGAGTAAGGGGCCATTCCCACATGAGGTACCCTTTCAGTCGTCGAACTGTCCACCATATCTGACTGCATTTGAGTAGGCTCGTCAAATGTTTGATCGTCATCGCGGGAGCTGCCCAGAACCGTAAAATCGCCGTCTTTGCCCAGCGGGGTCTGAGGAGCGTAATAGCCATTGTATGTGCCACATTTGTCGCTGTCGTCTGCATAGGTATCGACGTTCAAATTCTGCCGCTTTGACGTGCCTTTGTGATAGAAACTACTCTTTATGGGAAAAGAAACCATCTTGGGCTTCTTTCTGAGCAGTTTATTTGACTTCTTGGGACCGAAGATCTGGTGACCAAGTCGTACGGACCATCTGGTGATCAGAGGAAACCGGCGTGATGAGGAGCTTGAAATACTATCATCATCCGAGCACTCTGCATGTTCTGTGCCGCGCAGAGTCATGGTGCTCAACAATCGAGTTAGCCTCCGACGCATGGGACTTGGCAGGTCATCCGAAGCAGGCGAGTTCAACTCGCTGCTAGAAGTGTCAAGCCTACTGGGCAGTACTGGAGGACGCAGAGAAACCTCTTTGTTTGTGTCGTTCTCGAGTCGGCGGTGTTGATCCGACTTGACTTGGAGCGTAGACAAGAGCTTGGAAGACAACTTTCGGCTTCGTAACTGTGGACGATTCTGCGGGAGTGCTGGTTGCCTGGCATCATCCACCTCATTTTGCTGTGCTTCAGCTAATGATGATGACGAAACTGTCGTGCCAGTCAAGCTGAGGTCCGGGGTCTCGGTAGGGAAAGCTGTCGAAATAAACTTCTCATGCCTTGCGAGGTATTCTCCCGCATTTCTTGGATGATCGTAACTGAAGTTCAATGGAAGCTGCCGTCGGAGAACCTCGGCACGGATGTAATCGTCAGCCATGTCGAATATCGTGGCCAGAAGACCAAGGCTTGCGTTGTAGTCCAAAATGCTGTCGCTTGTTCTTTGCTCCTTGGAAAGTTTCTTCTTCCCCTGAAGTGACTGCTGGCAAGTCTTGAGGGCTTTTTCGAACGAGTATTCCGACAAATACCCCAGCGCAAGAGCGTGAAGTAAGTTGCAGATAGCGACGTCCCTGTCCCTTTTCAAGCTTGCAAGTTCCAGAACTATGCATTCCGCCAATTTCCAATTTCCTTGGAGGAAGTAGCAGGCTGCGAGTTGAATCTTGAGATTTCGTGGTGAGATGTCACCGTCTTGCTCGGTTTTTTCTGGATCCCACTTGGATTGTTCTTTCAAGGCCTCTTGTAAGGCATCGCCGGCCTTGTCAAATTCGTGGGAATTGATGCTTTCCAGCGCCAACTTTTGCAAGCCCAACACATATTCTCTCTCAAACTCTGCTTCCTCGTCCTCTTCATCCTCCAAGTCGAGTTCTTTGTCACCAAGATCCGAATAACTTGGCTGGACCGGCGAAATAGGGGATTCGGAGATAAGACTGGACGTGTTATTTGTCTCCTTCGTGGCTTGGACATAGCCGTCGCGAACAAATCTTTCCACCATCTCTCGAGTAGCTGGAGAAAACTCTCCATCAAGGCTCATGGCCGCTGCTGAAGTTGATCGCCAGGCTGTCTCGCTAACATCCCCTCGGGAAGTGCTGGCTGTCGAGCTAGCGGCCGAGTAGAAGACTTTGGCTGCATTGGCAAGATCTTTCAGATTTCGAGCGACCCTCGCATCGGACTGGCTGCTTCCCCCATGAGAAAACCCCCCCGCAGGTCGGCAAGAGACTCGAAGAGCCTCGCTTATTGATACCTTGAGCCGCTCCAGCTCGTCAAGGATCAGCCTTTGTCCAGCGTTGTTTCTCAATGAGAGAGATCTACATGTTAGGGGTTAGAAATTCCATAACCAATCTAATATTCTTTCTTAGACTTACACGGTAATCGTATGTAAGATTGTCTGCAAAGCCCAATTGGATTTGTGAATTCTGTCACGAAATGCCACGATCTCATTGCCATGGATGCTGAGATCAATGACTACCTTCATCCTCCAACCGAATCTCGTCGACCCAGCTCCATCTTTGATCTTCTGTATCAAGCTGTTCAGGTCGCTTAGTGTCATTTGGCAGTGCAGCAAGGCAGAATCGCTTTGCCGCCACAACTCGTCGTCTACAAGCGCTAGGTCAAACGGGCGGCAATCCTTCAATGTTTTGTTGACAGATTTCAGGAACTCGGTCAAATGCATCAACTCGTAGCTCAAGCTCGTCAATCGTGAGTCAGCCGTTCTAAGAGCCTGCCCGAACTCGTAAAGGGATTTTGTGACCTGCCAAATGTTTCAGTACAAGGAAGGAAAGGAAGCTTCAGATCATGATGCGGTCATGACTTACAATGGCTGCAGCTTCGATAAGCGTAATTGCCGACGCGGTGATAGAGAGAGGATCCATGACTCCGGCAACGACTAGGACTTCGTCAAGAAGTTCTGCTGGCGGGTGACGTCCCAGTGGCAATTTTCTCCTCAATTGCCACAAATGCGATCATTTATAATAACAAGGCACCCTCTTTTCATTCTTCATAAAAAGCCCCAAGTTATCTAGTGTCGGTGAGACGCAGCCTGCAGCCTCACTTTCTACAATGTGCGAGAGCACACCGATGCTCTGCGCCCGGCTCACCCCTCCATAACACGATAATCTTCCACATAAAAAAGCCATAGCGCCCGGGGTCAGTCTAGGCTGCTCTCGGGGCAGATTTCTGGCACTTGGCCGTCAATGAACTTGCATGAGGAAGAAGAAGTCCTTTATGAAGCTAAGCCGACAAACATGCAGGTTCGGCAACGCAGAATCTGAAGTATAAGAAGGCAGCCAGCTGCCTCCTGCAGTGAGCTTAGAACAGACCAAACAGAAGTGAGAAGAGAGCCGCACAACTGCGCACAAACATGGCTTATGAGGATGCGCATGACCTAGGATTATCATAAAAGCATATACTGTCAATATGTCAGCTCTCGAATGGCAATGATTTTGCAATTGGCATTTCAATTGTGGGTGGTGATAACTGCCTCAGCCTGGAAAGCAGGCGCATTTCTAGCTAATTGCTATCAATCTTCTGCGCGACGAATGGCTGTTAGCCTGAACAAATTCCTTTGGTTTTTCTTTTTCTTTCCCCATAACCTCAGATCAACACAAAATTCACCCTGCAGACCTTGGATTGTAATCTGAACAATTATTTCTTGAAGATCCTTACTGGATTTGGAGCGGCAAAGATCATACTTAGGAGTGGGAAACCCCAATGGGCCGTTTGGGCTATCCGCTCGCACCAAAATTGGCGGGTTCAGACATCAACAATTGTTTGAGATGTGGCCATTGTTACTGACGATTTGAGGAGGATTTGATATTTGTCGTTCCGGACGAGCAGCTTCAAATCGCCAGCTTCTGGAACTGACAATCTTCCGCCATCATACCTCTCCGAATTCGCCAAAAGAGGCTCCCGCTACGCCATCGGCAATCCGTTCAAAAGGCTCATGCTCGCCTGTCTCTCTCTTGGGCAGGCATCGAACAAGACGAACTGGGGATCGCTCCTCTGTGCAAGTATCATTCTTCAGAGCTGCCTTGCACCATATGGACGGTGCCTTTGCCTGTCTTCTATAAGGCGTATCTCCGCATAATCGTACCAGAAAGTGCTAAAAGCAGGATACGATTGATAGCCGTTGCCAACCTTGCCAGCTTCATTGCCTGCAGCATGTTCGACATGACCTATGAGGGCAGTTGAGACATCTGAGGTCCTGGAAGATGACGAGATGAAAACGGCTCTGGAGACCATGTTGACCTGGCACCACAAGAAGGACGAGAAACATGTCAAATAACCACTGGGTAAGTTGGCTGCTGGAAAGTTGCGATATTATGATTTATCCTGTAAGATGGCATGGAATGAGTTTCTTCATAGAATGAATAAGATATGGCGACCAACAATACAATTTCGGTCCAGGCAAAGCTTCCTTAAGGAGCCAACATCAAGTAGAAGATGACCTAGCCGCTGAGAAGACACTGTGCTCTCCTCGCAGAAATTAGTTGGAGGAGAAGTAAGTGATCTATTAACAACTGGTCCAGCACTCCAAACAAAGTCTCTGCATGTTGATACCGGTTTTCTGAGGTTCATGTTGTTACGACTCCTTATCAACGGACGTTGGCAAAGTCCCGGCAGGGCTCACCCGCATCCCGCAACCTCGCGACATACTCCACCCACATTGCGTCTTGATAACGCCATCAGATAATGCATGCTGTGGCCGCTGCAGTAACATCATTCAGTCTTCCACTTTACATTCGAGGTTCCAAACATCCTCCTAGGACGTATGAGCCGACGCTAGGGGAAGAACGTGGGATGCGCGCTATTCCGAGTGAGGCAGAAATCGGAGTGTGTGCGACGCCGAGCAGCGCCAGTTTTGCTGTTGATCCAACAGACAGGGGCTGCGATGTGTCTTGGAAACATTTCTGGCATGATGCGCGGGGGTTTCGAGCATCTCATCCAATGGCCATTTTCCAATTTTCCCTGTCGTGAATGATAAGCCATTCCTAGCTTGAGGAGGACTCTGCATTATCGGGGTGGCAATGCAGCATCGGTTCTCAGCACCTCACGGAGATCCGCAATGGTATGCTGCAATTAGCTTGGAAGAATCCCCCCAAACCAAGACAGCTCTTATATATCTTCTGCATGAATCGCGTTGTGTCATGTGTTTCGCTTTGCTGTGACTCCGTGGAATCCCAATTATGTCTGAATTACGTGACGAAAAGACGACGTTGGCGGATTCGAAGGGGTCGACAGCTACCCACATAGCCGTCGATCGTGTGTTCGAAACTTCGGAGAAAGTCTTCATCGGCGGACTCAATGACGATAGTCCAGACGGCACGAAGCGGGGCTCATCCGATGAGTCGGAGCCGGAGTACGACTTCAAGTCCGATGAGTTTGCCAACATACCCGAGCTTGTTCGGACTGTTGTCGGTTTCGAGGATGACCCCTCTCTGCCTGTTCTTACGTTTCGGTCTCTGCTACTGTCAGCGGTCTTTTGTACCATTGGTAGCATCGTCTCCCAGCTCTCATAGTAAGAAGCAATTCTTTTTACTACCGTTGCTGAAACTGATCGCCAAACAGCTTCCGGACTACCACGGCTCCATTTCCCGTCTTCTTCGTTATTCTAGCTTCAGCGCCTCTTGGTCGATTACTTGCTCGCATCCTCCCCGACTACACTGTACCTTTGGGGCGCTTTTCCTTCTCGTTGAACCCAGGTCCATTCTCTATCAAAGAACATGCGATCATCGGGATTGCTGCTAATGCTGGCAGTCAAGGCCAGTGGGCAAGTGAGTGAACTCATCTTTCTACCTTTCTAACTCGCAAGTTCTGATTCCTTCATAGCTTTTCTGCCTACAAATGCCGCATTGTATTATGGCATTACCATGCATCCAGCTGTGGCGCTTTTCTTTGGTTGGGTAAGTCGGAAAGGCCTATCTTCCCCATGAAGAGTTACTGAGTTGTTATTGAGGGCGCTTCACTCCTTGGATTTGCCTTCGCAGCCATGGGTAAGTGGTTGGAAAACGCGTGCTTCTCTACTGAATCTAACAGTTACGAGTTCGCAAGGTTCTGATAGACGATCCGGAGTTCATCTTCCCCCTTTCTTTACAGCAGGTCACACTTTATCGAAGTATGCAAGGCAAAACAGAGCTTCATAAAAGTGTTTCCAAGAAACAGATGAAGGTACGAATGCAGATAGCAACGACCAAAGTCATAGATGAGACTGACGAGATGCTCAAGGTTTTCTGGTGGATTTTGCTGGGTACTTTCCTCTGGCAATTCTTGCCCGAATATCTTTTCCCATTTGTTGCCGCCCTTGCACCTCTCTGCTGGTTTGCTAGCCGCAATCACACCGTGAACTTCCTCGGGGCGGGCCGAGGTGGCATTGGACTTCTCAACATCACGTTGAACTGGTCTAACATCACATCGACCGTCATCACATACCCCTACAGTGTTCAGGTTACAATCTTTGTTGGTTTTGTGATTACTGTAAGCCAATCTTTCTGCATCGCCAGCAGAATCACAGCTGACACTCAGAAGACTTGGATACTTATCCCCGTGGCATATTTTGGGAATCTATGGGGATCACCAACATACAATATCATGTCAAACGGAGTGTTTCAGAAGAACGGCTCGGCCTATCCATTTGAGTCTTTAAGTAAGTGCATTCATGCTGCAAGAAAACACAAGCGGCTTACCAGCTTAGTCTACACGGACTCAAGTGGCATTCAGCATGTGAATGAGACAAGATACCATGAAGTTGGTCTCGCATACTCAGGAGCTCAATACACATGGGAAATCTTCATGGTATGTGTCAATCAGAAAGTCTACATGTAGACTGAACATCGCACTGATGACGTATAACAGTGGTACGCTTCGTACATCTCCTCCTTTGTCTGGTGCGGCTTATTCTTGGGCCCAAAGATTTCCAAGATCTGGAAGGCAAGGAAAGATCAAGGCGAATACCACCAAGATCGTCTAAGGTGCGTCATCGTGATCCCAAAAATGACAATGTGCCAACTAATCTTCGCAGCCGAATCATCCAACAATACCCAAGCCTCACTTTGTGGTAAGTCACCTCTCGATTTGGCATCCCTTCTAGACACTCGCTTATTCTTTGTTTGCAAGGGAATGGGGTCTCCTCACTGCTATACCGATAGGAATCCTCCTTATTATTGTCGCAACTAAGTCCGTCTGGATGCCAACCTGGACTTACTTTGTCGCGTTGGGTTTTGGGGCTGCAGCTATGCTGCCGATGAGCCTGGTTTACGCCATGTCAGGATACTCGATCAAAGTTGGTTTCTTCAACGAACTTATTTACGGCTGTTGGTATCCATGTACCCAAAGATGTGAGCATCATTGACTCCGTGACAGATATGATCGATGCGCCCGGCTCGTCTCGGCACCCGCTTGGTCAATTGGCCTACCGCATCATTTCAGGAAATGTTTGGTATGACGCTCGAGTCGTACTTGAAGATCAGAAGGTGGGTTTGACTGCATTTCTTTCGCCAACAACGGGAACTGACAGAACATCAGATTGGTCATTATCTTCATCTTCCACCTCGAGATGTCATTGGGATCCAAATCATTGCCAACATGCTTGCTCTTCCCATCAACTATGGAGTCATGCGATGGGTCATTGCCTCCAAGTTTGACTACGTCAGCGGTCGAATCCCAGATCCTCAAGGACAATGGACAGGCCAAGAGTTCAAGAGCTACAATACTGCCGGGATTCAATATGCACTGGTCGGCCCAAAGAAGCTCTTTGCATCTTCCTTCTTCAAGCCAGTGTTGTATGGATTTCCCGCAGGTGCGATAGCTCCCATCATCATATGGCTTCTCCACAAGAAATTCCCGAAGGCCAGGTTTGATCTTTGGAACTCGACCATTTTCTTTGCTAGTGCCGCGACCTTTCATGGCAACCTCAGCACCGGCCCCTTCACAACTTTCTTGGTTGGAACATTCTTCAACTTCTATCTATACCGTTACAGACGGACGTTCTGGAACAAGTGGGCTTATATCAGCGGTGCGGCTTTGGATACCGGATTCAATGCCAACCTGCTATTCATCTTCATCTTCCTCGGCACCACGGGCGCTGTGATGGTGAATTGGTGGGGAAACAACGCTGACAACATCGAACGGTGCTTCGCTCTGAAGAAATGATTCACATCCTTGGATCGGAGCATTGTCAAGATGCGCAAAATATGAGCATGGACACTCCGGGACATGAGGCCGTCCCAAGAGTGGTATTTGCATGTTGGTTTAGACGAGGGTCTTAGGGCTGAGAGGACATTTGAGGTGACAGGAACAGTACATAGTTCCTCTCATTATAGCGGCTCAAACGTCGATCAGTGTGCTAAATAATCCGAATCTCGTCAAGCGCTTTGCTACCATTTTCCAGCCATGACTTTGCTTCGCCACGCATGAGGCCTTCTACAAAGCACTGCCCGACCACCTGCCATCCACTATCCTTCTTTCGCATGATGATTGGCGCAGAACAACCTAAGATCACGAATATCGAGTCTCCTTTCTGCAAAGACTTTAACGTCGCCGTTCCGAACAGACCTGCCTCGGTAGTGAAGACCGGGTATACGACTCCGACGTGCTTATCCAAAGATTCGATAAAAGACTTTGGAGATTTGCATTGGCCGACGTCCTCAGTCTGAGGGAAGAACGATTTGAAATCCCTCTCCCAAGGCTTCCAATGCGTATCGATTTGTTTCCGGAACTGATTGAAGTCGTTGAGGTTCGCGTGGTTAAGAACAGGGCCCCAACCTCGCTCCTTCAGAGCCACAACGTCCGGGTCATTCGAATCCAGGCTATTGAGCCATGGGATGTCGAGAATCGTGGTACCAGAAGTGCAGTCATATATAGCGGCTCTGTGAAGAGTCTTCGTGATTGCTTCCTTCGGACTTTCCGGTAGTCTTGAATGAGTTGGCTGGACCGCGTCCTGCAGGACTGAAAGTCCTCCGCTCGCCCATCCAAGATGAGGTGCGGTTCCGTCAACAACATCAACTTGAAATCCTTTGACAACCAGAATCTTTCCCCCACTGTCAAGTCTGAAGTCAGCTTCCTGTCCCCAGCTTGCATCGCAATCAGTTCCCCAAAGATAGGGGTCCCATTCAGAAGTCAAGTCAGGCACCCAAGAAGGGAGATCGAGGTTGGAGTTCGACGTCCCCGTAAGAATGATATCGAATGACTCGAACCCAGTAACGAGAGCTCGGGCGAAATCGCAGAATACTTCCGCAACATCCTTCGTGTAGTCAGGCTCCACATGAGTTGTCACATACTCGGGGATCATTCCCATCAACCCATACAGTCGATCTCGAAGGTCCAGTGAGCCAGCGAGTCGGCCAACCATTAGGAGCAAGCCCAAATCGTCTTGATCCTTCCTTCGTTCTTCCGCTGTCTGCGCACGACCGCGACGAACACGCTCTTGATTGGCCTCAACCAACTCGACCAGCTTCAGAACCCTCCATACTTTCTCACGTGCCCTCACGGCGCCGCGGATGTTGGTCGCCCGCTGCAGGAAGTTTTTGAGTGGAACCAATCCCATACGAAATGTTCCGAACAATATTGAGGGGTTGACTGGTCCAAGGCACTTTTCCTGGATCACCCATACCCGAGTCCAATATTGGGCTCCAACGACGATGTCGATTGTGTTCCTGATGATTTCTCTTTTCTCAGGATCCGCCATGACGTCTTCCAAAACCTTGGAGGCTGCAGTCTCGCTCTGACACTTCACGATGCACTTGTGCAGGACCGCCATGTCGTTGATCGCATCATCTGGCACCTTTCCCAGCCAGATGGAGACTATCAGCGCTTTCCCGTATATCATGCGCATGCGCTTGACCTGGCGGTTGCGCTCAACATGGTCTTTTTGATTGATGCAAATGGCATCCACCCAAATCTTCAGCCCTTCAACATAATCTGGATCTGATGATAAGGCCCTGAGTGCTGCTTCGAGATTCTGTCCTACCAAAACGACCTGCCCGTCCATGATAATCGGAACCTTGACAGACTGGTCACCCCAAGCATAACTGAGGGCTCCATAGTCGCCCCATGCGAAACGATGATATCGGTGATGCGATCGGGCGCGCTCGGCCGGTGAACTGGCCCTCGTCGGGCTGAGCGACCGATATCGCTCGTTGGAAAAGCGTCGCCACCCCTCGTCGCTGTTGCGTCTAGAAAGTGGCTTGATTCGAGAGTTGGATTCAAAAAGACGGTAATCTGAGAGGTGGGCATCTAGCGAAACGTGTTGTAACGTGCAGTGAACAAGGCCATGCCATTCGGGAGGCTCGTCACGTAGATTAGCTAGTGGTGGCAGCTCAAGTGTCTGTAAGTTGAGAACACGAATCTCATTTCGACTCTCGTTGAGTGGAGAATACGTAAAGTCCGCAGGTCGATTGAGCTGTTGCGATGCCATCGCAGCGTGTAGTCTGTGCGCTCGTCCACGGCAGCGGAACAAATTCAGAGGATTGAGAAAACTTCTCTGGGGAGATGGAGGCGCTAGCGGGCGGCACATGAGGTATTTAGCCTTGGCCTAATTATGTTCCACGAAAGATGCACCATGGAAGTGGGCGACTCCATGTTGGCTGCTCAGCTCTGCTTACGCAGTTTACTGGGGTCTAACACAGCCATCATATCCAAAGTGGCGGACTAAACCACATCCACCCCAGGGCATATCGACGCCTTGCACGTACTATCGGCATCGGCATCATCGTCAGTGCTGTCGGCGCCGTCAGTGTCGTTGCTGTGGTTAGTGCGGCTGGGGTCGGCAGCATTGTTGATGTTGTTGATATCGTCGTCGTCGAGGTATTTGGTTCCAGCCTGGTGTTATTATGGCGCGGAGGTGTTGGCTTTCCTGGGGATGGGTGTGATTAGTTCGCACCTATCTAAATGAGGGGTACATCGATCTCCCGTTATTACCACCCTAGCTTTGAAAGAAGTGCCGATGCAAGGCAAGAAGGCCCTCTACACGTGGTATCTCATGGACTTTTTACACTTGGATTGTGGAGAGCGGTCTCCCCCACCTGCGCAGTATTCAATCTACTGGTGGCTTCGGTGCACGCATGTTGGATGGACCTGAAAGGTGAAAATGGTCGATTGGGTTGACGATTAGGGAGCTCTTCAACGCAGTTCGCTGCCATCGAATGAAAATTCTTCTAAGTTTTGGTAAAGAGATGCCCATGAACGCCAAATTTTAAAATGAGAGGGATGTAAAACACGGATAGACCGGCTCGGGTCAGCGCCGGCTACCTCCTCAGGGAGCCGGTGGCCGATGTGGGGCCGTAGCGAGATCGGTCCGCTCCGGTCGCTCCCGCTCGTCCCTCCCGAACTTTCGGAATACCTTATTCGGCCAACATTAGAAGCATTCCATCAAATCCTTGATCGCTCCGTTGATGTTATATCCGGAAGTGAAATGGGGAACTCCTGCATGTCAATCTGCGCAATGGCAGAGCTTGAAATAACACCAGAATTAAGCGCCCAGTCAAGCTCGGCGCTTAACCGCAGCGACTCATTGACGCCCTGCCATGCCGTACCCCACATATCGAACAGAAAATGGACACATGTGCCTCTCTCCGATAGAACGAGACATCCAGAATCTCATTGCTAGCAGTCTTGCGATTCGCCTGTCAGGTCAACCTGGGCCGAGATATTGGTCGCGGTCATGCGAGGCGTTGGTTGGGTCGAGCGCCTCCGGGGCTGGTCCATAGCATTATCTCGTAATTGGCCGCTCTTCTGGTCGAAAACCTGACCTAGTCGGCGGGATTCTAGCCGGGATGCTGCGCCATGGGCCTTAGAGAACTCCTGGAGAAGGGTGTATAGTGTCGGCGCCACCCGCGCGGGCCATTCCCTCTTCGTGTTCTGTTACACATCTCATTCTGCTGTGCGACAGATCAAAGTCTGTGTAGCCATTTGTAATTTTCATTCATTTAATTCTTATTGAGGATATGGATGAGCATCGTCCAGTCCGTCTCTTGTCCCTCGGTAACCAAACCTATCTTATCACACCAGCATTTTGGCTAATCGAATCACCGGGCAGATGGAGGCGGAATCAGGGGCATTTCCTCGATTCTCATTCTCAGAGAGGTGATGCGACAGATCAATATCGACCGGAAACCCAAAGACCATCTCCAACCATGGCAGGTCTTCGATCTGATAGGAGGTACCAGCACTGGCGGGTCAGTAGCAGCGCCAGGCTTCCATGATGATTACTGACGTCCATGGCAGTATCATTGCTCTTATGTTGGGATGCTTGAAAATGTCTGTCGAAGAGTGTCATGACACATACATGAAGCTCGCAAACACAATCTTCAAGCCCAAGCGCTGGAGATGCAACGTCTTCAACCGCAGTCTCGACCTGATTTCCGCCAACGAGCGGTACGACTCGGCCAAGATGGAAGAACTGGTCCAACAAATCATAAAGGAGAGGACAGGCTCACGGAATGCTATGCTTCAAGATCCCTTACGAGGGTCCCCATGCAAGGTGTAGGTCATCTGACAGTCGACTGGACCATCTCTGACACCATAACCAGCTTCGTCACTACAGTACGCGCGGACGACGAAGAACTACTTCTCTTACGTTCCTATGTCAACAACCAACAACCAGACACCCACTCTTCCCAATTCGAGATGTGGGAGGCTCTGCGCGCCACGTCCGCCGCCAGCACTTACTTCAAGGAATACCGTCGCCAGAACGAAGGGTATGTCGACGGTGCCTTCAAGAGCAACAACCCGATCTTCGAAGTCCACCACGAGGCCGCAGACCTGTGGCCCGGACGTGACGTCTTCCTCGTCAGTATAGGGACGGGAACCAAGCCCAGTGCACCAGTAGGCACCAACGCCATCAAGCTGGTCAGAACCATGACCAAGCTTGCAACAGCAACCGAGGGATCGTGGGTGAGATTCCAACGCACCCACAAACAGCTGGTGGACGAGCATCGACTATTCCGTTTTAGCGCCCCTGGGATTGGGGCAGTTGACTTGGGCAATAGCAAAATGATTGGCAATGTGGCCATGAGGACCGATACATACTTGCGAGATACGGGTACGGCTCGTGAAGTTGCATCTTGTTCGAGAGAAATGGTGGAGATTCAGACTAAGCAGTACACAACTGTTCATAAGCTGTCGAACAGCGAGAGAGGTTAGTCTGGAGTCAAAAATAGGAGAGTATTGACTGACAACTGACTCCGCAGAATGTCTCAAACTTTTATCCGGCGCTGGTGGCCCCTACGAGAGCCAGAGACTCAGCATCGAGAGGCCAGTCCAAGGAACTTGCCAATGGTTCTTGAGTCATAAGGCATTCATGTCCTGGCTGAAAGACACGTCCTCGGCTCTTCTTTGGGTGACGGCCAACCCAGGCTGTGGAAAGACCGTGCTGTCCAGCTTTCTCGTCGATGTCCTATCGCGGCAATCCTCCGACGCCATCGTCTGTCACTTCTTCTTCAAGGCCGGCGAAGTCAGTCGTCAACACTCCCATCAGGCCTTGTGTGGCATCCTTCAACAAGTATTCAAGGCATACGCCAAAGCCATAAAGTTCGCCATGGACGACTTTTCATCAAACGACGCAGCCAACTTTGCGCAGAATATCGAGGCTCTATGGGAGGTCTTGTGTCTCGCGTCAGATTCGATGCCTTCGAAGCAAATCATCTGTGTCATCGACGCGCTGGACGAGTGCAGTGAGGATTCGAGGAACCGCCTCATAGATCTCCTAGTCAAGGCCTTCCCCCAGATGACTGGCAGCCGAAAGTTGCTCGGGCGCCTGAAGATCATCGTAACTAGCCGTCCGTGGCCGAGTATCGAAACACGATTCCGCTCCCTCAGCTGCGTCCGTCTTCGCGGCGAAAACGAGTCGTCTTCTTTGTCCAAGGATATCGAAACTATGGTCAAGGCCAAGGTCGAAAGGCTGAAGGTCGAAGGCACTCTCTCACCAGAAGCTTGCGCTATGCTGGAGACAACGTTAGCGCAAGGTGCTGATCGAACGTTTCTGTGGGCTTCCTTGGTGCTTGAGTCCATATCTCGTCTCCCATCCCGAAAGATGAGCGCCGTAAAGAGCGCGTTGGATGTGACACCAGTCGACTTGAACCAGCTTTACGAAAATGCCTTGTCTGATGTCAAAGACCGCACTGCATCTACGAGACTCCTGCAGGTAGTACTCGCCGCGTCTCGCCCACTCACGCTTGTGGAGGTCAACATGGCGATGAGCATCAGTCCGAAGCATCGAACAGTCCAGGAGTTATTGAGAGACATCGAACCGAATATAGAGTACACAGTGAAGCAGCTGGGCGGCTTCTTCGTGAGAGTTATGAACTCGACCGTACACTTGGTTCATCAGACCGCGCGAGACTTCTTGCAACGAACTGTAGGAACAGATCCATCGTTGTGGAAACAATCTCTGGAAGCTTCAAGGTGCCATTCAGCCCTTTCCCAAGCGACAGTTAGCTTCCTGCTTCTGGAAGACTGGCCGATCAGAGATCTTGCTCCGAGTAAAGATAAGGCAGAAGCGTCGAATTCAACACTACTCCAGTCTTTTCCATCGTCTACATCAGAATTTTATGCGTATGCAGCTCGAAACTGGCCATACCACGCTCAAAAGCAAGAGGACAGTTTCAACAGTGATACAGTCACAAGACAACAGATCGCAACTCTTTGCAGGCCAACCTGGCAAGGTTTTCATAACTGGTGGTATTTTTGGGCAGGCAAAGAATACTTCTATGGAGCGGGCAATCCTATAGAGCAAACTTCGCCCGATGACAGTTTGGGTCTATACCCGTTGCATTTTGCAGCGTGGCGAGGTTATTACGTCGTGATGAGGGGTCTAACAGACTCCCAACCTGGTTTGTTAACGTCACGTAACCACACAGACTTGGACTGTTTGGTAGTCGCCACACTGCAGGGGCGTGTTAGTGTCGTTAGATGGTTGCTGCACACCTTTAACCCTTCCTGTCTACAATCAGGGATAGCTCTGGTGGCCACCGGCAGTATGGAGATTACTCGACTTTTGGTTAAAACTGGCGTCGACCTTGGAAAACGGTATCGATCACTCCAGAGCGAGAAAGAAGAAGCGACCGTTCTTGAGTCGGCCATATACAGCGAGGGAAAACTGGCATATTTGCTGGCCAAGGGCGCTGGTGGCCTAGGCGAGGCTATCTATCTAGCCGCAGAGGAAGGAAAGACGGCCTCCCTGCAGATGCTTCTTACAGCCGAAGATAAGAGAACTGAAGAGGAACGACTTCGTAGCCTCCAAAGTGCGCTCAAGGCCGCAAGCGAGAGAGGCAGAGCATCGACCAGAAGGATCCTGTTGGGAGCTGGTGTACCGGAGCCTGAGGGCACCAACTTGTCGGCAGGCTTGGCCAAAGCCGTGACATTCGGATGTACCAAGGACAACATAGAAGCACTTGTCCAAGATGGTGCTCGGGATGTCGATGGCGAGGCTCTGCTTTCGAGGGCAGTCTTCGGTGACTTGGAAAGCATCACATGGTTATTTTCCGTATTGGATTATCCCCCAGAAGTTTTGAGCCAGGTCACCTCGGCATTCTTCGACATGCACTTGGGCGACGGGCTGAGAGGGTACTTGCTCAAGACAGTCGAACGCGTCTTGCTGTCCGAGAGACGAAGACTGACGAGCGGTTTTGCCATCAAACCTGTCATAGGCCAAGACCAGGCAACGAACGAGCAATTCCTCATCCTGTTATCAGCCAAGAGGGCACGAGTGCCGGCTGCGAAATTCCACCAAGCCGTGTGCTTCAGCATAGCAGCGGACGAGCGTCTGGCTTTATTCCTGTTGAAGCATAGGAGCATTCTACAAGATATCTCGGACGTGTCTGGCGAGCACGAGTATCTCGCCTTAGCGTGCCTATGGGGCAACTTGGATATTGTGAAGAATATCTGCGAAGAGAAGAGACGGCTGGGGCAGCTACCAAAACTTCCCTGGGGTTTACTCTTGCGCACGGCAGTGGTGTCTGGCAACGCCAAAACTGTGCGTTGGATTCTCGAAAATGGAAATAACAATGGTCACGTTGAAGCCACATCGGAGGTAGTCGGGGAGGAATTTGCTGCCCAGTGGGCTGTGGTCGAGAGAGTGCTGGGTTTTGCCAGTGCAGCGGCCTCTCCGCTGGACATAGCTGCTAGGTTTGGATACCAAGACGTAATCGCGACCTTAACGTCGGCGAGGTAAGGAACTTGATCCCATGGAACAGGTGGAATGAAGTGCTACTCCTGGACTCGCACCGTGTGTTGGTTGAAGCTCCAGTGATGATTGGATATGAGGGATGTTGGCAGCCCTACAGGGCGACAGGGTAGATGTAGATAGCCGGCCAGTTATTTGGAATCATCGCGCGTGATGGAATTGCTGACGAATACCGCCCGAATTTCTTTGAGAAGGAGGGCAGGAGGCGAGTAGAAGAAGATTAAGCAGACATGCTGATTTATCAGGAGAGATGACTGAGAGAATGAGGTCAATCGGCATTTGAAGATGTGAAATCAGAGCAGGACCGAGCTCCGCGACGCATCGCCGAGAGCCGTTAAGAAACAGTGGGGCCGTGACAGCCACCTGGATGGAAGCTGGAATACTAAACTGAGCTGTTGGGCTGGAGGTACAAGGCGCTACATAGAGATTACGTGCAGAACATAAGTATCTCTTCATGCAGTGTTACCTTTCCATGGCGTCAGGTCCCTCTCGCGTCATCGACACCCTGACGTCCTGACAAATCAAGAGGGAATTTCGCCCGGAATTTGCTGGCAGTGCCCATGTCACTTGCCGATTCTTCACTGCGGGCAGCTACTTTACTGACATCCACATTGACCTTTTCGAGCGCTATTCTGACAATTTTGTGCTCCTTCCCCTCCATCAGTGTCCCTCCCTAGTATTTAGTCCGATTTCCTCCCGCGTCACCGCCGAGTGCCCCTCTTCCATCCCACATGTCTTTCAGACTCTTCCGTCCAGTTCAACGCATCGCGAAACCCTCACTTCCTTCAACCTATAGATCTTTTCACGCATCCTTGCCCAACATGGTTGTCCACAACGTCAGCAGGTAAGTTACCACCATGTCGCTACGGTTCTTCAACTGCGTATACTCTTGCTAACGTCTCCCCCTCCACAGCAAGGACGAGTTCGAGAAGGCCCTCAAGGATAACAAGGCCGTTATCCTTGATGCCTTCGCCACTTGGTGCGGTCCCTGCAAGGCTATTGCTCCCGTCTTGGCCAAGTACGTTTCAACTCCCAACTGACCTCGAAGGCATTGGACTGACAGGCTGTTGTGCTTAGCCTCTCCAACGTCGATAAGAACGGCGGTCTTTACTTCGTCAAGATCGACGTCGACGAGGTTCCCGACCTCAGCCAGGACCTTGGCATTCGCGCCATGCCTACTTTCATCATCTTCAAGAACGGCGAGAAGGCCCAGGAGATCGTCGGCGCCAACCCTCCTGCCCTCACCCAGGCCATCACCGCGCTCGCTGAAGAGTTTCCCCCTCCTAGCCCGGTCGAGGCCGCTCCCAAGGCCGAGGTCGAGGCTTCCAAGGAGTAAACTTTGGACACAAGAGATGGAAATGGGAAAGATGAAAAGAGAGACGTCACCGCCCTAAGGCGGTGAGTACGTCCGGACACTAGATACCACACCACAATTACCTTTTTTTTTCTACGCTTCTTGGTGCCTCCATCTTTCAAGTGTCACAGTTGCAAAATCATGGCTTGTCGCTCGCGCATGTTACCCAATGCCGTGGCGCGTAGCGCTTCGACCTCGGGATGCTGTGCATCGCGTTGTGTGCAGATACTACTGGGTCCGACGATTACGACGGCTGTTCATGGAAAAGAAAGCCAAGTTTACCGACCAACCCAAAGACCCCCAAAATCCGTGCAAAGACGCAAAGCTAAAGTCGACGTCTGGACTCACCAGTGCCAAGAGGTTCGTTTTCGACGCGCCATGGCATAGCTACTGTAAGAAGCCTGCATTCGAGCATTGAGATGCTTCAAAATAGGACAGGAAAAAGCCAGACGTCCAGGAGCTGTGCGTAGCATAATATAATTATTCACTACTCACTCGTGAATAGGATATTGAAGGCCGGGGGATTGATTGGCGGTATGCATCTGACCATCCAATAACCACAATTGACCGCTTCGCGTCGCGCTCGCGCACGCCTTTTCTTAACAAGATCGACCGCAACCTGATCACGCTGCAACATGTCACCGCAGGGCGCCGATAATCAATAGACAAACGCCAACACCAACGGCCTTTATCGGCTCGCGCGGCCGGTTTCCGCAGTCGCCGGGGTCAGTCAAGTCCCAGTGGCCGTTGGGCCCCGCGCCGGTTTTCGCCCCGGTACCGCGGGGGTCATTGCCCGCGGGAAGGGACGCCCCAGCGTCGAGCCGTCGTACGTGAGGGACCCCGATAAACATGGCGCGATTGAGCCTGCAGCAAATCACGCAAAGGCGTAGATGAACTCGGTGTCCGCTCGTATCAGTTGGCTTTTTTCGGTGTATTAAAGAGGCTGGCTCATCTCATCTAATTCCAAGCGGTCAGACCCTACTAAGGTTTCCAGAACCTAGTTCAACATTACGGCGAATTTCTTGTTCAGAAAGCGTACTGTAACCACTTTCGATACCGCCGTATTGAGAATATCAAGGCCTGCCTGGAAATAGACAATATGACAAACCACATTGTTGTGCTTGGGTAAGTCTCAAAATGCTGTCGTTCGATCACTCACTAATCACTTCCAGCGCCGGCGTTTCGGGCCTCACTACCGCCCTGCTCTTGTCTAAGAGCAAAGCCAACTCCATCACCCTCATCGCGAAGCATATGCCCGGCGACTATGACATCGAGTACACCTCTCCGTGGGCCGGCGCCAACGTCTTGCCGTGAGCGGCCACTCCCAGTGCCGATCTTGAGTCACGGCAAAGTTGCTAATTCGCCTCAGTATGGCACCTGCTTCCGACAGTAAATGGGAAAGAAGAACATGGCCCGAGATGAAGCGCCTAGCCGCCGAGGTTCCTGAAGCCGGCATTCACTTCCAAAGTGCGTTCCACCAAGTTCGGAAGACTTACCAGCGCCAAACTGACACATACCAGAGTCCATTGTCTACCGCCGCAAGAAGGACATCGAAGCAGGCGGCAACCCCTACGACGCCCTCTATGCCGTCGACCCGTGGTACCGCGAAATGATGCCCGATTTCCGCGACCTTCGCCAGGACGAGCTTCCGTCCAACGCCCACTCGGGCTGCGAATTCACCTCAGTCTGCATGAACACGGCGCTCTACCTCCCCTGGCTGGTCGGACAGTGTCGCAAGAACGGCGTCGTCTTCAAGCGCGGCGTCATCGAGCACATCCGCGAGCTCAAGAACCTGCACCACACCGGCAACCCGGCCGACATCATCGTCAACTCCTCGGGCCTGCTGGCGTGCAAGCTGGGCGGCGTCGAGGACAAGACGGTGCGTCCCGCGCGCGGGCAGGTCGTCATCGTCCGCAACGTGGCCGAGAAGATGGTCACCATCTCCGGCACGGACGACGGGCCGACGGAGGTGTGCTACATGATGACCCGCGCCAACGGCGGCGGGACGATTTTGGGAGGCACGTATGACAAGGACAACTGGGACGCGAACCCGGATCCGAACATTGCGATCAGGATCATGAAGCGGGCTGTCGATCTGAACCCGAGCTTGACGGGCGGTAAGGGCATTGAGGCGTTGAGTATTGTCCGCCACGGCGTTGGGTTGAGGCCGTACCGCGAGAATGGCGTCAGGATTGAGATTGACAAGAAGACCTTTGAAGACGGCACGCCTATTGTCCACAACTATGGCCACGCCGGATGGGGATACCAGGGATCGTACGGTTGCTCAGAGGGCGTTGTTGAGCTGGTGAACCAAATTAGAAGGGAGAAGGGGGAGGCCCTGACAAATGAGCCAAAGCTGTTTTCTTGGGACCGTCCGAGTAAATTGTAATGGTTTCAATTTTCGAATCGAAAAATATATCGAAGATAATAATTATTGGACAATGACAGACTACTGAATGCAAAAGTGACATCCCTCCTTCGAAAGACAGTACGAATTGGAGTACCCAAGCTACCCGCACAGTGTAGCGTAGATCGCGACAGCTTTCAGAAGCTCCCCTGTCCATCACCAAGCTTCACAACTACCACTACCACAGCTTGCGAAGCTGCACAATGGCCGACCAAACGCCCCCAATTCACATACAAGCGACGCGACTGGTCCTGGATATCGCAAATGGCCGCCATGCGCTCTCCAAGGCAATCCCTCCTCTGCTCCTGGCATTGGACGCGGTCCTCTGCGGGCTGATCATCTGGAAGGTCCCATGTTAGCCTCGCCCTCCACGAATGACCCCAAGACCCTAGGCGGGCGCTGACATGGCTCGCAGACACAGAGATCGACTGGGTGGCATATATGGAGCAGGTGGCTCAATTCGTCTCGGGCGAACGCGACTACACCAAGATCAAGGGCGGCACCGGTCCTCTCGTCTACCCGGCCGCCCACGTCTACACCTACACTGGACTTTACTACCTTACCGACGAAGGAAAGAATATTCTTCTGGCGCAGCAATTGTTTGCTATCCTCTACCTGGCTACTCTTGCGGTTGTAATGGCTTGCTACTGGCAGGCAAAGGTAGACGATCCATTCGCCCTCAACACCAAGCGAAGCTAATGAACTCCATCACAGGTCCCGCCTTACATATTCCCCCTCCTGATTCTCTCCAAGCGCCTTCACAGCGTCTTCGTCCTCCGATGCTTCAACGATTGCTTCGCGACCCTATTCCTCTGGGTTGCCATCTTCTTCTTCCAGAAACGCCTCTGGACGCCGGGCGCGATACTCTACAGCTGGGGACTGGGGATCAAGATGTCACTGCTCCTCGTCCTGCCCGCCGTGGGCGTCATACTCTTCCTCGGTCGCGGTTTCGAGGGCAGCCTGCGCGCCGCGTGGCTCATGGCACAGCTACAGATCGTCATCGGCGTCCCCTTCTTCGCGAACAACGCCGCGGGGTACTTCGGCCGCGCATTCGAGCTCTCGCGGCAGTTCTTCTTCAAGTGGACGGTCAACTGGCGCTTCGTGGGCGAGGAAACGTTTCTCAGCAAGCCTTTTGCTATTGCGCTCTTGGGTCTACATGCAGCTACGCTCCTGGCCTTCATCACCGCCCGCTGGCTCAACCCCGCGCAGCGCCCGCTGTCGTCGCTCGTCCCGGCCATGCTCAGGGGGAAATCCCCATTCGCGGGACTCGAGGAGGCGCAGGTGGCGAGCCGGGTGACGCCGCGGTACGTTCTCACGACAATCCTCTCGGCCAACGTCATGGGCCTGCTCTTCGCCAGGTCTCTGCATTACCAGTTCTACGCCTATCTAGCCTGGTCGACGCCGTACCTCCTCTGGCGCAGCGGCCTTCCCGTCGTCGTGGTCTACCTGCTCTGGGCGGCGCAGGAGTGGGCCTGGAACGTGTTCCCCAGCACGGACGCGAGCTCGCAGGTTGTGGTGGGCGTGATGGCGGTTACCGTTGCGGCGGCGTGGTTTGCGGCAGCGGACGAGGGGAAGCCGGTGGACGAGTCGGAGGAGAAGAAGAAGCGGTGATGGGAGGGAATGTCATTAGTCGTCAGGGTTCGTTCGCAAAATCAATAATCGTCTTCAGAGTCGGATGGCGGCATCTTGCCGACGTTGGAGTCGCTTTCGTCTTCCTCGTCTTCGTATCTGGTCTTGGCGAATTCCTTCGGCCTACTATTGTCAGCATGTCGAACGGGGAAATTTTGCTTTATGATGAGGGACGCACCAGTAAGGCTGCTTGCGCCAGGCCTTCTCGTCGCGGACGACGTTGATGATCTCGCCCATGACGCGGCCGTCGGGCTCGTCGTACCTCTCCGCCAGCACATATCCGCCCCGCTTGATCCAGATGGTGTTGCGGAAGCGCTGGGCCAGCTCGAGGACCATGTCCTTCTTGTTGGGGAGCTCGCAGTTGTAGAGGTTGTTGCCCTCGGCCTTGATGACGCGTACGATGGCCTGGTTCTTCTCGAGGTTGTCGGGGGGCGTCATGGTCTCCTCAGCCGCCGCTTGGGCGGTGCGCTTCGTGCGTGCCATTGCTGTGCGTTCGGAAAGGTTTATGGATGGGTGATTTCTGGCGAGGACGTGGACGGGTGACGGGAGCGAGACGAGCGGCTGGCACTTTTTTTGGTGGTGGATGGTGGGGTAGTTTTTCGTCACTTGGAATTTTTTGGAAGAACGCGGGGCAGATCTGGCCGGCAGGCACCTCTAGCCTGTCTTAGGTACTTCATCCCTAAAGTCTTCCTTAAACCAGACCACTACGAAGTTCGTGTTCTCAATTCCTCGGTTGACGTAGTAGAGCACGGTACTAGTATCTCAAATCGGCTCAGATCACTGATCCAAATGAAAAGTTGACATATATTGAACATACAAACGCGTGACTGACCGGGTGGCGCTCCGAACCTTTGCCGGCGGAGGAACTCCGGCCGGAGACGACTCGGACCCACATCCTCGTAAAATAGTTTCCGCATCTACGGTCGCTCTCCCTCCAAATGCTCTCCAACACCGACATTAGGTAGGCTAACCAAGAGGAACAGAACATTGGCTCTCGCCTCCAAATCAGCGCTTACCAATCTTGCTCGTGACACAACGTCAAGCCGACATCAATGTCTTAATCCGTGGACGCCAACTCACTCCTGTAGCCGAACCATCATATCCGTCAGGCCTTCGACGGAACGGCCCCCGCATCATGCAGCCACCGGACCGTCGCTTCGCAACATGCAGAGGCTAGACCCATTCAACCACATGCTCTTCAGATCTTTTGCCTGAACCTTTCACGGTCAGCGGGGATGACTCAAGATAGCGGGAGACTTCCCGACCAGCCATGTGCTGGGCGTGCCCCAGACTCCTCAGGGATCCGCGGCCGCGCCACAAGCATCGTGGGATTTCTGTGACAGAATTCTTATCCTACCTTTCCTGGTCGAGTTGTGGGATGGAGGGCACCTAATTGTTAAACACGCCTCACATCCCACGCGACTGGCCCTATAAAGAAGTTGACTTTCGCATACCACCTGACCCCTCCCATCGTGAACGTCTTTCCGTCTCTATATTTAAAGGGAATAATTTCATGTATTCACCTTAGAATCAACGACCCATCCATACAAGCCTCAATTCAACAATGGAGGCCTCAATGCTCAGGACCCTCGTCGAGGTCGAATCTCGAGACCGTGACAACGATCAACCCCTGCTACCCGCCGCACCTGCCAAAGCAGTACCTCGAACATACCCCGGCGCACCTCAGCGTGAAGGAGGATCGATCGAGCTTCAACGTATCGACACCAAAAATGCCCACAGACACACCGACGACAATACCAAGACTGCCGGCGATAGCAAGGCACCGTCCCGGGCCCAGTCCCCGGCCCGCACACCAACGACATCGGGAAGCGACCTGGAGATGAGCCGTCCTTCGACCCCCGTCGCCATCGAAGCCTTACAGAGCATCACGGAACCCCACATGAACCGCTTCCGTCTGGCTGCCTCCAGTCTCATGGGCTTGGGCAACGGCCTCAATGACAGTGCACCTGGTGCCCTCATCCCCTACATGGAAAAGTAACCTCCCCTCCCTTCTCACCCACCAAACCCTCAACACCACTAACAGCCGCGCAGACATTACAACATCGGCTACGCCGTCGTTTCCCTCATCTTCATAGGGAACGCTCTGGGCTTCATCTTCGGCGCCCTCGTCCTCGAGTCCCTCCGCGCCAAGCTCGGCCGCGCCCGCCTGCTCGCCGTCGCCCAGCTCCTCATGGCGTTCGCCTACGTGCCCATCATCGCCCAGGCCCCTTTCCCGGTCATAGTCGTCAGCTTCTTCATGACCGGCTTTGGCATGTCCCTCAACCTCGCCATCAACAACGTCTTCTGCGGCTCCCTGCAGCAGGCCACCACGGCCCTCGGTTTCCTCCACGGCGCCTACGGTCTCGGCGGCACCGTCGGGCCCCTCATGGCCACCGCGCTCGTCACCCAGGCCCGCGCGCGCTGGAGCACGTATTACCTCATCACCCTGGGCATCGCGCTCTTCAACGGAGTCTTCGCGACCTGGGCCTTCTGGAAGTACGAACGCGAGCTGCCGCCCTCTCAGCAACCACAGACCGCCGGCGCGGACAAGACGTCCTCGGCCCAGCTTCTCTCCTCCATGTTCTCCGCGCTGCGGCTGCGCATCGTCGCCCTGGGCGCCCTCTTCATCTTCGCCTACCAGGGCGCCGAGGTGTCCATCTCGGGCTGGGTCATCTCCTTCCTCATCGCGGAGCGCGACGGCGACCCGGACGCCGTGGGCTACGTCACGTCCGGTTTCTGGGCCGGCATCACGCTCGGGAGGTTCCTGCTCTCGCACCCGGCGGCCCGCATCGGCGAGCGTCTCGCCGTCTTCATCGCGACCGTCGGCGCCGCCGTGTTCCAGGTGCTGGTGTGGTGGGTGCCCAACGTCGTCGGCCCGGCCGTCTCGGTGGCCGTCGTCGGGCTCTTGCTCGGGCCGATTTACGCGTGCGCGGCGGCGACGTTCATGAGGGGCATGACGAGGCACGAGAGGGTCAGCGGGATGGGGGTGATTAGTGCCTTTGGGAGTTCCGGAGGCGCCGTTGCGCCGTTTACGACGGGTTTGCTTGCGCAGGCTTCAGGGGCCTGGGTGTTGCATCCCATTGCCATCGGACTGTTTGTTGTCATGCTGGCGACGTGGTACGGCATTCCGCACGCCCGGAAGAGAAGCGTGTAAGTTGGGATGACGTCGTGGGGAGTGGGTTTGCAGGTATTAAGATCTGTCGGAGACGGGACGGTTCGATGAGAGCCGCAAAAGGCGGAATGCCTCGATCGGGATAAATGGGTGACGATTAAAACCGGGTCTGGGTCTGTCTTTCAGCGTCGGCTTAGAGTCCGGTAAAGGATTTGAATCCTCGCGGTAATGAAGGGCAGGAGAATATTAGTAGCGAATGACGGAATAAAATCGTGGTATCATCTATAAGATGGCATTGCTATCTAGCCATCGTCGAGCCCAGTACCCAAAAAGCCGTCATGTCTATCTATATCTATCATCAAAAACATTCGCCCAAAGTTTCATGTTCGTTGTATACCTTTCCCATCTCTCCTCTAAACAACTAGAAAATTTCTAGTGGTGAATGCGTCCCCGTGCGGCGTCCTTGACGCTGACCTTGCCGTCGACAATCTGCTTGACCGTGTCCAGAATGTCGGAGAAGTCGTTAAAGGTGACGAAGGAAACGTTCTCCTTTTCGCACCACGAGACGAGGTCTGCAGCTCGGTTAGCATTCGCATCGAGGTCCAACTGCCGAAGCGGGAAGGGGGGAAAAAAAAAAGGAAAGGTAAGACTCACCCTTGCCGCGCTTGGCAAAGAGCAGATCCGTCTCCCGTGCGGCGGACAGGTCCGACACGCCGTCGCCGGCGTAGAACATGACGGGCCGCTCGGGGAGGGAGGAGTACTTGCGCAGCTCAATGGACTTGTCGTGGCCGTGGATGCTACAGAATGTCAGTGAGGTGTGGAAAATGAGAGCAGATAAGAACGCCCGCACCTGTCGTCGTGGTAAACGATCTGCCAGCCGCCCTCGTCGTTGAGGCTCTTGCCGTCGCGGGGCGCGACCTGGTTGCTGACGATCTGGATGTTCTCGACCTCGTCCTCGCCGAGCCACTGGACGAGCAGGGCGCGGATGATGGGCCTCATGCCGCCGGAGATGATGACGACGGGGATGTTCTGCTCTTTCGCCCAGAAGTAGAACTCCTTGAAGACGGGGTCGAGCTTGACGTTCTTCTTGAGCAGGTCGATGCACTGGTCGAAGGGCAGGGTGACGCTCTCCATCATCTCGCGGAAGGCGTCGCGGAAGTGCTTCTTGCCCTCGAGGACGAGCAGGTTGCCGTCGCGGCGCTTCTCGAAGCCGAAGCCGACGTTGTCCGTCATGTAGTCGTTGGAGTCCTCGAGGGTGATTGTGCCGTCGAAGTCGGTGAAGAAGATGAACTTGGGGTTCGTGGCCAGGGCCGGCGTCTCGTTGATCTGGGAACCCATGTTGGCGGTTTTCGTGGGGGAGGTGGTGATGGGGATTGGTTTGGTGTGAGTGAGAGCTGGATGAGTGAGTGAGTGAGTGAGATATGTCGAGGTCGAAGGAGGGGGAGGGGTAAGATGAACAATGGAAGTCAACAATGTCGTGGAACCCAAGGTAGAGGTCAGTGAAGTGGGTCTGAGAAGTTGTCAAAGAGACCGGGAAATGTGTCAATGGCTTTATATACGGGACGAGAGACCAAGCCGCCGCCCGGACATGCAGTTTTCGACTTGGGATGAGAAAAAGGACTTTCTTAGGTGTCAATTTTATCTGCAGTATGCAAGGTGTTGCCTCCAATGAATCCATGCACCTCGTTCCTTGTCAATGTCTGCTGTGTACATGAATGCGGAACGTGGACGTTGTAATCAGCTCCGTCTTGTTGAGCCGGCCTATCTTATCAAATTAAAAAGTTAGACAGAAAAAAAGGCTCGATATCCAATCCAATACCTTCAAGCGAAATCCGCCATGCAAACCTACCGTCTCCTTCAAAAAACCATCCCGCCAGTGACGACATCGGCCCCTCGGCGGAACCACCGTGCGTCCGAAATAGTCCCCGTATCGAGTCCACGAGGGGGGACCCTTGAGCGCGGTTTTACCAACATGTAGTCCACTCAGCCACTGAAAGTCCAGTGAAGGGACCCCCACTGACTCCGTACACGTGCGGTAAATCTCTTCTCTGGCGGCACCTCAACCTCAAGATAGCCGGTACGTACACCCCCCTCAATGCTGGGCTTCTTCGCTCTTCTTTTTCAATTCTTCTCGAAGCTGTGACCCCGGCACCGGCCCGATCCCCCTCCCAAATCCGACAGGCGGTGAGCCCTTCCACCAATTGAGCTGTCCTCCGGCAGAAACCCGCCGCCGCCGCACCACCACCACCACCACCACCACCGACCGCACCGCACCGTCCAAACTTTCCCTTCTGCCGTCCCGGTCCCCGTCCCTCCCGGCCGTAAGACAAACCACAACCCGCCACCGGTGCTCGACAGAGCCATTCGTCAGGTCAATTGGGTCCGAGATATAGTCGCCAAGTCCAACCCAACCCTCGGGGAAAGATGCACTCCATCGCCCGCCCGGCGTCGCGGCTCATCCACGCCCGCATCGGCCTACACACCACAACGACCCTCACACGATGGCCCGTGGCAGCAGCTCGATGTAGCACCCCCGCGGCGCGACGCCTCTACTCCTCCCTCCCTCCCTTCCCACCGCCGCCGCCGAGCTCCGGAGCTTCAAAACAAGAGATAGACCAAGCTTCCGCCATGAGCTCCTCATCGCCGAGCGCACAACCGAGCTCAGACTCAAGCTCCACCACAGCTTCCTCCGACTCGCCGCCCACGACCGACCCCGACGCCCACAAACCCGCCGACAAACCCGACGGCAGCAGCAGCAAAGACGCCGCCCACGACCCCCTCCCCGACACGGCCTCCAAGATCTACACGGCCCTGCCCCCGGCCCTCTCCGAAAAGCTCTCCCACCTGATGGACACCCTCCAGACCCGCCTCCTGACCGCCTCGACCACCCTCAACGCCCTGACGGGCTACGCGCCCATCGAGGCGATCAAGCATCAGAACACCCTCCTCGAGTCCCGCCTCGCCTCCGCCCAGGACCTCGTCCGCACCGCCCGCCTGACCTACAAGACCACCAACGCCCGCCGCGCCACCACCCAGCGCGAGGTCACGACGCTGCTCGCCCGCAAGGAGACCTGGTCGCCCTCCGACCTGGAGCGCTTCACGCAGCTGTACCGGACGGACCACGAGCTGGAGCAGGAGGTCGCGGCGGCCTCGGAGGCGCTGACGGACGCCGAGCACGCCGAGCAGGCCCTGGGCCAGCAGCTGAACGCGGGGATCCTCAAGCGGTACCACGAGGAGCAGATCTGGTCGGACCGCATCCGGAGGGCGTCGACCTGGGGCACGTGGGGTCTGATGGGCGTCAACGTGCTTCTGTTCCTGGTCCTGCAGTTTGTCGCCGAGCCGTGGAAGAGGAAACGTCTGGTCCGCGGCGTGGTCGAGCAGGAGAAGGCGGTGCTGGAAGGCGTGACGGCGGAGCTGGCGAGTCTGAAGGCCACGTTGGCGCAGAGGGACGAGGCCGCGGCCGCTGCGCCGGTGGCGGAGGCGGCGCCGTTGGTGGAGGAGCCTATGCCGGAAGAAGTCTTGGCCGCCAAGGTCGAGGAGCCTGCCGTGCAGAACGAGCTGGATAGAGAGGTGGCCAGCGCTCTTGACGAGTTGGAGAAGGAATTCCCCGAGTCCAAGACGTGGCGGGAGTTCTTCTCCGACCCCGCGCTGTGGAAGACGCGATTGGCAGATCTATACTCCGAGCGGCGCATCGACTTGCGCATGCGCGATGCTTCGATCCTCGCACTTGAAGGCGCCGCTGCGGGAGCTACCGTTGCCGGAGGCCTGGCGCTCCTGCTTCTCCGTAGAACATAGACGCGCCAACTCCACGGTTGTATATAATACTGTACAATATGATACCACATAGAGCAAGAGGACGACCTCATAATCACTGCGGGCCGGCCGATCATCCAGATATAACCATTGCAGGTTTTGTCTATTAAAGAAGTTGCGTTGCGGTGGGGTCCGCGGTATCTCACAGATATAGGCTCTAGTCATAATCCGACAAGTCGGCCCCCCGTTTCCAATTGTTGACGTAGCGAAAGACTGGGTAAACACCGCTTTTGTTCTCCCTATATCGTGTCCACCCTTCGCTTCCTCGCCTCATCGCTTCCTCGTTTGCGCCTTTTCGTCACTGCTTGACGACGCGCAGCGTCTCTATGCATACAGAGACCGGCGCTGTTGGATCCTGCCGCGCGCATGGCGCTGGGTATCCTGATACGCGATGTTCCGTCTCCTGATATTCATCCCCTCGTAGGCGTCGTCACCTCATCACCTCGTCGCCTCATCAACTACAAACAACAGGTTTCATTCTTCATTCCCTTAGTCGAAATCGGCAGTGTAAGAGAATCCACGGAACTCTTCTTGCATAGCTTGCGAAAGAACTGTGCTTCGTTAGCTTTGACTTCATCAAAATCATTATCAAATACATACCTGATTGGACAGGGGTCAAAACAGGCGTGACGCTCGTAAACTCGGAGTCGAAGTTGCTGGTGTCAGTGGCACTCTTGATCTGTGGCATAAATGGCGGTGCCACACGCTTGTGGTAAATGTCGTCCCAGTTTATGTTTCTGAAGAAGGGCTGGTTCATAATCTCCTGCGCATCTGTCGGACCGCTGCCCAGGCGCTGGTCGGGCTCACGGGTGAGCAGCTTTTGCAGAATGGACACGGAGTCTCTCGGCATGTGAATCGGGTACAGAGGCTCATCGGCGAGAATGGCGTCGTAGATTTCGTCTTCGTCCTCACCACGGAAGGGCGACTGCTGGAGGAGCATTTGGTAGATCAAGACACCGAAAGCCCACCAGTCGACGGCGCGGCCGTATTTCTTATCAAGGAGAATCTGCGCTGGTCAGTCAAGTTCACACGTCTTTCAAGTTGCACTTACTTCGGGCGCCATGAATTCAGGGGTTCCACAGAAGGTACTCGTGGTGGAACCGAACCACATATCCTCCTTGCAAAGACCGTAATCGGCAATCTTAATGTGGCCATCCAGGGTCAACAAGATGTTATCGAGCTTCAGATCACGGTAAATTACACCGTTCTCGTGGAAATACTTCAGCGCCAAGCAGACTTCTGCGGCGTAAAATCTGCGTTTCGTTAACGCTGCTTCTTTGTATCGTGAGGATTCACTTACTGAGCTCGCTTGGTACCAAACTGGCCGCGCTGGATGTGGAGCATGAGATCACCACCACTGATGTACTCCATGACAAAGTAAACACGGGTCTCAGTCTGGAAACAAGCGTGGAGGTTGGTCAAGAAGGGATGCCTTTCTCTGTTGGCGATGAGGAACACTCTCTTCTCGGACCGGATGCTCTCAACTTCGTCGTTCTCAATGATAAACTCCTTCTTCAATACCTTGATGGCATAGAGCCTCTTGGACCGCTTCGTCTCCGCAAGCATAACCTTTCCGAAGTTACCCTTACCAAGCACAGCCAGGAAGTTGAAGTGATCCAGACCAATGCGCTGGCCAGTACCAGGATCGGTGGCGGAGGGCAAAGGCTTGCGTCCAGCGCTGGGGACACCACCAGAAGTAATGGGCGAAAGCTGCGGGGCCTCCTGCAACTTGGGTGAAGCGACCGGAGGCTGCTGTGGCTGCTGCTGGTACATTTGCTGCTGTTGAGGTGGAGGCTGCGAATACTGTTGTGGCGGAGGCTGGTGTTGTTGCTGCTGCTGCTGTTGAACAGGTCGCTGTTGTTGTTGTTGCACCGGAGGCTGCGGGGGGTAGGCATTGACAGCCGCGTAGTCTGCCGGGTTATACTTTCGCTGCTGGCCGTAGGGGTCTTCTGGGCCTTGGTCATGAGGAGATCCGTAGCCACCGCTGGATCCATAACGTCCATAATCTTGTGGCGACTGAGGCTTTTGCTGGCCCATCGAGCCACTCATAGCAGCTGTCGCCGCTGCTGCCGCAGCAGAGCTGGAAGATGTGCGATCGGGGTGCGGCCTTTGACCCTGAGGAGACTGTTGCTGATACATCAGCTTGGCGGCCTCGGTAGCCTCGGGAGAGCCTTGAGCATATGGTGGCTGGGTTGCGCTGTGAGGCGGCGAGCTCAGAGTGCTTGTCGGGCTCGTGGGCTTCCTCAGAGTGCGGTCACTCAGAGACGACGACGTCTTGTTCTTATTGATCATGCGCGTTGACTTGATGCCCTCCAAAATCTGGTTGGCCACCGCCATAGACATGCCGCAGAAGTCAGGGACAAGGTGGACGCAAGAAGAGTGAGCTGTGAGACCGCATTCAGCGCACTTTCGGCAGTTCTTCTTGCCAAAGGGCAAGATGTAACCGCAATGGCAGCACCAGTTGGCCGTCATGTTGGAGAAGGCCTGGAACCTGTGAGGGATGCGGTGGTTGATCTTCTCCTCATCAGGATCCGTCTCAGCGTTGCTCTTGCTGATACACTTGGTGACCACGCTGGTGTAACACTTGGTATGGCAGGTGTACTTGCAGTCTTCGCACTGCATGCCAGTGGAATACTTGAGGAAGTCTCCGCAGAGAGCGCAGCGCATGATGTTGTAGAACTGATGTTGGACGAACTTGTGGCCGTACATCTCGTGCACCTCCTCCTTGCGTTGACGAACGGCGCCCTTTCTTCCCAGTCCTTGGAGGTCCAGAGGACGACGGTCCTTGTTCTGCTTGACGAATCCCAGCTGAAGCTGGATGCGACCTGCGGGCTCGAGGTTGAACCACCCATCAATGAAGCCCTGAGCTGTCGGCACAGTCATCGGCGGGCCTTGCTGACCGTGAGGAGCGCCGGGCGAGGGTGGTGGTGGCCCTCCCATGGACTGCTGCGACTGGGGGTTCATGGGAAATTGCGGTGGCGGGGCACCCATCCTATCGGCAGACACCCAACCTGAGCTATTGATCTCGGCCTCGATCTTCCTCTTTCTCATCTCCTCAGCAATGTCGGAAATACGGACCCAGAGCAAACCGATGGGAATAGCATGTTCGCCGGGCTTGTCGTAGACGGTGAGCTCAATTTCGTTGGCCTTGTCGACATCGATAGTGTGGTACTCGGCTTCCCACTTGTCCGTTCTGGTGACTCTTGTGCGAGCGACGACGTTATCTTCGACCTTGACCGCGACGAAGGTTTCGGGTCCACGGGCAAAGCGGCTCATAGACGCATGATCGACATCCATAATCTGGCGGACCTGAATGGTAAGCTGACCAGTGAGGGGTTTGCGCAGATTGGGCATATTGATAGAATCATCTAGCGGCTAATGTTAGTCACTGTCGGAGCAAAACAACAAGGCCACATAACCAGATATACATACCATCTGGACTATCGGCAGTGTCCAGGTCGATGTGCAGCTCTTCGTAGCGCTTCATAGCCTGCTTCAAGAGTAGAATCTTTTGCTTGCTCTCGACCCTTCTGCCAGCTGCGTCGGCCCTGCTCTTTCGGTCGCCTTCCATGCCGTACAACTGAACCATCTTCTCAACGCCCTTCAGATATTGTTCCTCCACGTTGAGCTTGAACTGAATCTGAGAAAGCATAAGCTGGATACGAGGGCCGAGGTGTGGGGTGTCCCATTTGATGAGATCTGCGCAGGTCAGCGGTGGGATACATGTATGAAATGGACGGCGCAGTACGAACCAAGCTTTGTGAAGTTGGCACGCGGCTTAGAAACTGTCGACGAGGGGCCCGGAGGGGCGAAAGGACGGGGAGGCATCAGGCCGGCGTGACCTCCGATCTGGCTGTACTGGACGTTGCCGCCAGAGACAGCGCTATCAGCGCCGTAGCCGCCACGCTCTGCCCACTGCTGTGAAGCGTCCTTGGGAGGAGGAGGGGGCGCGTCGCCCATGTCGTCGCTGAGAGGTCTATCGGAGGGAGAGCCGAGAGACATGTTGTCCATGCCGCGACGCATCTGGGCCTCGCGAAGCTTCTCCTCAAAGAACTGCAGGTTCCGTCGGCCATCGCGCATCTGCGAGTCGAGTCTGGATCGGACGGCCTCATTGTTGGTCTGGGCTCGCATAGCATTGGCGGCATTGAGGAGAGCCTTCTCGCGCTCAATCTTCTTGAGGATGTTCTGGATGGCGTCTTCTTCATTCATGTTGGGCGGTGGGGGTGCGCGACTCCACGCGCGGGGGGTGATGTGGTGATGTGTTGGATGTGGATTGTTGGGTAAATATGCGGCGCGAGTGCACAAAGAGGCAGATGCTAGAGCTGTAGTCCGTCACCTGTGACGAGCACATGCGGCAAGGAGAGGTGTAGTAGCGATACAACCACGAAACGAGACGATACAAGACGTCTTTGAGGGAGATACAGCCAGGTCTGGAGGTCAAGGTAGGTAGAGGTAGTTGTAGAGGTGGAGAGAAATGGTGTTCTGAGCTGGATATGGATACCGGAGGTTCGGCGTCGGGAGTAGAAGTGGGCTCGGGTTGGCCTTTGGGTTGGCACAGCGGAGAGATCGGTCTGTCGGCGGTCGGTATCGGGACTATCACGACAGAGATCGGTGGGTGCGGCCAGCCCTCGAGGAGTGGTGTTGTTTTTCGCAGGTTGGGCGAGTTGGTTAAAAGATGTCGTCAGTGGGTTTTGGAGCAGGACACAAGACGGGGGGGGAGGAAGCGGTTCGGGAGGGGTCGCTGGAGGTGGTGGTGGTGGTGGTGGGTGGTGGAGGAGGAAGAGAGGAGGAGGTGAGGTCCTACAGTCTTTAGGCGGGTTTAGAAAGACTTGGAGGTACACGGACTATCACCAATATTCGAGCAGTCAAGATGTTTCTCAGATGTATCTTTTCTGTCCTACAAAGAAGTACGTACCCCAGGCTTTTGGAGGGGGACGACAGCGAAATGGAGGGGTGTTACGAAAGCGCGCGGGCGGACGAAGCAACTCTGTAACTCGATGTGAAGATGGCAGGCGAGCTAAATGATGATTCGGACGATGATTACAATTACCTACCTAATTACCTACTTGTTTTTCTTAGGACTTGGGAATAGAGTTCTTCGAGCATGTGGAAACGAAGCGGCAGCGGCAGCGGAAGCAGGCATTGGCAGAGATTTTTTCTTTATTGCTTTCAACCACCAATTGTCGCTCTTTGACGGCTTCCATCTGCTCCATTCGCTTCCACCTGAGGACTCAACAGTCCCGTCCTCTGATGCCCAACTTGGCGCCTGGGTGCATTCAATGCGGATCATTATTCATCTGGATGCCTTCACCGCGTATGTCACCTGGGGCGGCTCGTCTATCAGTCGCTGCTCCCTGTCCTTGACATTCACTCGTCATCAGATACGGCGCCGGCGCCTTGCAGAAAAACAATACCATTTGGTTAGAAAGAAAAAAAAGTCCTGGACGTGGGGCTCATTGGATACCTAGGACTTTTCTGTCGTTTCACCGTACCTAAGTATCACTCTTCAACCCAACAACAGAGCAGTTCTCCCCGATTAACAGCTAAGGCAGTGTCACCAACGTCGACCGTCGAATCAATTGTCAACTTGTTTTCTCAAGGCGACCAGGCTCAGTTGAGGTATCACAGGTTACAAATTCCCTGCCTTTGGAGGTACGAAGCACTTCAAATCGTAAACACGCAGCAAGTCAACGGAACGGATACATTTTGGTCTTTCATTGACTCACTGACGAATATGACTGGAGGATGACTGCCTGATTCCACATTTCAATTTTCCTGCCCACCAATAGTCGCCTCAGCATCGCCATCCGGCCCTCTCTCGCCCTCATCACACTCGCATCTCGGCCCAAAACAATAAGATTCACCACGGCGACGACCGACACCTGCAGCAGCAAGCAGCCTTCCCTCGGGGAGTTTTTACAGAGACCCGGTTTAAACATGTCCAATCCTCGCCCTCCCTGCTCACCACCTGCTGCATCATCGCCCGATCCATCAGACCGCGTCGGTCCTTCATCACCCTCTTTGATTGCCAACAACCTCCAACAACAACAGAATCCATGATCTGATGATGCAGCCCTAGGTTCCTAGGTTTTCCCGTTCCTCCCGCGTAGGCAGGCAGCTGCTTTCCGCCTGCAGCAGCGCCTTGTCCAATCGCAATCCATCCGTCACCATGCGTCGTCTCGTCCTGCAACGGCCGCCCGTATGCTGCCGGCCTTCATTTCGAGACTCCGGCGATCCCTTGAAGCCGCACATGTCAAAGCAATTGTCTCTACTCCGTCCGTTATCTCCTTCTGATCAACACCAACAACACCAAGATCACGCTCACCATCTCGACTGCATCCTGAACAATCATGGAGGCCGCCACAGCGCCACAACTCCATCTTGTGATTCATCCCCGGCTAACATCTGCACTGCCGAGCAATAAATCACCAAAATACGCCCCCGCTAACCCAGCTGCCGGCCGGCCTTTCCGCGCCACACCGACGGCGACCCCAGACGGCATCCCACCCGCGCCGCGCTGTGGAATGGAATCCCGCTCCGTACATCACGAACACGCGCGTCCAGAATACGAGCTCGAAAAAAACGGCACAACCACCTGCCTTTTCGGAGCACCTCGACGCTAACCAGTTGATCATTTAACCCTCTTCAGGCTCTTCAGCTCTCACCAAGCCAACGAATTCCGTCCCAACACGAGCTCGCTCTCACCCGCCTGGTCTTTTCCGTCTTCAACTTCATGCCACACCCGTGTAACGTTCAACTTGAAACAAACCTAGCCCTCACCAACAGCCAAAGATCGTCCAACTTCAGCCCAGACGATACCTTATGACAACCTATTAATGCCCCCCTCCCTCCCACTCCTCCGACTTCAGCTCGTCAGGAACCCGCGGCACGCCAACGACGACGGTCCCCCCAAAAAACAGCCCAGCCTGCGTCGCGGAACCGTTTCGACCCACCAGCTCTCCGCGCATCTCGTCCATGGTAAACCCCTCCACCCTCGGCCCGCCCAAACTCAACCTACCTTGCCTTACCTTCCTTCCCGCCCGCTTTCGCCCTCGCCTTATCTGAACCGCGCACCTCCGCCTTGCAGCCGCCAGATGCCACCTCGACTACTATGGATGTCGTCATCACCATCAGAGTTGCGGCTCAGGCCGTTCGTCGACTTGCTTCGCGATGCCGGACATGTAATTACCGCCCACCTGCCATCGCATGGTTCCCACTTCGCAACGCTTCCCCTTGATATGCATGTTGGTCCGTCCGTGTGTCGAGATCCGATCTGATGTAAGTTTGCTGCGGGTATAACATCCCTCGCAACGGTGTTAGCTGGACGTGTGCATGTCTGTCGAGGAAAATGGGCGGAAGTGCGTTCCGGAACATCCAAGCTGCTGTGAGGTAGTCGGACGAAATCGTGCACTTCGTCTTTACCCGAGTTCAGCCCGATTCATCCTTTCTATTCATTGCTACTCTAAATATCGAATTCTGGACCAGATCCTGGCCAGAGTGCGAGGGTCTGTTTCTCAACTTGAACAACAACCGCCCTGTCGATGAGAGTGATTTGGGCACGGCCGGCGCGACTTGTTCAAAGTCTGGACCAACGCAGGGCTTTCGTCCGGTTTCCCGACTTATGCTATAGCTTGAAGAAAGTCAATCTCGCGATTTACATGTCTCGTGGATCTGTTGTCTGACAGCACTCAAATCTTCCAGAGCTCAACAATGTGTAACACATCGTACCCCTGAAAGACATGTGATATCGAGGGCAATTCAAGTCGAGATGCGTCAGAGGTTCACCAACATACCATGATAACATGCGGGATATCATTAATAACTTCATGACATGAGTGCAGGTGTTTCATTTTCCTCTATCCATGCAACAGCAGTTGTGAACATCATAATTACCTTTAAAACGACCGAACCCTACATACATCATGTCGGCAACATTGTAGACAACCTGTCCGGTCCTTAGGAAGTTGGCCCCTCCAGCGTCTTGCACATCTCGACTTACTTATGTTACAGTGATCAAACCGAATAAAAACCTGGGGCGCACTCACTTGAACTTCTTATCGTGCTATGAAAATCTTAATCGCGAGCTTGTAAATCACGGGGCTACATCCCGATGGGAAAGAGTAGGAATAAACCTCTTTCGAGACTTTTCAACGTTGAGATAATGTTCTTATTCAGTTCACTCAAGAGGTATTTCGAATTCCCCAGAGGAAAAACAACTACTCCATCGCGATCCGGGCAACTGCCATCCATTCATCGTTTCCATCTAATATCATGAGTTATAGGACAATGGGCACTGCCCAAAGATGGATATCGCCAGACATACTCACGCCGCGAGTTTCAGACCATCTACGTGGACGTACATTGGCTTGATAAGCTGCAGTTTACAATATACGAAAGTCCACGTCACGTGCAGATTCTCACGTCTTTGCAATTTATTGCCAATATCGCACTGGCAAGCCAACACAGTTGAATAACGCGACGATTGGACACCAAAACACCGAATCGTGCCGCTTTTAAAGACTACCGTCTAATAACCTACAAGCCCAATTTCGCCCCATTACATCAAAAAAAGCACCGTCCCCTCACACGCACGCCCTCGTCTAAGCGGTGTACTCCTTCTGCAAGAGCTTGGCAATGGTGTTGAGCTGGATGTTGCTCGTCCCCTCGTAGATGGCGCCGATCTTGCTGTCGCGCCAGTACTTCTCGGCCGGGCCGTCGCGGACGAAGCCCATGCCGCCCATCCACTCGATCGCGAGACCCGACACGCGCTGCGCGACCTGCGAGGCGTACAGCTTGGCCATGGCGGCGTCCATGACGAAGTTCTCGCCGGCCTCCTTCTTGCGGGCCGCGTTGTAGACCAGGGCGCGCGCCGCCGCGATCTCGGTGTACGACTGCGCGATCTGGTGCTGCATGCCCTGGAACTCGCCGACCAGCTGGCCGAACTGCTTGCGGTCGTTCCAGACGTACCTGGGGGGTTGATCGTTAGTGTGGGGGTTGCGGTGGTGATTCGTGGAGGTGACACTTACTTGACGGCGTTCTCCCAGGAGCCGAGGGCGAGACCGGTCATCTGCGCGGCGATACCGATACGTCCCTCGTTCAGCAGGCCGATGGCGTACTTGTATCCGTGGCCCTTCTCGCCAAGGAGGTTCTCCTTGGGGATCTCGACATCGTCAAAGTTGATGACGCATGTGCTGCTGGCCTTGATACCGAGCTTCTTCTCCTTCTTGGCGATCGAGAAGCCCTTGGTGTCCTTCTCGACGATGAAGGCAGTGATGCCCTTGTACCCCTTGGCGGGGTCCAAGTTGGCGAAGACGATGAAGAAGTCGGCCTCCATGGAGTTGGTGATCCACATCTTGGAGCCGTTGATCTTGTACCCGCTCTCGGTCTCGGTGGCCTTGGTCGCGAGGGCGAAGGCGTCGGAGCCGCTGACGGGCTCGCTGAGGCAGAAGCTGCCGACGGTGTTGGTGGCGAGCTTGGGCAGGAAGCGCTTCTGGAGCTGGCTGCTGCCCCACTTGATGATGGCGGTGTTGACGAGGGTGTTGTGGACGTCGACCATGACGCTGACGCTGGGGTCGACGCGGGCGAGCTCCTCGATGCCGATGATGGCGCTGGTGAAGTTCATGCCGGCGCCGCCGAACTCCTCGGGGATCTCGACGCCCATCAGGCCCTGCTCGAAGAGCTGCTCGACGATGGTCGGGTCCATGTTCTCGGCCTCGTCCATCTCGCGGACCTTGGGCGCGATCACGTCGTTGGCGAACTTGCTGACCGTCTCGGCCATGGCTGCCTCGACCTCGGAGAGGTGCGTGATGGGGGTCGGCGGGATGTCGGTGATGTCGAGGTGGTCGGCATTGCGGCGGCGTTGGGTCGTGGAGAGGGGTCTTGCGGTCCTGTAACGAGGAGTTCTGTCAGTACAATGATCACGGGCTGAGGTTTTCTTTGAAGACTTGACTTACTGGTACAGTGGCGACAGCGCTCTGCCCGGAGTACAATTCCTCGCCCTCGCCAACGCAGCAACACTACGGCTTCCCCTCATAGCAGGGCGAAGAGCTCTTGCGATCGACGACATGGTATCGGAAAGCAAAAGGAAGGTATAATTCGAATTCGAAGATCGACCTAACGGTTCAAGCGCAAGACGGGAAAGGAACAAGAAAATGCGGTTGATCTCAGATCGTCGGCAGTAGCCAGGTACTTATGCTTCGTCCGAGTCTCCGTGACCGTGCGGTGGTGATTCGTACAAGTGCAACGCCCGGACTGGAACAGGTCAATTGGCGTCTAACGGAGGCCGCAGATGAAGGGTTAGAGGGTAAGCAGATTCGAGGGCAGGTCAGGAGAGGCGTAAGGAGGAAATGGAGTCAAAGATGTGTCCGCCCTAGACCGTGAACCTCAAAGCCATTCGCAGCCACGGTACCTCACGGCTGGCGAACAGACGCAGCGCCCGCTTCAGCCGAGGATATCCATCCCGTACCAAGCGGGGAGCAAACCCTCCCCCCCAAGAACTGGGGAAGAGCCGACGGCGCAGCAACTGTCTGAAAAGCCGGGGTTTCGCCCACATTTTCCATGGAGCTTACGTCAGGATCTTCTCCAAGACCGTCTCGATTGGGGTGAAGGGGCGGAGGCATGTGATCCAGAGACGGCGCGGTTCCGCGTTCGGTGCAGGGGGATGACGACCGAGAAGAGTGGATCCGGGGGGAACGGAGCGCCGGGGGTTTCTTGCCTCAGGTCGCCAGAGTCCAGTGCGGGTAATCCCTGGTATTAGCTAAGCAGGAAAATTGCCAGCGACATTTCGGTCTGGAGGCGCATCGGCATCGCGACGAAGAGCTTCAGCCGCGTAGCTAGCAATTGGACGCCAGCTCAGTTGCCCGTCATGGCCAGCACTTTTCTCAGATCCCTCTTCGCTCCGGCGATGAGGCCAGCGACCTTCCCTCGCGCCGCATCCCTCCTCGCACCGAAGACCACGCCCCTGATCCGCCCTTTCTCCTCGACACCCATCCAGAATGCCACCATCGGCCAAGTGCTACGGGTTCGTCTCTCCTCCAGCAGCCTTGATTTTCTTTGAACCTATGGAAATACTGACTGTCCAACTCCAGGGCTGCCACAAGAAGGGCAAGCGCGCCCGCCACACCATCTCCCCCGCCCTGTCCGAGATGAACGCCCCCGCCATGAAGGGCGTCTGCCTCCGTGTCGGTATCGTCCGCCCGAAGAAGCCCAACTCTGGCCAGCGCAAGACTGCTCGTGTCCGCCTCTCCAACGGTCGCCACATCACCGCCTACATCCCCGGAGAGGGCCACAACATCCAGCAGCACAGTGTCGTTCTCGTCCGCGGCGGCCGCAGTCAAGATTGTCCCGGTGTGCGATACCACCTGGTCCGCGGCGCTCTCGATCTCGGCGGTGTTGGTAGCCGTACCACTTCTCGCTCCAAGTACGGAACCATGAAGCCCAAGAAGGCTACCGTCAGTTAGACGGCGATGATCAGTGGCGTAAGACGAGGCTGGCGAGGGAGGAAAGAGGGGAAGGAATGAGGCCGAGAAGACATCTCTGGCGAGGTGTACCGATATCTAGACACCGACACACAATCAGACGTGTAACATCACAATGTACGAAATACCACAAGTTAAGAAGATTGACTGGATAAACTCCAGCCGGCAACTTGCATTTGCAAATATTTACAGAGCATAAAGTGTCCAAGTCAGAAAGAACCTTTTGACGCCTCTCCACGTTTAGTGCCCCCCATTGCCTGCCCATTCTCACTCGATGCAGGTGAAGATGAACAGTGGCATAACCCAAAAGCCACCATGATATTGTTGGTACAAGCTACATTTTTTCCCTCCCTTTAAACCTCGTGACGAACTTAGTCCTGCTGGTTTTCGTAACCTTCCGGCTTCTCCATGCCGTTGGTCTCGAAGAAGCGGCTCGTGCCTGAATTGGTTAGCTCAGTCACCGGGTTGGTGGCGTGGGAGATCAACTTACAAGAGTAGCCCTTCCAGTCAAAGTTGTCCTTGGGGTTGCAATGGCAGCGCCTGTCAAGACGAACCTTCTCACCAGTGGGGCAGTGAGTGAAGGGGACGTGGTAGTAGGCGATGTCGTTGAAGAAATGGATTTGCTCCTTGGGCAACATCAGACCGGCAGCAATAGAGTGCACGGGCGCATCACCCCATCGCTCGTAGAAGAAACCGCCGTCCTGGTCGAGGGACTCGAAGTAGTCGATGTAGGCCTTGGAGCGGAGCCAGTTGAGGTCGCCGACTTCGAAGTTGGACCACTAATCACATGTTAGTCAATTGCAGAACGAGGAAGGCTCCAAAAAAAAGCTTACGAAGTGGCAGTGGTTGTAGGTGTCACCGCCGTCGTCACTCAGCCAGTTCATGGAGTTGCCCTCGGCAATGTGCTCGGGGTGGTTCTTCATGAACTTCTTGGTGCTGTCCCAGAGCGTGGGGATCGTCTCGACGTACTCGTACAGGCTCAGGACGAAGCTGTACTTCTTGTTGTTCTCCTTCATGAAGCGGAACGGGTCGTAGTGGATGTCGCAGAAGAGCTCGATGGAGGGCTCAACACGCCAGTAGTAGTCGTAGTTCATCATGGCGGGCTGGCGGAAGAAGAAGCCGGACTCGAAGCGGCACATGTGGCGGTAGCTGACAGAGTCGCCGTAGATGATCTTGCGCTGGGCCATGTCCTCACGAACCTTGCGGGCCTTCTCCTGGTCAATGTGCTCGGGGAAAGACCAGTGCTCCTTGGGGATCTCGCCGTAGACTGTCTTGCCGGAGACCAGCGAGCTGGTGACCTTCTTGAAGGTGGCATCGAAGGGCTTGTCGTTCAGGAAGACCCAGTCGTAGTTGTAGCGGCGGTTGAAGCGATCCTCAACCTGTCGGATGGAGCGGGCGATGTCCCAGATATCGGAGTTACGGGCGAGGGTAACGAAGGTCGCGTTCATGCGGGGACCAGGGGCGATGCCATTGAGGTCGTTCCAGCCAGGCTCATTCGGGGTCATGGCCATAGGCCACTGCTTGGGGTCGTACTTCTCGCCTACTTTGGGAGCGTCGGATTGAGGCCTGCTGGGTGCTTTCGCCGGCTCCTTCGCCTGATCCTGCTGGCCCTGGCCAGGAGCGGCTCCCTGGCCCGGAGACTTGAAGCTGCCGTTCTCGAGTCTTACGCCTTCGTAGCTGGAATGGGAGATGAAGTAGAAGACCGCGAGGCCCTGCAGGAGAGAGACGTTAGCACATCATTTCGACAGTATGAGTGCCCGCGTGCATGACTTCTATGTCAAGCAAACACAAGAGCGAAGGCAGGCTGATCATGGAAGAGGATGCGCTAATGGGAACTCGCGAGAGGTGACTTACGAAGCAGGCGAAAAGAATGTATCGCACATATCGTGCGGAGCCTGTCGCCATCTTGACCGATTGTACCAGGTCGACGATGGAAACCTGAATCAGTGAATAATGGCTGGAGAAGAATCGAAGAAAATGCCGTTCTTCCTCGAGGTGAACGAGGTTGAATAAAAAAAAGAGAGAGGGAGATGCGGAAGGGATACGAATCCAGACACGACAACACCAAGAAAATGTTCAGACCTGCGCGCCCACGGCACCTAGCAGTAGCAGCAAGCACCTAGTGGCGTGGAAATTCGGGGGATGGGGAACCTGTAGGAATCTCACAGGGTTCGAGAGGTACGAATGCGGCGAAAGCAGCACCACCTCATGTATGGCGGCCACCCCAGAAAAAGGGAGCACTAAGGGTACCGAAGTACCGCGACATGGAAGAAAGGGGGTGGTGGGGCGACAGCTGGCCTGAACCCGGGACATTTCAACTCAAAATAAGTGCCCTGCAGATACAGCGTGAGAGGAATTTGTGAGAGTGCATCGTCAGCTCAAGTAGCTGTACGAATAATATCTTGGGTGCTGTGAGATGGTCTCAGTTTAGCGACCTAACTCAGGATTAGACTCAGCCAAGACAGTAGGGAGCGCGTGCGGGCTTGGACGAGATTGATTAGTGTTTGCGCAGATAACCACTTCTCAAGATTTACACATGATCCTGTTCGTAATTCGCCAGACGAGAAACCCAGGGTAAATGTTCTCTTGTGTTGAGGCATCAACAGTTGCTTGGACTCATGGCCGTCCGAAGAAGAACAGTCAATGCTGACGATTGACAGTCCCGGCATCCGTAGACACGACGATGATTCAAGTCTTTGGTACACTTGCCGTCAAGTATCCATGAATTCTGGGCGTCATGTCCTTCTGACAATTAAGTAACAGATACCTGAATCCCCTCGCCGCAGCTTCTGCCGCGTACCCGTCTGCTGCGGCTTGGTGCTCCATGATCGGAACAGGGAACGTGGCCACTGTGAGAATCGGTAGCCACCGCCTCAGCCCGAATGCACCCAGGGGCCTTCCCTTCCATGGGTTGTAACTCTGGAACCACTCGATGCGATTCTCTCTGTGCTGTTTGAACTTGCTCGCGCTACGGGAAGATGGGGGTGGAAGCTTTCGTACCATCGTCTTGACCAGAAATAGCCGCCGGCCTGTTTGAATAACATGGCCTCTCTTCTCCCTTCTCATACCTTTCTTCTCTCAAGTACATGTACACGTCTTCGTTGCCCCTGACAGATCTAGTGGCCTCGTATTAAGTGCAGATACCTCACCATCAGCATTCACCGGGCTGTCGGTCACTCATCTTGAGGGAAGCCTCTAGAGTGCAGTCAGCTCGCAGATTGAAGTCGCATCGTGGAATTCTGACCAGCTGCTTGGCGACCTCCAGCAAGCAGTACGGGACACATTTCGACAACGCCAAATTAGCTGATGCAAATCGTCTTAGGCATACCCGCAGCTAAGCTACTGATCGTCAACGCCTCCGCCTCGTGTGGTTCGAGCACTACTTGCTTCAGCACTTCACGTGTTATCATCCACTGAGGCCTACTGAAGTAAGGTACTTCAGATGAGCTGCTTTCCTGTACATGAGTCCGTTGGCAGCGGATTGTCCGAGATCAGGACACCACCTCACCGGGCACTGGGCACTGGGCTGGTCGTGCTTTCATGCCTGCGGCGTCAAATCTGTAACCAGCTACCTTTATCTCATGCAAGGAACGCAAAGCCCGAGTATGTCAGCTATTATTGTGCTTTCCAACCAGCGAACGGGATGAACCTGTGAGGCTCTGTGGATTTCAAAAGACGACTCGTCACCCGATGAACATTCCAATGGCATCGCTTAGATTGACCGTTGTCTGCTCAGTTGACGTTTGCGGTGTATTTGCTCTCAATGGCATACTAAGTAGTTATCGACGCTATTAGTTTGCTACAATCGCCTAACAATTTCCGTTTACGACGGATTTCTACTGCTACCTTCATTGGCAGTCATCAGCACCGCCGTATTTCGAAGTTGCGCTTCTGAGATGGACGCAAATTTCACTTATTGAATAGATTGCTTCTTCAAATTTTCTCGACTGAGAAGCAACGGAGTCAGTAAAGCATCTCAGTGCACCAAGCGTCTGTCATCTCAAGTCTGAATGAACCAATGTTCCACTTCTTGCTAACTCCTTGACACCTGCGTGGGGGCATCCTTCTTGATGTTGAATTACCTACGTCTTGCCTCGCGGTATTTACTTTTACGACATGAGCGGGAATGTGCAACCGTTCGTGCTGTGCTCAAAGAGGTTTTTATACTTCAATTAGAGACCGTTCAGCATGTAACTCGAACATCAAGCATGTACATAGGGCTGAGTTGACAATTTGCTGACAATATCAAAACCAGTCCAAAGGTGTCGGAGAAATTAATCATTCTAAAGAAGATGAGCTGGAGAAGTCGAGATATATCGCGTGATGCTAGCTTTGAAGGGATCGCAAAGCTCAAGTTGACTTGAGCTGAGTAAGAGTGACGATGATAAGTACCCCTCCATCCGTTTTAGGCGCGGGAATACATGCCACGTTATGACATGAGGGGCTTCCCGCCCGCGGCGAATGACTAACTCCATCACGTGATCTACACCCAGCAAGCTGGCTTGAATAAGCTCTGCCATTGGTTCGGAAGGCCCCAAGATGTGGGGGCCAAGACTCTCGAGCCTCAATTCCTCCCCACGAGTGCGAATCGGTGCATCACCACTTCGGACATCGCATCCCAACCCCAGCGACGCGACGCTTTTGTTGTTTTCCTCCCCAGCCCTCGCCTTCAACCGGCGCATTGCGTTTGACCTTGTGCTTTGGTAACATTGTTATCTCTGGATGTGGTTCTAACCGAGCAACCCGGCTATAATCCCGTTTATGCCTTGTCGCCTTGCTCGCTCTTTTCGAATCTGGCTTTGACGACATCATGATAGTTTTGGGAGCTGCGATACTGAAAGCCACAAATCTCTCATTCTCTTAGTGGTGAGTCTATTTTCTCTTCTTCGCTGGCAGAGCTCGTCGCATGAGCGGCAGTTGCATATTTCCATGTTTGGCGTTTGATGTCTCGCCACTTCTCAGAAGAGCAAACCGCCCAATTGCCCGACTGTCACATCGCGCAGTAACATCAATAGTGGCAGGGGCGAAATGTGGGATATTTTGACTCCTTCCACATCAAGGTTTCTTCTCTAGCTAGATATTTATCTCACACCCGTCTATCTCGGGCTCTTGTCTTCTGCCAATCAACATCTACCTCGCCATCCTACGTCAGATATCTTTGACTCGATGCTCGATGCTGACCAATACCTAGTATACAGCTATCTTTTTCCTGCTTTACCACGAAGTCGGATCAGAGCCACCATGTCCTTCTTCGGCTTCGACCCGACCCGCGGCGGCGGGCACAACACCGCTGCGCCTGGCTTCTCTCAAGCCCACGATCCGTTCGCCGGCCTCTCTCGCGGTAACAACGACGAAGACGACGCTGTCGAGTTCGATGACACGTACGATGGTTTGGGAGATCAGCTCGAGGAAAGCGGTGATGCCTTCAACGACGATACCTTTGGCGGCGGTGGTGGTGGAGGAGATACCATCTCGGCTGCCCCAGTCGGCAAGGACTTCGACTTCTTCGGCCAGACCGCAAAGGTCTCCAACGCTATCGAAGAGGAGCAGGTCCGCTACAGTCGTCAAGTCCCAGCTGCGAAGCCTGCTCCTGCTCCCGCTCCTGCCCCGGCTCACATGCAGCATCATATCCCCCAGGCTCAGCCCCTCCCGAACTACTACTACCAAAGCCAGCCGGCGCCCAGGCCTGTTCGCACCGGTTACGAGAAGTACAAGGAGGATGAGCCCATCCCCGACCTCCACGTCGACGCGTCTCTCTGGGGCATGCCCTCGAAGAAGCCTGTTGCCCCCGAGCCCTCCCCAAAGCCACAGGCTCCTCCTTCCGGCGGCCGCAAAGTCATGAGTCTCGAGGAGGTCGAGAAGGCGATGCGCGAGCAAGCTACCAAGCGACCGACGCAACCAGTCGAGCTTTCGTCAAGTCCACATGGCTTCCCCCAGGAGCGTGTCGACTACGGCCATGCTCGCCCAGAATCTTTCCAGCAGCAACAGTCCTTCCACGGCGCTGACCAGCAGCAGCAGCAGCAGCAACAGCGTGCTAGCCAAGCTCCTCAGCATCCCGGCCAAGGTCATCCGGTTACAATCCTGCAGCGTCCTCAGTCTCTGACCTCCAAGCCTACCCCTCCCATTCAGAACACACCCAGCCCCCTGGCTCAACCCCCGCATACTCAACCTCCTGCACAGCCAACTCAGATCTTGCAAAACCCTAACCGACTCTCGGGTGATGCTGCTCGCATTGGTGGTCAGGGACCTCAGCCTCATGGCAACCAGCAGCCTCAGCAGGGTCATCGATCGCAAGGTTCCATGGGTCGTGTTCCTCAGGTCTCCCAGCAGCAGCACCTGTCACATCTTTCCGAGGACGAGAAGGCGGCATACTTGGACCAGGAGACCAAGCGTGCCAAGCGTAACCACAAGATCTGGCTGCTGTCCAAGGATAATGGCCTCATGACACCTCAGGACAAGAACTTCGTCACCCGCATTCAGCTGCAACAGCTGGTCTCGGCCACTGGGAACCCCATCGACCACAGCAATGACGACTCGATTACCGAAGACTTCTACTACCAGGTTCTCAGCCAGATTCGCGGTGGCCAACGCCAGAACCCGAACCAGCCTCTCAACAACTTCGCCCAGACCTACCTGTTCCAAACCGGCAGCCGCCAGGGTAACATGAGGAGACAAGGTAGAACTGCCGAGAATCACGTTCAGCGCATGGAGCAGCAAGTCCAGCGGGCTGTCGAGGCGGCAAAGAACAAGCCCAAGAACCCTCAGCTTGTCATTGCCGGCAGTCTCGGAAAGATCTCCTTCAGTAACGCCAAGACACCGAAGCCTCTTCTGAACATCAAGCGCACCGATAGCAGCAGCGATGCTCAGCGTGCCGGTAACGGCAAGCGCCAGCATGGAGAGTTGGACCGCAAGGCTATCCTCAAGAACATTGAGAGTGTGTATTCTACCGTTATGAAGATGGAGGACCACGCGCGCCATATTCCCCCTCCGCCTGCCAACGGCAACGACGAAGAATTCCACGCGAAGCACCAGGAGTGGTTGGAGGTGGCTCAGGCTCTGAACGGCCAGCTCTGGCAAGACCTCAAGGTCCACGAGCCCATTGGGGCCACAACTATCCACCCCTTCATTGCCTTCCTCTCGTTTCCCAAGGGCAAGAAGGCCATTCCTCGCGTGTTCCGACACATTAGCTTCGAGCAGCGCACTACCATCTTGACTATGGTCATTCTCCACCTGGACCAGCTTGATGTTGTTCGCGGTGCCCAAATGACGGATGGCGAAGTGAACTTGAACGCTGCTATGCGCGAAAGCATTGAGCTCTTCTCTGCTGCGGTTATGCCCAGCCTCTTTGCCTACTTCAATGAGACGGAACTCGACATCGTGACTGGTGTCCTTGGGCTCATTACGAAGCTTAACATCGACCTCATTGCCAGAACCCGTGTTGGTTGCTCGATGTTGACTCTCATTCTGAGTCGTGCCGAGCTCCTGAAGCAGGGCGGCGGAGGAACCCCTCAGCTGTGGGCTGACTGGTAAGAATCTCCAATCATGATGATCAAACACACACTAACAAGTCACAGGGAGCAAACTTTCAACATGTTCTTCAATATTCTTGAGCCTACTCTTCACCATATCTTCCCTGGAAGTGTCAACACCGGAGAGGATGTTGTCGTTTGGCAGCTGTTGGCTGCCGTCGGTGTCAGCGCGAACCCTGAGCAACAGCAGCGTCTCGTCCTGGCTGTCAAGGATCGCGTCCTGGACACGGTTGCTCACGCAAAGACGCTTCCGGGCGCCATGGCAACGACTCGGTTGGCTACGGTCAATCTTTTCATGCACTCCATCGGTTTGGATGTCGAATTGCTTCAGTAAGACAAATTTACGTGCGAATGGAGGGATGATTACGGCGCGCACTGCGCCATCACACATGCTTGGGACGCTACACTTGTTCGATCGTTGCGTTGAAAGCTTGGGATACTGTTACGCCTTACTCGACGCTTGGCCCGTATTTTTAAGGGCATTGAGATCACTGGGAAGTTGTGGTACTGGGGCTACAGCTTTGATGGAGACTTGAACCTGCGGAGGGGCATCCCATTGCAATATGCACAAACATATCTCGTGTACATTACACACACGACTCTACGAATGATGCCGCCATAGTATTTTTAGCGGCGCATCGAGACCAGCCTTGCTAGTTAGAGCAAAAAAAAAATCTGCATTTGAAGTAATAATTTGTTCCTGTTCCAGTTTTTTTCTACCTCATACCGCAACGCCTGAGCTATGCAAATCAAGACAACCCGTATTAAGCTACTGCTATGTTAGATCCATGCTTGACGATGCTTGCGCAGGCGCAGCTCTAGCTTTGCCACCTCGTCTGGATGCTACCGCACCTCGTGCCTTCGGCTTCATCTTCCGTGCCTCTTCCTCCGCAGCAGCGGCCGCGGCCGCCTCAGCTTCCAGCTCTGCTTTCGTCATTACTTTTGGCTTCTTGATGCCGCTGACGGCCTCCAATAGTTCATCGTCACCCCACTTCGTCTCCAACCTGGCCATGGTCACAGCCAAGTCGACTACGGGCTTCGTCTCGGCCTCGCCAGCGGCAATTGCCGCCTTCTTCTTTTCCTCGTCTTCCCCAGTCGCCGGCGGCTTGTTGCCGTCCGGCGCACGGAGGATGAGAGACTCCTGGTAGATATCCCAGGCCGCCTCGTCGTTCTCGTCGGTGTACTTGAGTTTCCGCCAGGGCTCGATCTGGACTGCGCGCAAGCGGTCGGCCATCGTCTCGTTCTTTGCCGCCGCGCCGTCGGGGGTCGTCTTGATGGTCATGTGGATCGCGCGCGCCGCGGCGCTCTGTCCTCCCGCTCCTGCACCTCCTGCTGCCGCGCCCGCGGCCGCGTTCTCCTTGGCAGCGGCAGCGGCTGATGCGTTGCGTTCTTGTTGGGCTGCGGCGTCGATGTGGTGGAGTTGTGGACGGAGGTGTACGAGGTTTGTGACGGGGGTAAGGTGTAAGTCCTCTGGTTGCGCCGTCAGAAATTGCGTTCTCCAAGCGGGATATCAATGTAAACACTGCGGTACTTACTGCCTTGGAAGACGCCAATCATGTACTGGACCTCCTTATGGTCAGGACACTGTCCACCAAGAGTCTGCGTGCGCAGGACCTTGTCCTGGCGCAGGGCCTCCGGCCACTCGAGGTACATCTCGTCCTCGAGATCGATCTCGCCGCGCTTCTTGGGCCTCGGGGGCGGCGCGCCGACGCCGAACCCGCCAGACAGGCCGTGTGTGCCGCCGTTCTTGGCCTCGAGGCTCGCCTTGAGCTGGCGGCCCCACTTCATACCCTTCTCCTTCTCGTAGGACTGGGTGTAGTCGAGGGGGATGTCGACCTCGACCATGCCGGCGCGGGTCTTGAGGCGCATCTCGGAGGGGCCGGCCTGGCGCGGGTCGGTGCGGTTGGGCTGCTGGAGGACCCAGAGCTTGCGGCCCTGGGGCAGGGAGGGGTTGAAGAAGACGTCGTAGGAGGCGACGACGGGGTCCGGGTCGGAGGGCTCCTCGATGGGAGACATTGTTGCTGTCGGGGCGGGCATCGTGGGTTGTGTTGGGTGTGACTCCTTCTGCGATCGGGAGGCGTTGGTTAGAAGCTAGAGGCGACCGAGGTGAGTGCGGCGTGGGAAATTTTTGGATTACAGCGGATGAGTTACCCCACGGTCGGAGACGTCAGGGCTTATCGATAAGCCTGTTGGAGCTTGTCTCGGGCAGGTGGTGGGGGACGAGCTCTCCTTCTCCGTCCACCTTTGTCTCAGACCCCAGCTTCCACTTCTCAACCCTCACCCAGACTTGCCACAGATCATGCATAGGTAACCTGGAAGGCGACTGAGGTCGCTAGCTTCTCAGTCCTGGCCCAATTTGTGATGTTGAGAGGATGATATGAACGAGGGCGTGCTTCCAGAGACCCTAACTTCAACCGACCTTCATCAACCCAACATTGAGAGACCAATCGACTGGACAGCGGAGGACTCATGATGGTCACATATCACCAGATTACAGAACGACTCAGCACTAACATATCTATCATTCACGAGCTCGTGGAAGGATTTAGTCTATCCCATAGGTACGGCAACTTGCGCATCATGGTCTCGTTGATGACGAACAATGTGCAGCGTCCTGCATCCACCGTATCTACGACAGTTGCAACGACATCAGCTGGTCGTCTTTAGCTGGGCTGTAACTCGCAAGCATATCCTTGTAATTTTCAAGGAAACACTCAGTCGAATCAAAGTTGTAGATTGGTCCAATTGAAGAGACTAATTCTCTAGTTCGCCCGGCCTTACGGTTAACCTGCAGCTTCTGCAGGTCTAGAGCTCACGCAAGCAGATTGAAGCTACACGACCAACTCCAAGGCTGCAAGGCTTTAGTCGTCGGAAGTATCGCGTTCCATGACAACTGGCAACGCTACGACTAAGTTTGCATATCGTTCGGGCTAACATGATCGTAGCGCTGATGGGAGCTGCTAAACACCACGTGAAGACTTACACAGACAATGGAGAGATAGGACACGAGTCTCTGCAACTCAGTTAAAGATGTGAGCACGGCCTTCCAACTAACGCAGGTTGCGAGCATGCGAAGAGTAACCCAAAAGCATCTTGCCCATCATGGCAGCCGACGTTCCCAACTCGCTGAACTGGCTCTCCTTCGTCACTGGGATCCTCGGCTTTGCCCTGACGACGCTCAACTTGATTGCCTTGTACGCCAACTTTGTCGCCACGATCCGGTCTGCGCCCCATGAGATTCGCGATGGCCTGGGAAACCTCCGACAGCAGCTCTGCGAAGAGCGAGAGGCGCTGCGTCACCAGACCAAAGAGATCAGATCCAAGAGCAAGCTGCGCCAAAAGGTCATGCACTTGGGGATGGGAGACAAGAACGCCAACAACGAGGCACGCCGGGCGTTGGAGTATGCCGAGAAGACGCTGCCGCTGCACTACCTCACGCTGCGCGACCTCTGGCGTAACTTCAAGGAGCTCGAGAGGCCATTCTTGGTGGCGAGCGGACAACGAGCTGAGGCGATCCACAACGGGGCTTCGTGGGGAGAGAATGACCTCGACGAAAAGGTGCACAGAGACTTTGAGAGGAATGGCGAGATGGCGAGCTTTGCGGACTGGACCGCGTTGTACAAGTGTGATTTCGCGCATCGGTTTATCTGGTGGCAGACCAAGGATGATGTGAAGAAACTGGGCGACGAGGTGATGAGGATCATGGCGAGGAGGACCGAAAGAGAAGTCACGTATACAAGGATGATGGTCAGGCAGATGTTTCTCGACGATGGGTCTACGCAGACTGTGAATAAGGGCCCAAGGCGTCCAGGGGGAGGGGGCGGCGGCGCTGGCGGCGCGAGGAGACGCATGAGTTGGGGTCCCGGGCCCGCGAGGAGAAGGACGCCTCCTCAGCCAAGATACAACGAAAGCTCGTCTTCACAGCGGAGCAGCGACGACGAGAGCCGGGCGAGTAGGAGAGGCACCGACTTCTCGAGGGACAGAGATACGAGCCCTCCGCTCAGCGAGCATCGACAGAGTCACACAAGGAGCGACGCTGCGACTGTGGGAAAGCATCATCACCAGCCGCATCTCCGGCGGCATCACAGCAGAGGCAGATGGGAGACGGTCCGGACACGGGCCAGCCGGGCGTATGAGGTGACCGAGGGCCCGGGAGGCAGGGGCCCGAGGGTGATTGAGATAATCCCTGGAAGCGAGATTAGTGAACATCCGCGAGCGCGGGAACGGAACGCGGAGAAGTGATCGGCGAGGTAATTTGATCCTGTTACGAATACCAAGATACGGAAATATTTTAGTTTGAGGTTGTTTTCATGGACTCTTTGCAATTCTGCGGCATTCGGGCTCCTTGAACAAAAATCTCATCCAAAGTGGTGACGATGATAATACCGAGGTTCTTAATGAGGTGACTCTATCACACGTCCGGCTCACAAGGCATCAGATAACATTTGAGATTTGATGGTTTCCAGTCTCATGTTCGACTTGGAGCGATTAAAATGCAGCTACTTCAGCGTCATGAAACCCGCCTTAACCCGTGTCCTCTCTTCCATGTTCTTGGTGAACTCTGAATGCGCTAGTTGCTGCAAGACGCAATTTTACTGTGTTAAGTGTTGGTTTCCTACCTCGCCTATGTAGCTGAGCAAGATTGAGCTTCTGCTATTGTTAGTTGTTGTATCAACTGAGTTGATTTTAGGCTACGGGGATAGGGCAGGACGTCTGTCCACTTCCCGTCTGTCGTGTTGGTCAAATCCCCATATTTTACCCTTGTTCAAAAGCTAGCCACTGGTTGTGTGTCGAACGGTAGATCAGTTGGTGAAAACGGAGCTTCTTGCTTAACCGTTTTTGGGTGAATTCCCGGGAGGTTTCTGGGTTCACTGTAAAATCTCCGAAGCATCGTTATGATGCTAAAGTCTTTAGAGGCGATCATTACTTTACCGATGCTACATCCAAAGGGACTTCAGAGAATGCATCTGTTGTCTTGTGCTGAGCGACAGAAATTGACTTGGCCTTTTGGGGATTCCAAGATGGAAGGGAATCCATCCAGTACGGTAACATTGAAGGAACATGGCAGATCATCTACCAGGATTGGCAAATGAATCGTATGTACAGATCTTTTCCCAATTCGAAAGCATGCACTTCGTTATTTTCATGTTGGTGCGCGTGGCAGTCAACCATGCCGTAGCTACTTATTGCTTTGAGTTCCTCGTCGCGCTTTTCGTTCATGGGAACTCGTCTTCTCAGCATACACTCCTTCTCACATTCGCTCGCTACTTCACTTCGCGCCCAAGATGCGACTCAACGCTCGCACTTCTTTTGTTGTCACAGCTCACGCTCTCTCCGTCGTTCATGGCCTCTCTATACCGCTTGTCGACGGTGATCTTACTTCGTTATTAGGGGGCATTGGTGTTTCGGTACTAAACCCCATCCTATCTTCTGTTCAGGCAGTACTCTCAGGCCAAGGGCTTGTGCAAGGTGTTTTGGGCGCTGTCGAAGGTGCCCTTGGAAAGGAAGCCTCGTATGATTATGTCGTAGTTGGAGGTGGCACGGCTGGCAACGCCATCGGCTACCGACTTGCAGAAGCCGGACACTCAGTTGCCATCATCGAAGCCGGGATCAACTATGAGATTGCTAAGCCGGTGTTGGGAACGACGCCGGGCGGCGATATCATCGGCATCGGGTCTAGCATCTTGGACACCATCCCCACGGTCGACTGGGCGTTTCTCACAGAGCCACAAACTGGTGCCAACAACCGTAAAGTTCACTATGCTCGTGGAAAGTGCTTGGGTGGCAGCTCGGCATTGAATTTCATGATTCACCACCGAGGCAGTAAGAGCAGCTACGACATGTGGGCTGAAGAGGTTGGCGATGACAGCTACAGGTGAGCATGAAGTAAAGCAACATCAGAAGTTGCGAATTATTCTCATACGGAACAGATTCGAAGAGCTCCTCCCTTACTTCGAGAAATCGACCAACTTCACTCCTCCTGACATCACGAAGCGCCGGGCCAACGCCTCGACCCAGTACGACCCCGACGCCTTCAGCAAGCCCGGAGGTCCCGTTCAAGTCGGCTACACCAACTGGGTATCAGTCTGGTCGACCTGGTTGGAGAAAGGTATGCAGGCCATTGGTATGGAACGCACCACCAGCTTCAGCAGCGGCAGCCTGCTGGGATACCACTACTCGCAGTCCACAATTCGCGGATCGGACCAAACCCGCAGCTCCTCTGCTGAATACATCTACAAGGCTGTCGACGAGAACCTGAAAAGCCTCAAGGTATACACTCAGACTCTGGCCAAGCGCATTGTCATAGGCGAGGACAAGGTCGCGACTGGCGTCGAGGTGAATTCTCTGGGTATCGACTATACCATCCACGCAAATAAGGAGGTGATTGTTTCCGCCGGAACCTTCCAGTCTCCGCAGCTTCTGATGGTCTCGGGCATCGGTCCTCGTGCCACGTTGGCCGAGAACAACATTCCTCTGAAAGTCGATCTTCCGGGTGTTGGACAGAACATGTGGGATCACATCATGTTCGGTCCCGCTTACGAGGTCAACTTCGACACTCTCGACCGCGTCCTCCATGACCCCGTTGTCCTCGCCGACTCCCTTGTTGACTACGTCGCTGACGGTACTGGTCCTCTGTCCTCCAACGTTGTCGAGTTCATCGGCTGGGAGAAGCTGCCACAGAAGTACCGCGACACCTGGTCTGCTGAAACCCGTGAAGCCTTGTCCCAATTCCCGGATGACTGGCCCGAGGTCGAGCACATCAGTGGCAACGGCTACATCGGAGACTTCCGCTTCCCGGCTCTTCAACAACCCCTTGACGGCAAGCAATACGCAACGATCTTGGGAGCGATGGTGGCGCCCGTCAGCCGAGGCAACGTCACGATCAAGTCTGCCGACACGGCGGTGCTGCCGCTCGTCAACCCCAACTGGCTATCCGCCAAGGCCGATCAGGAGGTTGCCATTAGCTGGTGGCGACGCATGCGTGAGGTATGGAACACTGACGTCGTGCAAGAAATCGTCATTGGCGATGAGTACTGGCCCGGCTTGGACAAGGATACCGATGAGGAAATTCTTGCTGTTATCCAGGACAGTCTTATGACGGTATGGCACGCTGCTGGCACCTGCAAGATGGGCAAGAAGAGCGATGAGATGGCGGTCCTTGATAACGAGGCGAAGGTGTTCGGCGTTCAGGGGTTGCGAGTTGTTGATGCATCAAGCTTTCCTATTCTGCCACCAGGTCACCCCCAAAGCACCATCTATGCCCTGGCGGAGAAGATTGCTGCCGAAATAATAGGGGCATAGTCAGAGAACTTCCTTGTTGATTTACTGATAAATAATTTCAACCTAATCGCTTTGGTAGCACGCACTTGCTTGCGTCCTGAGTGAGTCAATGGCGCGCAGTACTTGATCCAACATAACAATATTTAATTGACGTTGACTACGATGGAAATCCTGAAGAACACGAGAAAAGCCAAAACCCGAATTTGTGAGTATTAAAGACGAATCATCCGTATTTCTCGGGACGATCATCGCGCGGAGACCGAAGCCGCTGACAAAGCTGGCTTCACGCGGGGTTAGCGATCTCGCAGCCAGAACGGCCTGCAGAGCTCTCATTCTCCGTACTGCTGATATTGCTTGGTTAATACCAACTTAAGCTATCGTCCTCTTCTCTCTAGACGCAGATAACATGAACGATATGCCAAGATTATCTCCCCAGCCCCATGGTCCGAGTATACCTACCAGGCTGGGTTCTTGTGACACATGCAGACGGTATTAGCATTACCCTTGCTTATGATTTCTAGCTAACCAAGAACTTTGCAGACGAAAAACAAAGTGTATGTAAGCTAGCCCCGGACAAATAGCTGCTCATGAACTCACTTCGTCAACAGGTGACATGGGAAGACCGCTCTGCGATGCATGTGTTACCCACGGCTGGAGCTGCTCTTACACCGTCGCTCGAAAGAAACCTGGCCCACGTCAAGGTTCCAGGCAGGCCAAGACGGTTGATGTTCAACGTCGCCTTGGTAAGCATCCGCTTCTATTTAGTGGAGTCTGTGTTGGTCGTCACACTCACGACTCTAGACCGAATCGAGGGTCTTCTGCAATCCCAACGGGCTGCCGAAGACGTCGCCTTGTCGGTGAGCCCAGCCCCCGGATCTCAGCAAGGAGAACAAGATGTCGTAGAAGGGAGGAGATCTTCGGAGCCTACGGAGACGTCATTTACTGCTGACATTGATTCTGAGCTGCCGGACCAGCATCTGCCGTTCATCGACGCGCTCAGATGGACGGATGCGAAGAGCATGTCGCCAGATGCTAGAGCCAGCCTCAGCGAGTCTTCTGCCCTGTCAAACCTCCTCCCGACGGCTATACAACCGCCACTCAGTTCAGATATGCAACTGCACTTGTAGGTCGAAATCCTTTCTGCCGCGTTTGCCTGTGTCGGTTGTCTCATCGCGCCCTCGTCAGATTTTCTCTCTATTTCTCGCGGGTGACATTGCCCGTACCCATCTTCTTCGAAGAGAAGTTGTACTGCGATTACAACGCCGGCCGAGTGCCGAGTTTTCTTCTCAACGCCATGTTTTCTCTCTCTTCTCGGTTTTCAAATGAGTCTGAGGTTCTCGCTTTGGGCCAGGGCAGCCGAGTCCTTGCAGCACAACACTTCGCCACCCAGGCCAGCCATGAACTCAGCAAAGTGACCAGGAGAAACTCGGCAGCGTCCATCGCTGAAGTCAAGGCGGCGTATCTCCTAGCGTATCATGACTTAACAAAAATGCCCTCGCGCACCGCCGCTGAGCGTTGTTCGGGAGCCGTTAGGGCGGCTTATGTATGCCGTCTACACCAGTTAGACAATGCTAAGACGGCACCCGAAACGCTCGGTCATCTGTCTGACGTGGAGAAGGAGGAGATCCGGTGCCTATGGTGGGGTCTCTTCACCTTGGACACATTCTCCAGTATGTTGTCGCAGGTGCCCTCAAGTATTGAAGACTCCAGCATTGCGACATGTCTGCCGAGCCTGAGCGTTGCCCAGGCAGTCGCGTCAACCCCACTTCCAACTTCCAACGTATACCTTGAAGATTCTCTGGAAGAGATTTGGGATCTAGGAGGAAACGAGGAGTCATACAGCGCGAAGGTGCAAGCCGTTCTAATTTACGTGGTTGCCATAGCGAGAGACATCACTACTGTTCGACGGCTTTACGACGAGAGTCCCCGTTGCCACCTGGACAACCGGCTATTTCAGATTCGAGAGAGATGGGCTTCGCTATTTCGAACACTACCGCAGTGGTTCTTCTCGTCCAACCGTCACCATGCCGACAGGACTACAGAAAATCACCGCAAGCGGCTGGAGGTATTGAGCATGATTAATATGTAGAGACTCATCATGCAACAGGCGGAAGAGACGTTTGCTAATTTGAGTAGAGAAGGAGCGATCGCGTGCTTCCCTCCCCTGAACATCGGATTAGATGAAGCAACCACGCCAAGAGACGGCGGCGATGAGCTGCAAAGACGATGGAAGACTTGCATATCCTACGCCCTCAAAGTCGCAGACGCACATCGCGTTTGGACGGCGGAATATCTGGATAGAGCAGATCCAATCATGCTCCCGATAACTCGGCTGGCGGCTTGTCTTCTCATCTTCGAATTGATGAACTCAGGGCCCGTTCTCGCTGCAGGGAAGCTCGACGTTTTGGACTCGGTCGATCTTCTGATGCGTTTCTTGAATCGCTGCTCCCGGTCTTGGGGCATTGTCGGCGTCCTACTCCGTAAGATCTCCTCCCTCACAGACGGTCCTTCATTGTTGACAACTCCTTTTTCAAGGTTCACTGGAAGAGCTTCGAGGGCAATCTTGGAGGAAGCTCAGTCTAAAGGCAATCTTTCAGTTGCTGTCGACAATAACTACTCCACAGAAGCAGTTTCTGACGGTTCAATCAACCGAACCGCCTGCGATGACTCTCAACTCCCTTGGAGTGACCTCGGAGGCCTACGCCGATCAGGATGCCGCTATGGACCTGCTTAGCTGGAGTTTCCCTCCCATGGGTATGCCGCCAACGGAGCCTGCATTCCTAGATGGCTGGTTTCAAAGTCAATAGGCCATGATATAGATTTGTGGCGGGTTTGGCTCGACGAATACAGACAGAACATTGGAATATCCGGAGAAAAGAACACTGTTTTGTAACTCTCTATTGCCCTATCTGTCGAACATCACGACTAACATTAAAGTCACTGAGTCTTATCTCATGATCCTTCCAGTTCGTAGCTTGTCATACAGTCTACGAAATCCAGGGTCCCTGCCACTCCGAAGCGCCGACATCTGATGGAGGACGGATGCCGGTATCGCTGTCTGTGAATACCGTAAGGACCGGGTCTTTGTATGTTTGATCTTTTGCAAAAGCAATCAACTCATGATGAAGAGGGTCTTTCGAACTCCAATAAAACACGTCGCCCGGTGACTTGAATTTCAAGAACATGGTAACGTTAAATCCTAAAAGAGTTCGTCAGACGAGTAACCACAGAAACGAGCCTACCAAGATGGCCGAAGCATGCAGGCTATTGATTGTGAAATGAAACTCACCATGCCCTCGATGAGGGCGGACTGGGAACGGAGGCTTGGTCGCCCCCGCATGGGCCTCAAGAATGTAGCTTTCGCCATCCTTCTTCGCCTTTGCCGGAATGGTTTTCACAAACTCGACAATGTCGGCACCCGCTTTTGGAGATTTCAGGGACCACAACGCCACGAGATACGTAGGCTCCGCGTTTCCCACTTGGCTCGTTCTTACAAGCAAGCGTCAGAGACGGAAACTGTCTGTGAGAAACCTCTTCTAGGTAGGTCTACTTACAGGTGACGGCTAAAGAAATCCAGTAACATCTGATAGCCGTGGCGGTACTTCTCCCTAACGTTAGGATCCTCAAGATCTCCGCGGGCGGCCATCCAGCCGTGGACCTGGTCGTTGAAAGAGTGGACGTGGTTTGGGACGCGCAGGTTGGCTTGGAAAGCAGACACCGTTGCTGCGTCTTCGTCTTGCGAAGCGAGGACACACGTAGGCACCGCCACTTTCGTAGCATCCTCAGGGTCCAGCATGGCAGGGTGTGCGAGAACAATAGCTTTGAAACCTGTGTTTTCACCGCTGCACAATGTTACCGGCTGAAAATAAACGGATTCTCAGTACTCCTGTCAGAAATACGACGATGTTTTGCCGGAACTTTACCTTAGCACCCCAGCACATGCCCAGAGCAAAAACATTTTCAATGGAGCTGTTGCTCTTTTTGACAGCTTCAACGATTCCAGGAAGCCGACCGGCGGCTTTGGCCGGATTCCCCGTGTTGCTGAAGAAGTTGCCCAAGGCATCACGGTGCTTCTCTGTCGTCGGCGGGTACCACGAGATATCAGCGGCTTTGCCCTCGAAGAAGTCGGGCATGAAGACGCGGTAGGGGTTGTTCTTGTCGCTGAGGGCCAGGATGTCGGCACCCTGCAGTACCTGGGACTGAAACCCGAAGATGTCGTACAATACGACGATTGCGTTTCTCGCCGAGGGAGGTCCCGTCACGTCTGTAGCACGTGATATGTTAGATATCCGGCTCTCGAACCGTCGGGGAGTCCAGCAGAAACCTCACATGTTTTGAGTCCTCCGATGTTCTCGTAGGTTCCCTTCTCGCTGTAGCCCTTCGAGATGACGGGAGGTATCGAGCAACAAGCGGCGGAGTATGACATGTTTGTTGTTGTGTTGGTTCGTTGTTTTATTGGTTGACAAGATTTCGCGCCTACTCATTGTTCGAAGCAAATGACAATAAGTCAAGACAATGTATTCATTTATAAATTTATGGAATGTGTCCCGAACAGCAGGAGGGACTGTTCAGAAACCAATGGGGACGTTCGAAGTCTAGTCGCCGGGTCATACTTTCCGGAGCCGAATGGCGGAAAGATTTCGTCGGACAAATCGGCGGTCTCTGGAAGCTGTCGGTTCAACAAAATCCGCCGATAGAGGCAGAACAAAAGTTACGGCAAGCCCGGGCAGCGCAGACTTCTTGCGGAGTCGGGGTACACGGCATTTCACGCAGCATGGCTCCGAAGAATGAGCGCCGAGGCACCCGACGTTGAAATTGGATTACATCCGTTGTCGGCTCGGCGTCTGACGGCTTGTTGTGCGATCATGAAGGAACAACATTTCGATATCATCACTTCGCAAAGGAGAATCCGCTTATGTTCTTGGATCCGAAATGTTGAGAAAATCGGACTCGATTTATCTCTGTACTAAGATGTCAATTATTGCAACTCACACTTCTGACATTGAATGCTGGCTAGATTAGAACGTCAACTAGAATGAATGAGTCATTAAGGATATTGAAAGGAATTTGCCTCGGATCTGTACCAAAGAAACAATATTTTTGTTTATGATGAGATTATAAAACTACACGTATTCAACTGCAAAGCACAAGAGCGAACTTTGCACTCCATCCTCATGCTGAATACCGGTTGAAGCCAGGCTGTAAATCAATTTTCAACCATAGGTGCTGGGAATTAAGGTCGCACAGCCACCATCCGCCAACAAGACCGCGCCATTTGTATAACCGCCTGCAACCGAAACCAGATAGAGAATGGCGCCTGCAGCCTCAACCTCACGACCAGCTCGGAGCACAGTTGCGCGCGAAGCTGGAACAGACCCGTCATCCTCTGCCCTCGGTTCAGTCAACTTGAACAGAGCCATCTGCTCAGTGAGCTCGGAACGAAAGCCTTGTGATGCATCAGATATGTGTTTTGACAAGGAAAGACTTTGGGAGGTTACTCACCACCGAGTGCCAGGGCATTAAAACGGATCCTCCATGGGGCGAAGTGAGTTGCCAAGCTCTGGGTAATCTGTCGCACGCCAGTCTTGGAGATGGCATATGCAAACGATCCATGCAATCCTCTGCAGTATCCTCCGACACTTGACATGCCGATGACTTGACTTTGCACAGGATAGTTGCCTTGTTTGTTACCTGCTTCGAGCAGAAGTAGAAAGGAAATGGCCGTGTAGAAGGACGCAGTGACATTGACGTGATATGTGTCGGTCCATTCAGCCATGTCCAAAGACAAGAGATACCGTTGGTTGTCTTCCAGAGTTTTCAATCCTGATTTGTCGTCGCCCATGCCGGGGCCCGAACGGCCAGCACAGAGGATGAGCAGATTGATGTACCCCTCCCTTGCAGCGATATAGTCAACACACTCCTTGACAGAGTCCTTCGAAGTCACATCACCAGGTAGCGGGATGATTCTTCCATATTTCTGCCGGGAATCTTAGTGGCACAGTACATGTTCATGGACGTCAAGACCAACATACTGCATGCTTCGACGCCGCGTCCAACTTTTGCCAGTCTCTGCCAATGATATAAACCTTGGCAGCGCCATTCGCTTCGAGGGCTTTAGCAAACATCAGACCCAAACCTGCAGGCTGCATTTAGCACGTATGACTGCGGGAATCCAGCACTAGGAAGGGCTGGCCATACCGGAGCCTCCACCTGTAATCACGGCAACGAGGCCGGAGACGTTGAAGACGTCCCATGAGGGTGCGTTGGCTGGAGGTGACTGGGACATTGCTGGGCGGCTTCTCTAACTCTCTCCAGAGGATAAGTCTTGCGTGGAGAAAGCCACGGTGCACTCTCAACAAGGTGATATATGTACAGATCCAGAGGGCTGTATTGAACGATCCGAGCAGTCCGATGGGCCTCTGTAGACCGTCATATTCTGCTCGGGGAACTCATAATTGAGAAACGGTGTACTTCACGGTTTACCCCGAGCCGACAGACGGAACGAGAAGCACATCTCCGACGAGGATTTCCTGGCGAGGGAATTGGCCCCGAGAAGACAAAAAAGATATGCCGAGAATGCCACAGAAAGAGTGTGAGTGTCGGGGGATTTAGTTGCGCCGCACTTGATCCCCAACCAATGAACATGAGCCAACCGGAGCATTACGCCGCTACCTTAAATCAATTACAACTGAACACTATGCGACTTTGGAGGGCGAGAAACGGCCATGATTGGATGGTTGCTTCCGAATTAAGCATTTAGAGTCCCTCGAACCATGTTGTCTCTAATGTCCTGCGAAGAATATCTACTACATGATGTGTCGCGGGCATTTTGAACGATAAAGATGGACAGCACTATATATGAAAACTGAAACCATCTTTGAATGAAACTATGAAAGTGGTCTGGAAATGATTATATGGCATGTAAATTTCCCAATTCCCGCATTTTCACGGCGTGTGAGTGTGCGTTGCTGTATGGGTGCCTTGCTAATACCTTCATGCTTGCTCTACATATCGCAGCGAATTCGCACTCCCTAAAATGGATTCATCCTTCACCAGGTTCTAAGGATGGAACATCGTCCCACGCACGATCAAACCCCGCGAATCTGATCCATGCTTCTTTTCGGTCGTGGCCTGCTCGGCCGACTGGATCCTCAAGGGACCAGCTCTCCGCGACTGCCGTAGCCGCTTTCACGAAATCATCCTGTTTCACCCGGAACTCAGGCCGATTCTCGTAGGGGCGACTGACATCCTGGGCATGGATGAGGGCCCGAATGATTTTGCATCCGTGACCATCGTCTTTGTAATTCAAGCCGCGCTCAATGGCATCAGCCCACCCGCCCGGTCCTTTCCGCGGCTTGTAAGTGCGGACAACACTCAAGTCTAGCTTGGGGCATCCCATGGCTATGTAAAGCATGATGCTGTAGCGACCGAACCATGAGAGAAGACGGGCCTTTCCTTGACGACCTATCCAATCCTTCTGAACAATGGAATCCACAAGGATGGAGCAGTTTGTCGTATGTAAAAGAAAGAAGTCTGCCCTTGGCTCCTTGCCCAGTCGCTGCGCGCCGGCCATGAGGTAGGCTACGAACATGCTTCAGTTGGTGATACCTCTCCAGACAGAAAGAATTGACTTACACGTCGAGTTGCATAGTTCTGCAGACTTGAGTTGAATCTCGCTCTCCAGCACAGTGAAACGACTGGCGTGCTCGATGACGTCCACTTTGCTGGTGCCTAGAAGTCCTTCACTGTCAATCACATGAAACATGTCTTGGTGCAAAGAGTCAACCAGCTTCTTGTCCGCCGCGCAGGCATCCAATATTTCGACCAGATTCAGGCGGTCTTCTCGGCCAGAGGCGCGTTCCTCAATCTCCAGCATGGCTGTTGCTACCTCTTCATCATTTTGTGTACAGGCCATAGCCAATCCCTCACAGACGAGAAAGGGAAGATCGAATTCAAGACCAAAGCCTGTCTGAATGAGAGGGTGAATGTAGCCTTCCGCACATGTTAGCAATGCTCAAGGCCGAGTCCATGCTGTGGTGTGGACCAAATGCGCACCCGTCACCATCCTGGAGAATATTTCCGTCGACCACTCATCTCCTGAAAAGAGGAGTCTGTTCAAGGCATCTGTGTACCCATCCCACTTGAAACGAAGCCTGAATAGCTCGAGGAAGTTATGATACTGATCAGGGTTGCCGAGAGCGCGCTTGAAAGCCCCGAGGTTCGAAATCGTGTGCACAAAAAAGACATCTTCTGCCCCCTTATCTTTTTGGTAGCCCTCATGGCCTTTGAAGTGCGATCGGATGGTTTCGGCGGTAGCACCCAGCGAATACAAAGTCAAGGCATGGTGGGCGAGGTGGTTCTGCTCTCTATGTCAAAAAACGGGAACGGCGCTGGCTCTGCTCAATGAGACCGTGTCAACTCACGTGCATCAGAACTTGATGAACACTCTGGAAATAGACATCGAATTTGTCGTGATTCAGTTGCAAAAGCTCCTGAACCACATCCCAGGCTGGGTTAGTGGCGCCCGGCGGCGGAGGCTGTCGCAGTATGGGTTGGAACGTAAGATTCATTTGAACGACGAGGAAAATGGGTCTCCGCAATCAAAATCATGGAAGATTGCATATAACGGTGGGGACGTAATTAACATCGAATGAACACTATTAAATACCGAAGCAACTTAGAGAGACACCCAAAGAGTTAAACAGGCCTTATATGATGTGTCGATGACATCGGGAGAACTGGCTTAACAATCCTCCCGATAATGTTTCTGAAGTTTCGCCGAGAAACCGGACATCGTATTCGATCCGAGTCCGAATGGGGCCAACCGATGAGCCGATCCTAGAGGGCCGTTCGGCACATCCTGCTAGGTAGGTAGGAAGTGCCGATGCCGGTACCGATGTCGGTGTCGGTGTCGTTGTCAGACATCACGGAGGTATTAGATACGAAGTGGTTGGTTGACAGTTTCCAATGTTATAAATGCCTGTGTTTCAATATCTGGGTAAACTGCGACATCCAAGATTCAAAGTTCAATGCCTATTTCAAGATTCGATACGTAATCTCACAAAAGACAGATCAAAGCCAGCCGTAACAATGACTACTATCCCGCAAGAGCCGATCGACGCCCGCCCAGAGGCCAATCTTCGCATTCTCGTTGTCGGCGCTGGTGTGGCTGGCATGTTACTTGCCCTAGAAAGCAAACGCCTAGGCCTCTCCCCCATCATTCTAGAAAGAAGGCCCAGGATCGAATATGCAGGTAAGTCCCTCTGCCTTACCTTTCTTTTCAGATCAGTCATTCTGTTATGACTATGAAAGAGTAACAGAGATGTTAACTTTGCGTCTTTGGATAGGAGACTTCGTGGTCATAGGGCATAGCGCTGTTCGGGTCTTCAAGCATTGGCCTCTACTCAACGAGCGCTGGAAGGAGGAATCATATGATGTCGAATCCTATTATAACCGGCACACCGGTGAACAAATTGTTGGGCCAACTCCTCTCAAGCCATCGACCGGACGGCCCTTATTGAGAAACAATTTGATGTCGATGCTCGAAGAAGCTGTCATACGCCAGAAGATACCCATAAGGTTCAACCAGAAGGTGATCGAATTCTTTGAGGACGATGACTGTGGAGGAGTTGTGTTATCCAACGGCGAACGTATCTCGACAGATATAGTGGCAGCATGCGATGGGGTTCACTCAACGTCGTGGCGTCTCACCACCGGCAAGAAGCCCGTCACGGTAAGCAGCGGCTCTGCTGTCTATCGCACGTCCGTCTCCGCGAAGCATGTTTTCAGTAGGGATCCGAGTTTGGAGAAACGGTTCGCTCTGCGCGAAGGACACCCTTACTTGAAATGGTTCAACGGACCTGGTATGCACGGCCTGGTGTTTGGTGAAGGTGACAAGATCTGCTGGTCTATCCACCATCCGGTAAGTTGAGGGCATTGCACCTGCACGCTAAAACTCGGGTTCTATTACTGACTTTACACTAAGGAGAATGCAAACACTTCAACGGAGTCATGGAGCGCAACCGTTGACAGCGCTCTTGTCGCGGATCAACTGTTGCAAGAGCATCCGGATTGGTCTCAAGACTTAATGTCTCTGATACGCAACACGCCTGATGGAACTGTGAACGATTGGCTCCTTCTGTTTCGCGACCCCGAACCTCAATGGGTCTCCAGAAAGGGCCGTGTTGTCCAGGCTGGAGATTGTGCTCATCCTTTCCTGCCAACTTCTGCCAACGGAGCTACGCAAGCCATGGAGGACGCGATCACGCTGGCTGCTGCACTGAGGTTGGGTGTCGACACTGGTGCTTCAGTGAAAGAGAGCCTTGCTGTATATAACACACTTCGGTGAGTCTGCTTTGCTTATAATATCTTTCTCTTGATTCTCGCATCTTGAATACCTTACGGCAATGCGAGAATGTGAGTCAGAATCAAGATGCTAACGCACCACTACAGATTCGAAAGAACCTCTTGCGGACAGCTAATGGGAACTCTTCATCGCCAGGCCCACCATCATACGGATTGGGATGAGGTGCGCAGAAATCCGAATCTTTTGGCGCAGACTGGTCCGGGACGCTGGATCGGGGACCATGACCCTGAGGCGTACGCTGTTGAACAGTTCGGCACGTGTCTTGGGAACATACGCAACAATCAGCCGTTCAAGAATACCAATACTCCACCGGGGTTTACATATAAGCCATGGTCGTGTGCTGATCTGCTCCGCCGTCAAAAGGAGGGCGACCACTTACATTTAGAAGGCGAATGGTCATGATCTGGGTCCATGATATCATAGTTTGGCATTTGTTCTACCTTCTCAGGCTAGAAATGGCGACTTCTTAGATCTGCAATAGAATTTGAACTGAGGAGAATAGGAGTCCCTCCAAAACCCCTATCAAGTGGATGCCTAGCCACATCGCTGAGAACAGAAGATGTGTGTCTTTGTGCACCTCCTCGTGGCCACGTCTGCTACATTGAGGCCTTCTGACTGTCTAGACTCCTGACCGTGCAAGGCGGTTCAGGAACTTGTGATCCTGCAAGTCTGCAAGGCACAAGCCGAAGAGTCCCACGTAAACAGGCGTCAGGTCATGCGGGCCGCAAGGACGCGTATCTCCGCTGGCTTTGCGCTTCTCCAAGAAGTTCTCCAGTAGCATCTTGAGAGCATTCTCCACCGTCTGTCCTTGAACATGAGAGGCCGATAACGTGCTGGTATCGCCGACATCGGTCGATTCGTCAGGTGATTCTTGCTCGTACCTTGCGTTTGGGTCGAGGTTCTGGTTGAATTCGACGTCTACCACGGCGGACTTGATTGATGCTGCTTCTTCCGGCGTGAAGTATGGCTCGCTGATGTAGTGCTCATCTGTGGTGGTGTTGAGACGTTGTGTAGAGGAGTGATTCTTTGTTACGTTTCGTAAGTCGTAAGCCAAGACGCGCATCTTGTATCCCAGATTAGGATCATCTCGGATCATCGAAGTTGTGAGCGTTGACAACGTCGATGAACCTGGTGGGACAGATGATGATTCACTTGTCTTTACTGCTTTGTGAGGCTTTCCTGGGGCGTTCTTGACCATTTTACCCTGGACGACTAGAGGTAATATTGAAGTGTTGTATTACGATTGAGACATAAGAAGGGTGGTTGAAGATGGCCGGTGTGCGTGAGACCTAGGTAGAGAAGGAATCGGGAAAAAAACATGGTGCTTAAAATTCAGGCCAGATAGGAGAAAGTTACGGATAAGTTTGTGTGGCTGCCCATTGCACCGCAGACGTTTATCAGTGAAGTTACCAAAAGCGCAAAGGGTTCTCCAGATTTACTCTGAAAGATGGTGCTCTCAATACCTCGATGGGTAAAAGGAATGACCGACGGTTCACTCAATGTTAGTCAACACCAGAGACCATAGATAGTGCGAGAAGATTAGCTAATTCTTTATCTTATTGGCCACCAGCATCAGGTTCCTTGGTGAGGTCTTGTAATCGAAGATAGGCAGAACATCCACGTTACTGCTTCCACTCTCAATGAGAAAGAGGTATCGATCCACTGCTATGGTGCTCTCAACAATCTTGCAGCAGAGCACGCTGAGCGTCCATAGTATCGCCACCTTGCCTTCGTAGTCCCGAAAACGCTCCTCGTATAATAAAAGCTCCTCGTCACTGATGATGGCCCGGTCAATACCGAGAAACTGAATAGCTCTGCTTGCAAATGCCGTAAAACTCGTCATGTCTCCCTTCCGCACGCCCCAAACTGGCCTATTTTCCTTGTCGAGTTTGATGCCCTTGTCGAAGAAGACCTTCTCCAGTAGCGTTCTGTAGAAGCGTCGTTTAGAGTACACAGAGTCCTCCTTGCTCAGATCTACCCTTTCCCAATTGTTTGGAGCTTGGCAGCCTGTCATCAGTGCTGTGGCGCTTAAAGCAACGTTTCTGTCCCTCATTGCCGTGCTGATAGGGAAACCGTCGGGGCAGGCATCAGAAAATGGAACGATGTGGTTGTAGCAGCATCCAATAGCGCCCAAATTTGTTATACTTGGAACTTCCGTGAAGTACCTCAACATATGATCGGACAGGTTTCCGCAAGCATGTAGGCCGACGAGCATACACTTCTCCCCTTCAGCCCAGGCTGCGATTTCAGTTGCAAGAGACTCCGTGCCGTCGATGTAGCGCAATATGTGCCGTAGTCTGTCATCAGAAACTCCAAGGCTGGTAGCAGAAGCTTTTGAAGCGGCAATCTGAGACTCGCTACCGTCGATGGCGAGCACGCGAAAGTATGGGAAGAGAAAGGCGAGCGATAGAGAGAGGTAGCCCTGCCCGGATCCCATATCGATAATGCGGGTGATATTATTGGCTTGGCAGACGTTCGCGATGTAGGCCGTCGCGACAGAAACTTCCTCGATCTTCTTAGTCTTCATTCGACTCGTCAAGACCTCTGGCAGATCCATCATCGGCCCTTGACGTTGAGCACGAGGAAGAGCGAGGGATTGGACCGTTTTCAGCCATTCGGTAAGTGATTCTGGTCGATGTTGAAATTGGCCCAATTGGCAATCATGGGATTTATCGCCTTGGGAGAATGTGGTTGTGGTTTCTTCGCTGATGCTGTCAATCAAGTCTTGCTGTGCCAGGCGATGGTTTGCAAACTCCGACCACCAGGTTGTCCATTCTGTGGGTAACGCCTCCCAAGCATTGTAGATGAGAGCATCATTGACGTGGATATCGCCGGTGATCTGACGAACTAGGGGCGTACTGATGAACTTCGCCAAATCATCCGCATATTGGTTGACGTCGGTGTGTGATTTGGGGAGAAACAACATAGTTCAAAGAGTGAGGTGTAAGTGTGAAAGTGAATGAAGTTCCCGGACAACTTGAAAACCTCGTAGTTAAGTAGCAGGCGGTAAGAAGCGGCAGAATTCCAGTGTGCCACGGAACCTCGCATCAGGTTTCTTACAAGTGCTGTCTATTTCATATGAGGCCTAAGAAAGTCACATTCTTGAGTTTCTGAATCATTAATTATCCCATCCCTCCAAAGTGTTCGTCGCGGACTCTTGAGGTAGCCTTTCCGCAGGCGCCCAGCCACGATCATAGAATATTTCCTCAACCAACCCTGGATGACTCTCCCATTGCCTGGCAATAAGAGCTTCAGCTTCCATATGGATAATTCTTTCTTTGTCCCAAAAGACATATCCCAGCTGCCTCAGGAGTTTTGGCACGTAATCCCCGATAGCGTTGGAGTATTTTCCATTCCAGAGAAGGACCCACGCAAACGGCGGTCCATCTACATGGTTGTCGCCGAGAAACTCCATGGGTTGTAACTCAGCGTTATCTCTCGCGTTATGCGCATTGTCTGTCAGTGTTCGCCTGTCGTCCTGTGCCACAGCGCTGATAGACTTTCGCAAGGAGTAATCGAGATTTACGTCGTGGGTGAGACACCAATCCATCTTAGCAAGAAGTTTATCGTGATCCTCAATGACCATCATCCGCATAAAAACCTCCAAGCCTCTTGAGACGGTGCCGTCCATGTAATCTGTACCGCCAGGGTTAGCACGAAAAGCCCGCTGTCTCACTCAGAGATGAACTCTTTTTCTCTTACCGTTATGTAAAGCAATGAGATCATGGGCCTCATCTCGGAATGATGTACTGACATTGTACTTCGGATTGTCGGGGTGCAGGTCTTCTTTCACCTTGTCAAACATCTCGTCGTATTTTTGTCTGACGAACAAGTCGAGGCACCCAATGGCCTCAGATTCCCAGGGTTCAAAGAGTCCGAAAAATATTTCGTTGATTACATGGTGACGAAATGCTCCAATGCGACGCCCCTTGTTTTGACCAAAAAGGCGGTAATAAATATCGTAGCGATACACAGCCCTGAACATGCGAATCTCTTCACTTCTGCTCAGCTCCATGTTGCCGTCGTCCTGTATAGTGAGTGCTGTTGTTTCGCCTTTCTTAACTCCTGAAGCGGTAGTGGCTCCCAAATTCTCAAGTGCCCAATGACTGTAAAGTCGAACTAACGGTTGAACCACGCAAAGATGATACCTTGCCATCCATCGAATTTCACCATCTCGGGGGAGCTTAATATCAGCCTTTTCCTCGCCGGAAAGACCAGCCTGGTAACCATTCAGATATTTGGTAATTTTCTCGTCAGTTCTGTCTCGCCCCAGAACTCGTACTCGAGCAGCCAAGTTGGCCAACGCGTCGAGAAGGTAACCATCTAACTCGAAAGCCAAACAATTCCGAAGAATGGTATCGCGACTGTCCAGGTATTGTGCGTGCATCACGGGTGACGCTCGCACCAGCGATCGCAGCGATGATGTATTAGGAATTGACAAGAGCAACTGAAGTCGTAGCTCGGGTGGAAGATTCTCAAGGGTTGAGGTCGATCTCTCGCCGAGAACGCGCCTTTCATTCGTAGGAATATCATGCGGGATCGTCTCGGGATTCGTGTCAATAACGTCCCTGGCGACATCGTCCACACGATGGTCCAGGACCGCCATTTGATTGATGTTTTGAGAAATTGAAGTAATAAGACAGTCTTACGGAGAGTATCGCGTGTGCGGTTTCGTCGTTCAGGACAGAAAGCACACGGTGATGGGAACAGCCGAGGGCGTGCTGAAGACGGAGGAAAGTGTTGTCGTCATGATTGTTCACGAGGCGGGGGACGCCAATGGTACCCGACTAAACTCTCTGGTTAACTACCACATTAAGCGCCGCTCTGGCAGAAGCGCCGTTCTTCAGGATGGCGAACCAATTGCAGTGGGGACCGCTGCGGGATTGCATTGTCCATTAGCATTGCACCATCAACCAACAACATTTTGGTTGCATGGGCCGTGGTGCTGGCTTATTGTACCCTGCGCCGCGGCTATTTCTCCCTTGTAAATGCTTCTTGCTATCTCTTTCAATGTCCATCCTCTTCCTCGTTACCTCTATTATCGCCATTGTTATTCGTGGTCACTGTTCAAGTAGCCGACCAGCAACGATGGAAGGGCACGTTCTAGCGGGACAAAACTACCTTAATCCCGTAAAAAATACAACACTAGAGCTTGAAACTCAGATACAGAGTAGAATCGACCTTTACGATGTCACTAGTGAAACGAGGGAGCATGATAAAAGGACCCAATTTTGTGCAATAAACACGGACAGAGATTGCGAAAACCAGAAACACCGAGGAGCTGAGAGCGGCGGCTGCTACTACTCACAAAGCAGCGGCTCGAAATCATCAGAGGCTTTTGTAATAAGCAGAGCTGATTTTTACAGGATGCATCTGGCGACATACTGCAATTCTATCTTGATTTATTTTATCCCAATATCAAAGTTATTGCTACCTTGAATCTATTCTACAAACTCAACTAGGAGCAGTTTACCTAAACCATCTTAAATCCGAGCCTTAGAGACGAAGTTGATGTTGGATTTGCCGCTTCGTATTCTCAAATAATGACTGAATTCATTACATTTATCCTGACATCATAGCTAGGGGAAGGATGGGGTGAAACACATGCTTCTGAACCAAGAGCTAGCAGTAAGATAAGTACTTAGACCTACTAATCTGAGAAAACGGTGCTACTCGGGTCAGCCGGGGCTTACTTCAGATCGCTGAGGCATGCAGATTCAGCCTTGGGCGAAAGGGTTGATATGAACATTAGTGCGAACGATGGGTGCCTGACACATTTGTTTGCGGCGCGGCCAAGGCTACTGTCTTAAACGTATGATCCAGCCAAGCAAACGAGAACAGTAGCAAATTAGCAAAGCCCATCGTAGCTCTCCAACTTCTCAAGCCACATGACAATGTCTTACGAGACTGATCCTTCGGCATGCGTGCCGGTTGACGAGTCTTGGCTTCAGGATTAGTTATAAATTGCTGGGAAGTTCATTCTCTGCGCTGAACCTTCTCGCTCCAAATCAAAGTCAGAGCACAGCAGTTCTATAATCATTCAAGCAGGCATGGGTAAACTCAAGCTTCTTCTTCTCCTTTCGCAGGCGATCTCCCTGAACGTTGTCGTAGCACGCCTTCCGCCAGTCATAAGAGACGACTCCCCTTCAACTCATTCACAAAGCCCACGAAACTCCGAGCCAATTCTGGAGCCCACGTACACCGATTTCGGCGACGGCGTCTCATGGCAACAATGCGGCTTAGTCTTCAACGGCTTCATGCTATGTTCTCCCGGCTTTACCTGCATCGACAACCCACACCCCAGCTCATGCGGACAGAAATGTGACCAGCTGGGCGTCTGTGTCAGCAATGATTCGCCAAGATGCGGCGGCGGATTCTCTTGCCCCGATCAGGGGAGATGTCGACCAACGATTCGGCAGTGTTTGCCCCCTATTGATGGACCTGGGTGCGCATCGCTTTGCTTCAAGAACTACTGGGGTAATCTGGAAGACTGGCCTTCGATAAATGATGGAGAAACATCGAGCCGGAGAAGAAGGGGCCGCCGGGCAGAGTCCTCATAAATTCTATAGGTCCTTATGTATGAGATCAGTCATAGTCCGCACTAAGATGCCGGGATAACAACAACTAAATCTTGGATTGATGATGCTATGATTATGTCGATCATTTTGTGTGATAAAACAGTTCATTGATATTGCCAAATCACTTCTCCCCGAGGGTCACATCGCACCTGTTCGCTGCTGGCTTCGAAACCAAGAAGCTCACCTGATGCATCATTTCATCCGTCATGTTCTCGGAGAGTCTTAGACCGCGGCACTTGCGGAACAGTAGAGCAATCGCCAATCTCATCTCCATCCACGCCAGAAATACTCCGATGCATGAGCGCGAACCGTTACCAAACGCTGCAAAGACGTGCTTCTGTCTGTCACTCATGGCCCCGGGCAGGAATCGAGACTCATCAAACCTATAGTTGTCAGCAAGAGGAGCTCTGCAGACGCAATGTGACAATTTACTTGAGCGGGTCTGGAAAAACGTCTGGAAGACGATGCATGGTGTACGCCTGCGTCGCTATATCGATACCACCAGGGATGAAATAGCCCCCAATGTTAATCCCAGAAGGTGGCGTTTCTCTTGGGAACGTTCCCGATGCAGCACCGTAAAGCCGCAAAGTCTCATAAATGACAGCGTTAAGCAACGGCAGCTTTTCAAGAACTACGTCGTCGAAGTTATCACCCAAACCACACACCTCATCCTCCAACCGCTGTTGCAGTTTGGGTCTCTTGAGAATAGCCCAGACGACGTAGACCAGAGTGTTCGATATGGTATCCGATCCCGCGATGAGCATGTTCGAGGCTTCGATCCGGACAATCTCATCAGTGAGTTGCGTCTTTTCGTTGGTTTCGCAGTCGGCCAGGACCGCGGCGAACAGATTGGCTTTATTATCCTTGTGTCGATGAAGATTCTCAACCGCCTTTTTGCTATATTTGATCATCTCGTTTCTGGTGTTGATCATCAGCTGCACCGATTTTGAAGACAAGAATGGAAGTCTGATGACTAGAGTGTGTAACCAGGGCAGCTCTATGCGTCGAGCACTAGCCGCCGCGGCGGCTTGGAGGACCTCAATAAAGCCATTTTCCTAAAGCAGTCATGGTTATTCAAGTCAGAACCACCGAGGCCATTCCTGCGTAAAACCCACCTTGCCAGACTCCAGCAGTTCAAACGACTCGCCGAAACATAGCTGGCCAACAACATCGCTCGCCATGAGCGTCCACCACTTAAGAACATTGGAGGTCCCATTTTCAGCCTCGGCGCAAATACAATCCGTCGCCTTCTCGACTTTGGTACGCACCAAAGCCTCGCAATTCTGTCGGATCGAAGAGACCGTAAAGGCGCGGGCAAATAGCTTTCGGCGAGTAGCGTGCTCCTTTGGATCTCTGATGGTGAAGATGGCGGTATTCTTTGCACCTCCGGAGATCTGCCGGTAGTACCTGCCCTTGGCGAAGCCGGACCCCATCCGATGTATGGCGATGAAGCCGTCGGGGTCGGCTACGGAGACCTCATTGGGAGTGATGCGTATGACAGGGCCGTAGCGCCGGTGGAGCCCGTCGATGTAGTACATGCGCTGGCCTGTCACCGTGTAGTACTTGAGAACCCAGTGCGTGAGGCTGACATACCATGGCGCTGGTATGTGCTTGAGGGGCGAGGACCATGCGGCGATGGCGAGCTGGGTCAAGTCAGCAGAAGTGACAAGTTGAGGCGGATGCCAATGCGTACGCGGATTGCCAGGGGAAGGCCAATGAAAACGACTGAAACAAATAGCAGCGCGAAGGGACTCAGTAGAGCCATTGCGCAGGATGTCGAGGGGTAGTGAAAATGAGTTGGAGGCCACGGGGCGAGATATGAGAAACAAGTTTCTAGTCTCGAGATGGTAAAGCACTGAGTTGGAAGGAGTAGTCGCTGCCGGGCCTGAGTGGCTCTTCTCAGAAGCTGTGTCTGATAAATCAGAACGAGATTCTTCCTCCTCGCGTTAAGTTGTGGTTGATGTTGCTTTGCGTCTCGTTGTACGAGGATCCGTCTGCAGTTCGGGCGCTTCTGGTGTGCAGCTGCCGCGTCGTCATCCGTAATGAACGTTGCAAGATGCCTTGGGCTAATCTGTCTCCCCCACTAAGCATCAGACAGGAAATGCCAGGTCTACGGATACGTCGGCGATTAAAGTTTGTCAACAGAGTTACCGACGGGAGTGGGATGAGATGAATACGTGACTGATCTAAGCGGCTCTCGGTATTATATCCAGGCCGAGTTAACTCAACTCTGTGGACTGCTTCGACGAGCATGACTTGTCAGCAGCAACTCATCATCAAATTAGACAACATGAGATATGCACGACGAATGTCGGGTAAAAGTACCCTTCATCATTGAGACTTCTTATTTTGGTCTTCAAATTCCAACCCCCGAACGCCTCAATTTCCTTCGCTAAACGTACAAATCATCCCAGTCAATTTTGGCGTTTCTTCATGCTTGTTTACAAGCGACTCTGCTTGATCAGGTGGGCGTTCACTGGAGTAATTGCCTTGCCTGTCTTCTCAAAAGAGAGGATGTTTTCCATGCCGAGCTTCTCGAAACCAATGTGCGCATCTAGCGACGCACCGGCGTTGTGCGAAAGAACCTCGACGTTTCTCATCTTGATGAGCTCCTTGCTGACGTGGGGCTCATTGAAGTGGACATCGAGTCCGGCAGCTGAGAGCTGTCCACTCTTCAACGCGGCAACCAGTGCCTCCTCTTCGATGAGCTTACCACGTGCAATGTTGATAACCTGAAAGTTGTTAGAGAGAAATTCGCCCTGCGCGCACTCGATTCTGACGTACCTTGGCACCCTTCTTCATCTTACCAATCGCCGTCGCGTCGAGGAGCGTCTTGCCCGCAAAAGGCGTCGCGACCAACACGCAGTCGGCGGTGGCCAGCAGATCGTCGATGTTCTTGTAGTAGGTCGCATTCGTGGGCTTCTCGAGCTCGGCGGGCATGCGGACGACGTCGTTGTAGAGGATCTTCATGTCGTGGGAAGCGTATGCCTTCTCCGCGATGCGGCGACCGATCTTGCCGAAGCCAATGATACCAAGGCTGAAGCCGTTGGGGTTACGCGAGACGACGGCGAGGTTCTTGTTGGCGTCGACAAATTGGTCCGGGTCGCCGGAGCGCGCGGCCGTGGATGACCACGAGAAGAGGCGGAAGATGGAGATCAGGAGCCAGATGGCGCCGTCGGCGACGGATTCTGTGCAGGCTGCTGCAGCGTTGCAGTAGGTGACCCCTGTGTGATTGAATGTCAGCTTCGCAAATGGCATTGCGCGCGTACTCGAGGAAGCCATTCAGCCAAAGGAAGGATGTGAATGGCTTCAGTCATGTCGCAGTCCGAGCGACTTACCCCGCTGTGCCAAAGACTCCGTGTCAACCCAGTCGAAACCAGCACCGGCACTGGCGTAAATCTTGCACGACGACGGCAGAAGCGAGATCAGCTCCTTGTCCCAATTGCCCATCTCGCCTCCAGTGTTCCAGAATGGACGGTAGATGGCGAAGAAGTCACCAAACTTCTTCTCCTTCAGCGCCTGGATGAACTCGGCTCGCGGCATGCTGTACGAGCGCCTGATGTCGAACTTGGAGGAGAAGTCCTTGTAGAGATCATGGTTCCACTTGATGTCGTCGCCGAGCTGTAAAACGATAGGCTTGCCCATTTTTGCGGTATCTCTTGACGAGGACTTGCGGAGGGAGATTGTTCAGTTCAGAGTTCTCGAGAAGGAAATGCACGAAGAGGCGACGAGCTCAGAACAGGGCACATTAAACAGCTGAGAAGCTCGGTGTGCATTCCGCCGTAATATTTATACTATCGGACGATGTCCGCTGTCGGGGGTGTCTCGCTTGACATGATATCACAGTCCTCCGATTGGTTTTTGTTGGGCTCAAGTCGGCGATATTTGCCCTGTTTGGGGAGCTCTGAGGAGCTATCCCGGTAAGAAACCTGGAGCTCTACATCCCCGCCCCCGCAAATAACCCCATCACAGCTCCCATGCGGGCACTAACGCGCCATGTCCATTTGCCGGCTGTCCAAGGACGGCCAACAGCCCCGAACACCCCAACCCCGATGATCCCCGTTGAGCCGCCAGTCTTGACTCCTGACACCCGAGCCCCGTGGGGATGTTTGTTGCTTTGGCCATTGCGGGTGTCTTTCATGTTAGCCAACTGATTGGGTTCAGAATGGCTGATGTTGGACGCATTGACATCCCGCGGAATACCCACCACGAAAACGGCTACCAAAGCCGGCACGCCCCAAGCAGCAATACTCTCTACATCGACAGCCTCAAGTTAAGGGACGCTTTTCATGCTCGAGAGAGATTTGTTATAACTTTTATGTCCAGAAAGCTGAACCTAACCAAAGGAAAACCAAGCGAGCCAAAAAAAAAATCTCACTATATTCGAGAAATCACGTTGCGCTACATGGCTTCTAACTCACAATGAGATATGACTTTCACAGATAAGTTGTAATGAAGTGTGTCTGAACGTGACTTAAGCCAGATGAATACCCGTTGGCTTCAAATCAACTTCGCAGGAGACTGACAATCGATTCGACCATAGAAGAGGTGCCGTCAACAAGACACGCAGGACGTTTGTTTACAACGAATCCAACGCTGTTGACCTCGGCACCTCCCAAGACCACCCAACATACACGATCAACGGAGATAATCTTGACATTCATCCAAGAACTTGTGTGGACGCTTTATATGAACACGCAATCGTGAAACATCTCCCAGATGAAGCTGATCTCATTCTGGCCGAAGGATTGACGGCTTGGTAGACAACTTTTCGCAAGCAACCTTGATCTACCGTGTCCAATGCAGGTTGATAAGATGCTGTCTATTTGACCTTTAATACACGTCAGCCTCGCCGAGTTCAGACGTCTTACACGGCCAGTCTGCTTAACGCTCATGATTCCTCAACGCCCGCTCCGATAGCCAAGTCAAGCTCCGCCCAGAACTCGTCGCCCCATTCGCCCCATGAAGACGGGTTCAGAAGAGCTTCCCAGCTAGACATATCCACGGGAGGATTCGACAACATTGGCTGACCATTATGAATCACATCATCGCATCCCAGGTATTTGATGGCACATCTCTCTAGATACTTCCGAGCGGACGCCTCGCCACCAAACACCGAAGATATCTCTGGCGCCAGCCTAATCGGGTTGTCACTTCCCTGGGGAAGATTACAACTCCTCTCATCAGATAAGGACAGAATGCGACGGAGAACCTTGAGGCCATCGTCGATGGTTGCGATTGACCGCCGGTCTTCGGTCGAGCCTGGCGCGGGGGGTTGCAAGTCCGAGGCGATCATCTCGATGTCGTGACGAATTGATACAGCATTGGCTGGCTGTTCGACAAGGAGAAAGGTGGCAAGTACAATAGCGGCTGAGATGACGTGATAGGCTTGAATGCGTAGCTTGTCGGACCTCTGGAAGCGCGCCTCGTCTGGTGATCGGATGGCCTTGTAGAGAGTCAAGGTTGACGACCCGGCTGCGACGCAACGCTGGAACATCTCGCCAGCCTTGGGTTGCAGAAATGGGCGGTACATACGTACCCTCTGGACTGCTATGCAGCTGTCGAGCAGATGGTGGCCCCATAGAACAAACCCGAAATTAGGCGGGAGAGCCGGGTTCTGTATCGTCATGTTTTGCGCAAGGTTCTTGAAGTACCATGGAAACTCGTCCGTGATGGCAGTTAGTTCGGCATCGATGCTGGAGACGAATGCGTGAGAGCTCAGGTTCGCGCCGTTGTCTATCCATAACTTGTTGAATACTTTAAATATTCGACCGCGAAAGTGATGCATACTCATTTCCGTTGGCTCATTGAGTGGTCTGACCTGAGCGCTGACTGAGTTTATATCAACGTCGTTACAATTGGAAGGAAATGGGACGTTTGATAAGTGTGACTGAAGTAATGGCGGCCTTCCGAGACACAAGGATTGGAATCTATTCAGAGTCAGAAACTATGGCCATCATATGTGATAACTAGAAAGGGAACATACGTGTCTGCACCGGCAAGATCCCACCAAATCCGATGTCGTATTTCTCTCTCCAAGCAGTCAGTAACAGAAACGGGACTCTCCCGGTCGAGGCCTAGAGCTTGTGCGTTGCGGATGGCTTGCGCAAGATGTCTGTTCAGATAGCACAGTCAGCTTACATGCTTCTCGGTGGGACAGAGTGGAAACCTACGTGTTCAGTGCTTCGATATCTTTGGTGCCATACCAATAGAGCTGAGAGACAATGAAGACTTGGAGTTGAACCAGGGTGGGTTTGGACTCAAATCCGCCCGATTGCAAAGCCTGACGGGAAGCCGAGTACCATCGGTGAGATAAAGTAGCCAAATCCGAAACCTCGAACCCAGCCGCTTCAGCCATTGGTGCCGGAATATAGAGAGAGCTGAGAGAGAACATGATGTAAAGTAGTGAGAGCCATATTAGATCGACGTCTTCAATATCAGTAGACCACAGTATGGAGTACTGAACACGAAAAGACGGAGCATGTACTGCATGGTAGATCCAGTTGATGTTCTCGAAAAAATACGAGACCAGCAAGTCGGCTTGCGTTTGTGTGGGAAGCAAACTAAGAAGGTACCGTTTCCAGAACACCTGCGGCTCGTCGAACAAAGTTGGGTTCTTAGACGAGAAAGGATTCTGTAGGGCTAGGGATGCTACGGAAAGCTTGAGACCCGTATTGAGAGCCGTTGGTATTTTGACTTGATTTGGTATAATTGGAGGCATGCCTGTAGCCAACTGAATTGGCTTCAACCTGGTCTCGACTATCTGCTGCAAGTTTGGGTCCAGGGCCATTGATATTCCTTCGACCCTATCGATGGAGGTCTGTGGTTGAAAGGATCCTTGGCGGCTACCGATGTCTGGCGTTGAGCTACTTGCTGTCACGCTCATTGGGGACGGAGGAAATGAGCTGCTGGACATCACCGACCTTCTATCGGCTACTTGCATAGGTACTGGCGGTATGGCACGTTTCTCAATATCTTTTGTAACTGAGGGTGCAAAGCCTTGCTTGATTGCGCCTTCTGGTGCCGGGTGGAGCCGGCACTGATCCTGACGGTTGTACTGGCGGCAGGTTTGACACGGCACTGTCCGGTCGCACCGAAGTTTGTGCAACCGACATGGAAGACAACTAAGAACCCTTCGGTTCCTGGTCCTCTTTGGTTTTGGTGTGAGGTCCTGGACTGTTTTCGATATATGATAAGGAGGGGCCGAGGGGTTTCCCGGCCTTAATGGCTGGGACATGATGCCCAAAGTGCAGTTTCCGGCACTTAAAAGTTACTGGACACCAGCTGACGTTGCCCTTCTTCTTAGTCAGTTCAATCTTTCTAACAGATTGTGTTCCCTGTGACTTGATTGGGCCTTAGTTATCCATAGAAGTGAATAAGCAGATGTTCCAACCAAGCCCGGGTCAGACATACCTCGGTAGTACGATTTATGGCCAGGAGGCCGGGAGAGGTCGATCTCCAGCGCCGCTCAGGGATCCGCGCTTGCCGAAGTGGGTGTTGCGTTCGGTCTTCAGCTGTGCCGCTGTGGCTAGTCGTTTTGCCGGAGTAATTGGAGGTATTGCAAGCAAGACGAGATGGGAGTGGTGCGTTTGGCTTCAAGTCCGGTCCGGTGGAAGGGTCGGAGATAGCAGCCCTACGGGATGCTTCCACTGGGGCATTCAAGATTTAAGAAGAGATATGTGCTTCGTCTGATCTGGCGAATGTGGTCTAGATATGCTACCATTGACGGCCCCAAGAGACTAAAATTGGAAAACAGCTGCCTGGAATGAGAGAAAATGGCATGTCGTTGGCGCGTAGACGCATCGGAGGCTCCACGGACCGCAGCGCTAGCGGACGCCACTGGGGTCATCATTCTTTAAGCAAACATGTAGAATTATTTGTCGGCAAATATCGACTTTTATTCATCGTCGGAGATAATTAAACTGCGGAACCGGGACTTTAACACGTCTTGTAGCTGTTCTAACGTGTTTTTTTCGACCGGAAAGTCGAGCTTTCTCCTGATGATAATTGTCCGAGAAATCTCACCCGTGGCTTACACGTTAGTCAGCGCTGCGAAGACTAAATCCCACGAACCTTTGCGCAGCACTGATTGCGACACTAAGCGCCATTCATGGAGAAAGTCGGATTTTTTTTTTCGGAGTTAACTTATTATTAGAATGTAAGCATTATCGTGATAGTCTTGCAGTCAGCGTTTGGGCGCGCGTGGCTTGGTATTCAGATGATTAAATCGACGCATTTGCCTGTGTCCTATTTACTCTCTTTTCTCTACTAAGCTTCTACTACTGTGTTCCTTTTTTGATCATCAGCTAGTCATATTCCATTATTTGAGCTATTCTATATCCGAAGGAAACATGTTGGTTTGGTTCTCGAGGTTCAGATAACCTCATGTTTGATAACGGAAACCGATCATACTACGCCTATGAGACTTCAAGACGTCTCCGAGAGTTCAGAGAACCGGCCAATTTTCGATCACGGCCAAGATCCGCTTCTTCAGTTTGTTGGCAGGAGTGACGACTTCTGGGCGAAACGACTTCGTCTACGAAAACATGTGAGGCATTGGTACTAGTGACCGTCGTCATTGAAGCTGGCCCCACGCCCCGGAATGTCGGACACCCTGGCGCCGACTTCTTCAGCGGCAGTTGATTCCTACAGCGAGTGAATATGATACCCACAACATAGCTTTCTATTCTTGTCGTCTTCGTTCTGCGTCCTTTTTCTCAGAACTCAAGGTTCTCTCGAAGGCCACCAGGTTCCGGCAGAGACGCCGGCCACCTGCTCCGGAATCCCGTCAAGTATGATATGTCACTGACAATCATAGCAAGTGACACATCAGAGCATTTTGAACTCAAACAGCAGACAAAAGTCTATAAATAAGCGAACGGCATGAAGACCCAGCCCTTCTGCAACAAACTTCACAAATTCACAATGGAAATGCTTCAGTTGTCCTCAACGGCATCTTCTCTTTGGATCTTGAAACATGAAGCCATATTAGCGGGGCATTCTGCATAGCCTAACCCTTCACATGCGCCCAAATCGTGGAGGCAACCGGCATTATTCCAAAACCGGCCGACATGGGAACTTGCCTTTCCGGAAAGCGTGGTGGCCCGTCAACGCAGTACATGTACCAACTAGTAGGAGGCCATATTTCTCGCAAAGTGTCTGTTGTAGATTGTGCACTCACGGAGATGTGACCGTGGGGTTTGTTTTATTTCTCAATGTGTATGATGGATGCTATCACATGAATGGTCATCGGAATATCGGGAGGTTGGTCAACTTCAAAATCGGATCAGGCCATTTAACAAAGACCTATGTCAATTCTTTCATACCGAGAAGCTTCCAGATGTCATTAGTAGTGAGAGCTCCATCTCAAGTCTCCTACCGTGTCATAAGTGACTTGGGCTGTTTTGTGCACAGTCTTTGACGCCAACATTTTTCTCGATCCAACAGTGCAGACCCAGTGGCCTTCTCCTGTAACCATCAATCATGCGCCAGAATGAATGGCACATAATCGTAGACCTCTGAAATAAATATTATATTTTCCGAAGCAAACAGCTCTCAACTTGCAAGCACTTGTCCGTCGGCCCGCTCCACTAGCCCCTGAGGGAGCTTTAGTGTTAACACCGCACACGGAGACGACTACCGTGGCGTTGGAAAGACCTGACACAATGTGGCAAAGTCATCGAATGCCTGGAAGCTTCAATCCTAGGTACCATGGAGCAAGCTGAGATCATCCACCAAGGTTCGACTCGGCAGTTGCGATTCTTGGGAGTTGATGTTATTGACGTTGCGGAGAGAAATGAACCCCTTAAAGCCCCTGAGAAACGTTCAAAGTTCACACTCCTTTTTCAGAAAGTCGAGCGATGAATGTAGAGTCCAGATACTTCTTCTTTGCATGCGATAGATTGGACCGAAACGTCGGGATCCCACGGATCCCGACTAGTTCTAATCATGGAAACATCGTGACCTTCGCATCCGCGATCGTTCCACTAACGGCTGGCCCATGGTCCGTGGAGCTTCAGACGAACGAGGCTCAACGGGCTTGACGCGTGACTTGCATTGTTTGTCATTCAATAAAGTTGACTGAGTTGCCAGATGAACCTGGCCAGGAGACCTGCTTTGACCATGTTCCGCGCTTGCTGCCAACTTCGGCACGCCGCCGGTGACGATAAGCCACGCGCAGCAAGTGCCTGAAACTCGCTATTTAGTGAGACGCTTACTTAAAGCTCCATCAGCCATATTAGAGTTTTCTGGACTTCTTCTCTCCACATATCTCCAGGTTCTTAGGAACATTTCAGTCTTATCAGGTGGAAACGGCGGAGTGCCAAGGCGGGCCTGCCCCTTATCCGACGTGGATTCCGCGTATGTTCTGCCAACAGGATTATTGGTCTGCAAATGTCCGTACTAAGTATTCGTAGCTGGGTATTTGGGCTGGTCTTTCACGTTAGACATAGCCATTGACTCTTCCGAATTCCTTCCACGAGCTGGAAACACACGATTCCCAAACGCAGGGAGTCAAGTGAAAGCCCAGAAGGCCAGCCTCGGCTGGATCGGAGACAACACTTCTTTGCGTCCTACGAAAGCCCCAGTACTACTGCGTGTGACCCTCCAAGTCGAAAACGGCAGCGCTTGAGAAAGGTTGGCTGCAGGAAGTAGATCATTCCGGGAGGTGAGGGGCCGCAAACCGTCAAGTAGTGGGATGGTAAGAATGTCACATCGTAAATTGCCACCATACGTAACAGATCTTGGATTTGCTGCTGGACTGTACATGTACCTGTCGATGGTAGTTGTCTGCATGCTCGTACCGTACTGTAGGTTGACTAGACTGCCGTAAAACCCGAATACACACCTAACAGCCGTGCTTGGTGTAACCAGAATGGCAGAATGGGAGAAAATGCCAACATGGCATGAATTCTCGACAGAGACCTACCTGCTGCGATGTCACCGTCGCGGTAGGAAGGGGAGCGAATATCGAATTCCTGCGAAGGAACCGGTGAGACCGTAAGATAAAACGGGGTCTGCTTGTTTGCCGCGGTTGTTTGTTTCTATGGAGCACCCGTCGGGCTGGGCTTGATACATGTATTGTCCCATTAAGCTCAAGTAAACCTGCTGAATTCAATCACCAATTTGCGAAACTTCTTAACGAACCACTCGGGAGTTGAACTTTCCAAGTTATCCGTTACAGGCTTACATGTACATGTAAGCAAGCAGGCCTGTTGGAGACCGACTCGCAATCCCGACGGCAGGGTGCCGACCTGAGCAGACGAATCTTGGAGTGACGGAATGCAAGAAGTTACCAGGATCTAGTCATGGATTCCCTGTCCATGAATCGTGCAACTGGGGTATTCGGGGTATTTGGGGTGCCGCACCCTTTCTTTTTAGAAGGGCCTTCGGCGATGGGACGAAATCTGGATATCGGCGATCATCCCCGATTGCCATGTGTCACTCTAATGTGCATCATGGATGAGGTTGCAAGACAGTTCTGCAGTTATACTGCATGTCTTGGCCACGGCAACTTAAAAAGGCTATTCACGGCATCTCGCAGCTCAGCTGGACGGAAGCTGTACATGTAACATTGGTCAGCCGTTAGCATGCAACTTATCGTGGGGCGAAGCTCATCGCCTAGGCCAACTCGCCGTTTCGACCAGCATGAACCTAAATGATTCAATACCCATGCCTTTCGGCAGATCGTTCGTAGTTGATTCCAGGCGCAATTTCCGGATGACCTCTATCATAGACTCTCAGACTGAATATGGTCCACTTCGCCTGTCAACCACGTGTAGTAGTCAGTATTGTTTCTGCTGACCGAGCCATCGCTAACACAACATTGCGCCACCCCAAGACCTTTGGAGTGCCAATACCAAGCTAAACTGATAGTCTGGAGGGACATCAATCCATCCGATCACGACAGTCTCACTACGGATACCTCACCTGCGGGTCTCCGTGCAACCCCACGTCTTCCTTCTACCCTTGGACCCTCCCTATAGGTAAGCTTAGTTACACTATTACCCACGTAATTCACTCATGACCAATATGTCGGCCACAGACGCCATCCGCGCTTGTCTGCTCGCTTGTCGTGCTCCCACCCCCTGATGCCAGTGGAGCAAAGCCTTCGAATCCGGCAAGTAGGACCGGCAGCATCAACAAGGCAGCCAAGTTACAAGAGTTGCTCAAGTTGACTATCAGATGATGCGGTCCCATCTTCAGGGGCGAGACCAGATCATATAATCATCGGGTCGTCCCGAGTCGATACACACCTGCAACTCTCAACGTCTCTTGAAGTTCACACTCGTTGTCGTACCCCTGTATATACGCACGAACATTCGTTCCTTTGTTTTTCTAAGAGTTCAACCAGCAAACACAACTCATCATGGCGTTTGTTATGAAGATTGCTGTTGCTGTGGCAGCAATGCCGCTCTACGGAGCGCTTGCTCGTCCGTCCTCTCTTTCAGGCTGCGTGAAGCGCGCAAACGATACCAACTTGCTTCCGAGTTATGATTACGTCGTTGTCGGCGCGGGTGCGAGTGGTCTTACGGTGGCCAACCGTCTCTCCGAAGATCCGAGTACGTGCTCACCGAAACTACGACGGATTTGGTGCGATTTTGAGGGCTGACACGAACATAGACGTGACCGTTCTGGTCATTGAGGCCGGCGAGCTGTTAGTTTCCTTTGGCAAAACGTGAGACTTTGTAACCAAAATGCTTATTCTAATCTTCTAGTGACGCGGGCGAGGACTTCGTCAAGATTCCCGGCTTGGCCGGTGGTGCAGTCGGCACCAAGTACGACTGGAACACGACTTACGCTCCCAACGATGCCCTCGGAGGACGAAGCGTGTCGATCCCGCAAGGAAAGGTCGTTGGTGGTTCAACGAAGCTGAACCGAATGGTTTTCGACAGAGGGTCCAAGTCTGATTACGATCGCTGGGAGGCTCTTGGAAACACTGGATGGAACTGGGATTCCCTCCTACCCTACTTCAAGAAGGTGAGCAAGCAAAGTCTCTCGGTAGCACAGCTTCTGACGTCTCCAGAACGAAATCTTTACGCCCCCTACCGCAGAGATCGCAGCCGAGTGGGGTGTTCAGGTGGATGACTCTGCCCACGGCAAGGACGGGCTGATGCACGTCACGTACTCGCCCTTCTTCTGGCCCACCACCAGTGAGTTGCCATAAAAGAAAATTGTCAAAGTTGGTAGAGACACGTGAGTTAATGTTGTCTCTTAGAGAACATGATCGACGCTGTGAAGGAGCTCGGCATCACAGTTGCCAAGGACCAAGCCAACGGAAGCCCGATCGGCGGCTACTTCTGCCCTCATAACCAGGATCCTACATCCAACACCCGCTCTTCAGCCAGGGAAGCCTACTACGACAACTTCACCGGAAGACAGAACCTCCACCTTCTGACTAGCCAGCAAGTAACCAAGATTATCACCACTGGTTCAGGTGATTCCGTCGCGGCCACCGGTGTTGAGGTGAGCTTCCGTCCAAGGATAGAAAGATAACGGGTTCCATTAAGCATACTAATATTGTCCATAGTTCTCTGCCAGCAAGGGAGCCCAGGTGCAAACCGCCAACGCAAAGAAGGAGGTCATTCTCGCGGCCGGCTCATTCCACACGCCCCAGCTTCTCCAGGTCTCTGGCATTGGTGACTCTGCCCTCCACAAGAGCATCAACGTTCCCACCGTTGTCGATCTTCCCGCTGTCGGACTGAACCTTCACGACCACGTCCTGCTGACTGTTGTCAACACCAGTATGTTCGCTATCTTTCGCAGGCGATGCATCAGGGGGCTTTTTAGAGACTGACAAACTATCGCAGTCAACACCAGCCTGCCTTTGAACAGCTTCCTGACTAGCAACGCAACCTTCGCTGCCGCGGCTCGCGCCCAGTTCGATAGCCAGAAGAACGGCCCCTTCGCCTCCCCCACCGGTGACTTCCTCGCCTTCCTCCCTCTGTCCACTTATTCCAAGGCGGGAGAGACACTCGGCACTCAGGCTGCGGCCCAGGACGGTACCACGTTCTTGCCTCAGGGTACTCCGTCCGAGGTTGTGAAGGGCTACCAAGCGCAACAGAAGGTTCTCAACGATCGTCTTCTCTCTGCTGACTCCGCTCTTCTTGAGATCATCTGGTCTGATGGTGCTATGGTTCTCGGCCTTCAGCACCCTTACTCTCGCGGCAGTGTCAAGGCCTCGTCCGCCAGCACTTTCGACGCCCCTGTTGCCGACGCCGGTTTCCTCCGCAACCCTCTCGATATCTCCCTCCTGGCCGAGGGTGTCAAGTTCACCCGCACCCTGACCGCGACTTCTGCCATCAAGCAGCTGTCTCCTTTCGAGGTCGTCCCCGGCGCAAACGTTACTACCGATGAGGCCATCTCTGACTTCATTCGTCAACAAAGCTCGACTTTGTTCCACCCTGTCGGCAGTTGCAAGATGGGCGCCAAGGAAGAGGGCGGTGTTGTTGATGGTAACTTGAAGGTGTACGGTGTTAAGAACTTGCGTGTTGTGGACGCGTCTATCATGCCGTTGGTCCCCGCCACCCACATCATGACGACAGTCTATGCTGTGGCCGAGAAGGTAAGCTGAGCAGATGGAGATCCCCCTTTATGAACATAATGCTAATATTCAACCCCCTTCAGGCCGCCGACATTATTCGTGGCAAGACTTCCTCCTAAGCAGGGCAGCTGTCAAGCACGGGGATCTTCTTGATCCTAGGGCATTTCCTTTCTGGTTATACTTGAGATTTCGGACGTACATAGAGTCTCACCTTCACCTGAGAGCTGAGAGCAGGTGAGGCTTAGCTAGCTGATCAATACCGTGGTTTGAATGACCTCAACGATGTTACTCATTTCTTCATCTCGTCCAGTTACCTTCGGAAAACAACGCGAAAATCATGTGATATCATATATTCAAGCAACGGGGGACGGTCCGGTTGCCCGGGTCAATCAACGAATCGTTGACCAGGAGTAAACCACGTTGAGAGATTTGTATTCATGTTCAACAAGCCTCAATGAGTCATGACACGCGAAACACTAAGAAAATGGCACAAGATACCATGAGAGAGACATCTTTCGAACACGGTAAAGCCCATTACAAGCTTTGTCGACCGGAATACAAACCTCGATGTTGCAACTAGAGGTTTGCATTCTTGACGGCAATTTCGAGCGGGGTTGAGGTTGGAAGTCATGTTCGGAATGTGTAGATCGACTCGCAGCTGCGTTTTGCATAGCTCAAGCAGAGCTATGGCATGCATGAGGTTCTCAAGGGCGCGAGCTGAAATGCAAGACATTCGCGGCACGTATCCACCGTAGCCGAACTCACTGGTCATAATTCCACTCAACGGCAGCGGTTTCTAGCTTCCCCGCACGGGACGAATGTCTACTTGTTTCACTGAAGAATGCGGTTCAAGTCAATCAACTCAAGGGCAGACAAGAACATGCAAGATCAGCCCATGGCGATGTTTAACCCTCACGAAAGAATCCGTTTCGCAGCCACAGGGAAGATCTGAAATCCCTCTATACTCCAGGAATCTTGAGATCAATGGCGGGCATACTCAGATCATTATAATGCCTGTATCGGACACCCTCTCAAGCTGGCTCTCACATTCAGCACGAGGGATACGGTGACAGGCTCTCTGTGTCTATCTCAACTCTACAATCAACGCTTCAATATCCTTTCCACATCAATTTTGTCAAAACCTTTTGCATCATGATCAAATATCTTCTTTCTTTCGGGCTCCTCGCATTGTGCGTGGTCGCACGGGTAGAGAATGACATGCCAAAGCTGACCCTCCCGTGGGGCACGTGGCAAGCGGCTCGGTTTTCGGAGGACAAGAACGTGAGTGATATACGTTCATATTCTCATTACTGAATCCAACTAATGTCATTGCAGATTCTCGTCTTCAAAAATGTCCGATTCGGTGCGAAGCCTGAACGCTTTGGCGCTCCCTCCTTCCCCGACTGGGAAGACGACAAGATCCAGGACAGCCAAGGTGGCCGAAGCTGCATCCAGATCAACCCCAACAAACTCAAGAACCCTCCTGGCGGAAGACATTTGGTTTACGAGAGTCCGGATGAGAGCATCGTTCAGGACGAAGACTGTCTCTTTCTTGACATCTACGTGCCCGCCAAAGCCTTCGACAAGGATCGAGCTCACCTCCCAGTCGTAGTCTGGCTGTATGGTGGTGCTTACGCATTTGGCAGCAAGGACCAATTCAACCCGCTCTACACTGGACAGTCTCTCCTGGAGGCCTCCGAATACGGAACCATCTTCGTCACCGGCAACTACCGCCTCGGTGCCTACGGTTGGCTGGCGGGTTCGTACATGGAAGAGAATGGACAGCCTAACGCCGGACTCTACGACCAAGCCCTCCTTTTCGAATGGGTCCAGGAGTATATCGAGCAGGTGCGAGGCGACCGGTACAGCGTCAGCGCCTGGGGAGAGTCAGCCGGTGCCGGATCCATCATTCATCACCTCATCCGCGAGGACGGCAAGAAGGATCCCAACTTCGGCACGTTCCTGGTGCAAAGCCCTGCCTTCGAGTGGCAGTGGGACAACTCCAAAGACGGCAGTCTCGACAAGACGTTCCGAACTTTCTCCGACCTGGCAGGCTGTGGTGATAAGTACGACATTGACTGTCTGCGTGACGCCAAATCTGATAAGCTTGTCGACGCGAATCAGCAGCTCTTTGGCAAGGTCAAGCAGACTGGTCTCTTCCCCGTTGGACCTTCTGTAGACGGGAAATGGGTCAAGACCATCCCTACCATCGCTTTCTCTCAAGGTAAGATCAAACCAGCACTAGCAAGCACTTCAAAAGGACAAACGAGTTAACAGGCAATTTACACAGGCAAGTACTGGGACAACATCTGGTCAAACATCGTTTCCCACTGCGCAAACGAGGCACAGTCATTCACGCCTCACGACGTGGACTCGCAGGAGAAGTTCAACTCCTTCCTGGCTACCTTCTTCCCCGGCGACAAGCTCTCAAATGTGAGGGACCAGATCCGTCAGCAGTACAGTTGTGCGGATCACCATCACGGCAACTACACGACCTGTCTCAAGGAGATCATCCAAGACTCCTCATTCACATGCAACACCCGAGACCTCTTCGATTCCTACCCTGACAGATCTTACATGATGGAGTACGCGTACCCTCTCAGAATCCTGGCGTACCACGCCAGTGACCTGATCCCCCTCTTCTCGAACAACGTCCAGCAAGTCCTTGATCTCCTCTCAAAGGTCCTGAAGAGCAAGATCTTGGCCAAGCTCTACGCCAAGGTTCTCGAAGGTCTGGTTGCTACGAGATACAAGGCATACTTTGCATCCTTTGCGCTCAGCGGAGACCCGAACAATCTTGAGGACACGGCAAGGCTCTTTTGGCCAATTGCGGATGGAAACCAGGACGAGCTCACCGATGTGTTGCAGGTCCGGGCCCCCGGGCTTCTTCATTCGGCATTCCGCCTTACGTCGGATGATCAGAACTCCAGGAAGCGATGCGAGTTCTGGAACAACATCGCCAAAGAAGTTATGGGCACGGAGGAGGGCGGAGTCTACGATGTTGTTGATCAGGCTGTACTGAAGAAAGGTCCCTCCATCTTCGAAGAATTGTAAGGGTATAAGTCTAGAAGAGGGTTCTGGCATGATATGATGAGATGATGACAATGAGAACACGGCTTGGATCATGGGTGCAAAGTGTGGATCACTTGAAGAGATAGCTCCATCCTTTGCAGAATGCAATGCTTGTTTATCGCTTGAACTCGAAACCGTTGCCAATGTGAAGTATATAACACCGAAATACAAATGTCGCATGGCCCTACCCTTAGTAAGGGCAGCCAGAGTCCGGATCGCATCTGTTCTTGCCCTTGGGGCAGGGCTTTCCGAAACCAGTCCGGAGATCGCAGCAGTCGGCGTCCTGGCAGTTTCATCATGTCAGCAAATGTAGCTCAGGAGACATGTTCCGTCAATATGGACATGGTACGTACGCATTTGGAGTTGGGAATGCCGTTGTTCATGCAGAAGTTGCCGTACTCGGCGCCGTTGATGCAGCCGATGTAACCATTCTGGCGAGCGCAGGCATCAGAGCCCTGGTCTCCTCCCCAGCAGCAGTTAGGGTCGGTGCCGTCGATCGTGCACTATGGGAAGGTGCCATGATTAGTATGACTGAAGAAGTGGTGCAGGCAAGGGTCCTTGACTTACGGCAGCGTACGCGCCGGTGGCGAGGGCGAAGATGGCGAGGGACTGGAAGAACTTCATGTTGAAAGATTGAAAGAGTGAAAGATAGTGAGTGATGAGATATCGAATGAGTGTTTAAGAAGTGAATGTTTGGAGTGGTGTGAGATGAAGAGGCAGCATTATCGAAGGTGGGAGGGATGCTACTTATATCTCCAAGACTCTGATGTTGCCTTGGCTCCCAAGAGAACTTGTGATCTATGTCTGTTAGTATCTTGTGAGACCTCTCATGACTCTCACGTCTCTCGGCATTCAGAAGAATCATGTGTCCGAATCGTAACATATCGGTCCTTCTGCGTCCAGACTCGTCCATTGCTATACTCAGCAATCTCGGTCTCGGCATCAAAGGCAACACAAATTGCCGCCAAGCGCTCGTCTGCGGCGCGCAATTCCGAGTATCATCACAGTAGCGTGCGAAAGAGTCAGTTGAGGATGTGTAGACAATCTAGTTCAACTCCTCTGCTGCTAGCTAAGAAACCAAGATTCTGTCAAGCTGATACGGCGCAGTGGGGGCCAAAGGGGGGCACATCACGACGAGCGAAACCGATCAGATGAACAGTCCCGCTGCAAGGCTGCTGGAACTCAAGAACTAAAGAGTATTCAAACTCAACCTAACTCATTTGGGTCGGCTTTCCATGCGCCTCAAAAGGCAGAGTTCCGGGGTCTTGCTGTAGGAGATTAAGTTGCTGCGCCTGCGTCCACGTTCCTTCCCCACCCGAGACCAGATAGGCGGGCCTAGGGCTGAGTAGATCTCTCTGTTAGCCGGCACTGTCTGGAGGCTAGTAAAAGGTAATCTTCGCTGGTCGACGGGAGGTGCCGGTTCTGGAGACACCATCCCGGCACCTCGTCTGAACTCGAGACACCAAGCTACCACACGTCATGCGGTTTGGCTCGAGCTTGGATAGGGTTCACTACAATCCTCGACACTAGCGTACGAATACTTCGAGGGCTGATATATGTCCCCAAGCGCTCGTATTCCATTAGTTGCGTTGGTTAAGGATTAATTGGTTCGTTATGGAAAGCCAAGATGCGGTAGAGTTGGCCCGACTGCGACGGGATGAGGTCCGAAGTCATCTGAACGCGTGGATCATGTTGACTCGGCGATTTGCCAAGTCTGATGTCCAATTCAGATGAAATAGTCTAGCCAAAGGTTAAAAGATGTGTCATCTCAATCTAGATCGATAGGGCTTGGCGGACAGCTGCCAGTTGCCGACGTCCGAACTCGGGGCGGACGCGGGACGGACGGCGATTGCGATGTCTTCACCGAGCAAGATGAGCTTCATCAATATCTGCAACGCGAACAGGGCATGCGTAGATGAGCTCTTTCCTCGCCGGGACGTACGTATATATAGAGGGTCGGTTCACACTGCCTCCTCTTGACCACTTCATCTCACGATCTCTTATTCTCAGACTAATCAAGTCATTCGCTTATTGATCACCGCTACCTTCCTTTCATCCTATAAACCGTTCTTCTTCTTCTTCCAAGATGCAGTTTAACCTTCTCATCACCGGACTCATCTCCGCCCTTGTCAGCACTTCCGCAGCTGCCACCCTAGATCTGAGAGCTACGGCTCCCAAGGCACTCGCAGCCCGTACCGTTATCGATGAGGTATGAACTCTTAGCCACAGGATGAGATGCAAGTTACTAACATGAACCAGTGTACCGAGGCCAACGACTGCTGCATCTCGACTCGCGGAGCCTGCACCCGCCAGGCCTTTAACTGGGCCGAGAACTATCTCACCTGCCCCTTCATCAAGCTGTGCCCCGACCTTGGGGTTCCCTGGTCTTCTTGCGTGAGTAGACTCCATAGAACGAAGTGTCGTTCGACATCTCTGACGATCTTCTTAGGGTGCCGATTGCTGTTCCATCTCCACCAAATGGGGTCGCGGATGCCCTGGTAAATAAGCCGAGAAAGAGTGAGTAATGGGATATAAGTTCTGGACTTGGATATCAGATTGACCTGCAGCGCCTCATGATATCCGGGAGGGGTTTTTGGCATGAGTTTCATTCGGATGTTCATCCTTCTTAGCTTCGACGAGAATAACAGACTCTTCAACACGAGACCTCTAAGAGCGGACGTGATATAGTATCAAGAGGTCACCATGATGAAAGCCTCAACCTTCCTGTGCACCACCCAGCGAGAGTAGACGAACAACGCGGCCTCGGGCACGCACCTTGAAAGGAAACGTACCGTGCCGAGTCCAAACGCAAAACCAAAGACCAAAGGGTGTCCGAGAGCACGTTATGAGCTCCGGAGATGCCCACCCACCAGCCCTCATGGTCCACTTGTGCTACTCCCGCTTCCAACAAGCACACAAGCTGGGTTCAGTCGCCCGGCTAGCTCAATCGGTAGAGCGTGAGACTCTTAATCTCAAGGTTGTGGGTTCGACCCCCACGTCGGGCTCAATTCCCGTCAGCGATTGGCATCCAGCTTCATTTTTTAGCATTTTTTGCAGCTATTTTGTTTGCAGCATACGAACGCATGAAGCCACAGCAGCTGTTGTTAGAGCCGGTGGTTTGAGAAAGGACTATTCTTTTGACTGTTGCATGGGAGAGTGAAAATCTCAAAATTTTGACGTGCCGGAAACTTGCAAGCGAGGACGGCGGTGGGGCCGTGCGACCCACCTCGATTCTTCAACGGCAGTTCCGGGGACGCGGTAGCTCGGGTCCCTGCATTACCGACCAAAGTCTAACCTGGAAGCAGTACTCATCCAGGGTCGAACTCAAATCTTTCCATTTGCAGAGTCTGGTGTGTTGAATCTGGCCAAAGTATCATGTTCTTCTAAGACGCATTCATCGCTCTCTCTATACTGAGAAAAGGTGTTTTCAAGCGAGTTGCTACCCAAGCCCCAATCCCTAAACGCCGTGCTATGCAACTTCCAAATCACATTCGCAAATCACACTCGCCACCCAACAAAATGGAAGATGTCAGTACGACTACCAGTCCACCGCCCATCCGTTCTCTTTGAGGAAATCTTCGCAAGCCTGTCTGAGCCCGAGATTGGGTCTGAGCTCAGACGGAAGGAGGGGCTCTCTCGTCAACGGGTCGCTAGGATGTCTCCTCAAGTGTTCCATAATTGACGCTCTCTCATACGACTTTCCGGTCTTAGTCTGTAAAATTGTTAGTAACCATTTCATCTCGATGAAGGATCGAAGAGCAACTCACGATAACGGGATCGACCATGATGCCAAAGCTGATATCGTCGATAGCCCAAGAAGGAACCTCTCGTCTGCGCTCCGATTCGGCGCGGCTCTTCTCGAACGTTTGACTCAGCAGTTCGATCTTGTTGTTCCATTCGGCCTCGATCTCGCTCTTCTCGGAGTCGTCCATGGCGTCTTCGACAGCTTGCTTGCGCTCCTTCTCCATCATCTCGATGATCTCGTTCTCCAGACTGTGAGCCTCTCTCAGTCTGTTCTTCTCCATCCAGTCCCATCGCTCCTTCTTCGCATTGAGAACTTGGGTTGTAATTGCGGCGAGAGACTTGTCTCCGGTCTTCACACACAGCTCGTGGGCGCGCAGGGCGCTGGTCAGGGCCGAGTCGAAGTCCTTGAGATGTAGCTGGGCCTGAGAGAGGTAGTAGTTGGCCTTGAGGTTGTCTTGGGCGAGACCCAGGCAAGATTCGCAATCGGCGACGACGGAGTCCCACATTTCGAGTTTGATACGCGCCATTGCACGATTGGTATAGAGGTTGGGGTTCTTCGGGTCGGCGATAATGCTGGTTTACCGTCAAGTTAGCAATGGGATTCTAATAGAATGGCATTGTCCAGCGACCTAGCAGGTCAGGCTGTGAGGGGAAGGTGCGGGCTTACGCCTTGGAATACAACGCCTCCGCACCAGCATAATCGCCTTGTTGGAAATGGCGGTTTCCTTCCTCCTTCAGCTGAATTGATCTCGACGACATGGTGAACGATGGCCGTGTTGCAGCGGCTATATGCTAGAGACCCAAGTTTGTGGCGCACAATGAAGAGTATATATCTGCGGTATGATGATGTACGTAAAAAGAAGGAAGTTCGAGTAAGAGACTGCGAGATGTATGCAATGCGACGGCCCGAGAGGTCAGAGAGCTTGGCGGGAAGCAAGTACGAGCCACGGTTTGGTAAGTGTCGTCGGCGAAGAGAATGCAAGCTCGGTGGAAGAGTTCGGCGTCGAAATTACTGTAGAATCGGGGACGGAAGGAAGAGACAGCAATGGAAGCCGGCGGTTTGATCCACTCCAGGGAAGAAGGGACGTGGACAGATCGGTCGGCAGGTGGATCGGGATGTCGAGATCGCAAGCTTAGGGAGACATCACTCGGGGCAGGATGGAGACGGATACGTTGGGCATACCGGCCGCTAACCACAGCTCAGCCTTGTGTCGTGGCGTCAGAGTGGTGTGGTGTGGTGTGCAGGTTCCCGTCACACCGACTTGCACTTTAGTAGACCGTCGGCGGCTTGCTGGTCGCTTCTATCGACAACTCAGTTGCTGAAGCTTGCTGAAGCTGCTGATGCTGCTGCTGCTTGCTGAAGGCGGGAACCCCGCTAATCAGCCCGCGCCGAGGTGACGGGACACTGGAGGTGCGGTGGGATTGGATTCTAGGGGTCTTTGCTCCTCCCCCAACCCCACCCTCGCCGGAAACTGCGGGTGGTCGCTGCGTTCTGGAATCTTCCGCAGCGAGCCGAGCTTAGAAATGAAGTGGCTTAAGTCCGACCGACCGACTTGATCCGGTCACGTGCGTGTGGCTGGGTGGAATGCTCCGGAGTGCGCCGAACATGGGCCCACATGTACGGAACCGAGTCCGGAGGTGTGGATCCCAAACACGGTAACGGTGCCGGCTGACTTCATCTTTCCATACAAGAAGCTAATTGTGCAATCACAATAGGTATTCAGGGAATGAGGTCTCTGAAATAAAGATGACTGGTTTCATGGAGCCATTTATTCGTAGAATGACCATGGCTCAGCATCCGACGCGGAAGAACCTCCAAGACTTGTCAACTTTTAAGTGCAAATTCGGTGAGTCGCAATTACTCGATCGCAGTAGAACCTTGTGGATTGAGAACTTCCTTTATCTCGCTGAATTGGGACAGAATTTTAGTTGTTAGTAACCCTCCCAGGGGATGGAAGCTGCGACAGTACTTAGATGGAACTTTTAGATAGTAATTAGAAGAAGATGATTAGATTAGGTTAATGAAATACAACGACCGTTGTGTCCGTGAAAGCCACTTTTACTAAGATATAGCTGGTAAAACAAACCCAAGGAAAAAGATTCAAACAGCCACAGATCCGTTCGCTGAGAATCAGTACACCGTCTGGTTAGTCGGCACCTCCATGCCGGACCCGTAACTCCAGCACCTCCACCTCTCCTTGGCCGACGCGATCGTGGGCCTCTTCTGCATACCGGGCCTCGACATCTCAGGCCCGTTCAGCTTCCACTCCATCTGCCAGTTCACCGCCGCGTTCACCTCCCTCTTCTCGTCCGCCGCGCTCAGCGGCGCCCAGTTCTCCACCGGCTGCGTGTTCAGCTTGCCGTACCCCTTGAGGCGCCCGTACACGTCTCTCGTCGTCCTCACGCTGTCGCCGCGAGAGGCCCAGCCGCACCTGCGCATGCCGTCGAGGTGCGCGTCGGCGGCGGCGCGCAGGCGCTCGTCCTTGTCGGAGCCGCGTGTCGCGAGGAGATGCTCGTCCAGGTCGCCCACCACGTCCTGGTGCACGCGGGCTGCGTCGCGGAGACGATTGGCGCGGCGGAGGAGCTGGCACAGGCGATTGGCGAAGTCGAGGGCTTGCGCGTCCAAGCCGCCGCGGGATTGACGGAGGTTGTAGTAGAGAGTGTCGCAGAGGGTGATGGCTTGGTCGAGGTGTCCGGCTGAAATGTGCGCGTTGACCAGCAGGGAGCCAATGTTGAGGACCGTGTCGGGGTACCAGGTGCGCTGGACCTCTCTGGACCGCCAGAGCAGAGTGAGAAGGTTCTGTGTGAAATCGATCAGCTTTTATGTCTTCACAAGTCATCAAAGGACATCTTACCTCGAGTTCCGTGTAGTTCTTCTGCTCGCCAAGAAGGTAGATGAGGCTGCGCACGTCTTCCGGCTGGGAGGTGGCAAACTCGAATCCCTTGCGCTCCTTCAGGGCGGTAAGTACGAACTGCATGATGTTCCTGCTGGTAGACAAACAGGACTCCTTGGTACCGTTGTCTGCAGACTTCCAGCTCTCTACGTTGATACCAGCCAGAAGTTCAGCGAGGCGGTAGCCCCAGACATAGTTGCGTCCAGCAGAGTAGAAATTTTGAGAGTTGGCAAAGCTGAAAGCCACCTTGGCAACCTCGTGGGCTCTAGGGGTGTCCTTCTCCTTCTCCATGAACCTCTTGGTGACGCTGTACGCGGCCCTGCAGGAGACGAGACCAAAGTCAATGGCGTCCCTGTCGGCGGCAATACCCTCGCCGATCTCGCGGAGCAGACCGACGTAAAAGTCGGAGCCGGCCTGGTTGTTGGTCGCAGGGCCGAGGAACTTGGCGTATCTCGACGTGAACAGGGAGAAGAGCTTCTTGTCGAGGACCGACACGAAGCCGGTGCGACCGCGGGACTCCCAGACGAAGCGGAGGCGAGCGGCGTGCTCGATGACGACCTCGATGTTGCTGTTATCGGTGAAGCTAGACATGACGGACAGGTACTGCTCGTAGAGGATGGTCTCAAGGAGAACATCGGCCATGATCTCGGAGAAGCTGTACGACACCTTGGAATCGACGTTCAAGGCTTGCTCGAAGGAGATGAGGAAGACGAGCGACACCTTGCTCGTCTTGCGGGAAATCTTGATGCTGACGTCCTTCTCGCCGCCCTCGAAGCCGGGGAAGAGGAGGACGTAGCGCAGCTGGCGGACGAGGTCGTGGCCGTGACGCACCATACCGGAGGCGATGTAGATCTGGGCCAGCGAAGTGGCGGCAGAGTGCAGAGTCGTGGAGATGGTGACCGTCGAGATGATCTCCATGACAGAGGCCTGCAGCATCTGGACGATGGCGAGGTGGGACTCCTTGGTGCCGAGCTTCTTGTACAGCAAAGTGATCTCCTTCAGCTTGGCAAGAGTAGTCTCGTGCCACCAGCCGAACTCGATCCTGAGCTGTTCGTAGATCTCGACGCTGACCGCGATGGCGCGCTCGACGGTTGCCGTAGTTGAAACCTTGCCAGTGGTTACAACGGTCACGTAAAGCTTGGACAGACGCTTTTTCATCGTCTTGACCGTGGTCTCGGTGACGACGGTAGTGGTCTTCGTCCTGGTGATGACCTCTTCGTAGATGCGGACAGACTCCTGGTAGTGCTCTTCGGAGCCCTCGCACACCTCAGCAAGCGCGATCATGGCCTTGATGACGATAGCAGAGGAGGCACCGAATACCTTGGTGACCGTGTCGCGGTACTCGATCGTCAGCTTGTAGCGGAAGTTGAAATCGGTCTTGGCGTGGAACTCCAAGACGTAGCGGTAGCGCTCATAGATAAGCTCGACCATCTCCTCGGTGAACTTGATCTCGCGGTGGTGGGTGAATGTCGACCACAGAGAGGAGCAGATCTTCTGAAGCTCAGACCAGCGCTTCTCTAGGTGGTAGTGGTTGAGGACGATGATCGCGGCATCAAGACCGGCGGCATGGACACAGCCATCGTGCGAATAGATGGTGACAATCTCGTGGTAGCAGTCGTACGCCTCCTTGCGGCCGAGCTTGAGGTAGACGGCTGCAAGCTTGTACAGCGTCTGCACCGTGAGCTGGTGATCCTTCTTGAGGTTCTTGCGGTAGTGCTGGAGAAGTCGGTTGTAGGTTTCAATGACCTTCTCGTGGCGGTGGTACTCCTCGTAGAACTCGACGAGACCGACAGCGGCCTCGAGAACGCAGTGGTCCTCAACACGAAGAGAGTGGAAGCAGGCGTTGAAGACGCGAAGGTAAATCTCCTCGGCCCTGTCGAACTGTCTCTGCTTGTGGTAGCAAAGAGCAAGACGTTTGGCGACGGCAATCCGCTCCGAGACGAACTCTCCCTCGATGGTCAGCTTGGAATCGGCGGTCAGGACACCGTTCCAGGAGAGCTCCAGGGATTTGCGAGTGATGACCTCAGCCTCAGCCCAGTTCTCCTGTCTCAAGTAGAGGTTGACCAAGGCAACACAAGAGCTGAAGAAGCCCTTGTTGACCTTGCCGCCCTTGCAGCGGTTGTATGTAGTCTCAAAAACCTCCTTGGTGACAGTCTCAACGACAGTGGTGGTGGTCTTGGTCTCCACGGTAGTCTCAATGACCTCCTCGACGACCTCTGTCATGATGGTCACCGTGGAGAGAGCCTCCTCGTGCTCGATGTTCTTCTTCGACTTAAAGTAGCCCCAAACTCTGTTCAGCATGGACATGGAGACGTTGACGATGCCAAAAGACTTGGCGATGACGGCGAGTTGCTTGAAGCGGATGGCCATGACCTCGGACTCAGATGTGTGGTGCTCGTACTCGGCCCACAGGCAGACCAGAATGTTGCAAGCCTCCTCGTTCCGCTTGATGCGCTTGAGGAAGTGGATGTACTCGATGGCGATGTTGAGCTTCTCGATCTGAAACTCTGTCGTGCTCTTTTCACGGCAGACCTCCAGGATGGAGCGCCACAGGCTGACATAGAGCCTCTCGGTCATGAGGAACTTTCTCTCGGACTCGTAAGTGCGAGCAAGACTCAGGATGATCTTGATGCGACGGATATCTGTATAAGACATCTCCTCGGCAGCGTCAAAGAGGAGATCGGTGTGGCGGGTAATGAGCTTGGTGTTGTTGCCGCCCTTTCCTCGAAGGTCAATGGTCATGCCAGAAACCTCTTCCGCGATCTCGGACTCCATCTTGGATCCCTTGCCAAAGCGGAGGGTGACAATGGCGTGAAGCTCCCTGTATAGCTCCATTGCCGACTCCTCTTCCTTGATATCGATGTAGAGCTTGGCGAGTGCCTTGTACCATCCGATAACAGCGTCGCTGGTCTTGCCGCTCTTGGCCTTGTGCATCTCGATCATGTACTTGATCATCTCCTCGCGGTAGGTGACGGTGGTGGTCCGTGTGGTGATGGTGATCTTCTCGGTACACGAGAGGAACAAGTTGGAGCAGGAGATCACCAGAGGGCTGAACTTGTAGAGCACAACCTGTCCAACACAAGAAGCCTTGTAGAAGAACTCGGCGGCGCAGGTCTGGTCGTTCGTGCGTCTGTGGAGGTTTCCCAGGATGATGAGGTTCTGGAGGTAAGAGCGGTGCTTCTCTCCGAAACAGGCCGAACGAATGCGAAGAGTCAAGTCTTGCATCTCAATGGTTCTCTTGAGTGGGAACTGGGTCTGCCAGTGGGACCACTCAAGAAGGGAGAAGAACGTGCTCTCGGGGAAACATTCTTTGAACTCAGCAGTAAGGGTGAGCTTGCCCTTCTGGTCGTGCAGGGAGGATGAGCGGAAGTGGGAAACCCAGTGCTGCATCATGTAACGAACGATGTGATGAGAGTGGAAGCAGTTCTGAACAACGTCGTCGGTAAGAGGCTCAAGGGATGGTTCGTAGGAGTGGGTGAACTTGATCTTGGCGAAGAGCATGAGTGCCATGGTGAGATGACGATGAGTGTCCTCGATGCTCATGAGGGCGTTTCCACACAGGCTGTGGACATACTTCCTCACGACGGAGTGCTTGAATCTCAGAGTACCCCTATGGACGACAACAAGACCCTGAGTGTTGTTGATAGGACCCCAGATATCGGCCGAAGGAGAGACCGAGCGCTTGGAGATCGAAACCCCCATGAGGTTGGTCATTTCACCCATTGTGAGCGGGCGCTGGGCGGCGATCATGTAGATGAAAAGATTGTAGGTCTTGCTCTCGCCGTACTCCTCCTTCAGGTTGACCTTCTTCATCAGCTCTCCGATGACAAGCTTCACGTCAGACTTGCACTGCGCAATGGTGTCTCGGAATGAGTTGAAGCTCAAACCTGTCGAGAGTAGGTTGATTGACAGATAGGCGTGCAGGAAGGAGCCCTTGGCCTGGTCAGCGAGCTGGTTGATCATATTGCGCTTGGACTGATCGTTTTCGGCAGCGAACGTGGGGTTGCGCCTGAGCCTGTTGGCAAGGAATAACTCGATGTCATCGCGGATGTGGTCTGGGGTGATGACCAAGTGCTTGCAGCCGCTACCACCGAGGTGGGAGATGGGGCGAGAGAAGGTGACGGCTTGGATGTTGGAGTGTTTCTTGAGAGCGGTGTGGAGGCGCTTGTGCAGGTCGCCCGCCTTCTGGGTTCCGCCGGTGATCTCGTCGAGCCCGTCAATGACAAGTACAAGGTTGGTCTTCTTGTTGATGGCGGCCAGACTCAACTCGAGAGACTCCCAGAGATCGGTCTCAAGCTTGTGGCTGTTCTCGCCAGGCGGCGTGCGGTCAAAAATGACACCAAGCCTCTCGAAAAGATCGACATCGCCAACATTAGTCTCGAGCAGCTGAGAGAGCAAGCTCTTCAGGAGACCGATGGGTGATGACTCTTCAGGGATATCGCTGGCTAATGGCAACAGGTCAGCAGTTGAAAGTTGACAGGTGGCCTGGATACTCACAGAAGGTGTATGAGATTGTCTCGAACTGGGCTCGGTTAATTGGCCGTTCGAGCCTCTGCCTTACCCAGGCGGCGAGCATGCTCTTGCCGCAACCCTCGTTACCAGTGATGGTGAAGATGTCATCCTCACCTCCGAGGAAATCGCCCAAGTCGTGCTTGATCCACTCGCAGGTGCCGTCAACGCGAAGCTTGCGGTCGGCAACACGGCCGTAGACAAAGGACTTGACCGACTCCTTGGAGGGGAGCAGGTGCTGACGCAGGGTGGCAATGTCTAGCGACTGCTGCTTGCTGCGAAGCTTGTGTGCCCACATGTGGTTGAAGAGGTGCTCCTTCAAGGACCAAATCTCGGAGATCTGGCTGCCGAACTCGGCGTCAAAGTCGATCGTGACCGAGCCGCTGTACAGACGGCTGATGCGCTGTCTGTAAAAGACGGCGACATCTCCGACGAGGTGGACGAGATTGGAAAAGATACGGCTGAGGTCGGACTTGATAGCATCGCTTGCAGAGAACATGTCATGCAATCTGATAGTGTGCGCCAACAGGAGACCGAGCTCGTAGAAGGCGTTGAAGGTGGGCTCAAGAGCCTCGGCTTGGTCACAGCCGAGCTGTATAAGATAAGTCAGCAGAGCTCGATGAAATGAATGAATGTTTGTCTTACCTCGAGTAGGAGGTAGCAGCTCGCCAGAGCAGTGTTCCGGACATTCTGCCACTCAGGAATAACCTGCCTGAGGTTGCTAGCGAAGTCATCCAACTGGATACCGAAGAACTCGGCCTCTTTCAATACACGATCCCATTGACTGCCCTTCGAGGGCATATGAATGAGGCGCTCGTCACCAATGTACTCGAGGTACGTTTCGAGGTCGATCTTCTCGAAGTGGGACTTGGGAACATCCTCCAGCTCGCGAACGATCTTGCTCTTCACGAACTGAGCCATTTCGGAGACACCTCGCATCCATGAGGATGAGGATGAGGACGACGACTGAATCTGACCGGAGGAGACTGTCCTGAGGTTGGAAGAAGACATGGTCCGAACGTCGGAGGAGGACTGTGTCCGGGACTGAGAGGAAGTGTGCGTCGTCATCTCGTTGCTGGAAAAGGAGGCGGAGTCGCTATTCCTTTTCATCTCCTCCTGGATGACATGCTTGTTAAGCGACGAAGAGCTGGGGGTAACCATGGCTGATGGTCTCGTGTTCTCTGCGGTGGTGATAACGTCGTCAATAGACCTATCGGAGGCGTAAGAGTGTTCCGAGGAAGTTGATTTCTTCCTTCGACCTGTAAGATGGAAAAGCCTTCAGCCGTTGCTCAGGATGCAAGCAAAGATGGTATAGAAAGAAGTATATCTTGATTTTTCACTCACTCAATGGGTTTCTGCGGAATCCAAGCATTGTCAGGAAGTTTGAGGAGTGATTTCGTCAGTATCACATCGGGGACTGCCAGCTGGCTTTTAAGCAGCGACGGTCGGCGGAATAAAGCTTGTCGGCCTCGGCATCTCGGCCAGTATCTACGGGCGTCTCAGACCGCTCAGTTCTGAGTCGACAGAGATCCCACGGCAAGAGATGGATCCCGTCGCGATGATCTTTGGTGTTTGAGACAGTTGAGTGAGCTGCTTCTCAGCTTCGGCCCAACATGTGGGCGCTAGAGTCCGTTTGCGCGTGCGGTCGACACTTGTTCGCGTCGGAGAATGGCATGGCGAGCATGGGAAAACTGACAAGACCACAGGAGCTTTGCTTGGAGCTGCCTCTCCTGGCCAATGCCAGCCGGTGGGTGATGGCATCGCGGAGGAAAAGAGGGTACAGGGAATGCAGAGCTTGGCTGTGAGACAAGTTAGTACGTGTGATAATCTTAAACATGTCTCAACAGCTCGAGAAAGATGTACTAACCGTAGGGAGCTCTTCGAAATTCTCCCTCATAAACACACTCTCGAAGAGCTCTTGTTGTTTATCAATGTCTGTCTCAGTATGTGCTCTTGCGAAGCTGTAGTCGGATCAAACGCCAAATGTGATCAAATGCTTCCGACAATGGTGGTTTCCCCGCAGCCGCAAACAGTTTTCCACGAAGGCCGTTTATATGGCCGTTCGAAACCGTCGATCGGGCTGCTCGTTGACGCCGCACCTGCCATATACGGACTGATTTTCACTCTCCGCTCTCTATGGGAAACTGCAGGGCGGCGTAATTGCGGTAGATCATGTGGAGTTGCAAGACCCAGGGAGGACGCATGTTTAGACATACCAGACCGTAGAGGGTAGCATTATTCAGCGCCAACCGAACTGGGAGGGAATCCGGCGCATAAGACACGGGCTGAACGGGCATAGGCGGGACGCCGGTACTAACCTCACTCGGATCCGGAGACGTTGATGCAGGGCCGGGGTGAGACCCGAACATACGAGTTACATCAGTTGACTCGAGACGCCACAAGGGATGTACAACGACTGACTTGATAGCATGTACATGGTAACCACCCAGACGGGATGTGACGAATGCGTCTCCGACCGAAACATCACCGCGTGTTGATCATCGCCAAAGACATCAACGCTCGGCATGGCCGTCCCCGGTGGGGGTTCAAGCCACGGACCGACACTACTACAGCACCTCACAACTAGTACGACTGGGATTCGAGCTTCAAATGAAGTTCTTGCTTTTCTCATTCTTGAACAAGCTTGGCGCAGCAAAACATATTGTTTTTGCACACCGTGATGTTCCAGTTCGCAGCGTGCAAGTCGAACTGAGCATTTTGTCAATTATGCAAACGCCACTAAACGGAACTGAGTCTTGTAACAATTCCCGTATCGTACCAACCATTCCAGACGATATTTTCTTTTGGTCACCCGTTTGTTACCCTTAAATGCTGCGGCCGGTGTCACGCCCAACCTCCTCCTGGAAGCCCATGCCGTTGCGGATGCGAGCCTCCACCTCAACCACCCGCTTCGGAAGCATGAAGCCCAAGCCGAAGAAGACGAAGAACGCCCACTTCCAACGGAAAGGGTTGAAGGTGACGCTAAACGCGAACCACCACAAAAGCTCAAGATAGGTGAAGAAGTCAAATGCGCCCGTTGGCGAAAAGTATTTGAAGAGTTTCGTCATCTCAATCCAAGACTTCATCCAGAAGGGGTGCGGCCTTGTCAAGGGGTCAATGAGGAACATGAGGAGGATTCTGGTGTAAATGCCGATGTGCCAATTGCCGACAGTTCCAATGGCAGCGACATAGGTGCTAATAGTCATGTGAGCATATTCCGATGCGGAGAAGTGATTCAGGGTGTGGCTTACCAGTTGATCGCAGAGATGGAGGGGTGCGTCGGTGGGAAGGTCTGAATGTACCAGTTGGGTGGACTGTACGGTTCGGTGAAGCAGCTGTCGGGCAAAAAGTCAAGAGAAGGACGCTTGAAGCCAGTCGCCATGACAATGATGTCGGCAGGAACAACCTCTCTTCTTCCAGGACCACCCTTGGGAACACCCTGAGCGCGCCTGTTGACAATGACGCCGTCGGCCGTGAATCCCTCGATGTCACATCGAATCCACTCAGCGTGGCCAGATCGGATACTCTCCATGACGTGGCTGTTAACCATCGGCGTGTCCATGTAGATGCCCTTGTCGTAAGGCGCGATTTCAGCCAGGTCTCGGTAGAAGAACTTCCGCAGAAGGGTCTCAGGAATCCAAGAAAACCTGGTTTCCTGGCCGAATATGTTCATGGCGAGCAGCATGTTCACGATGGGATTACGGGGAATAATCCACTTGTCGCTACGAGACAAGATCGACGTCTTTTCAGCTTCTTCGTCCACGGCGAACTCCAGGGCTTCGACGGCACTGGCACCACCACCGATGACAACCATTTTCTTGCCCTTGGCATTCTTTCTGTACGTTGTTAGAACCACGCTGCAAGACGTATGTGATGGGAACCGTACCCGGTAAGCTGACTAGAGTGGTACACTTGGCCCTTAAAGTTCTCCATGCCAGGAATCTGGGGCATCTTGGGCTCGCCACAGGTTCCAACTGCAGCAATAACACCCTCAAAATGGCCATTGGCGGTGTTGTTGATGACCCAGCGTCCCTTCTCATCTTGGTAGACCTTCTCGACGGGAGTGTTGAACTTTGTCCGAGTCTCCAGACCGTACTTCTCCCAAAGCTGCTTGACTTGGCTGAGGATTTGTTGCCTGTCGGGGTAGCCGCGTTCCCACTTGACGGACGGGTGGAAGCGGAACATCATGGAATGGATTTGAAGGCTCGAGGAGTTGTTGACTTTCTATATTCGCTATTAGCGTCAGGTCATTGGGTCACGACTTTGGATCTTACACTCCAGATGCCTCCCAGGTTCTCGCGACCACCAGCTTCGAAAATGACGACGTCGAAGCCATGGCCGATACAATGAGCCGCTGAGGTTACACCAGTGATACCAGCTCCAATGACGGCAACCTTGGGACGGCTCAAACGCGTGCTCGGCTCGGGAGGAGTAGGGGAGAAGATCTTGTCAGCGAACCATTGGAACAGCTGGAAGAGGAACAGGAAGGGATGGAAAATGGGGTTCTCGACGCGAGATTCGGACGGCATCGTGGCAGCTGGGCCTCAAGCCTGGAGTCTTCAATTGCGATAATTTGACACAGCAATCGAGTTGCGTCTCAGGTAAAGAAAAGTCCTAAATGCAGGTGAGGTGAGCAAAGGGGGAAGTAAAGTCTATAAAACCAATTGAGGGGGAAAATCTCAACAACGGCAAGAACGGGGAAGGTGGTGAACGGGACGAAACGGGAGCCTAGGGAGCTCTGGGGAGCTTTGGGCAGCTCCCTGGCATGTGAGCTGGAGCTCTCCCGCCCATCATCACGTTGCGTTGAGGTCAGCTTCGCGTCGTTTCCCCCCGCGGCTGCTAGAGTGAGACGGCCGGCGAACAGGCCCACTGATTACGGATGATTGACGTCACTAGGAACGCTAGGGAAGTTTTTGAGGAGCCCATTGAAACGCCGCAGCGCTGTGGAAGCATGTGAATACGGGCTTAGTCCGGGTCTGATGGTTGTCTCAGTCTTTCGCCAGTGATACCAGGGGAAAAACTGTTAGGGCATTGACCGCTGCATGATCCAGACGTGGAGTTACTAGAATATCTTGCCATGCCATCATCAGAGAGGGGAACCCTGAGGGGAAAAAACAAGGCCTTATGATTGTTCGTGTGGCAGGGCTTATTTGCATAATCCGAGGATCAGGGTGAGCCGCCCCAAGGCCCTGTTGCCCGTAACTGGAGCAAGTGCCTGACAATCTTCTGTATGTGGTCTAGGCCCAGGTTGGACCGTGATGTTCGAGCGTTGTCCCCTTACACTAACACAAACACACACACGCATCCCGCACGATAGCGCACACACGATGGCAACTCTAAGTTGAGGCTGTTCCTGAGACCTCGGCAAATCTCCTTGTTTTGATTGAATTCTTCTTGGCGCACTTTTGGGGGTATCTCCGTCCATCTATCTCTTGCCTCGGTCGCGTCTGCCCGCCTCCAGCACCTTGACACGCTTTTGGAACCGCTCACCCATTTCAGCGCCGTGGCCACTGCCTCTCGGGCCGTCGGTGGTCTCTCTGCCGCGCTTCCGGCTCTTGTCAAGCAGGTCGCGAGTACCGCCGCTCTTCTTGCGCGCGGTGAGCCTGTTGATGCGGTCCACACCTTCACCCAGAGCCCCCCACTCCTCGCCACCGAATTGCATGCGACCACTGCGGCCAGTCTTCGCCATTTCCTTTGCCTTGTCCTTCTTGCTCTTGGGGGCGAGACGGACAAAGTTGGTCTCTTCGTACTCGCGGCGCTCGTCTTCGTCTTTGCGCTCCGCGGCCGTCTTCATCCTGCGACCGCCAGAAACAATTGTTGTGCCGATACTGGGCTCGGCGAGAGGGGCAGTGGACATCTCGGTCTCGATGAACTCGTCCATGACGGCGGACTTGTGCGGCCGGCGGTCGGTCTTCTCGCGCCGCTCGGAGGGCATGACGGTCGGTGCGATTCTCGGCGGTCGGTACACTCCGTCCTTCTCCGTAGCTTTCGCGGCGGCTACGGCTGCCGCAGGGCGAACGAAAGCATCAGGTCGGGCTTGCAAAGCCGACGCCTTCAAGTCTTCTTCTTCTGATTCCTCGTCGCTGCCGGATTCTTCATCAGAAGCAGAGTCGTCAGAGTTGTCGCTGTTCTCGCCCTTGGAAGCCTTGATTGCGCGGGCGTTTCGTTCGGCATCGTCTGCGGCACGCAGGATCTTCTCGATCTGGTAGCGCAATTTGTCTTCAAGCGGGCGAACACCCTTCTCCAGGTAAAGTCTCAGTTCGACCAGCTTCTTAACGACAGCGTCCCTAGTCTCGTTGGCGTTTCCATCCTCGCTGGACTGCTTTTTGGCGTTGCGCAGCTTGAGCAAGATCAAGAAGACGAGGTTTTGCAGGTAAGACAGAAGCAGTTCGTTCTTGACGTCGAGTAGAGAAATGCCATTCTGCGGAGGCGAAATCGAAGCCTTCGGTGCTGCGTCGAGTGAAGTTGTCAATGACTGTGTCAAAGAATCCAGCAGAGCTGGCAGAGTGCTTGGTGCGGCCATGGTTGACCTGCGAAAAAAAAGTTGCGGCGGGTGAAGAATTTGGAGGTCGCAACCAAATCAAGACGCGACCCAGGAAATTTTTCTTTGCAACCGCAAAACCGATCTGCAAGTGCGGGACCCGGAACTGCGGGTATGTGGGCCCCGGCTATTAGACCCCACTCCTGGTGTTTCCCTCCCCTGCGCCCCGAGAGGCGGACGGCGACACGGGATGACAATCTTCCGACAGGGAGCTCGGACAGGGTGACTAAGCCGAAAATGGGACAGTTGTTCGAGGCAGCAGGAGCTCTTGGTAAACGGGCATCAAGCTCTCAGACCTGACACCTCTTAGGCAATTGGCCATCTGTCCACCTTGAAGCATTTTGCTTCGAAAAATTATAACTGCGCTTGCTCCGAGTACTTCCTGTGTGAACTTGAAAGGAGCTCTTTCGAAGCTGCACAAACCCGGACGATCCACCGGCTGTAAGCCGTTTCGCGTACAGATCCAAGGGTACGTAATCGCGATCTATGGAGCTATTCCCATCGGTTTCAGGTTTCACCCTACTGTCCTTTTGAACAACGCAACTCTTATCGCAAAGTGCAAAGGCTGACTCTGGACAATCGTAGAGCTACAGCACATCGATCAAAATGCAGTTCCGCGACATGGCGCCTTCGTCGGCGTTCGTTGCCTCGCTGCTAGCGATCCCGCAGCTCGCGTCCGCCTTCTACCTGCCAGGTGTTGCGCCAACCTCTTACAAGAAGGGCGACGTCGTTCCCCTGTATGTCAACAGTATCAAGCCGGTCGCCGCACCCTCCGACTCGCGATTGCATTCGATAGTATCCTACGACTACTACCATCCGGGCTTCAAGTTCTGCGAGCCATCGCCGGCCCCCGAATATGTGTCCGAAAGTCTCGGTAGCATTCTCTTCGGAGACCGCATCATGACCTCTCCATTCGAGCTGCGCATGAAGAACGACGAGGTTTGCAAGCCTCTTTGCATTCAGAAATACCCTCCGGCCGCTGTCGGCTTCGTCAGGCGCCGCATCGAGCAAGGCTACAGCTTGAACTGGCTCGTGGATGGCCTGCCCGCGGGACAGGAGATCTACGACGACTTCACGAACACGACCTTCTACAACCCTGGTTTCCTTATGGGAGGCGCCGACGAGCAAGGGAACATCATCTTTAACAACCACTACGATATCAATATCGAATACCACCCGGTCAATGGCAAGCAAGATCAACTGCGTGTCGTTGGTGTCGTCGTCGAGCCTAGCTCCAGAGCGTACCCCGGCCTTCTCGACTGCACCAACAAAATGGAGCCCATCATTTTCAACGAAGACAGCGGCGAGAAGGAGGTCAAGTTCTCCTACTCTGTGTACTGGAAGGAGTCGAAAACGGCCTGGGCGACCCGATGGGACAAGTACCTGCACGTCTTTGACCCCAAGATCCACTGGTTCTGGCTCATCGACACCGCCATCATCGTCGTTATCCTCATCCTCACTGTCATGTCAATTTTGGTCAGGGCATTGAAGAAGGATATTGCGCGCTACAACCGCCTGGACCAGATCAACTTGGATGATCTGTCAGGCACGTCGGTCATGGAGGACGGAGTCCAGGAAGATTCCGGCTGGAAGCTGGTGCACGGCGACGTGTTCCGGAACCCATCCCATCCTCTACTTCTGTCGGTCCTCCTCGGAAACGGTGTTCAGTTGTTCGTCATGACTGGCTTTACTATCTGCTTTGCCCTTCTCGGCTTCTTGTCGCCCTCCAACCGTGGCTCGCTGGGTACGATCATTCTTCTCCTGTACACCATCCTGGGCTTCGTCGGCGGTTATGTCTCCTCGAGAACGTACAAGTCGATGCAAGGCGAGAAGTGGAAGCTGAACATCGCTCTCACCCCGATTTTGGTTCCGAGCATTGTTTTCGGCGCATTCTTCTTCCTCGACTTGTTCCTGTGGGCCAAGCAGTCTTCTGGTGCCGTGCCGTTCACTACCATGCTGGTGATCATCGCGATCTGGTTCGTTCTGTCCGTGCCGCTCTCCTTCGCCGGATCATGGATGGGCTTCCGCGCCTCTGTCATTGAGCCCCCCGTGCGCACCAACCAGATTCCCCGTCAAATTCCGCCCGTTACTACGTACCTGAGGCCGATTCCCAGCATGCTGATTGTCGGTCTTCTGCCGTTCGGTGCTATCTTCGTCGAGCTGTACTTCATTATGAGCTCGGTCTGGTTTAGCCGCATTTACTACATGTTCGGCTTCCTCTTCCTCTCCTACGGGCTTATGATTGTCACTACCGCTGCAGTTACCATTCTCATGGTTTACTTCTTGCTTTGCGCCGAGAACTACAACTGGCAATGGCGCTCGTTCCTCGCTGCCGGTATGAGCGGTGGCTACATCTTCGCCAACTGCCTCCTGTACCTCATCACCAAGTTGAACCTCAGCAATCTGGCCGGAACCGTGCTTTACATTGGATACAGCGCACTGATTTCCTTCCTTTTCTTCATCCTCACTGGCAAGCTTTCCCCCCGTCGGCGTCCGACCCCATCAGTTGGCTAACCTTGTGTCAGGATCGATCGGTTACTTTGCCAGTTGGTGGTTCGTTAGGAAGATTTATGCTTCCATCAAGATTGATTAAACGGCGTCGCATTTGAGCGTTGGCATGTAACGACTGAATCATGCCCTGTATGATACTTTGTTGTACGAATACTCGCTGAGCGTTGCATTGGTGATGACGAGCAGCGCGTATACAGCGCGTTTGACCATGAAATCAAAATGCTTTCATTTCAGGTAGATGTCTAGACGGACGAAAGGTAGACGAAAAATAAGATGTTTCTATATCTTTGATTTGATTGCATCTGCCGTGATATGTTCCCTATGAATCCAATGATGTGGCCGCACGACTATTCGTCGTCGTCGTCATCGTCCATGATGCTCGTGAACTGGAACTGCTTGTTCTTACCAGCAGTCGACGCACCGGCGCTGCCCACGGCCATGCTGTCGCGCCTGTACGCCTCTTGCTGCTCGCGGCGGATCTTCTCCATCTTCTCCTGGTACTCGCGGTGCTTCCTCTCGAGCTCGAGACGCTCCTGCTCCTCGCGGGCCTTGCGCTCCTCCTCTTCCTTGCGCTTCGCCTCGGCGATCTGCTGCGGGTCGTATCCCCGAGGATCGATGCCCTTGTCCTCGAGATCCTGGTACACGGCCATGGCGCCGCTGCGGATCTGGAACTCGTTCGGCCAGGGGATGAAGCTCGCGTTGAAGTGGGGGTCGAGGTGGTTGCGCAGGCCGTCGGGCAGCGAGGTCGCGCCGCTGGTCGCGGTCTGCTGCGTCGCGGCGAGATCACCCGAGCTGGCGCCACCGTTGAGGGCGCCCGAAGGGTCGGGGGTCTGAGTCTGGCTCGGGGTCGGGGCGGCGCTGACGGGTTGGCTCTGCATGCCGTTCGCGCCGGGGGTGTTGACTGTCGTCATGCTCGCGTTCGGGTCCGGGGCTGGTGTACTGCCCGCTGTGGGAATGCCATTTGTGACAGCGGCCGGGGGAAGGGTGGTCTTGCTGATGCGACGGGCGTAGTTGAGGAGTTCGTCGTACTTGACGGGATACTTGGGGCCGCCTGGGTAGATTGTGATCTGGGTGGTAGTGATGTCCTTGCGCGTCGTCGCGAGACTAGAGAGGGTCTCCCTAATCTGGGAGTCGAGGGAAGCGGTGGTCGCGCGAAGGTGCTGGAGATGGAGGTAGTTGTTTTGATGGGCCTCAACTGCAGTTGCGCGTTAGATGTGCACCCGACTAGCTTCGCGAAAGAAGGCCTCACCCTCGTCTAGGCCTCTTGCGAGATCATTGTCCGCTTCGTGTAGGTCCAATGCCTGCTTCGCGTGAGGATGATACTTTGAGACCGACTCGATGAGACTGGCAAGAGCCTTCTCAACACGCTCAAAGCGGGCGTCGATGATCTTGTCCATATTGGCGGCAGGCTTTTCTCGCCTGAAAAGTCCAGATTTGGAGCTGTATATGTTGAAGGATCACCATTGCTGTGTACAAGGCTGAGCCGATCCAGGACGGCTTGTGGTGGGTCTTCCCCAAAACGGATGCCGATTGGCTGGAGCTTTCTCAGCCAGTCGCCTGAGGCGCAATGGAAATCCGGCTTTTCCCGCTAAGAATCTCGCGCATCGGCATCATTCTTCACGACTCCCTCTTGCATCTGCAATTGAACCTCATAGTTCGTTCGCACGACAGCCACATTCAAGATGCCTTCTCCCGTGAGTTCGAACAAACTGCTGAACGACTTGCTGCCGTTCGAAGAGCTTTGCAACATAGCGCACACGACCGATTGCTGACCACTTCTCCATTCAGGCCCGTGTCGGTACTCTGTACCCTACCTACCGCAGCAAGTTCGGTCCCAAGTACGTCCTCGAGACTCCCTCCGATTCCGATCCGATTTTCTTCTGCTCCATGGAAACTCGAACCAGTGGTGTTGAGAGGAGCGAACCGACACTCTGGTCGTGAACAACATCCCCGCAAGATGGTGGGCTAACTGTATTGGCTCAGGTACAACACCGTCCCCAACGTTGCCGGATGGACCGTTAGCCAGGTCGTCAAGCTGTGAGTAAACCCTCTCAAATCGAAGCAGCACCACGGAGTTCAAGGGACCGAACTCGACAAACCGGGCCTCTCGCCGTTTGTCCGGAGAATCGCCAATGACAATGGCAATGGTGGAGGACATACGAGTCGGGGCGAGAGGGCTTTGGAAAGCCAGCATACGACAACTTCAATAAACACGTGCTGACGCTCGATTGCAGCGGTCTCCGCGCCGGTGGTTTCGGTGCTGCCGCTGGTGTTGCCGCCCTCTTTTACACCTCCGGCATTCCCAGAATACAGAAGGACATCCTCCAGGCAAGCAGCCCCGAGCTCGCAAGATAACATAATCCGGACAAGCACTAATTTCCATACAGAAGGTCCCCATCCTTGGCCAGCAGTTCATCAAGGAGGTCCACCCCGCCGACAACGTGAGCCCTTTCCGATCTGAATATACCTGGGAGCAGAGCGCTAATGACATGATACAGCCTTTCTAAACGCCTTTTGCGTGGCCATGTGCTTTTTCTAGACAGACACAGGGAAAGCATTGTGCGATGGAGTTGTGAGATCATGGGGCGTTTCCCCCTCGGGGGGTTGTATAAAAGATTCAATAGACCCTTGAACTTCACTTTGTTTTAACAACTTTGGTTCCCGTGATTGCACTCGGTCATATTTTCCCCCGTTCTCTTGTCGTCTAGATATAAGTCGACCAAAATCAGTCCTTGGACTGGCTTCATCAACTCGAAATGTTCCTAAAAGCTTTGGCGGGCCCTTACATCTAATGCCTGTACCGTGCAGATACAGTGCGAAGACGCAGAATGTCCCCTATTGCGGGCGTTTGGCGAACTGTTCACTTCATCTCAATCTCACACCTGAAGTCTCGACTTCAACGGCGAAATTGCTTTGGCGACGGGGTAGAGAATCCCGATTTTCTTTTTATCTCCTCTTCTGTTTTTCCTTCCTGATGAAAACGATCATTCATGTTGATGCCGCCTCAGTAATCTTTCCTTTCCCTACATACCAGTCCTTTCCGCCTATTTGCGACGCCGAAGCGTCTTATAGCAACGATGAAGGCCATCGAAGCCTACGTCAGCGGACTCAACATCCTCTCCGTCATCGTTCTCTACTCGCTACTATGGCTCATCACACCGAGACTACCGAACCCGAAGCCGTCCGGGCCCAAGACGAATAAGCTCTGCGATGGCTTGATGCACACCTCCTACAGCATCATCTTCATCGTGGGATGGGCATGGTGTAGTAATGTCATGGCAAACGTCGAAGAGCCGTACCTCGTTAGTCCCAACCACTCACAAATGCACTTAGAGATACTAATGGTAGATCAGGACGAAGTCTTCCATATCCCACAAGCCCAGAAATTCTGCCAGGGAAGATGGACCGAATGGGACGACAAGATCACCACCCCTCCGGGGTTGTAAGTCGTTTTTCCTAACCAGCCGCCCACGCGGGATCGCCTAACACGCGTCCAGATACATCCTGTCAAAGTACTACCTCGCCATGATGCTGAGACCAGAGTGCTCCGTCCTGGACCTCCGCGGCGTCAACATCATCGCCATCATCGGCCTCGGCATCCTGGCCACCCACTGCCGTCACCTCATCGAGGCCCGTCGCACCGACGCCAAGTCACCGGCACCTCCACTCGTTCTGTCCTTTCACTCGATTCATGTAGGCTGGAACATCGCGCTGTTCCCCGTTCTGTTCTTCTTTTCGGGTCTGTACTATACGGACGTCGTCTCGACTTTGTCCGTTCTGGTGGCGTACTACCACCATCTCCACCGCGTCCGCGAGGAGCGGAGCTCTTTCGTGAGCGATTTGGTCACGATTGTTCTCGGAGTGACCACTCTCTTCATGAGGCAGACCAACGTGTTCTGGGTGGTTGTGTACATGGGTGGTCTCGAGGCGGTCTCCGCTATCAAGTCCCTTCGTCCTGCTCCCGCCGACAAGCCCAAGTTCAAGGGTCTGAGTGACTGCGTCAAGTACTATGCCTGGAGGTATTCCCTCGGGGACATTCACGATCCTCCTCTTAACACGGCTTGGCCTGACGGTTCGTTGACCTGTCTGCTCCACTGTGTCTCTCAGCTAACAGTGTAGACCTCTTCTTCTCGGCTTTAAGCATTGGCGTCGCCGCCATTTCGAATCCATTCCGTGTCTTGGCCAAGGTGTGGCCGCACATCACCACCATGGGCCTATTCGCTGGCTTCGTAGCCTGGAACGGAGGTGTTGTGTTAGGTACGTTCAAGCATCAAACTTTAGGAGGAAACAACTGACACCTTGCAGGCGACAAGTCCAACCACGTCGCGACGATCCATCTCGCTCAGATGCTCTACATATGGCCCATGTTCGCCTTCTTCTCCTTCCCGCTGTTCCTTCCCTCGGCAATCTCTGTCCTGCGCTTCGTCCAAGGCTTCTTCACCGCCGTCTTCAAGGCAAGCGAGAACAAACCTCAATCATCTAGTGACTCAACCTCCGTTAGTAAGAAATCCGTCAAGTCCAGCTCCTCAAAAGAGACAAACGACTCCCCGGCGAAGAACCCTCCCCGGACTTCCGCCATCTACAACATCCTCCAGACCATCATCGGGAGCAAACTATATCAGCTCGCCCTCACACCCGCCCTCATCGCCCTGACCTTCCTGGTCGTCAAATTCAACACCATCATCCACCCCTTCACCCTCGCCGACAACAGACACTACATGTTCTACGTCTTCCGCTACACCATCCGACGACCGGGCCTGTTCCGCTACTACCTCGTCATCCCGTACACCGCGACCCGCTGGCTCTGCTGGGACGCCCTCGGCGGCTGCGGCCAAGGCGGCTTCCTCTCGGACCACACGGAAGCCTGTTCGGGACGGTACACACAGTCCCGGCCAGGACCGTTCGAGAATAATCCCTTCGGAAGTTCGGGAGCCCGCGCGGAGAAGCCGCCCGCCACGGAGCCCCTCGAAGACCAAGTTGTCGCCACGGAGGAAGAGAAGAAAGAGGGCGATGCCGCGAAGTACCACCCCTACACCCTCATCAAGCTAGACGAGCCGACGTCGAACAGCACGGAGCCCACGTCCTCGTCGACCGCCATCTTGCTGCTCGTCGCGATCACCCTGTCCCTGATGACGGCGCCGCTCGTCGAGCCGCGGTACTTCATCCTGCCCTGGGTCTTCTGGCGCATCCTCATCCCGGCTTGGAAGGTCCACGAGCATGCGGTGATTCATCCTGTCCTGGCCAAGCTGGAGGCTGTTCCGGGTGTGGGGGCGTTGGTTAGGATTGGACAGAAGTTTGATCTGAGGCTTGTTCTCGAGACGCTGTGGTTCATCTTGGTCAACTTGGTGACCATGTACATCTTCATCGCCAAGCCGTACAAGTGGAGAGACGAGAATGGCCGGGTGCTGGATGGAGGTCGGATGCAGCGGTTCATGTGGTAGACTTGGCTTCGTTTACCCCTCACCATAGACCTCAAGGCAATGTACAGACGTAAGTTGACAGTAGATCACAGCGAGAAAAGAAGTAATGCAACGTAAATATGCTCAGTTGTCATGCTCAACCTGATGCTTTTCTTTTGTGTGCGGTAAAGGTGCACTTTCATGTATGCTCTATCCCTTTGTAGGATTTCATGAGTCTGCGTGAAAACAAAAGACCTTCAGCCTGTCCTAGACGCCGGTTGGGATTCTCCAGAGCCCTTGTGGATTTCATATCCCAACGATTGTCGGATTTGTTCGTTTAATGATGCCATGCCCCCCATGTCCGCCTATGTACCGTACCCAAAGTCATATTCTCTCGTCATGTCTCTTCATTCTTTTCGGCGGACCATCTTCGTCATTCGCCTTCGTCGTGATTCTATAAGCTCAGTCGATCCAGACTGAGACCATCGTTGCTGCGTACTCTTCGTACAACGCCAAGCTTGAAGAACTTTTCCTCGCCACCGGCGGTCCGTCCGCCGATATACCACTTTTCGGCTCCAAGTACGTCACGGAAACCCTCGCTGCTGCTGTCGCTGCCGCGTCGTCGGTTCGAGCTGCTGCTGCCGGGTATCGGGACACCGCCACGCGGTGAGTGGAGTGGGTACTGGTTCACGACGCCGGATGTCGAACGCGTCGTTGAGTTGGCGGTGCCGTTAGCGGTTCCGCTACTTGATGACGTCGCCGCGTTCGAGGAGATTGCTCGCGGCGCTGAGGAGGACTGTGTGGCGTATGATGACGAAGACGACGTCTGCGTGGAGTGCTTGTTCGGTTGTTGCGCGGATAGCGCTGTGGACTGGCGGAAGGAGGAGAAGAAGGTGGAGAGGAAGAAGGGGCGTTGAGAAGGCATCGTTGCTGTTGTCTCCTCGCCCAGAGGAAGAGGTGTCGATGATGGAAGCGAGGTGTGTGTTCGTTGAACCTGACTCCCCGTACGTGCGTTCGTGCGCCGCGAGACTTTTTTTCTCGATGTGAGATGAGGAGAGGGGCACAAGCCGTTATTGTATTTTGACGTAACGGGGCCAGACGGGGAGGTTTCCGGTTCCAAACGATAATTCAAACCCTCGATCGGGGGACCCCTATTCTCGTTGTCGTCAGGGCGCGTAGTGGTCGTCCGGGTTGCCTGGGTTTATGCTGTCATCCGTGCCCGAGCCGGGTTGGTGCTGGGACAAGGCAGGACGTCCAAGCTTGCGCTCCAAGACGGTTTCGCACGGGAGGAGAAATGAGCAAGCCGCGGGATACCGTTGTTTGCTTTTGTTTTGTAGGTGGGCTCAGCTGGAGTTTGTCGACTCGGGGATGCGTCGCTGTCGTTGGTGATATATGGCGGAGGCGGAAGGCGGATTGAGGGACTCGGTCGGTGCTCGATCCTGTGGGCGGGATTTCGATCGTGGGCGTGGAAGCGAGTGATCGGCGGTAGAGAGCTGGCAGGAGAGAAAGTGGGAGTGCAGAAGTGCAGTGCGGGATGCGGGCGGGATGGATGGAATAAGTTGGATGGGTGCGGTGTGTCGTCGGTGTTGGTACTTTGTTTTCCGTATGTCGGTCGGCCTTTAAAGTGCCACTGACTCCAGGTCTTTGGCTATGGGCATGCGCTGCGCCGTGAAGATCCGGGTTGGCGAGCTGCGCGGTAAGGTATCCGTACGGCAGAGCGTTAAAAAAGGTGTGTGTGTGATTGTTGGTATCGGATGCAAGTTGTGTGAATAAAACCTGACGTCGACTCACTTGATTGTGGCCCGCCAAACTGGATGAGTGAGGGGGACGTGGAGGGGAGACTTGGACACGGCTGGAAAAGGAATGGTGATGGAATGACGGGTGCAAGGGGTGGGTTGGGTCGGTCGGTCACTGGCGTCGTTGGTTTGTGGGAAGTCGCTGGCAGTCACTGGTAATCGGCCAATCCCGGAAGCGGACGAAGGGGGGCCTGGCAGTGGCATGCACGGGCGGAGGCTCCATAGTGAGTAATGACCAGGTCGCGATAGGTCCAGTCCGGGGCAACGGGTGGATATCCAGGTCACGTTGCTTGGCCTTTTTCCGGTACGTACCTCGCCTAACCCCGACTACGACTGTGGAGGTTCGGCGTCTGGGAAGGAGATGTCGGACTCCAGACTCCAGGTGGTGTCGGTCGCGGGGTTTCCTTGGTCCATCACAGGCTGGCTTATCTTATCCTTATCCTTATCCGAGGCTCTCGCTGCGACGTGGGGCAAGTGACTTGATAACGGCCCGTGTCACAGGCTGCCTGCTTGCTGCATTTCATTTCATCGAGATCAAGACATCTGCGGAAATGCAACACCACGACTCGCTTAACGCTTTCCCCAGACTCTTGGATCTATCTTCCTGTGTCACTCGATCCGACCTTCGTCCAGTCTGACACTTTTGACTTCCTAATACCTGCTTTCTTTTCCCTCAGCATTACATCCCACCCACACCATCACCGCCAACAAGCCTGCTCCCTGTCGCTGGTCATGATGATCTGATAATTCTCAGTTCTTCGAAATCATCTCTCGTCCCATTGGCCAGCCCGAGTAAGGCTCACAAGCAGCTCGCAGATCTGGAACCGAAACTCCAGGAGAACGCGACGGCACAGCTGTGCAGCGAACCGTAGGATTGCAGCAGCGTGGTACGCCACAGTCGCCTACAATGCAGTAGCCAAACATTTGCTGTTCGCCGACATGCATGGTTGGTCGGGTGCCTTCTAGATCCCGTTGGTTCAGCTTGTCAACTCTGACAGCATACTCACCCGCTCGCTCCCTTTGCTCCGTCGACGCCTAGTCTTGGACGCTACTCGGCCTGCCTGGAGGTCACCGATGAGAGCTCGGCAGCACAGGCAATACGATCCTCCTGCCGCGGCGGTCTGCGGGATTTAGTAGTTGGCATCGCGGCTCCGCTCCAGGTCACAAGACGCAGCCGCCTCTTCCTATCTTTCAAGGTCAAGAACGACGTCCGAACGAGACGTCTCTGGCGCTGACGCAACGCTACCTCAATTTGCAACTTTGCAGCCGACAGGGTTTCCTTGCATGGAACATCATTGGCCTTCTCATCTGAAGTCGCCAGGCAGCTGGCAGAATGTACGGAAGAGCCTTACTTCGTTCAGCCTGCGGTCAGGTTCCAATTTCCAGCAAACACACAGGCTTCCCTTCCCCACACTGAGGCACCATCGGACAGTTCCAACATCGCGGTTTGTCCCGATATCAGCAAAGGTGTTGCTCTTCAAGCTAAATCATATGGTTTACTTTCCAATCACCATTCCTCAAAGACCGATTTACCCCTCTCCTACCGAGTCAGAGCCTTGAGAACCGTCCTACCGATCCTCCATCACAGATTGTGCATTGCCCAGCCCCTCTAGGTTCCCCTCGATCTCATCACCTCAGATGGTTTGAAAACTTGCGGGGTTTGCGGGGTTGGCTTGGATCTGGAGCAAGCCACCGCGCCGTCCCAAACACCACCAACGCTCTGCGCCTGGTAACTCTCCGTTTGTCCATCTCTTGGCGTTTCGCTTTGCCGTCTGAGATTATTGTTTGTCCGCCTCGACTGAGGACTTTTGTCCGGCAGGTGCTTTCTGTCGGCTTATTGTTAATGATTTCGGATGATTCGTTTGAGGCCGCGCGTATCAGCCAAGGGCCGTCCCGTGGTCGCAGGGCTATCAACTCCATCATCTCAACGTATGAACAAGTGGGATTCATTATTTCTCTGGGATGTAGATTTCGCAGCAATCGTTCCTTGGGAATAAAGTGTGAGTGTGCTCTACGTCATAACGAGAGAGTTCTATACCATCAGGAGTTGGAGTCAGCGAGTGCTGAGATGTGACTGTGTTGCACAGCAACGGCGGCTCGTGATGGTGACACTCTTACTGAGATTATGGCAGCACGAAAGCGATCGGCTTATCCGATACTACATGAATGAATGAATTCCAAAGACATTGCTTCTGCGGATTCGAGGGCGTCGCCATTGTTTGATCCCGGCATTATGCAGTACTTGACTCTCGTTGAACCCTCAGACTCGGTCCAGCCGTGTCTCGAGGCTGGCCAGCTGGATGATATTTTGATGTCCTCTAGCCCCCAAAATTTCAGCTGAGACTCGCTTCCAATGCGCCGTAGGTGGAAGCAAACATTGCTTCTAGGCCTCCGTACGCTGCCAGTCGCGGGTGTAGCACCGCCTCAATCTCATCGCTGACAGCTACAGTGGTGGTCAGCGAGCCTTGTCGCACACGAACGGTGGGTGGCAGTCTGACCAAGACACCGCAAAATTGGACCGATCTTAGATGAGGCGGTGCTTCTTGGGGGCTAGTGCAAGCATGGTGGACGTCACTGGTAAGCAGAGCCTTGTGAGGCTGCCTGTGATGTCTCTAAAATTTGCAGTCCAAATGGCACGCTAGATCTGCCTGAACACCCTCCTTACATCGTTGCGGACCATTCGCTTGCCTCGTTTAAAGACTACTTTGAGCCATTCTCACACAAGCACTAGAACCAGCTTCCTTTAAATGGTAGTCTTGTCTACTGTTCTTCTCGTAAGACATCCCATATCTTAGTCGCAACATGTGGTTTCGATATACAATACAGGACAACAGAACATGGCTTTCCACCCAAATTCGAGACTGGCGATCGCTGTCATTCTCTTGGTGTTTCAAATCCTATTATTCTTATTCCAGTGCGGCATCAATCATTTGCATCTCTTCAAAGAACGGGATAGTTTGAAACGTTTCGTCATTCTCTTTCAATATCTTCTCTTCCCTCTATTCATCGGGATTGTGGGCATCGCCTTTACGCTGCTCATGTTTAACAGCGACTTCGACGAAGAAGACTGTTCCATTAATCCCGAATTTCTGGACCCGGACATTGTCGGTCCTGGCATCCTCATCGCTCAATGGGCGCAATTAGCAGTGCTCTTTACGTTCGCACTACTCGGGACGTTCCACACTCAAGCCGCGGGAGTGAAAGAGATCGGTGCTGGTCTAGCAGTAATCCATCTTTCACTGGCCATTGCCCTACTTGTTCAGATCAAGACCAACAACGGCTTCTCTGCAACCGATGCCATACTAGGGGCCATGATTCTTGACTCTCAAGGCAGCGCCATCTCAATCCAAATGATCACGAAAGAGACATTAGCATCGCGATTTCAAGTCGGAGCCGTTCTACCATGCCAAGTCTTCGGCTTGATAGTCGAGGCGATTCTCGTCCTCGGTTTTCACCAAAACAGGTTCGAGTTCCAATACAAAAACTGCAATTGCGTCGCAGTGACTTGGTGGGGTCGACTCACCAGCTGTAAGGACTCGATTCAGAAGGAGCACTCAAACCAAGAGATGGCGATCTTCTGGACATACTTTGGGTGCAGGACTATTGCCTTCATACAGAGTAGCTACCATGCTCTTATGGACACATCCAAATTCCATTATGCTGAAATCAAGAGCCGAGAGAAAAACCTGAAAGACGGTTGTGGGACCAAAATTGCTAAGGAAGCCGCCGACTTGAGGAATACAACCTTCGTCTCGCCCCTGGCCTCACCACTGACCTCTCACAAACCATCATCCAGCTTCACCAAATTCCTGCAACGGGTAACACGGGCGGGAAAGCGCGAGGAGGAGTACGACAAGCATCTAACGACATTATCGCTCGCCTACTTCATTTTTGGCGTCTATTCTGTGGCATCCATGGCTGCGGTTAGAGCTGCAATCAAAGGAGAGGGACAAATTGGAGAGAAAGATGATACGGATTGGTCGGCAGGACAGGTGATTGCGGTTGTGGTTGCAGCCGTTACCATCGTCAGAGGCATTTGGCATGTTGTCAGAATGGTCAAGAAGGAAAAGTTCAGGTTGCCCGCCAACATGCGTCCAACACCATAATTTCTTGTCTGCAGAATCACACATCGTATCATCAGGAAAGCATGCTACCATTACATCTAATGACTAGAATATCCCTAGGTTTGTGGTCTTAATAACATCCTATAGAACCCAATCCATAATGCAAGTGAGGCGAGAGGGAAGACACCCAACACGTACAGCGCAAAGCTGTACCCCCTATCCTGCGCCATCCAACCTCCCAATGAGTGAGAAATGGCAGCGCCGGTCTGGCGGGTCATGCCACCAACGATACCAAAAGTGACATTGAAATGCCCGCTCCCAGCCATCATGACAGCCAATAGTCCAGGAATCGCGACGCTCTGGATACCCGCACCAATACCATCGAGAATCTGAACAGGCCACACACCCCAGCTCTTTATAGCCTTACCCGCGACAGCAGCACGGATAGGCAAGACAGCGTATGATGTCAAAATCGCAAGCCAGTAGCCCCGTCGACCGGAAACCCACGATGTGAGGATGGATACGACAACCATCGTGCCCTGGGCGATGATGACGGTTAGACCGGTCGTGCCGGCGGGGTCGCCTTGACCCGCGGCCACGAGGGCCTGTCCGTAGAGATACAGAATCGCCGCGTTGCCGAGATGGAACAAGAACACGGTGATGGCAATGACGCCCAAAGACCGGTTATTCCTGAAGAGATGAATTGCTTTCGAGAATGTGTTCGTCTTCTCCTTCGGAATGGTGATGATATCCCGAGGGGGATTAGGTGCTCTTGGGGGGTCTTCTATTCCTGCCCTGCCTCTTTCTTGCATGTCTTGACGATGACTGTCATCGCTGACATCGTGCTCAGACGGAGGCCCTGCCCTCGCGGCGGCGTGGTCGATCGCCCGTTCCGGCAGTAGGAAGACACATACCATAGTCGCAGCACAGAAGGCCATGACAAGCCAGAAGACTGCCGTCAACCCAAAGTGGGAACCCAACAGGCCCGCCAGACCTGCGCTGACCATGTTGCCTGCGTGGTTGGAAGCTTGGTTGCGTCCGTTTAGCGCGCGGAAGCTATGCTTGTCTTTCCGTTTCTTGTTGCCGCGGTTGTTACTGGTGCCTCGGTCGTCCTCCTCTTGTTGAGAGCAGATGCCCAGCGTGAGCGCTACGAGTAGAGGCACCATACTCGTACCCGCGACGGCAGACACGATTTGCGTCGTGAAGACGAGTGCCGGATGTGTGCTAAGTAGGTTGAGCCCTTGGGAAACGCCAACGAGGAGGGCGAAAGCAGCCACAAGGAGGCGCTTTTTTCTGGTTGAGGATATCAGTTTCGTCGAGAGTATAACATATGACACAGTAGCTGTCAATATGGACTTACTTCGTCGCGTCTATAAGTGCGCCGATAGGACCGGCAGCAACGATTGTAGCCACGCCGCCGGCGGTACTCACCGAGCCGCGCAGCCCGGGAGCCCATCCGTGTTGTTGAAGGTAGACGCCAAGAAAAGGACCGAGCCCATCCTGCACGTCACCCATGAAGAAAGCCATAACGAAAAGAGCCCATCGTGCTCGTTTTTTCAGCTTCTCATCTTCCTTTTGCGTCGGCCCAGACTCTGCTTGCGTGTCTGCCTCGCCGAGAGGAACATCCGAGGTGGGAGATGGCACCGAGTCGCTGATGCGGGCGTCCTGCTTGTCGTCCCGCTTCCCATCCGGCTTGGTGTCCTGCTTGCCCAGCTGTTCACCATCTTTCTGGTCGTCATGAATGCCATCTTTCTTATTTTCGAAATCCAAGGTCAAGTCAACCGGAGGCAGGAACTCAAGGTTGATGTCGCTGGACGAGTGGGTCTTGTCATCTTTGGCGTCCATAGTCTCTTACCGTACCGAACCGTTTTCCCCTCAATACTCGTGAGGGATCGGAGGAGCGATATTATAAGAGGCACGGTCCCATCTATCAGAAGACGAAGACAAGACAAAGACAAGACTTGCACAGACAGAGGTTCGCTACGTCAATAAGAGGGCCGCCCCGACAAACACATGAAACTATACCAAATATAGCCACCCGTGCAAACCCTTTTCCCAACTTTACTTTGGGTAAGGCTGTCTGCATCTTGGCATTCGACATTCACTGAGTGGTCGTAGATGTTTTAAAGTTGCTGTGCGCCCAGGCGTGAAACGTGCATACACACAAAATATCAAACCCATCTGAACTGGATGCTGATTACTTCATAGGCAGACCTTGCAAGTGCGGGGATGGAATTCAGCAGCTCAGCAAAAGCTCGGTCGCTCGTGCGTTTCTTCCATCACCTGTCACCCGTTTTCGTTATCTTGCGAGTAGAGACGAAGAGCTGCCGGCCCGTTTTTGCCGTTGATGACGTTGGACACAGACTCGGCCGGTCTCCGTCACACCTCCGTATTTACGAATGAGTTCGCCGAGGCGCTGCTCTTGAAACGTTGAGTCTTGAGATTGTCTTCAGAACTGAATCCTGCAGGACCACGACTTTGGCCTGTAATGCATGTGATTCGATAACTCCAGTCACGGCGTCGCTTGTCTCTGAATGGCATGGTCCACTCTACATTTGATACCGCCGATGACGAAAAATATTGATGTCACTTTGCTTCTAAACTTATGAATAACCCCTCTGAGAAAAGGTGGTACACAAACACTTTCAGGGCATGTGTAAGTCAGTGGTTTTCTGTAATCCGATTCTTCTGTCTCAACTCATAATACGGTGAATGTCTTCTTCATTAGTATGAACACAGTAGGAAATTTTGAAATATGAGGACGGAAAGGTTTCTTAGATCTTTAGTAGAATGTACACTCTTACACATACACATGGTATAAAATGTGATGGAATTACAGTGAAAACGACGGAGTCTATGCAATGTGTCAAGGTGCAGTGGTGACATGTAAGTCATTCTTCAACATGCCATTTCTACCACTCCACTTGCTTTTACTTTTCTGATACTAAGCCTTGTCATGGGTTTATCTCTCCTACTTAGTTTCCTTCGTCTTAATCCTCTTGTCCGGTGTATCATCGTCATTAGTATCCGGGTTGCCTTCCTTGTTCTCTGATGGGCTCATTACCATCCTCTTCATCCTTGTCTTCCTCGTAAATAGAGCCTCATTACTTCAAGCTTCCCGCGTGTGAAAACGCGCCTGAAAACAGCCATGCAAAGACTTTGTGACCATTTATCGCTACAATTCTGCACATTTATGAAGCTTGTTCTGAGATTTCAATCCAGGCGCCGAGTGGACCGCAACAACAGCCTCAAGAGCAGTCATGGAAAAGAAAAACCTACCTGTATGGTCGTTGAAACACATGTATGTGCGGACTTTATTGTATATTTGCGGAAATAGATCAGATAGCTTTAGAGAGCTTGCAACTTCTCAAGGATTCGACCCTTTTCTGAATGAACTTACATCCTACGCTGCGGCTTGCGAAGTTCCAGCTATTATCCTTCTTGAATTCAGCTATAAGATTGAACTTACATTGAAGCATCTTATACTGCTTTTCACGTGCGGGAATGATACTTCTCCCAAGCATAAGAATATGTTGAGAAATCCATTGAAATAGGAGATGCCCACGCGAAGAATTAGGACATAAACACGTGAAATGTCAATCGCTTCTCTTCTTTGTGCAAAGGCTCCGCATTTTGGAAGTCAGTTTCCATTAAATCTGGGTGTGCTGATGATCAACTTCTCATCATTGTGCTGACCTATGATGAATTTGTTGTTGGAAGCAACAGTGTTGGCTGTTGAATTCATTTCTTCTAGTCAGCCTTGCTTTCACTCTCAAGCCCATCTATACACTGTGTAAGCCAAGCTTGAGGCTAGAAGCCGACGTGAAAGACGAGTCCCTTCCATACGAGCGTGCGTCTGTATCCTGAGACTGTGCGTCATCACGGGTTTTATGCTTAATTATCCTCAATGGCCAGCCCTTCAGGTTCAATTGAAACAAAAGTCATTATGTTATCCAAGGTAAACGGAAGTGATTAAACATGTGGTGTTGTCAAAAGTCATGTGGTTGTAACTGAAGTTTCGCGTTGCCTCATTACTGATGGCAAGCTCCAGTCTCCAATTCGAAATCTCATGAGCTTTGACCATATAATGTCAAAAGCTTTGTAACTCGGACGAAGTTTTGGATATCAACAGCACATGAACAGCTGGTAATATTCTCCCATCTTCGTCTTAAAGCATACGAGATCAAATCTTCCGTGTAAGACAGATTGTGGCGGGTTACTTCAGTAATGGCAACAGCATTAACAGCCACACTGACGCATTGTGGCGCTGGGTGCCATGCCCATTTCCGGCATTAAACTTTGCTGACCTTGCACTGGCCGGCGGCGCGCTCCCGCACCCCCTTCTTATCAGGGCGAACCATGTCGCAGCTTGGGTTCGCCGTAATTCACCAAGACTAAAGTTTGATAACTTCGGTGGTTGCAAACTAGCAATCTAGAAATACGTTGACGGAAAGAGCTCAAAAATATCGTACAAAGACACGCGTGTGACCATGTGCCAATGCTGTCAACACTTCAGGACTCGCTGAGGTGTTGCCCAAGACTTGTGATGCGACGCGCCGGCGGCGACTTCTTATCACTGGGTTACCCTGATGCGAACGCGAATGCCTAGAAATACAACGGCCCTGCTCTTCAGGTGTGAGACACCACAATGTCCAGGCTAGACCTTACTCAGGTCAGGACGGGGGAATCATTGTCGCGTCAGTTGTCTGATTCCGGCAAAACTGGTAATTCGAATTGGGGATGTCTGGAGATAAGTGGAACGTACTCATTTGTCGATCGAACGGGGGTAGATCCCCCAGCCAGGTGAAGGCTTGTGGGACCACGATGAAGGTTCTCCTTGTGCGAGACCCCTTATCTGGACACCAGTCAGTCCACTGATCATCTTATCAGAGACAAGACGAAAGAGCGGCTGCAAAATCACCACCTAGTGAGGCCATGAATGGCACGCGAGCTCTTGATACTTGCGCATGGAGCATCGCGTTTGAGAGATGGCAACTCAACAGTCGAGACCATAGCACGCAATACAATTGACGTCAACTACCAAGCTTTATTGAGGGTCCCTTCTCCAGCCTGACGATATGCTGACTGTCATGATGTTTCGGCGTCGAGGAAATGGATGTACGAATACTGGCGGATGTAAAAGAATGGAACAATAGGGCCGAGAGGAGACGCACGAACCCCAAATATTTCCCGCTTCGTTAGCTGATTTTTTGACCCAGCAAGTCCCGAGATGCATAGGCCGGCCCAAATCTAGCCGTTTGTCACTCCCGCAAGTTGGTTGACTCGATGAGATCGAGTAATGATTTTTCCCAGCTTGCGGGGTTTTGGAGCCGACGATAAGCTACCCCTGCCTGCCAGGCTAACTTATCACACATAGCCGCATCGTCCCATGCCGAACAGGCATCATGGTGCATGGTTACTGAGCGGGAGCCGTTCCCTCAAGCCGCCACCTCCCCAGTCTACCAACGCCCATGATAAGACATCTCCTCGGACGAACCAATGGCAATCGCAGGATCCTGCCCAGACGACCTAATTTTCGAGGTTTTCGGTACCGGGTTCGTCCTCTTACTCGATCAGATTTGACGTCGTTCTCAACCTGCGCGCTCTTCAATTTGCTGCAATCACGGCGTGACCGGCAGCACCCTTGTCCTGTTGCAGTCCAGCTCGCCTTACCTGCTATCCAGCGCCATGACTTTTCCCCAATCGTCGTGTCTTTCAGCGGGATTTGGATGCAGAACGATTGAAAAGAGCTTGTCCATGTGGGGGGCGTCGCACCGATTTCCGGGTCCCATCAGTCGATATCCCTGAGACACAGAGGTACAGAGATTCCATGTGCTTTATCAACGTCTCCTTCTCCAGAGCGACACCGGCATGGACTCGAAATAAATACCAGGCGATGTCCTCCGCTGCTTCAGATTTGGATTCTGGCTGAGATTCAGCCGGAGCTTCACCCCTCAACCGCTGCCTTGGAACTGCCACTTCTTTGACTGTAACCCCGTTGCAGATCAATACCTACGACACCCTGCGGCCCAGCTTTTCGCTTACGGTTCCATTCTCACGTGCATATCGTCATCGCAACGTGTGACTGGTCTTCCTCCTGGTCTTTATATGACTGCGGCATCTTCGTCTATCGCTTGAGCAACACGCAAACGAACAACTAGGTCGACGGGGTGAATATGGACACCGCAACCACCACAGCGCGGCCAGAAAAGGTCCACAGCTCGAAATGGAGATACTGGGCCGACAAACTCGCCGTCGAGTCTGAGCCTGGCTTGACGAGAGCACAGCTGATGGTATGATTCGCAGTTCAAGAAACCACCTGGGATCTGAGGAGAAACTGACGAGTTTTAATCGGTAGCTCACGAACTATGATCTCAAACCGTGAGTACTGGGCGCTGTGGGAGCATTCGTCCCACGAAACAACGGCTGACGTCATGTGAACAGAGTCGAACCAGAGAGGCGGCAATGGGGTCCGTGGAATTTCGTGGCATTTTGGGTTGCCGACTCCTTCAACGTCAACACCTGGATGATTTCATCGTCCATGGTCGTCGGTGGCCTTTCATGGTGGCAGTCGTGGCTTTGCGTCTGGCTCGGATACGCGATCGCCGGTGCCTTCATCTGCTTGACTGGTCGCATTGGTGCTGTTTACCACATCGGTTTCCCCGTCGTCAACAGGTCCTCTTTCGGAATCTGGGGTAGTCTGTGGCCCGTCTTCAACCGCGCTGCGATGGGTGAGTTTCGCCCCCATACATCCTGATTCTTGAGTGGCCTTGCTCATAGAAGCTAGCTTGCGTTTGGTACGGTGTCCAAGCCTACATCGGAGGCAACTGTGTTTACTTGATGATTCGCGCAATCTGGAAGTCTTGGGTAAGTGGAACGAGGATAAGAGTTTGATTGATGCCTCACGTGCTAACACCTTGCAGGACCGTGAGACAATCAACCCCGGCGGGTTCTCACCGAGCTCCGGCACATCGACTGCGGAATACGTCTCGTTCTTCCTCTTCTGGTTTTGCTCTTTGCCTGCCATCTGGTTCCCGGTTCATAAGATCCGACACCTGTTCACAGTCAAGTCCTACGTGGCCCCTTGCGCCGGTATCGCCTTCTTGATTTGGGCCGTTGTCCGCGCTGGAGGAGTAGGTCCCATTGTCCGTCAACCTGCGAAACTCCAAGGAAGCGATCTTGCCTGGGAGTTTGTCAAGGGCGTCATGTCATCTATCGCCAACTTCGCGACGCTCATCGTGAACGACCCCGACTTTTCTCGTTTTGCCAGAAAGCCCCGCGATGCTTTGTGGTCTCAGCTCATCACTATTCCAGTCGGTTTCGCCTTCACCTCCTTTATCGGCATCATCGTTTCGTCGTCGTCTGCTGTCATCTACGACTTGGACGAGCCGATCTGGAATCCCTTGTCGCTGCTCGAGAGATTTATCGACGACGGTGGTTCCGCTCAGAGATTCGGAGTTTTCATGATCGCTACTTCGTTCGCTCTGGCCCAACTCGGTACGAACATTGCGGCCAACTCGGTCTCTGCCGGCACGGATATGACAGCGCTTCTCCCTCGGTACTTGAGCATTCGTCGTGGTGGATACATCTGCGCTGCAGTTGGTCTCGCCATGTGCCCCTACACCCTGCTCACCGATTCCAACAAGTTCACGACCTACCTGTCGGCATACAGCGTGTTCCTCAGTTCCATTGCCGGCGTCATGTGCTCCGACTACTACGTCGTACGAAAGGGGTATCTCGAGATCAAGGAGCTCTACGATGCGCGTAAGACGGGACCGTACTACTTCACTTACGGCATTCATTGGCGCGCGTATGTTGCCTACATTGCTGGAATTCTCATCAACGTGGTGGGATTTGCCGGTGAAATTGGCCGTGATGTGCCTGTTGGAGCCAAGTACATTTACAACATCAACTTCTTCGGTGGCTTCATCGTTTCTGGTGGCATGTACTGGGGCCTGTGCAAGATCTCCCCGATCCCTGCTACCAGCGACAAATGGATGGAAGTCGGTGATGAGATTGAGGATATCCGGGTTGGATACAACAACAGCAGCCAGGATTTCGATGAGGAGGCGGTTACTGGATCAGCAAAGGGCATGGATGACACCAAGCCTCTATGAGGCGGACCAGGAGGGAATGATTGAGAGTTTGTCGATTTGCATTTTGATGATACCACTGCTGCACTTGAAGAATGTCAATGTTGTGACACAAACGAAGCAGCTCAAATAGTTGATATAAATAAGGAGCGATGCCGAGCAAATGGTGCCATCGAAGACTTGGGCATGATATTGGGAGAGACTGGCTGAGTAATACCTAGCGAACTGATGTTCAGTTATTTCTACGCCAATGATGGAGCTGACATGATTTCAAGAAGTGGAGACAGTCAGATACTTGCCAACTCCAACTCACCGCGGTGTGGCGGTGCCATGAAGCTCATCAACGTTCATTCACTAGCCATCGAAAGCTTCGGTGCAAGTGAAACGATCCCACGATATGCGATACTGTCACATACATGGGGCAACGACGAGATCAGCCTTCAGGAATGGACCGCCAACTACAACGACCCCTCTCCAGAGTACCTAGAGAAGCCCGGATACTCGAAGATTGTCCATGCTTGCTCCAAGACGCGAGACGATAGGCTGGGGTATCTCTGGGTAGATACAGTTTGCATCGACAAGACGAGCAGCGCAGAACTCTCGGAGGCCATCAACTCCATGTTCGCATGGTACGAGCGTGCCGCTGTCTGTCTCGTCTATCTGGCCGATGTGGAATGGGCAGATGACCTCGTCCACAAGATTTACTCCAAACAAGACTCAAGTTTTGGTTCGAGTCGATGGTTCAGTCGAGGGTGGACCTTACAGGAGTTATTGGCACCCGAAAAAGTCTTCTTCTTTACCAAGGAATGGATAGAAATCGGAACGAAGTCGGAGCTGATGTTCCATATCTCGAAGATCACCGGCATCGACGTCACTTACCTGACTAGCACCCGAAGGATATGGTCCGCGAGCGTTTCTGCAAGAATGAGCTGGGCTTCCAAACGACAGACGACCAGGCCGGAGGACATAGCCTACTGCCTTCTGGGTATATTCGACATCAATATGCCGCTATTGTACGGCGAGGGCTCGAGAGCGTTTCTACGACTGCAGGAGGAGATCATCAAATCATCCGACGACCACACCATATTCTGCTGGGCTTGGGTCCCGCACAAGACGCCCAATCAATGGCAGAGTGTCCTGGCGCCTTCGCCAGCAGTCTTTGCGAACTCGAGCTCGTTCGTGGCCACACACAGAAACGTCGACAGCTCGCCTTACCAGATTACGAATATCGGCTTGCGCATCAGGCTTCCTGTCGTTGCGGCCGTGAACTGCCTCTGCGCGATGCTCTCAGTCATCAGCACCGACGAAGGCAACCTGGAGCACAAGCGCATGATGTGTTTGCCTCTGATGGAGGAAGGCATCATCCATCGCCGCTGTCCGTTTCCCATGCAGCCTTTCCCCGTTCATCGATCACTGGCTTGCGATACCAAGGAGATGCATCTTCTCTACAAGATCTCGAGAAACACGGAAGATCTGATGCCATGGCCGTACCGTCATCAGTTTGAGTACGGGTTCTACATCAATATCCTCGACGAATCCTTCTCGACGGATATGAACCATCAAATGATAAGGTCTATTGACTGCTTAGTCCCTCAATACAAGCAGACCCCGACTTCGCATACGTCACGGCCTGTCTACAGCGCCGTTGGGTTCCGGTCGACTTTGAAGCACGATTTCGGAGGGTTGATATTGAGACTCAACCATCAAGACGACAGATTTCTTGTCTTGCTCTCTGTCAGCAAACGTGGCAACAAGCACCAGTGGAGTTGCGAGATTGTCGATCCCAAATACGACGAGTATAACGCCACCCAATGGCTCCGAGAGTTTGAAGGGCCCCTGAACAGCGTCGAAGCCTCCCCCGACTGCACCTTCCACACTGCCATCTCACAAAGTCAGCGGTCGAAGATACTTGTGGCGCTAGACGGAGACATCCGAGATGAAACCGGTCGAAGATTGAGGGTTGTCTACATAGTAATTTCCAAGACGGAAGGCAGCGGTAATCGGATGCAAGATGTGTGGACGAAGCTTCAGCAGAGCTTCGACGGCAGTAGTGGGCGACGCTTGTTGTCATAGCTCTACCCCAACGTGCCGGCGGTCGGAAGATGCAGCAGGGAATTCGAACTGCTAGTACCCTAACTGTTAGTACATCAAGCTAGAGGCTGCACGTTGCAACCCAAAAGTCATCCTGGAAGCTTTTCGACGCATCATCTTCACATCTGTTTGGGGGCTTTTCGGATGCGAGAGATTTGTTCCCCGCCAGCGCAGGCACCAGCAGTAGTGCGCTGACGGGAAGCACTGCAGCGCTCCTCACAGCACTGTTCGGGTACGTGCAGCCCGAAATGATTCGGAGAGCCCCACCGGAAACTTCCGACACCCCACGCCTACGCTTTAAGGATCTCAGAATTTGACTTTTCGTCACCATCAGCTCCCGTAGCTGAGTTGGTTTACAGCGTCATACTTATGGTCACGTGATTTCCGTGAGCTATGTGAAGGTCGCGAGTTCGACTCTCGCCGGGAGCACTTTTTTTCTCCGGCCTGACTTCGTAGATTGTTTTGACCTGCATCTTCAGCTCCGTTCTTTTTGAATTGATCGATTGTGCCATGCCACATCCGACTATTGTTGACAGCTTTCTGTGAACTTGATCTCAACCGCGCCTTTGAACCTCGTCTTGCTTGTATAGCATCGACTGAGAGTACAATCAACGTGGTGGAAGATGCTAACTTGTATGTTTGGCAGTTGGCGCTTTCTCCCTCTCCTCCCCTGCTTATTGCTTTTGAGCAAGCGGGAGATTCGTCGATTCTGTATCCGAAAAGCTTCACGAGCAAACGATGAACCGGCGTCTCCAGCGTCTCCAGGATCCAACACCTTAGCCCTCTACGGCTGGTAATAGATTCGCGGCACCTGATCTGCTATATCACACTCCCTGAGACACATGACTGTAACTTTTGAATGCGTATGTTTGTATGTTAGAAATACGAAATGCTCTTATGATAGTGATATTGCCCAGATGCTGACCTGGCTCCCCCTCTCTCTCTTTGCGCAAGCTTTTCACGCATGTTGGAAAATACTAATCGTATAGCCTGTAAGACTAAGTAAGGTAGAAGGAGTATTTGGGTGTTTCATTATCATAATTGTCTAGATCTAGTAGTACTCTATATCTATCCCATCGCTTTTTGGGTCATGAACCAATTGCTCTATTTGCTGGCCACCTCCAGATTCTTCAGAGCCCATTCTCTTTGAGCATCGACGTATTCCGAACTGAAGGGGTAGTCATTGTAGCCGATCTCCGAACCCTTGATGTAGAACGACTGTCGGTGGTACTTGTTCAACTCAATACCATTCTTGACTCGCCAGACGAAGTCGGGGTTTGCAAGGAAACTTCTTCCAAAAGCAACAATGACGTCCCACTTCGCGTAGTGCGTCTCAAGCGCCTTCGCTGCCGTGTCCGCGGTGTAGCCACCGGCCACGATGACCGGAGACAAGTTGTCCCAGATATCGAGGATGAAGTCCAGCGTCTTTTGGTCGATCGAGGGGTCTTCGTTGACTGTCAAGAGCTTGGCGGGGTCGCCTCTGGCCTCAACCAGCGAGAGGTAGGCAAAAGGCGCGTTCATCTTCTTGAGCTCCTTGGCGATGTAGGTGTATTGTTCGTGGATGTTTGACGACTCCGCGCCTTGGAACGATGCGTATGGTGACAATCGAATGGCCACCTTCTCGGCTCCGATGGCCTCGACAACCGCCTTGACAACCTCGAGAGTGAGTCGCGATCGGTTCTCGACGGACCCTCCCCACTTGTCGGTACGCTTGTTGACTGAGTCTGAAAGGAACTGATCCAGCAGATAACCGTGGGCGGAGTGAATCTCGACGCCATCTCCGCCTGCCGAGATGACCCTCTTTGCTGTGTCGACCATATCTTGAATGAACTGCAAGATCTCCTCCTCCGTCATCTCTTCGGGAATGGCAGCATCGGGCTCCATCGGGACGGCGCTCGATGATCTGTACTTGAAACCCCGCGCCTTTTGGTACTCCGGGTCCGCGGCTCGGCCCTGTCCCCAGATTTGCTGAAACCAGACGCCCTTGCGGGCGTGGACCTCAGCAATAACTTTCCTCCATGCCTCGACCTGTTCGTCCGTCACAAAGGCGGGACCTTGTGGCACTCCGGTGTCCTGCATGGAAACACCTGTAGCCTCAGAGATGATCAGAGTACCCGGGGTCGAGGCGCGTTCGCCGTAGTATCTGGGTACGAAAGGCATCGCAACATGGTTCTTGTCGTGGCGGTAGCGGGTCAGGGGTGCCATGGCGATGCGGTGGTTGAGTTGTGAGTTGCCAAGCTTGATAGGCTTGAACAGCCTGCTTTCCGAGATGTTCGTGGCTGACATGATTAGAACGTAGCGGTGGTGTTAAATGTGTGCTGTAACTTTTGATGTGATGCCGGGACTTTTCGATGCTGAGTGTTGCAACCTCTGTTAAGGCGAAACGAACAACTCGTATGTTGATCAATCTTTGTTGGTGATGGCGGCTCTGAAAGTTGATTCCAGTAGTTCTGCAGATGTGGCAGATCCGGGCCCTTTTATTTATTACACATGTACATACAATTGGAAACGTCGGCGAGTCCGCAGACTACCTGCAGGGCAGACGTTGAACATGCTTACGGACAAGAACGATGACGCATGTCCTATTCCCGCCTTGGTAAGCAGGTTATCCACTCGGCGATTCCATGCCTAGGCAGTTCCGCGGATCGCGACTCATGAGTCCGATGCCTGTCCTCCCTCTGACAGCGGAACCTTCCAGACGAAAGTCTTCCACGATATCATTACTTGTATTTTGCGTGAAATTTGTGAGAGCTGCATGCCAAGTTCTATTGCAAACAATGTGCGGAACACCGACGCGGATTCGAAGCCGGATCATTCGGAAATCGGAGGTAAGAAGTTATCGTCAGACATTTCTCTTGACAAATGCCCGATTTCCCGGTATTAATTCCGCTGTGACCTGACTCGGAAGGTGGGGCGGAGTCGGCTTCGTTTTCGTGAACCGCTTTCTCCACACTTGATCAGCACACCGTTTCGGCGCACCGCCATGGCTCCGCAGAAACTCCGCATCTGTCCGGCTGGTCGGATCCGGGCCCGAGGGCCGTTTGAGCTTTCAAACTACGGCATTGCTTCAGTGTAGAACTCAGAACAGCGGCATAAAAAACAGATAGTTTGAATACACTGTATATGATTCCAATCTTTCGCCGTTGTCTACGAAATGGGATCACGAGTACTCATCCTAATCTCATTGCTCCGTGATCTCTCCTCGCATCAGACATCAAACAGATGAAAGGTTTGGACTCGTTTTTACGGAGCAATGTATTTGAAAATCCGGATATGAGTCACTATTCCATACTATAGCTGTTCGTCAATCTATCAGTTGATCTCCTCGATAGAAGTTGTGTGCTAATATCTGCGCCTCTCCGGCGACGACCACAGACGCGGGCTTAGAGCCACTAACTTAAAGAGAAAGAAGAGATTTCGGGGCAGGTTCTGTCGAACCCTTAACCTTCGCTCTTATCATCGTCCAGGCCTTGTGCATGAGGGCCCTTGAGAAGCGAATCTGGTTAGCCTCTCCCTTCCCAAGCGGTCAAAGGCGGTGGAACTTACGTCTGCCCCTTCGTGAACTCCGTTCTACAAGGATCGCTGGTGTACATCATGTGGTTGTGAATCGGGTCTGTGTGACCACAGGTAGGCTTCATTCCAACAGGACAATCTTCCCGATTGTAATTAGTCCGAGGAGTGTCGTGGATTCCGTCGTTATCGATGCATTTCTTGGTCGTGTCGAAAGGATGCAGCAAGCCCAACCAGTGACCTACCTCGTGGACTAGGGTCTTCCCAAAGAGTTTGGGATGCCTATCCACAAGTGTGATATCCCGAATTCGTACCCCCTCGAGTGCCAGGGCTTCTGCATGGGACAGTCTTTTGGTGTGTACGTCCAAAGGCGTTGTAGCTTCCCCAAGAACGAGAGCTTTTATCGGCAAACCTGCTATTTTAACCAGCAGACCTCGATGAATGAAAACGTTCAAGGTCTGGTAGGTGCCCTTGCGCAAGGCACGCGTAACAGACTTGCAAGGCGGATGCTTAGGGGCGAAGTCGCCCTGAACCGAACACTGCGACCAGGATGGGTTGTTGTAGTGCAAGATTTCATTCAGCTCAAAGTTGAAGCCGTACTCCTTGTAGGTATCACGCAGTAACTTAAACTGCTTATGGATACTTGCCTGCGAATTGTGTCAGCAATTATTTACTCTTTCTCGCTTCAAGCAAACCATTAACACGTTCATTGGTATAGCCTCCGTAAAAGTCGGGTAGGAAAACCACTGATTGCAATCATTTTCACGCCAAGAAACTTACAGTGAGCTTGTCATCGGCCGAGTTGCCCATGTCATGGAAGTTGACGGCAATCGTTTTGACCGTAATGCGTTTGATGTCTTTTTGCGCGGCGTTGCTGCCCATCGTCGAGGCGTTCATGTAGAAGTCCCTGGCGTCATCAACAATACCTGGACTCAGTGGCTCCGAGTAGCATTGGACAAAGCGAGGTTCGTCGTCGAGCGAATCGACGGAGTCCGCGGGCGCATCGATGGGGTGATAGTCGTCAGCGTAGGCAGTGCTCAGATGGCCGAGCACGGCGAGGCCAACGAAGGCTTTGGAAAACGCGGTCCAAACCATTCCGAACGTGAATGAGGGAGAAGGAACACAATTTTCAATGAAAATGGAGAGTTGGAGTGAACTTGCAGGTTACCAAATATTTCCAAAGTTTATATAGATAGGAGCAACAACACAGGGCGAGAAAAAACAAAAGCCAAAGGAAAAATAAACCGGGATATGTTCTAAAGTTTCAATACCTTTACGTGCGAATGTGGATAACAACATTGATGGATGCCTTCGGTGGATTCTTGTTCTGTGAAGCTTGTATTCCCGATGGACCATTGTAGTCTCCATTGATGGAGACACCGTCGGTGTTGGTAGTGAGGCAGTCGCATTTCTCAACAAATGCTGGAGTGCTTAAGTTCTTTGATAACGATATACTTGGATATCTCAGCAAATGAGCCCAGTTCTTACTGACCTTACATTCGACGTGCACTTTGGTTTTGCGATGGTATGACATTGGCACTCCATCAAGGATTTTAGATGTAAGTGTACGGGATCAAAAAGCCGGTGCCGGTGGTACAGAACCCCTACCGGGTGGCCCGAAGAATTTTGTTTTGCTACCCAGCGTGGTAGACTTCGATAGGATTCTAGATGGACCATGCAATTCGGAGAGTCTGGTCCATCAATGTCGCATCTGAGCCTCTGTGCTCACATTACCTAGATGAGCTTCCATCCTTTCTCCGACTGCGACTGAATTGTTATAAACACACGACATGCCCAACTCGTATCGATCGTTTCCATCCCCAAACACAAGTCACCCAAAGAACTACTCGCTTCGTCACACTCGACCACAACCAAGAATATACACCATGCGCCTGCAGGCTTCCATCATTCTGGCCATCGCGGGTCTCGCCTCCGCAGGCTCCACCCCTTCGATCCCATCTTCAAAGCTCCCTCCCTCTGAAGAGCCGGATAAGTGTCTCCAAAGACTTGACGAATACCCCAACCGTTCCGATAAACGCGAAGACCTATTCCATAGACGCTGTGTCGAGGCTCGCACCTACAGGGGCAAATACGGACCTTACAGTGGCGACCTCTACCTCGAATCATGCTGCAAGAACGCCGACGGAAAGTTCACGACGCCGACCTTCATCAACTTCGATGAGTGTCTTGTCTTCGACCCCGACACAGAAGCCCTGCAGTGGAATCACGAAAAGACACGGAGAATCAGGGATCATTGCAACCACTGCGAAATCAAATCGATGTACCGCTCCGAGTTAATTTGCTACTGCAAGAACAAGGATGGCAACGATGTGAAGGCCCAGTTGACCTTTGACATGGGTAGCATCCATGCGGATATTGAGTCTTTGGTACCCAAAAACGCTCTTTGGGTTGATAAGGACGGTCAATTTGCTTGCAAGCAGTAGTTGAGCGGTATGCCGCGCAACTTCTGCCTACTGCGGGCTAAGGAAAGGGAATGCGAGATCAAGTTCAGGGAGTTGCGCGTCCAAGTGTGCAGCCACATTCTCTTGTGATAGCCAAATTTCATGTATCATCACAGAATGAGTGCTAGGCAACATCATAGATGGCGCAGCTTTGGCGAGTATTCATTTAAGAATTTCGAGTTACATTGTGACAAGACGTTCATCAAGTTTTGCCAGGACCACATCTGATTGTCAGGAGATTTGGTGTCAAAGTTTGCCTGCGCCTATTTGCGCAAACTTAACACCGTCCAAGCGTGATACCTTTACTGAAGAGTGACTTGGCCGCTGGTAGAATCTTCCATGAAGATGCCACCGAAGATAACCGCCTCCTTGATACCAGTCGGTTGAGTGGCTTGTCCGACGGGGTTCTTCTGGAGGGAAAAGTGGTACTCGCCAAGGCCAGCGAGGTCTACCGTTGTCAGCACTGCGTCTCAATCATGGCTTTAGGGGATCTGCATACCGTTCTGGACAGGCTCGGTAACCTGCTTGAGGGGTTCATCGCCGGTGCTGTGGAAGACCTGGACGGTACTAGCAGAGGGTCAGCGTTTGTGATTGAACGATTAACTGATCGACATACTTCGCGGTGAAATCCATCTTGATCGCAAAGTTCTCAAACTTGCCCTCGCCAAAGGGCGTGGAGAAAATCTTCTGGGCTCCAGCGGGGTTCTTGGAGTTTCCAAAGATGGCGATGTCGTTGCCGTTCTCCGCACCGGTCCTGACGTCGATCTGGTGGAATTGGAAGTCCTTAGACTCGAGGTTCATGACCTGGTAATCGTGACTGGCATTGAGAGGCTTTGTGGCATCGCGTTGGATGGAGAAGTGCATAGTGCGCACGCCGGTGACCGCGACGTCGTTCAGCTGCGAGCGAATGCTGGGAAGAAGATCGGCACGGCGGATGTTCGCTTGAGCCTCGCCACCCTTGGGAATGAAAACCGATTTGTCGTCGATGTTAATGGCGAAAGCCTTGGTGTTGGTGGCCTTATCAAACTGCGAAATATTAGTATGGCAGTGATGTGTCTGAGATGAAGGGGACTGCTCACCAAAGACGCTTGCCCTTGAGGGAAGGTGATGACATCGCTGAACTTGAGACCTATTCAACACATTAGCCGTAGGCTCTGAGTAGTCATCCGCATATTACATACCATCTCCCTTCACGACGGCACTCTTGAAGACGCTCTCAAGGACATTGAAGCTCTCCGGAGTAGCATCCTGCTTGATACGGCCGTCGGGCAGCACAAGAGCCGTGGTGTTGCCAGCCTTGGGCGCAGCACCACCAGCGGCTCCTCCCGCAGCACCTCCAGCGTTGGCGGTGCCGTTCTTGGCGCCACCCGCTTGGTTACCGCCCTTGTTGCCGCCCTTCTCACCCTGCTTCGCAGTGTTTCCGTTGTTCCCATTACCTCTGGGTTCAAGGTCAAAACCGCCAGAAGCGGGGACGGGGCCAGCGGCAACAGAAGTAGCCAAGAGACCAATGAGGGTGATCAAAGTGGGCTTCATCTTGTCTAGGTCTCGGGAACTCTACTAAAGAATGTGTGATTGATTAAAACCTCTTGGCGTTGAAACGAATGGATGCAGAAAGAGCAAGTGGCCGGCACTGCGCAAAGAAAGGACTGTGCAAAGAGAAGTGGAAAAGAGAGTTGAGACCGTGATGTTAGAGAGAAAGTGATGAACTAGAGCATTCTTGGCACTAAGACTGCCGCCGAGCCCTGATTTATATCATCACCACTGTGACTTTCGGCCGTTATGGCATCATCCCATGCCATCCGAAGATAGGGTTCAAAACTTCAGACCGCATCTGCCTGTACACTTGCGACGAAGCCTCCGTTCGTGGCCCCTGACTCGGCGTCGAGTTTGGCATGAGTGCAGTCTGATGTTTTGGACAGAAAGTCTAAAAGCACGCTGCGTTGCGACAATCGTGACACCTTGCCCAATAGCAAGATGGTGGTGTGGTGTCGTCCGGTGACGGAGTTCGCAGGAGACGGAGAGTAAAAAGTTTAAAAAGCCGTCTCGACCCCAATGTTCGGACATTTGGGTGATCATGGAGTCGTGCCGGCGGATGTTGAGCAGGGGTCCGGCTTGTCAAGGGGCTTGAAGGCGACGTACTCGAGTCAACCGAGGGAGTTTTGGCCAAGACGCTCTAGTTTCGACGAAGAGAGTCCCCGTCTTAAGAGCGTATGGGGACATGGTTCCACTGGTTCGGGTTCGGGATCCTCGGACGATGAGGCTATTTTATGGTCCGCCCTACGGATATTGTTCTCTCTCTTCTCTCGCGTTTACTCATGGCCGTTCACCTACACCCTCTCGCCGGGCATCCCGAATCTCCCACCCGCCGGCTATGCGTTGCGTATTGTGTCCTGGGGTTCTCAGGTTTTCGACATTATGCGTCTGCATTTTTCATACTTGGCCAGTGACACGGTCTATTCCGAGAACGGGTGCTGTCATCCGTACCAATACGCCCGCTGACAAGGTGGTATTTGGTAGGCAACGGATGTCGTCCCGACTCATGGAGTTAAATCTGATCAACATTGTTGATGGACGTTCATCTTTATACAAGAACTCGTCTGATTCTGAGGATATAAGGACTAGTATCACTGAGATTATTGTGCGGTTCATGAGATCGTGCCGGCCGATCTTATTGCTGCAACATCGGACAGAGGTTGTTTAGCTGGGGTAGATAGGGCTCGATCACACAATAATGGGTAGATCAACTCCGCCACTTCAGCACGTTGGTGACCATAGCGTGTCTCATAAAGCGCGCTGTTTTAAGTCTTGCCGGTATCCCACCACTTATGTCAAGCCAAATATTACCGTCTGCCGTGCATCGCTGCCTAATTGCCATTATAGAGACTGGGGGAGACATTGTGACGTTCAACCACCAGCGGTTCTCCGTGTAAACTCTCAAATAACACATTTGACGATGATCATACTCGCCAGTTCTGACACCTGAACCTTCATGAAAATTTGTTTTAAAGTCATGGGTATTGGAAAGCTCCACACACATGTAGAGCTTCTGGTTTGCGCAAGTTTCCCCATGCTCGGAGAGGAAAAGGCCGGCTTTTGACCGCTGGCGTCCGCAGCGGCGTCTGTCAACTTGCCCCTCAAGCGGACGGGGCCGGCGTCTTCTCCTTCAGAGGTTTCCGGCCAACAATGAAGAAGCTGTTTCAGACTGGTTAGAATGTGCTTCCAGCATTGGAGTGTATGAAGACTTACGTTGGCCAGTATGCGTGAACCTTTCTGTTGTTGATCTCCTTGCGCACGTCGATGAGGAAGATATTGACCTCATCCTTCGTCCATTCTAGGGCGCGCGTTAGGGGAGCCATAGTGAAGCCCTCAAGTCCTTCCATCATGCTCTCGTTCTGCCACATTCCAAGCTCTTTGAACTGAGAGTCTCTCGGCCAATCATTCGTGGGCCACTTGTGCAAATAGATACCAACGTTCTCAAAGCCTATTTCAGCCATAATATCCTTGAGAGGAGGTATGTCAATGTACGGGCGCCCTAACCTTTCTGACGCTTCAACTAGCAGATCAGCCCACTTCATCAGGGGACTTTCAGACGTGAGGGTTCCGTCATCAGAGCGCGGTACGCAATCGAGCTCCTGGAGCTCGAGGTGACCACCAGGATTGAGGTTACTTTTTCAAGGGTAATTAGCCTTTCTGACAAGGTTGATATTCCGACGTTGGGAAAATGCTGAACTCACTCATAGCACCTGCGCAAATATAGGCGCCAGTCACTGATGCTTGAAGTCATTACTCGACTATGTATGTAGTCGAACGGTTGCGAGAAGTTCCACTCGTCTTCAATATCGTCGATCTCGAATCTGACATTCGGGGGAACACTGGCATCACGTGTTAGTTGTATGAAGGTCAATGCTTGAACAACTAATCTGGCAGTATGCGCAGTACTTACTGCCCTGGCTGAACCGGAGACAGGTCGATTCCGTGGACCTGAAAAGAAGAAATTTGTCAGGCATTATTGAAGACTTTGTTGACGGGTGACTTACTTCGGATTCAGGGTGCTCGTCCCCGAAGTTGAGCGCCCAGATTCCCGTGCCAGTGCCGACATCAAGCACCCGACCGACTTGGGCGTTTTCTCGGCACGGTGGGGCAACACCGAGTCTGTCGTCAAGGGTAAGAAGCCATAGCTGGTGTTCCAAGTCTGCAATCTCAATTAGCGGGCTGCGTGCTGGCTGACTAAATGCTAGATTCATAACTAACCTTGTCTGTCCTTCTCTCTCTCATCATTCGGAATGTTGTATTCTAATATTTCAGTTAGCAAAGACGAACGCCATGATGATGCAGACCAACGTACTGCCATCCTTGTACCGATGATAAGTCCGACCATTCTCCTCACGGTAATCTCGAAGAGATGACCGAAGACTGGTCGTCGATGATGCCAGGCTCTATAGTTGAATCCATGTGTAAGCATTGTGTAAGTATGAGCACGCATACGTGGATTCTCAATTGGGCTCGCTGAAGGCAGTGACGCGACGAAAAGTTGGGAAGAGAGGTGAGTTGAATCCTTACGCTACCGATCTCCGACTGGGCATCGTCCCTAGACTGCGAAGACGATTAGAAAACTCGGATCATGCTATCAGAAGTATCTGTGCACGATGTAGCGCTTACGACGTCGTCCACAACAACCTCGACTTCGTTGTTGTCCGGGGCTTGATACATTGCGGCGCAACGTGCTTGTGGTGGTTTGGATGGTGTTAGAAGGTTAAAGAGGAGGAAACAAAGCCAACAGGATTGCCAATACCACGCTCAATAGTTAATATAGGCTGGTTCCCAGGGATTAGGATCCATTTCGTTTCCCCTCTCCTTGGCTAACAAACGCATTCGGCATCCATGTCAACACTGCTGTTCACTGCGAGGCAAGAAGCCCCCCATTTTCTGCATCCTGCAACAACAAACATGCATGCCCGGAGACAAGCCCGGAAACAGACCATTTTTGTGGATACGGAAACCTCCAAACGAATGGAAAGATCAAGAAATTGATATTGCCGGATTTCTCATATGTTTGTCACTCGGCTGCCAGAATCGGCCCTGGTCACACATGTGGCCTGCCGAAAATGTCTCTCTGAATCTGAACCTGAGTGGCGCGGACAGTCCGACCCGAAGCCGAACAACCCACATTAGCTGCGCCCACTTCACGATCCCAGATTCCAGCAATGAACTTTTGAAAGCATAAAAGTTCGATGGCAGAAGAGGCTCCCCGAATGAGAAAACGGTATTATCCCCGTGATAAGTTCCCCGTGGTAAATTTGATAATTCACAAATCATTACCATGTCACAGTACAAGCTTGTTCGGACAGGCGAACTGGTAGCAGGTGATGCGGAAACCGCGGGAGATGTCGGCCTTCTTGGATGAGGAATCTGCCAAAGCCCTTCTGACACGGAGTTGGACTTGATTGCATTGTTTCCTTTGCAACAGACAAGCTGCTTACATGTTTCCTGCTTGGCGCGTGAGATCCGATGGTACTGGAGTTTATGCCTCGCCTGCTGTTGTCGCCAGGACCGTTGATTCTGTGTAAACCACTCCGAAACTTCTGGACTTGAGACTATATCTAGCTCAGTCGACTACAGCTCTGAGCTAATGACGACCGATCAAATTTCCTCCTAAGCATTTTCAGCGGCGTTGCGAACAACATGCGACACCCATAACCTACCTCACGAGCAGCCAGCCAGCCACTTCCGATCATCGACCACCATGAACTGAGGAAGTGGGTGTGAGGGGTCCCAATACAAACGAGCGCAATAAATATTGCAGGGCGTTCAAAACACCATCAACCGGAAGGCTGTTTCCTGATAAGAACGCATCAGTCCGAATTTGGTTAACATTTGCAACATCACGGAGTGACTGATAGCTGAAATGGTACTGCATCACTTTCCTCAGCTGCGATGAATCCAAGTCTATTGAACGCAAGTCTTTCCGGCCTCAATAACGACCAATCACTAGGTGATCGAAACTCAGCATCATTGATTGATCGTCTCCAAATCCCATTTCAATCATACCACAAAATACAGTCGGCATTTACGAAAGGGAACTTCCATTCACAAAGCGAGCGATGAGCGCCATTCAAGAAAACAAATATGAGCCACGAAGAGTATAAACATTTATGCAACGCCCAGCTCGACGCTCAAGTCTTCTTCCAAGTTAACAGGCCCGCAACTTTCATCCCGCTTTCACCGAAATATTCAACGCCCCGTTCAATTCATCTGAGGCTTCATCCTAGTCGCCATGAAGTTCCACCTGTTTCTCTTCTCAAGCCTAGTCCTTGCGGCGCCTGCCACCGAGCGGCACCTATCCGGCAAGTCCACCGTCGACCTCATCCACACACTTCGAGGCTCCAGCGCTGACATAACGACGACTAGAACCCTATGAACCACACGTAATTGCATTCAAACAAACCAGCAAGGCGTACAGTCTCTCTGCCGTGTTCGAGAAGGTGTTCGGCCACGGAAAGCTGCACACCATGTGTAGCGAGGAGGGCGGTAAGTGCAGAGCTCCTCACAACAGACTTTCATGAAAATTTACTGAGCTGTTTGCCCGAAAAGAATATTGCCTGGTTGACTTTGAATGCTGCGACGGCATCTGCATCGCCGAAGGTATCGGTGGGTATTGCTTCTGATCGGTCAGCTACGTTTTGAACGGGCAGGATGTGAGTTTGGCGATGGTCCACGACTGCGTAGCCTACCTAATCACTTACTATACCAATTCTCTTATATCACAAACGTGAAGACCCCAAGTTGTCAATCATGTGCTTTGTTTCCGAGGCGTGTGATTATGCGATTATGTCACTGGTGTTGGTCCGCAGTGCACCGAGACACACCGAGCTCGGTGTGCCCCGCACGGGAATGAATCCCGATTACACTAACAAGCCGAGGCAAATCGCCAATTGCCCCTGCAACACATCATCGCTTTACCCCGGACCAAGGCCCCAACCTCATTTATCTCAACGGCACTCTACCAAATCTCATCAATCTTGATTATTCTCAACTTCCATAGTCCTCAATTGACACGATTGACGCATCCTCACATCCGCGCAGTGAGATCTTAATCATCTATAAGCTAAACCACATCAAAAGGCGCCTTCATCTAAAACATATTCACACTCACTCACTCCCTACCTCCGCTACATCCGCAACATGTCCTCCTCGAAACCAACCCTCTCCTCCCCTCCTCCCCCCGTCCCAGACACAGACATCTCCTTCCCCCGCCCCCACATCCTCCTCGTCACCCTCAACCGGCCGCGCCACCTCAACTCCATCCCCTCGCCGCAGCACTACGCCCTCTCCAAGCTCTACGAGTGGTTCGACGCCGAGCCCACCCTCCGCTGCGCCGTCCTCACCGGCACCGGCCGCGCCTTCTGCGCCGGCGCCGACCTGAAGGAGTGGAACGTCCGCAACACCGCCCCGTCCTCCGTGACCGCGACCGCGACCGCCTCCCCCGCCCCGGTCGTCACCACCTCCTCGCACCCGGACGCCAAGCCCGGCGAGAAGTGGCCCTCCACCGCCGGCTTCGGCGGCCTCTCCAACCGCGGCGGCAAGAAGCCCGTCGTCGCCGCCGTCAACGGCCTCTGCTACGGCGGCGGCATGGAGATGATCATCAACGCGGACCTCGTCTACGCCTCGACCGCCGCGAGGTTCGGGCTGCCCGAGGTCACGATCGGCGTCGTCGCCATCGCGGGCGCGCTGCCGCGCCTCATCAAGGCCGTCGGCAGACAGCGCGCGACCGAGATGGCGCTGATCGGGAGGACGGATTACACCCCGGAGCAGATGCTCGCGTGGGGGCTCGTCAACCAGGTCGTGGAGCCCGGGAGGCTTCTCGAGACGGCGCTGGCGGCCGCGGAGGCCATTGCGAATAACTCGCCCGACGCGGTGATTGTGTCGAGGGAGGGGCTGAAGAGCGGGTGGGAGGCGCTGGGGCCGGAGGAGGCTACGGGGTTGGTCGATCGGACGATCTACCGCAAGATGGAGGCCGGGGAGAACATGACGGAGGGTGTCAAGAGCTTTGTGGAGAAGAGGAAGCCTGTTTGGGTCGATAGCAAGTTGTAGATCACGGACGGAATGGGTACCGAGTTTTGTATTATTACAGCCATCAGTCCGTATTATTTCAGCACCGAAAGAAAAGCCCCCTTTTTTTGTTCGCTCCTGCGTTACGGTTCGTGACCGTTGGATATCATAAAACGACCCTTGTCCCCCACCATACACCCGAGAGGCGCATATCTCTTTAAACACTATTACTGCATGTGTTCGACCTAGTGAACCAACTCCTTGTTCTCCACGCGGAGGACCTCTCCCGAGCCGGACTCGGAATCCTTCTCGTTGACAGGATGAGCGAGGTCGCCGGGGGTGCCCATGCTCGCCTTCCAGTGCAGCTGCACCTTTCCGCCCGTGAACAGGCGGTCGATCTGCTCGAGGCTGAGGTTCTGCGTCTCGGGGTAGAAGAACCAGATGAGCGGGATGAAGAAGAAGTTGAAGATGCAGAAGTAGATGTACGTCCTGTACCCGATGCTGCTGATGCTGACGGGCGTGATCTCCACGACCAAGAAGGTGAAGATCCAGTTGGATGCGGTGGCGAGGGCGGCCGCGCGAGTGCGGATGGCCAGCGGGGCATATTCTGCGGGCAGGAGCCAGGGAATTGCGAGGAGGCCGACGGCGAAGAAGAAGTTGAAGAGGAAGAGCATGACGATAGCGACGATTCCGGCGGGGACGCTTCCGTTGGAGACTGTGCCTGCGAGGACGGCCATGCAGGCGCACTGCCCCGCGGCGGCAAAGAGCATGAGCTTGCGACGGCCGAGGCGATCGATGATCCAAATTGGAATCAGGGACGAAAAGAAGTATGCAATGCCATTGAAACCAGCGAGCAGCAGCGAGAGGTTGTGTGACATGCCGACGGATTGCTGGAAGATAACCGGGGCGTACTGTATCCGTTAGCTTTCCGCTTCCGATAAGACAATATCATAGGGTATAAACGCATAAAACATACGTAAGTAATGAGGTTGATACCGCTCAATTGTTGCATAAATTGGCCACCAATACCCAGCATAGTCCTATAAAAGAACTTTTGCTCCCCGTTCTTAAACATCGCCTTGAAAGATGAGGTATTAGCAGCTTCACGCTCCTCGCGGATAGCAGCTTGGATCTCGGCCAGGTTGCGCTGCAGCTTCGGGTCGTTCTCGTTGATGGAGCGGGCATCCTTCTCGACAGCCCAGAGGATGTGGCGGGCCTCGTCGTGACGGTCGTGAGCGATGAGCCATCGGGGAGACTCGGGGAGGACCAGGACGCCAAAAAAGGTGACGACGGCAAAGAGAATCTGCAGGGCGAGAGGGAAACGGAACTGCGAGTCGTTGGAGACGTAGCTCATGCCGTAGTCGACCCAGTAACTCAGCGCGACACCGAAGATGTTGATCGCCAGCTCGATGGCGAGACCCTTGCCTCGGTTATCCGCCTTCATCAACTCGGAGTGCCAGACCGCTGTTCCGTCCGTCAGCACCTCTCAACTAAAAGCCCAAAGCCCTTAGCTGGATTCCACTTACGAATAGTACTCGTATTCATTCCGTTCCCCAACCCCGCGACGATGCGACCAACAATCATCTGCGGGATCCCGAACGAAGCAGCTTGCAGCGCAGCTCCGATACTGAGCACAAGACAGCCCAGCATGATGCACTTGCGGCGCCCGAGCTTCTCGCCAAACACCAGACAGAAGATGGCGCCAAAGAAACACCCAATCTCGTAGATAGCGACCACCGTACCCTGCAGGGACGAGCTGCCGCCACCACCGTTGGTCGTATCGATCTCAGGAAACGTCCTCGTGAAAGCGTAGCCCGTAAGCAAGCCAGACATTACGCCTTGGTCGTAGCCGAAGAGAAGAAAACCTGAACCAGAAGGGTTAGGGATAATTGTGTCTTGTTACGAGCCGTAGAATGTATCTCACCTGATCCTGCAGTGGCCGTGATGGCCCAGTTGAGCGGGCGACCCGTGAGGATGGTCATGTTGGGCTAAGGAGTGTGATGTTGCTGTTATCGCCCGAGGAAAATAAAAGAGAAAGCAGCGATAACTCTCGGTGTCTCACACGATAACTGAATCGCGGACTGATGAGAGATTCTGAAGGGTCGAGCTGACTGGGTCAGAAAAAGAAGAGATGATCCCCCGTCTCACGATGGGATGGGAACGGGTGTTCTATATATGCATACGACTTCAGACCACGGGATGCATCGCTTGGTGTTGTGAGATGAGAAAGGTAAAGAAATGGAAAAAAAAGAACAGTTGGTTCGCTACCGACAACCCTTTCGCGCCTCGTCTAATCACTCGAAACAACGTCATTTGATTGCTGCAAAACCTTGGGGAACTGTGTGTCAAATGTCGACTGCGCGTCTTCGACCTGCCCGGGTAAAGCGTCCCCACAGGTTACGAGTGCGGGGACCCCAGCGCGGAGGGAATTAAGGCCAACCAAAGAGGACATGCGAATGGGGTCGCGGGAGGAGGAGAATGGAGAATGGGGGGAGAGAGCGGGAGAGGGGGCAGAGCGGTCCATGATTTCTCTTTTCGGGTTGATGTGGGCAGTTGGATGCGCTCGCTGTATGGAACGAATGGTACGAAACTGACTCGTGACGGGGGTTTATAGGTTCGGGCGTGAGAACCCGGGATGCGGGAGGGAAGAGTTTTCTTGCGAGTCTATCGTCACGGATATTGTGTGTACGGATACGCGTAGGTCAATTAGTGGTGTTTGCTATGTGCATTTAGGGTGGTGATGGTCTGTGATTGGGGCATCATATAATGTCATGCACTCCCTTGCCAGTTTCCCGTGTACTTCTTGTTAGTGAAATTTGCCGATCCAACAAGAAGCCCGCCGACCATGGGCAGTAGCCAAGGTCCGGAGGTGAATCCGGGGCCAGTGCCGGTACCGCAACGGACAGGGACCAGGGTCGAATTCGCCGAGTAAGGGCCACCGCGAGCTGAGCTGCGTGGGGGAGCATCGAGCTGCCTTTTGCGACCAGATCAAGGAAGTCGAAAGCGCTGTTGGCCGGGCGGGAAACAATGTCGCTCTGCCGCCGCCGCTCCGGCTCCCTCCGAGCAGAGTCGGCCGAACCGCAGACCACCGATCAACATGACCTGTTTGGGTCCGTCATTGACCGACTCTGATTGCTCACTTCCCCATCTTTGTTGCAAGAACAGAGACGAAAAAGCAAAGGGCCATTCGAAGCGCACGAACCAGACCTTGCGGCTCAACTTGCCGCAGCTGGTGCCCTGCAACACACCCCCTCCAACAACGATACATCCAACTCGTCTTGATCAACAAACAACCTTGCTGGTTCCGATCTCTTCGCGTATGCACATCGGCTGAGGCAGAGAAACGAAACCCCTGCAGCTTCACTTGGGGTTGGACGTGGGATGGCTCGACATCCGGAGATCAATAGCCGATGGGCGGCGGTCCGGCTTAAGGGAACGAGACCATAAAATGCGACAACAAGTCCAACTCCCGAGATGCGTACTGCGTACAGAGACGCAAGTCAGCCACCAGTTCTTGTCATCGCGAAAAAGCGCCTCGGGTTACCGCGCCCGATCGCGCACAGTCATCCCGTCTTAACCCGTTCCTAGCGCACTGCAAGGCCGGAACGGCGTCAAAAAAGCGGCACTCGTTCCCGCAGAACCACGCCAAAATGGGAACACTGAGGAGAGGAAATGAGGTCATCCCCGTCTCTGACCCCGGCTGGTCCCTTGTCGCCCGCCTCCGCAATCCCGCATGAACGCCGCAACGTTGGGCTTCCGCCTGCCGTCAGTTAACCCGTCACCTCATTGACTCCGTACCCTCACGGGGTCGGTCCTTGGAGAGAAACACACAAAAAGGGGACAAGGGGGTGGGGATTTGATCCACACATTAACTCCTCCTTGGTCTCGTCGTCAGAGGCCGGGGGCCGCCAATCTCAAGCTCGTTTGGTCAGATTGCATCGCGACGTCAGTTGTTGAGCTCTGCGGGCCTAGATCATTCTTGATGCTAATCTCGGAAATCCAGTCTCTCGGAGACCGCATGCCGAACCGCCAGACTGGATCTTTGTGTCGGCTTGTGATGTACTGTAGTATTTGGGCCATGCGCCTTTAGGTTGTATCATAGACTTGCTGTTGTTTCGACACTGGGGCCGACACTGAATATCGACGCGTAGCGCTGAGGTCGCGTTGCGCCAACTCCTTCCCGAGCGGCTGCAGCTACTCGCACAAAATCGAGAGTCAGAGCAAGTTCTCGCTTTACCATCTGACCAGAAATAACTTTTCCTCCAACATGCTTTCACGCAAGAAATAAGGAAAGAACAACCGGAGATACTAACCGTCTCCCAGGTCTCCCCAGAACTCCTTCAGGTCATCTGCCCTCCATTTGGTACCCCATCCGCTTTCCCTTTCAATCTTCTCCAGGAGTTGTAGTATCGCTCGGTGCTCGGCGGGGTGGCTCATGCAACGTCCCGCAATCCAAAGGGGCTGGACGCTGTTTGTCCAGGCCCCGTGGTGGTGATTAGTCATTGATATTCCGCATATTTGTCTGGCATGCCAGAGCGCTGATCGTGGCCTCGGGGATAACCGTAGCGAGGCCGGCCTATTCTGTAACATGAGGAGTGATGCTGTGTGGTATAATTGGTTGCCTGATATCGCGGCTGGGTTGCTGTATAAGATCTTGGGAAATGGCTCTGTGTCGGAGGAAGGAATGGACATGATATGCTGCATTTCGGAAGGCCGACGGCTGTGCCAATCTTCAACATATCTCCATAGCTTCATCCAACGTACTCGGTATCTCATATCATTCCTAGGCCCGTCGAAAAAGAGCCCGCCCGGGTTTGCTTTGGCCAGCGGGGCCAGGAGGTCGAGCACTTGAGCGCAGATGTAAACCGCGTAATTTGCCCACATGTCGTTGCCGGGGCTGGAAAGGAACAGGGCGGCGTCTGCGTCCAGGTCGATTTGTGGCGCCCAGTGGTTTACCGGGATCAAAGTTTTCACCGACGAAATCAAACCGCCGCAAACATCCATGCGGGCAAAGCACCAGAAGAGGGCCTGCTCGACACCGCCCACGAAGCCATTCATGCCAACTGCTTCCATGAGACTAGCGCAGCCGTCGAGATGTCTTCGCCAGGCTTTAGGAGAACAGCTGGCCATCTCGAGCACGCACAGCACCACGCATGATGCTATCACGGCTGTTGTTCGTGTAGATAGTTGTGGTAGTAAGAGGTGTATTGCTTCTTGGTAGAGCGCAAGGCTTTGGTCGGTTGGTCGGTCCCTATTCTTCAATTCCAATTGCCTGGCTGACAGGGCAAGCATGGAGTAGCGTAAGTGGTCGTATGATCGAGCCATTGTCGGTAGGGAGTGTTGGAAGTGTCGTTGGTTGTCAAACTTGTCCAGCCAGGGTGAGATCTCGTCGACCCAATTTTTCCATAAAGCACACTCCTCTTCAAGGGGCAAAAAGGGTGGCTCGTGATCTGACGATATTTCGCCGGCGGACTGAGGGGCCTCGGCTGATGAGGTTTCCCCAGAGCTCGCGTCGACGGATCTTCGTCTCGAGCTTTCCCCGGAGGCAGGCGACGCCGGCCTCGTCGGGCCATTTGATCGTACCTCCTGAATGAGGTGTTGCCTCAGGGTTGAATGTAATTCGTGGTACGCGGAGCCGGGCAAGAATATTCCGTCCTCGTAGGAACCTTCGGGTGTGAACATTTGATCCATAAATTCGAAGGGTGCGTCCACCAGAGATTCGAGAGCGAGGGTTGTGACGGGTATGCCGCTGACCGAGGTTGTGGCGTGATGATCGTGTGGTCCCTGCCCGGCACCGCCCTGACTAAGGTATAACAAGTTCGCAACGGCATTGTCCGTTATCATCTGGGACGCGGAGGTAGGCGATGCTTGGAAATCCATGCGGTCTCCCGAGTGCGCATGGCCTTTGTCGCTGGCATCGTCATCTCGACGCGTCGAGGGCGTCAGCAGCGAGCCGAAGCCGGATATCGGTATTGATTTGGGGTCTGTTGGCGCAGAACTCGGCCCAGAAGACGATAGTGTTCGCTTTGCTGTACTTGAGCCAGCTACAGATGCCGTGTGACCCCCTGCCGTCGATGTTGTGTATGAGGCAGGGCTGTCAAAAGTCTTTGCTTCCTCTTCGTCGTAGGCCTTGCGACGATCTCCTTCACCCTGTGGCTCTGCCGGCGATAGATCAGGCTCAGGTTCGGGTTCCGGATCAGAGTCGTAGTCGTGGAAGCCAGGTGGTAGGTGATAATCGCGGATGACCTCGCTCGTGACGTCGAGAATCTCAAAATGCCGACGGGGAGGAGGTCTCCTTGCTTTCCTCATTGAAGGATGGTCTTGCATAATCGTCTGAGCATTCTCGGCGCGGAAGGTGACCTTGATGCCCCATTCGCACCGCTCCTTCCGGCGAGCGCAGCCTCCGCAGGCCGGTCTTCCCTCATCGCACTTGCGTTTCTTGCGGCGGCAGTTGAGACATCCCGTGCGTGTCCGGGTCCTCTTCTTCTTGGCCGGCGGTGGCTCATCCGGATCACGGTCGGTGGCTGGCGGCGGCGGCGGCGGCGGCGGCGGTGGCGGCAGCGGCCGGGTCTGGACCTCTGCCGCCGGCGAAGACGGCCGGTCGGGCATGGTGACGACAGGATGAGGCTTCTCCGGGCTGCGGGCGTCGACGACATCCAGACTCGGTATCCCAATGCGCAAGCGCAATCCTGCTGGGGAACGCCGCGGCAAAAGAAGCGGCAGCAGGAGCAGCGAACGGCGGCGGCCGGGGTAGGTCGTCCAATTGGTAAAAGGTTGTGTGAGAAAATCGTGGAGCAGTTGCGCTTCGACATGCGTTCCCGCGAAGCAGATGCGCGCGAGCGGGCGGCAAGATAGGATGTTGTGTGTAAGAGAATTGTAAATGGAAGGATTGTCTGGAGAAAAAAGACCGGCCCAGCCCAAACGTATGGAGCTTCCTCAGGGTCAGGTGAAGCTGAGCGAAGCTTGCTCAACTCGGTCGAGGCTTAGAACGGGAGATGGAACAGAGTTCATTCTACTGCAAAGTAGATGTTTGCCGATGCTCGAGCTAGACGAGGACCCTTGGAATTGGATGCAGCCTTCATCCAATGGGCAGTTCAGGATGCTTCTTGGAACCCAATGGCAGCGGCATCCGGACGCATGAAGACCACTAACGTTGCTGCTGCTTCTTCGCCGCGGCGGTAGCGTAATGGCCGTGGCTGAGAGCTATCACGCTGCTCCAATCTCGAAAAAGTTGTTGGGGCTGTGATGATGAAGCCACCTCGAACAGCAACATTGAACAAACTGGGGGCGAAGCTGGTAAGGAGAGTCTTTGCGGGGGAGATTCTGGGGGAAGTTGCAAGCGGTGTCGGACCGTCGAGCTGCCCCCAGAATTGGCTGAAAAGATTGGCCCGGGGACGAACTGGGGGAGCCCTGTCGATGGCAGCTTTTGGCACAAACTCTGAGCGGTTGGGCGCCTAACAACACGGCCTGAATCCCTCGTCTCGAGTCACTTTGGCGAGGAGAAAGCCCTGGGAACCCCGGCGAGATCCCCACATCCGGAGCAGGCGACAACACCCTCAAGTTTTTCTTCTTCACTGCCGTTCCGGATCATCCTTTTTTGGGGGGTCACGTCGTCTGTTACATTGAGCATGATTGTCTGTGACCTCGGTGAGAACTGACAGAGCTAAATCTTTCCAACGGCTTGCCGGAGCCGTCTCCGTCCAATCACGGCGGAACGGACTTTGCTGGCCTAAAAACCACCGAGAATGAACAAGAGCAAAAAGAGAGAGAGAGAGAAAGACACGCAAGCTGAGAATGCGATCTTCTTCTCCAGCTGAAGGAACGAAATGAAAACCAATCAAAACGAGCCCACAGCGAGCTGTCAATGCCACACGGGTTCGCTCATGACTCGGAACTGGATGCCGCGGGCAACGCTCCAGATACCCCAAAATAAGACAAATTGTAACTTTTTTTCGAGCTCAATTACTATCAAGGGTTATCCGTGTCTATGCAATCCGTGTGCCAAAATATGCGCCCCTCAAACGCCTGTACCCTGAACCGTTCCTCCTCTTCATTAGATCTCTCTAGGTGAGGTGACATAAAATTCTTTCAACATGGCTCTCATGAGTAGGTGCTTAGTGATGGTGAACGGTGTTCAGGTCGCGGAACTCGCCCCGCAGGCTCTCGACCCCGTTGGCCCTGACCTCCTCGACCAGCTTAGCGACCTCGGGGGCGATGACCGCCTCGTCGAAGCCGAAGTACTTGTACGCGTCGGGTCCGGGCAGGGAGTGGCCGAAGGAGCTCATGGAGTAGCCGGCATCGGCGTAGCGCTCCCAGCCGTTGACGGCGTACGCCTCGATGACCACACGCGGCGCCTTGGAGCGGTACTGGAGGACCTCGCGCTTGTACTCAATCGGCTGCTTGTCGAAGACGCGCTGGCACGGGAAGCTGACGATGCGCGCCTTGATGTTGTGCTTCTCGGCGAGCAGCTTGGCCGTCTTGACGGCGAAGACCATCTCGGCACCGACACCGATGAGCGTCACGTCGGCGTCCTGCTCCTCCTTGAACACGTAGGCGCCCTTCTGCACCTTGTCGCGGGACGTGAATTGGGGGTATTGCTCGAGGTTCTGGCGGGAGAGGGAGATGATCGAGGGCGTGTTCTTGGCCTCCATGGCCAGAATGAAGGCACCGGCCGTCTCCTCGCTGTCGCAGGGTCGGATGTACAGAAGGTTCGGCATGGCGCGGTAGAGGGCGGGCAGGGCGATGGGCTGGTGGGTGGGGCCGTCCTCGCCTGTTCCGATCGAGTCGTGGGTCGCGATGTGAATCTGCTGAAGGCGCTGGAGAGCACCCATACGCACACCAGGGGCGGCGTACTGACTGTGTTAGCCTGCTGTCCCGGAAGCCTATCAGTAGAAGGGAGTGGTGTCTTACGATGTAGAACATGAAGAAGCTAGAGGTAACGGGGAGGATAGCTCCCTTGTTGAAGGCGGCCAGACCGTTGGCGATGGAAGCCATAGCGTGCTCACGGATACCGTAGTGGATGTAGCGGCCGGTGTAGTCACCGTTGATACCACAGGTGGTCTTCAGGTCGGGGTGCTGGAAGTCGACCTTGCCCTTCCAGATCATGTTGACCGAGGGAGACAAGTCCGCAGTGCCGACAATCAGGTTGTTGACGCCAGCAGCGATGGGGTTGCAGACCAGACCGGCCGACTTGCGCGACGGAGTGGGAGTGGTAGGGAAGTCCTCCTTGGCCGGGATGAACTTGCGCCAGTCGGCGGTCCAGTCGCCAGTAACACGCTTCTTGAACTCGGCCGCGAGCTCGGGGTGCTCGCGGGTGTAAGCCTCGACAAGCTGGTTCCACTCGGCCTCGATCTTCTCACCGCGGGGAACGGCTTCACGGAAGTAGTTGTAAACCTGGTCAGACACGACGAAGTGCTGTTCGGGGTCCATGCCGAAATTCTTCTTGATGTTGGCAACGTCAGCCGGGCCGTAGGCGGCACCGTGAGCCTTGGCGTTACCGGCGACGGCACTACCGATACCAATAACGGTGTGGATGTTGATGAATGTGGGCTTGTCGCTGCTGTTGCGGGCGGCGTCCATGGCGCGAACAATAGCCTCGACGTCCCAGTTGCCGTCCTCGATCTCAATTACGTTCCAGCCGCAGGCCCGCATCTTAGCGTTGACATCCTCAGTGTTGCAGAGGTCGACACTGCCGTCGCAGGTGATCTGGTTGTTGTCGTACATGACGACGAGGTTGTTGAGCCTCCAGTGGCCGGCAAGCTGGATAGCCTCCATGGCCACACCCTCCTGCAAGCAGGCATCTCCAATCATACACCAAGTCATGTTGTTGACGACGGGGAAGTTGGGGCGGTTGTAAGTAGCAGCCAGGTGCTTGCTGGCGGCGGCCAAACCAACGGCGTTGGCGATACCCTGGCCAAGAGGACCAGTCGTCACCTCAATACCCTCATGCTCGATCTCAGGGTGTCCGGGGCAGAAGGAGTCGGTGCGGCTGGAGTGGTAGGACTTGAGCTGGTCCATGGTCATGTGCTTGTAGCCAGTGAGGTGGAGGAAGCTGTACTGGAACAGACATGTGTGGCCGTTGGACAGGACGAAGCGGTCTCTGTTGAAATAGCTGGGGTTCGTAGGAGAGTACTTCATGATGTACTTCCAGAGAGATGTGCCGATGGCAGCCATGCCCATAGCACCACCGGGGTGACCACCCTTGAACTGCTCGCACAAGTCGGCGATGAGGCAGCGGAATGTGCGGAGAACGAAGTCGACCTCCTTCTTCTCGGTCTCGTTGAGTTGGAACTGGCTGCTCGAGCCGTTGAGAGACTTGGCGGCCACGACGCCCTGAGGGACGGGCTCGGCGGGGACTGCACTGGGCGCCATTGTGATGGATATTTCGGTGTATGAGAACTGGCCGGGGTATTATGAGGTGAAGGTATCTCGATCTCGGTGTGAAAGTGTGGGGTAACTCAGATTGCGCTGTCGTTGTTGACGTTGATTGCGTTTCTGATGTCGACGGAAAGAAGAGACGCACCCGCCGAAAGCACAATGGTATCAAGTTGGGTCTCTTGCGAGGTGTAAGTGAAGGGAGAGGGGAGAAGCAGCAGAGCGGCAGAGAAGGGTTCTTGCGGCCATTTCATTAGATATATTCGTGGACATGGTGGCAGCTGGGTTGCTTGGTTGCCCCCTCTGCGTGGTTGAGATGACCAAATCGGGATGAAAGTGGGATGTGAAGCAATGCGAAGCAGTACGGCATTTGGAAGGAGCGCTTAGCATTTCTGTTTTGGGGTGGAGACGGCATTGCTTAGTTGCAGTCACTTGACTGCCGGGAGATTGGTCGGGAAAAGTGCGGTGAATTTACTGGAGTTTTCATTGGTCAAGAGTATTGACACTAAGTAAGGTACTACGCCAATGTGTTTTGGAGGCCAGAAAGTTCAAATCAAAACCACCAGTTGCCCGTCAATGACCGTTGCAAAAAGAATAAAATTCGGCAAAGTCCCGAGAGGCGGGCGTGTCAGTTTCTTTGAGGAAAAAGAGAATTCCATATCACTGACTAAGCTGGTCGGATCATGGTCTGTGCTCCAGGCGCTTCGTTTTACCCTCCAGGTCCCCAGTGCACAGACCATACCCTCTGTTCCTTACGTAAGGCGTCTCTGTCCACTCACCGTCTCAACATTCTTCCCCGCCAAACTGACCGCGTGAACACCATCAATTGTTGATGCTGTTAGTGTGCGGAGTCTCCACACGCATCAGACACTAACAATTTCCATCTCAGTCTCAGCTGTCACTCATTGATTCTGTCGCATTCTCTTGCATCTGCCACGCTGTCGCCGTCGTATCGCCACCTCCTCTATCGCGATCTTGAGCCTCTAGGAACTTCTCCCGCCCGTTATCAGACCCTCCTCGCTTCCGCTTACTCTCCCAAACTCCCGAACAATTCGGCGCCGAAACAAACATGGCCCCGGCCCAATAAACGTTGCAAATCTCGTTCAAACTATTTTTGATCCGTCCCCTGGCCCCCCATCGTCGCCGAAAGTCTATTGTTTGGATTCATCGTGACAGATGCTAATCCACAGAGTTGCGCGCTATTCTCCGTCGGCCCTGAGATCCCCTCCTCCGGCCATCTGCCGGCACTCCCCGTTCCCCCGCCTTCACACCGGAGACGTCCCGCCAAGAGCGCTTACACCTGCCCCCGGCCATCCTGATCCCCAATTCTCCAAACGTTCCCACGGTTCCCACGGAGTCAATGCCGCGCAAACATCCAAGCTGCAGCACCACGTTGGCCCCGGCGCGTCGGCATGCTCCATCGTCGCCTCTCGAACGCCCGGTTATCCATCGTCGAACTCGTCGTCTTCAAACAACTCCAAGCGACGGCCTGTCATGTCCTTCCCGCCTTCCCGCCCGCTCCTAAGGCATCCTGTGTCGCTCATATAGCCAACCCGTGACCGCAATGTTTCTGTTTCGTCTCTCTCTAACCGGCTTGCTCTCACTCTCACTACACCCAACTCATCTTCACTGATACGTTGCGAACTCTTAGACTACTTTACGGCCTTGTTGTAATACTCTTTTCTTCTTACACCTTTTACTAAGATACCCTCACACATTCCCATCACAATGCCTCCCGTAGCAGTCAGTGACTTTGAGCTCCCCGCCGAGCAAACCCAGCCCAAGCCCGAGGCAAAGGACCCTCTGGCCTCCTCCGTCCCGACACCCCAACTCTTCTCCCTCGCCAACAAGACCATCCTCATCACCGGCGGCGGCCGCGGTCTCGGCATCACCTTCGCCCTCGCCGTCCTCGAAGCCGGCGGCCACGCCGCCTGCCTCGACATCCTCCCGGAGCCCTCCGCCGTCGAATGGGCCCACCTCACCAAGCTGGCCAAGGCCAACGGCCTGTCCGTCACCTACCACAAGTGCGACATCACCGACGAGGCCGCCACGGAGAAGGTCTTCAACGAGATCGCAGACGCCGCTGACGAGCGCGGAGCTCCCTTCTGGGGCGCCGTCGCCTGTGCCGGCATCCAGCAGAAGATTCCCGCCCTCGAGTACCCCGTCGCCGACTTTGAGCGGATACAAAAGGTCAACGTCGTCGGCGTGTTCGTGACGGCCAAGCAGGCCGCGCGCGTGCTCGTCGGCCGCAAGAGCAAGGGTAGCATCTTGCTCATCTCGAGCATGTCCGGAGAGATTGCCAACCGAGTGAGTCCTTGAGCTTGTCTATCAGGTGTTGTGGATCATGAAGACTGACGTTCTCGGAAGGGATTGACCTGCAGCGCGTACAACACCAGCAAGGCCGCCGTTCAGCAGATGTGCAGATCTGTGGCTCAGGAGTGGGGCCAGTACGGCATCCGCGTGAACACTCTGTCACCTGGTGTAAGTGACTTTCACACACGACCCTCATTTACGCTCGTCTCTAACATACATCTCAACAGTACATCCGCACTGCCATGACCGACCAGCTTCTCCAAGCCGAACCCGACGTCGAGAAGACCTGGATGATGGGTGCTCTGCTCCAGCGCCTGGGAACCCCCGAAGACTTCAAGGCACCCGCCGTTTTCTTGTTGTCTGAGGGAAGCGGGTTCATGACCGGAGCTGACCTCCGCGTCGACGGCGGTCACTGCGCCTCTGCATAGATTGTGACTTGGGTTGATGAATGAGATTGAGATCGTTCATCTCACTGCGCGTGGTTCAAGATGCCGTACGGGCTTTGAGGCAACGATCTTGTCGATGTCGCCCATGTATGGGCGTCGCTGGACAACAAGCGTTGCTTGGTAATTTAGACTTGTAGAATCAGTATGAGTAGAGCAAGCATAATAGCGTTTCTTTCTTCGCCTTCATATAAACTTCAGTTGATTGATTGATAAGACACTTGAGCTGTGCTTGATGCATGTGAAGCCAAATCACGTCGAATTCGACTACTAGAGTGTTCCAGGGTCGCTGTGACCAGGTAGTATTGCTGAGTTTGCAGAGTTAACATGGACCATAATGAAGCTATCATCATTCAATCATGATTCAGTAAACCTCAATGAAGCCTTTCAATCATAGGTTAACATTCTCTTTAAATGGCTTGGGCCCGCCGTCGATGGCGGAGTAAGTTCGTCTTACCTGAAACGAGCACGAGGTTAAGTACCATTAGTACCATCATCGTCGTGGAAAGAGTCAGACATACCTTTAAGGTCTGAGAGCATACATCGACCACACTGTGCAGACATATGTTTGATCTACAATTGAGTGAAAATATCGACACTTGATCACTTGGACGACGCCTGAGGGGGTCACCGTTCGATTCCCCTAAACCGAGAGCACAGCGTACGCAGCAATAAAGGCGGGAACAATTCTATCTCGACTGTCTTGAAAGTGGGTTACGTGGAAAATAAGCCTTTACTTCATACGATTATGACTGTATCCGCGTGGCTGATTTGTGAATATCGCCCGCCGTTTGAGTCTACGGCGAAATTTCAAATCAAGTAGTGACAATATCCGCATATTTACTTTATGTTAAAAACAACAAAGTTGAGGTTTCATAATAGAAAGCATCACATATATATGTAAACATGAACAGATGATACATATGATATACCTGGGAGGGCTTGTATATACTCATAGGCTTATAAACTCTCATTGTGTCGAGTGCTGGGTATTGCAGTTACATCGCGTCGTGAGGAAAGTCATTCTTAAGGAGTTATATGTCATGAGGTTTTGTTTTTTCTTTTTTTTCCCCCTCATAGCTCGCGATGTCCTCACTTATTCTGATACATATGATACAAACTCATCCGAAAGATCACGTCTCTTCAAGTGATATTTGGCTACGACGAGCTCGCTATGGTTGTGGGTGGATATTTAGCCCAGAGCAGCAACAGGCTTCTTTCACCACCTAGTAACGTTCATGGTGGTCATGATTGCTATTCACGAAACGAATAGTCGCATGTTTCTCTCAAATGCTGCATGAAACCCTCTTTCTCTATTGTAATATACTCCTAACTCCAGTCTATGCGAACCCTCCCGCCTCGCTTTCATCCCTCCCAGATTTGTCTCTATGTCGTACCGCCAAGTATATCATCCACTCTCCCAACGCAAATCCGAATCGCAGAATCGATCTGAAGAGCAGCTCAAATCCGAATCGCAGAACCGATTCGAAGAACAATGGTACATTCATCACAAACTGAGGCGTGGTCAGAAGGCCAGCAGAGTCCAGCATCTTTGCAATGTACAAAAACAACAAAGTAGCCAGGAAGGCTCCTGCTGCTGCAAGCACCATGCCCTGCACAACCTGGCGCTCGGGTGCTTCGCTCATGCTAAAAATGCCAGCGGCAAAACCCAAAGGCAAGAAAACGAGTGTGACGTAGGTAAAACGCCGAATATCCTCAGATCGCCGGTCGTCCAAATGCTTCGTGAGCTTTTCTTTAATGTTGGTGATCTTGATGCGATTTCGTCGTACTGTTTCAACCTGCCGATTGTTTAGGTTCTGCAGCTTCTGTATGATAGCCCGGTAACGAATCTCATCGTGAAGGGTCCATCGCGGCTGCTCTGTCTGGCGATCTGCTTCTCGATTCTGCCACAAGTCGATTTCTGCGATATTCTCGTTCAGATCTGCCTCCACTGTCTGGAGCGCATCTTGGATTTGCTCGATCTGTATCCTCGACATCTTCCCCAAAATGACTGAAGTATGTTTCACCCGGCTCTTTGTTTTTTGCCGATCGCCGAGTCTCGAATAGACTTCCGCGAGAACACGGTCTGCCCCATCGATGATTTCCCCTACCATTCCGCCGAACAGCATGAGTTCCAAAACCCGACGTTGTTGCCATGCTTTGACTCCCGGGTTGCCCATGTCCACCCAGCGCATCCCACTCTCCAGGTTGTATCTCTGGGTAGGTCCATACAGCTCATCGACCAGAACCTCGCCCTCGATCGGGATGCGGCTTTCCTTCCTGAACTTTTCCAGCAAGGGACCCGGAGCTGGCCGTCCTTTCCCTTCGTTCGCTTCCAAGTAGCGACATGTCCAATAGCGGTCGAAAAAGTCTCCCTCAAATCGAAAGCTCATCACCACTCTGGTCAGTGGTTGTCGCTTCCCACCTTTCCCCACTGCCGGCAGAAGTGGTGTTTTTAACATGCTCAAACTTGATGGCATCAGGTCTATCTCTTTAACCTGTCGGTCTGCAACACTGTAGCATGACAGATGTAATTCTGTTGTCCACATGTTGAATGCAGCCGTTGTTTCGTCCATGAAATACTTATCCTGGTTCCCATGCCTTTGAAGAAAGATCTTCAACTCCATCTTTTCTCTCTTCTCGGCATTTGAAACAGTTCCCAGACAAACATTGTTGTTAAATGGACGAGCTGAGAAGAATGCCCAGAATCTCTTTTTTGCATCCTCAACAGTTCTTTCCCTGGCCATTTTCTGTTTGATAGCTTTATACGTCATTTCGTTGAGTGTGACGTGGTTTACGTTATCTCCCTTGTTGTTCTTCAGTGGCTGGGATTTTTGGACGTCTACCAAAAGCGCGAAGAATCGTTTCTGGTCCTCCTCTTCGGATTCTGCGAACTCTTCGCCATCATCATCATCTTGGTTTTCGTTGGACATTTGCGATCCGTTATCGGCTTGGACCTGATTCTGTTGAAGGGATTGCTGGTGTTCTCGAAATTCCGTGCCTTCGCGCACGATGCCCCCTGGAATCAAATACCTCGCTTTTCTCGCCTTGGCAAGATCGGTTTGTATGTCTGTACATTGAAAAAAGGCAGGTGTTTTGTAAAGCCACTCATCCTGCATTTCCACAACGTTATGCGAGCCAGACGTATTATTCGGAGGTAAACTGTGCTTCGTCAATTGTCCCGGCGTTAACTGAGGTCCTATCGACGCTGGATGCTTTCCGGATGCATCTCCCGGCCCAGAAAGTAGCTTGCTTGTAGTTGATGTCTCATCTTTGGTATTCCATCGGCTAGAACTTGGTTTGCTCCGGTCTTCCGAGTTGAGTTCAGCTCCAAGACCATACTTCCAAAGAACATAAGGTATCTCAAATGTCGTTCCCCAGTAGGTATCTCTCTGGAGCTCGCTGTCGTAAAGTTTCGGCCCATACCGGTCACCATCCGTTCTCAACTTCCCAGGAAAGAGACCGTTAGCCGAAGAGGTCTCGAGCAGAACGCAAATAGCGTGTTCCCGTATTTCCTCCGGCGGCCGAAGATTTATGGGCTTATTGTAGTAAGCCATGATAATAGAGAGGGCGAATATTCTCGGGTCATCCCAGTCCAAGTCATCGCTTTCGTCGTGGCTGACCTGGCTATCGATTGTGCGATCCCACACTTCAACCATGTGCCGAAAGTCCGTCGTGCTGTAGTCTGGATTACATCCTGGTCGAGCGAAGAATCCCTGTTCCATAGCCCTAAAAAGTACGGTGTCCTTCGATCGAAAGAAGAACCTATTGTGGAGAGGACTTCGTGACACCGCTATCATCTGCCTTTGGGAGAACGGGACGTCCGTGGTGAATCTCTTCAAGATTTTGAGCCGCATATGTGTCGAAGAGTACAGCATGCCCTTGGAATCTCGTAGTCCTTGGGCTACTAACAAGTTCTCTACTGCGCTGATTGCTTGCCAAATCACGGCATGATCACCAAGATAGAAGTCCTGCTTTGATTCTCCGTAGTAGCGATCTCCCCGAAATATATCTGGGTAGTAATGGCGAAGATGACGGATGGTTCGGAGGTGATGGTACTCAGGGTCGTCGTAGCGAGGGAAAGCGTACATTCCCAGCTTGTTGACTTGTCCGAGATCCTGGATCCAAGCCAGAGTAGCATGTTTGAGGCTCTCTTTCAATTCCGAGAAACGCCCCAAGTCTTGAGCTGATTTGCAAATCTCAGCCACCTTGATGATTTGAAAAGGAACATCAGTGAGAGCCTTTGGAGCAAGCCATTGGTTGTCTTCCCAGCCGGCAATGGTTTCGCCGTTCACCCATGAATGAGGGCAGAATAAATCGCCGGAGACTTTGCTCTTCAATAAAAGCCACATCATGTGACCCTCGAGTGCCCGTTCGATGCGTTTCTTCGTTTCGCAGACGTAAGGTCGGTGGGGAGTAGGCTTGTGGCAATCCGTGCAGGTGGCCGGCGGTTTAGCATGCGCGGAGTTGAGGTCCTTTAACGCTTGCAACAGTATCTGAGATGCGTAGCTATGTTTGTATCTTCGTCAGCAGACCTTTCCACCTTTAAATCATACTTTCACTCACAAACTAGCTGCGGTGGCCACTCTGTGGCCATCGACATCGCCACATGTAAAAGCGATGGCTGGGGACTCTTCATCTCCGGCCATCGGGACTGGAACGCTGCAGACGGATAGGATATGCTCCAAATTCCGCCTTAGAAAGAAGCTGAACGAATATTCGGACTTGGTGAAGCTGTGGCTTTGAGGCCGTGGTTTGAGCAGCGATTTTATCGTCTCCAAAACCTTGGCAGGAGTTGAAGCAACAACGTCATCCCCGGGGACAGGGGCATGTTCGAGTGTATACGCAAGAATGAACTCGGTGATTCCACGTCTGCAAACACCATCTGACCCGCTCGTTGAAGATGCCGTCCTGCGTTCAATTTTCCAGACATGTTTCTCTTCTGACTGCACGAAGGACAACGATCCATGCTTTTCTTGACTTTCCTCCTGATCCAACAGATGGATCCAAAGGATAGTCTTCTTAGCACCGTCATGGTGTTCTCGAACGATGCAGTTGTCTCCTCGCATTCCATCTATGTAAGACTCATCGTCTGCTGATCCGTTGTTGAAGTTGTTTTCGTTGTCGACGAAGTCAAGATTCCGGATGAGCACATCGGACCTTATAGACAAAACGGGTGATGATTCACAATCCGACACTTCATTGCCACTTGAATCGCCTTTGAGTTCAAATTTCTGGAAGACAGTTCCATGAAATGCTACATATTGTAGCTGGAACTCGAAGCCATTCTGCGTTGTTCGTCGAAAGGTTGGCCATCGGTCGTTGATAATGCTGGTTTCTGTATCAAACTCCTGCCCGTTATGCAGGAGGTCTAGTGATAAGCCGATTCCTTCCTTATCGGACGGATTATTGGCCATATCGAGAAGCGCTTTGAGACGGTCGTCGACACGGTAGGGTGCGGGCATTCCGGGGTCGTCAACACAAAAGCCGGTTCTACTGCCGGGAAAGTGCCGACTTATTCTGAGTAGCCGCCCAGAGGCACCGACAGTCGCAGTTGTTCCTTCGTCACCAAAGGAAAAGTAAGTCTTGCGACTCTTGCCCAGATCGGCAGCCTCATCGATGGCATCAGCCGGCGTTTTGGTCTGAATTCCTCTGGCCATTGCAACTGTAATCCCAGATCACTCCGGCTCTTAGGCAAACAGACGTGATGCTGTTAATTGTCGAAGAATTTTAGGAAGTTTTGGCGTGGTAGATTTTGGTGTACTTAACGGTGCTTGGGTGAAAGCTTGGGTGAAAGTTTTTTGGTGCTTTTCGGCGTCGAAGGAACGCCCTAATAAATATGAACGGCTTGGACTGGTGTGGCAAGTCCCAATTCCTGATCTTCTCGCGCGTATGCGAACAGGTAGCCGAATTCACTTGCATGCATGTAGATGTTCTCTGACCGGTTAGCTGCAGGTAGACCCTCTCCAGCAGCCTTGGTAGTTCAAGAAAATTGATTTGCCGAAAAGTCATTGCAATACTTGAAGGATGGTAGGATCATGGTCAATAAATATATCAGGAACCAATTGAACGAAAGTCTGCACACCCCTTGGTTTCCTTCTACGGGGGATTTCGCCATTGATCCATTGGACGTGGCTGACAGAGCTGACCGTCAGCTGCGGTTGAGGGGTGGTGACACCAAGAAGCAGGCTATGATCATTTCCAGCCTATCTTATGCATCGATGGCATCATCCAGCCTGCTGACACAGCCCTTACAACAGAACTACTACGTAGATTGTGTGCGATATGTGTGGGGAGGTGCTCTCCTAAATTGCTGCCCGCGAAGAACATGCGTGAATACGCATGACACTCACTCTGTGGGGATGAGGAGTGCTCCGGATCAAATATGCTGATATTAAAGCCACAAGCTCTATATTGATTTTAGATTTAATAGGTGAACCAAAGCGTCGATCCTCAAATCATTCAAAAGTCTTACTATGTTGTCGTGCTGGGTCCTAGACTGATGTGCTTGCACGCTCTCTCGTCTGGGTCGTCCTATGCACTCATTATCTTCTTCGGACAAATATTTTGGTGAAAGGAAGATGAACAGCCCAAACTCACCAGTCGAGACAATTTGTGTCAAGTTCTATAGATTCAATGAGTGAACATGCTATTGGTGAGGACCATGATTATACTTTGGGTCAAGTACGCCCTAGAATTCGCACTTTACGCCTTACACCTTGGGCATGTACTAGATCAACCTGACAGAAGGAAAGAGGGTTTTTTTCTTGAAGCACGAGATATCCATTTCGAAACCTACTGGGTCCAAAGCGTGTCATCAAAACTTTCCAACTAGGCCTTCAAACGTCCGCCACGCAACGATGAATTTGACGACACGATGTCCATGTTTCCTGAAAAACCTGCTTCATGCAGCCAAAGCAAGCTGAACATCCACAACACCGCGAATAACCTCCTCCAGAGACTTCCATTTCATCCCAAGAATCTCATCAGCAGCCTTAGTCACCGCCGTGACGGCGGGGGGCTCCTGCACAGGGGCCTTGAGCTTGAAGCCGGCAGTGGGATAAAGTTTTTGTGCCAACTCGGCAACCTCGCTCCAAGTAGTCGCATGCCCAGAGAGAATGAATTCCTGGAAGGCCGGAACCGGCGCCGAGAGGGCCTCCGCCATGGCGTGTGCGACGTCTCTCACGTCTACGAAGACGGGTGGGATGGTGACGGCGCCCGTCCGGATCGTCTCCAAGACCAAGTGGTTGATGCTGTCGATTTCTTCCGGCTTCGTTTGGGAGAGGCTGGGCCCCGTGACGAAGCTTGGGTGGAAGGTCAGAACCGGGAAGGATGGCTTGTTCTTGGCGACCCAGTCGGCGGTAGCTTGGTGCGCAAGGATCTTGGACCCCTGGTACATGAGGCCGTGGCCTGGAACGCCCTCGGGGACAGCCATGTCTGGGTCGACGTGAAGCTTGTTCTCGGAGTGTTCTGAAAGCTGGTTAGTAAGAGAACCACATCAAAGCAAGATGAGCCGGTCTACATTACCTTTAAGGACGAGAGGGGCAGTCTGCTGCCCTGATAGAGCTCCGATAGGTGCCAAGGCAAACAGCGAGGACATGATCTCTACTCGCTTGATGGTAGGGGAAGTCTTCACGGCGTCCAAGACAGAGAGCGTTCCCTGGACAGCGGGGGCAATGTAGTCCTTCTTGAAGTCGACGCCCTTCCCCACCATGGGGGAAGCCACATGGATGATGTAGTCCACGCCAATGACTGCATCAACGAAGGCTTCTGCCGTCCGGAAGTCGGGAATAACGATGAAGTCCAATTGGCTTGCGTGAGCAGCAAAAATTGTCTTCAACTTTTGGATCTGCTCTTCGCGACGGACACTGAGTCGCACTCGGTGGCCTGCTTTCAAGGTAGCGGCCACGACATGACCGCCGATGAAGCCCGTCGCGCCAGTGATGAAAATGAGTGAGCTAGACATGTTGCTCGAGATGATTTTAAGGTTTGTACTGAGGAGAAGTTATGTCGAGCAAAAGGTGTACTGATAAACCACCTTCACAAGTTGGCACTGGGGACTCGACACGCTTTATACCAAGGACGATAGACCTCGGTGAATACTTTCCTGACGACGAATTACTATTCTGAAGCCTGCAAATGTACTTAGCTTACGCAATAGGTAGTCTGATTTATGGATTAGAAAGCGGGCAGCGCAGCTCGGAGTCTATTTGAGACCAGGGTTTCCTCGAAGACCATGGCCGAGCATGGTGTGGGTGCGATTATGACGGGATTAGTGATCATTAATTTGGCGCGACACAACACCAAGCACTTCACAATTCGGACTGATTTTATAAGAGTGACGAGTATTGAGAATCACACGGCTACTCCCGTCTTTATTTTCTCCGAGGTTGAGCGTAAAGGGTCGGGATATTTGTCTTCGTTCCCGATTGTCCTCTTATAAATAAGTCGTCCTGAACTAGGTAGGTTAAGAAGATGTTAGCATTCGGAAGAACAAGCAACACCTCCAATTCAGACACAGCCTATTCCTCAGAAAAAACCATCCATCATGCCTCTCTGGCTCGTTTACCACACCCCCGACACCTTTGTCGACGTCGAGTCCAGGCGGGCGTTCGTCAAGGACATCACCGCGATGTACACGTCCATTGGCTTGCCCGCCTTCTACGTCATCGTCAACTTCCTTCCCATGTCGGCCGGATCGATGTGGAAAGGCAACGAGATCCCGGAAAAGCCGTTCGTCAGACTGAGTATGGACCACATCGCCGTTCATCTCGAAAACGATGTCGACAACTATCGAGCCACTTGCGATGCTCTCGAGAAACTCATGAAGCCGCACATCGCGGACAAAGGTTACGACTATGAGTATCACGTCGACGAGACGGAGAGAGAGTTATGGAGGATCAACGGGGTTATCCCGCCTCCCTGGGGCAGCAAGGCGGAGAAGAAGTGGTTTGAGGCGAATGCCGTAGTGCCCTACGAGCTTGAGGACGGAGAGAGCGTGTCTCAGAAGCTACACAATTCGAAGGAAAAGGCGAAGAGGCTTGCTGCTGAGGCTAAGTAAGTGCCCAATTGCTTGAAATTCGGGCACCTTGGCCGGGCGTGCCCTTTAGGAACATGAAAGGTTATGATACTTTCGTTATAGTCTACAGAAGTGTGAGTTGGTCAGCTGATTGCCAGATCAGTGGCCTGCTCGATAAGTGAGAAACAGGATAATAGAACAGATTGAAAGGCTGGGCATGCTTGAGTCCTCAAACGTGCTTATCCCTGTCAAATGAGTGACTTGAAGTCTTTGATGAATGCCTCGTCTTCTTCCAATATCGATGAGAATTAAATCAATATCCTCCATAGAGTAAAAGATGAAAAGAGCCTAGCAGAATGCATATACTTTCGCCTCAAAGTGTGAGGCAGGACGTGAAATGAGATCGTAGCATTTCGCGCTGTTGATGTTGTCTATGGTTTCACCTGGCATTCTTATCGGGTCGTTTTGAAGCCGCAAAATCTGATGTAGAGGATTTGGAAGGTTTTTGATTTTCATGTGACTGACTTGGCGAGAGACCACGTAACGTCTAGGTCTTCATGACACAATGATGAACGGCTCTCTTTGGATTGATGATGAATTGGAAGCTGAATATCCCCTCATTGGTCTCCGAAATACACCATTGCAAAACCCTGATGAGCACCTTTCGCGAAAGCCTTCAATTCCGCATGTGCTGCACACTCATTGTCGTAGTAAGCCATATCCTCGGCGGAAGCAAACTCGGACACCGCTGCTACTGTGAACCCTTGTGCTCTTTGATCCGCGGCAGCCAAGCCAGCCTTGACGGAAATAATATAGGGTTTCCCATCCTGCTTGCCGTTAGTAAGTGCATGCTTATTTCAGAACATCTCAGAAAAGACTTGTAGGTGAATTCGCAGTAACACTGACCTTAACTGCCTTCTGGGGCATCTGTTGATAAAATGACAAGGTTTTCTTCTGATCCCCCTCGTCCGGAATCTTGAACAAAGTGATTCTTGTGATGTTTCCAGACATGTTGTACTTTTCAGTCGATAAAGTATCTGACAGCGACGATTGGTGAGGATAGAGATTTTAGTCAGCCGAGAGTCGAGATTCAGATGGAAAAGGGTGAACTTGTGAAAGCAGTACCTGTTCCCCCTGAAAATAAATAACCGGTAATACTTGTGTTTCTATCTGCCGAGAACCTGAATCATTGATCAGCATGAAGAGGGGCCGAGAGGGGGACAAGTGCGGTTCCGACGCCTCGGAACGAATTGCGGATTCTCGGAATTAGGCGCACTTACACCTTCCTACGTGGACACCCGAGTGACCTAGGACTGGCTTCTGATACAGCATATAGCATTAGATCAGCTTCAACTTCATTCAAATTTCATTGAGACTGCTCGTTACTGATGCATGCTACGCGTTTTATTACACAACCTTTCAAAATGAAGTCCTGGTTTTCCATTCCTTCCCGTTCACACTTTTCAATCCATAACATTCCATTCGGAGTGATATCCAGCAAAGACAAGCCGCTGCATCGCCCCGCCGTTGCCATTGGAGACCATGTCCTCGACCTTGACGAATTCGCAAAGGCTGGTGGCTTTCGCAAAGCATCAGGCGTATCGCCAGAGCACCTGACGGTCTTTTCGCAACCTACCCTCAACTCCTTCGCAGAACTTGGACGGCCGATCCACCGCATCGTCCGGTCTTACTTGCAAGAGGTTCTCCAGGAAAACACACCTCATCCGTATATTCTCAAGGACAACCAGGCATTGCAGAAGACTGCTTTGCGGCCTGTATCGGAAGTAACCTTGCATCTCCCATTCGCGATCGGAGACTACACCGACTTTTTTGCCGGACGCAATCACGCGCACAATGTAGGAACTCTGTTCCGCGGAGCTGCCAATGCGATGCAGCCGAACTACAACCACCTTCCCGTCGCATATCACGGCCGCGCCAGTTCCGTTGTGGTCTCCGGAACCCCGCTCCGGAGACCGTGGGGCCAGGCTCTCCCAGCCCCGGGCGCCACCGAGCCGGTTTTCCGGCCCTGTGCCCGGCTCGACATTGAACTTGAGATGGGCATGTTCATATGTCGACCCAATGGCCTCGGGAACCCAGTTTCTGTCAAAGATGCTGATGAATTCATCTTTGGCTATGTATTGATGAATGATTGGAGCGCTAGAGATATCCAACAGTGGGAATATGTTCCGCTTGGGCCTTTCAATGCCAAGAACTTTGGCACAACCATCAGCCCTTGGGTTGTACTCGCCGACGCACTTGAGCCCTTCAGAACGAAGGGACTGGAGAACAATGTCCAGCTGCAAAACTATTTGCGCGAGGATCGGACTGAGAATGTCCTGGATATCAAACTAGAGGTTTCCCTTTCTGGTAAGTGATACTTCATCTCGTACTTTGCATGATAATTCTCAATGAAGGTTTAGAGCTGACTTTACTACAACTCTAGCTTCAGGAAACGAAGAAACAGTACTTACTCGCACTTCTGCTAAGAACCTTCTTTGGTCCTGGCCTCAAATGGTAGCGCATCATTCCATCTCAGGATGCAACTTACGTGCCGGAGACCTCCTTGGGTCAGGGACTATCTCCGGATCAGAGCCAGGAACGCAAGGTAGCTTGTTAGAGCAGTCTCAAGGTGGCAAGATACCTATCAAGCTGAGCGGCGGACAAGAAAGGAAGTTTCTTGAAGACGGCGACACGGTGGCTATTCGAGGATGGGCTGGGGAGCAGGACGGCGAGTTGGTGGGGTTCGGGGATTGTTCTGGTCAAATTCTAGCCCCTGTGTCGCTGTGACGAACGCAAATAGCCACAACCGGACGAGAAGACACAACGGAAGGTTACGTGTAGGAGCAGTCCGCTCTGACAAGAATCTTCGGTCGGTTCGCTCTCACAGGAATCTTCAATTTAGATAGAATAGTGTTTGCTATCCCATCGGGTGCTGAGCGACGCCATTAAGTACGTATATGAGGGGTAGACCAGTGCACTTCAACGGCCATATTTTTAATCCAATTAGAAGTATTAAAATCAGCGAGCTTGGGGTAAAAATGGGCGTCATTATGGAGAATATCTTTTTGCGTCGCTCAGCACCCGACGGGATAGAACTGAGTATCTCGTTTTGACACAAACCTATTCTTATTTAGAACCCGATGGCTTGGGAACAGCCGACGTTTGTTTCCTTATTTAGTCACCCCCTCCCGGACCTAGCTGGACAAGCTCAAAAATCTTTTTCATCACTTCAACAACAACAATTTCAGTGCCAAATAATTTCAATCTCTCAAATGTCTTGTGTGCAGAGCGAAATCCCAACGCTTGCCGAGCAAGTAAGCGTCGAACGACTTACACCGGGCCAACATGAATATGTCTCGAAAAGACTGCCAGTCCCCATCACATACGCCAAGTCAATGGCCTACGGAGGATGCATCCTATCAGTCGCTGTGAGTGCAGCATGCGACACAGTACATTCTTCATTAGATATGTACTCGGTTCTTGGCCACTTCCACGAGGCCGCCTCCTCGGATGAAAGTCTACGCTGCACCGTCGAGAAAGTCAGGGACGCGAGGTCATTCGCAACCAGGCGGGTTCGAGTCGACCAGTATCAGTCCAGCGGCTCTTCGCGTACGTGTCTCGAAGTCTCCATCGATTTCCATGCACGCGAGTCGTCTTCTCTGGACTACTCAGTGCGCCCTGTCTTGACTTGGCCGAAGCCTGAGAACTGCCCTACTAGTCACGACCAAGTGAAGTCGCTACGAGAAAGGAAAATCGCGAGTGAGGCTCAGGATGAGAAATACAAACGGACGATCCAGATACACGATCATTTTATCGAGACAAGATGTTGCCCAACCGGCATATCTGGCCAAGATTTATTCGGGACGGCTTCAACTACGCCTACAACTCAGGATCATCTACCAATTGCATCTAAAACGTCTGCTGAATGGCAGCGCTCGCGAACAAGTCTGATGACGAAGACCGAAAATACAGCCGCTCTCGCATTTCTCATGGACGGCACTTGCTCTTTCGTGCCTCTGATGGACGATCACATGTGGTTCAGGGATGTGAATGCATGCTATTCGATCGATGTTGCGCTGCGAATCTTCACCAACGACATCAATCTGGAAGATTGGCATCTTGTTGAGAGAAACGCGATTCGGGCGAAGAGTAACCGGGCATTTGCTGAATCCCGCATATGGGATAGGAAAGGGAGCTTGATAGCTCACATGAGTCAACAAAGTATCATACGCTTGAAGTTCGACAGCCAAGAAAGCTACGGATGCCGTGCTTTCGATTATTGGGTTGCGTTGGCTTAACGTCGAAGAACATGCAATACGGGAAACGAACACGTCAGGAATTATAGACGATGTTACTGCAGCTGCTGAATGAGCACATCGTGGGGCGCAACCTAGCCAGAATAGGCATCTTACTACCTAGAGAAAAGATCACCACGGAAATTAATGACTGCTTCAGTGTCTGTTGCGCTGACGGTTGCGGAAAAATAGGTGCTAGGTTGTGATTTCTCCTTGACTCCATCTTGTCGTAGCGCAGTTATTCCAGCTTCTGCCCCATATTTGCCGATTCAGGTGCCCGCATGATGAGCTCATGATGCGGTAGCGATTCCTCCCCCTACCTACAGGTAGGTTCCATCACGTCACCATGTTGATATTGTGCATGATCAGCCAAGCTGAGAGCCTGTGAAAACACAGCACCTTGCCTGTATTGAAAAATACTAATGGTTGAAGTGATAAAAGAGTGAACGCGAATATGAGTTATGGTGATCCTTAGGAACGACTCTAGCTCTCCGTTTACTATTCAGCCTGGGTAACCGACTTATCTTAGTGCGGCGCGTCAGAACAGCTATCATGATGAAAGCATCAATGAGGGTACTGGCAGCATATGCGGCCATTCAATCAACTTGCGCCCTTTCACAACAACTGATCGTCGACCCGGGCCAATCTGGTCCGGCCTTGGAGCTGGTGCATCTTTACAACGATCAGTGGCCTACAGGTAGTCTTCCACAAACCAGTGCAAACATATCGATGCTCACTCGATTTCGCAGGCATCACTGTGTCATCAACTGGTCGAAAGTTTTCTAATTACCCTGGTGGCCTGGACTCTAACAACACCAACAACGGGAACAACGGCAAGTACACCGTCGCCGAGCTATTTGACGACAATACAGAGAGGCCATACCCTAGCGCAGACTTCAACAACCCACCCGGTGGATCTATCAACTTCACCACAGTTCCTCCAACAGGCGCAAACTATGAAAACTATCTGATTGGCGTTCAGAGCGTTGTCATTGACAGCGCAGATCGCCTATGGATCCTCGACACGGGAAGAGTGCTCACGGCTGACGGTGTCCTGGTCCCTGCCAGTGTTGGTGGCCCTAAGTTGATCGGCATTGACCTCAACACCAACTCAGTGATCAAGACCATTGTCTTCCCTGACACTGTGGCATATCCGGTCAGCTACCTCAACGACGTACGCTTCGACCTCAGCCCAAGCTTGACAAGCAGCGGACAAGGAGTCGCATACATCACGGATTCATCAAGTGAGGGCCGCACTGGCTTGATCACCGTTGATCTCGGCAGCGGAGAATCCTGGCGGCACCTTGGCGGCAGTCCATATGTACAGGGTGACCGCCAATTTCTCGCGTTTATCTGGGGACAAGCACTTTACGCCAATCAGCCGGGGAGCCCGGCCGCATTTGTAACTTTCGGTGTTGATGGTATTGCACTTGGGGCGGATGGCAAAGATCTCTATTTCGGTGGGGTTGGGAACAGATATCTCTACAGCATTCCGACACAGCGCTTGCTGGATAATGGACCGACATCTGAAGCACGGGCACAAGCCTCTGTTGTCACTGCAAGCCAGAAAGGACTTGCTGATGGCTTTGAGACGGATACCAACGGCTTCATTTATCACGGCAACTTCGAGCAGAATGCGGTGAACTTCTTCAACCCGGCGAATGGGACTGATCAAGTCTTTTTGCGAGACCCTCGTATCAACTGGGCCGACACCGTAAGCTGAAATGAGACGAGCAAACTTATTAGGAGCCGTAGTAGCTGACTTATCTTAGTTTTCTGTCGCAACGGATGGCTATATCTACTTCACAAACAACCAACTTGGCTTTGGCCCTCAAATATACCCGGGCACAGATCGACGGCAGCGCCCGTTCTCGTTGTTCAGGGCTAAGCTGCCCAATGGCGGCGCCAAGGTCGGCGGTTCCTCGAACAGCACCAACTCCCGAAGTCGTTAGGATCTGCCGATGCATCTAATCTCACAACCACTAAGTAAATAGTTGATATCAATCGCTTCATGGATTTGCGGAACGTTCACAATCTTTGCACTTGATTACCACCCTTAGGCGGACCATCAGTCTGTATTCCGTGCCTGTGAGATACGTACAACCGGGAAACCTCCAGCAGAGTTGGGCTAGAAAAGGACAATTATCATGAATCGGATAGAAAACAAGAATCCAACGGTAACATGTTTATGGAGTGTAGTTTGCTACCTATCCTAATCTGCCCCAGGAATACGTATCTCAAAGTCTCAACGCGGTCTTTGGGTGTGAAATCCAAGACTAACGTCTCATTTGTTATTGAATCTCTTTTACATAATGACAATCACTGGGACAATAATAGAGGGCTGTTTGGACACACCCAGGCATACTGCTAAGCCCAGATTGATGAAAACCCCTACGGCGGTGTTGGGGCTGGTTGACTCGGAATTTGATGTGTTCCGCGGTTCCGAGCTGCCGAGCCATTACCTCCGGTACACATCCATCTTGCTGCAGAGGAAAGAGAAGGTCGAGTTGTTCCGTAATCAATCAATGATACGAACCTTCTGTTTCGGCAATAGTTTTCGGGTACGGATTGTGACTTGGAGTCTGTAATCATACCTACTCGTGAGCCGGGTGGCGCAGGTGCCGGCCGTCCAATCTTGAGACGTTCCTGTGCCTCAGCAGACTTCCCTGCTATATACCTAATTGATGACCCGCACGCAGTTTTATCTGTCTAAAGCTTTCAGTTAGCTTATTCAAGTGTACAAACTGAACGTGAAGGTTGGAATTCGACATTTGTTCTCCTCAATTGACGCTGTTGTCCCTGAAGACCCCCATCATGCCTGTAACAGACTTCTCCACGAAGGAGAGATACGAATATCTCAATGGCTTCGGGTCTTTTCATGAGTAAGTTATTGTATCATCACTGCTGTCTTTCTCTTTAGTGCTTGACGCAGATGACCTGATGCTAACAGCCACGCCCTAGATCAGAAGCCATAAAGGGTGCTCTGCCCATTGGAGCGAACTCGCCCCAAAAGGCTCCTTACGGTCTGTATGCAGAAAAACTCTCAGGCACAGCCTTCACGGCACCCCGCCATGAGAATTTGCAGACATGGCTTTATCGCATCATCCCATCAGCATCTCATTCATCTTTCGAGCCTCTCCAGGAGAATGGGCCCAAACCCGGTGGTCAGATCCACCAAATCCCGAACCAGCTACGTTGGGACCCGTTCGACATCAGCAATGAGACCGACTGGATCAGCGGTCTGAGACCCGTCGGCGGTGCCGGTGATCCTGCCATGAAGACCGGCCTCGGCATCTTCATCTTCGCCGCCGGCAAGAGCATGGACCCGAAGACTGCCATGTATTCGTCTGACGGCGACATGTTGATCGTTCTGCAACACGGCGTTCTGGATATCAAGACAGAACTTGGAAATATCCTGGTTCGGCCGAATGAGATCGTCGTCATCCCTCGCGGGATCAAGTACCAAGTCAACCTACCAGAAGGACCCGTGAGAGGTTACATCCTCGAGCTTTATCAAGGTCATTTCGTTTTGCCTGAGCTCGGACCCATCGGATCAAACTGCCTGGCGAATCCTCGTGATTTCCAGGTCCCCGTTGCCGCCTTTGACGAGGACGACACCGAATGGTCGATTGTGAATAAGTTCAACAGCGCCTTTTTCATCGCGAAGCAGAAGCACACTCCTTTCGATGTGGTAGCTTGGCACGGAAGGTATTACCCATTCAAGTACGATCTAGGCCGGTTCTCAGTCATTGGGAGCATCTCATTCGATCACCCGGATCCCTCCATCTATACAGTCCTTACCGGCCCATCGGATCATCCAGGAACAGCGGTTGCCGACTTCGTCATCTTCCCGCCCCGTTGGCTTGTGCAGGAAGACACGTTTCGTCCTCCATGGTACCACCGGAACACCATGTCTGAGTTCATGGGTCTGATCTGTGGTGACTATGATGCAAAGACTGGTGGGGGTTTCCGGCCTGCCGGGGCAAGCTTGCATAACATCATGTCAGCTCATGGCCCTGATGCCAGTACCTTTGAGAGGGCATCGAATGCTGAGCTGAAGCCGCAGAAGATTGGAGAAGGTAGCATGGCCTTCATGTTTGAGAGTTCGTTGATGATTGGAGTTACGGAATGGGGTTTGGAAACATGCCAAAAGGTTCAGAAGGGCTATAGCGAGGATAGCTGGCAAGGATTGGTCAGACACTTTAAGCGACCGGAATGAGGCTTTTCTCTTGTTTGAGCACGTACAACTTATCATCACAGATTGTAGTCATTCATGCGCATATGTAAACATAAATGGTAACATCAAAATTCACCTTCGGTCCTACATTCTACATGATAGTATCAATTTTGTCTTAGGACAAGGAACGTGAAGTGGTTTTCTTAACTCTTCCATACACGTAGCTCTCGAAGAATCCGGTACCGTTAGCTCATACCTACGTGTAACTATTAAGATACATCTCAAACCTAGAGATATCAAAGCCAGCGAGATTTTACAATGTTGTAGAATCACTTTGTGACCTGGATGACGCATGCTGATTTCCTGTAGTCGGATTGCACAGCCAAAGAAACCCAGATTCCAATTTCTACTATGTGTGACCGCTGCGAACGCTTGAATCTCTCCAAATTGCGACACTGAATAAAAGAAACTTTCCCTTGAAGTGCAAAACATATTCAACCATGCTCATATGCATACCCAATCAGTCATCCCTTACCCCTTCCACGACCTCAGAAATGACAACTGGTACTTCGAACTTCGCATAACCGCGAACAAAGTAATAACAGAGCCCAGACAGCAACCAACCAGCCATGACTACAGTAGAATAGTTCATGTTCTGTGCCGTTACTGGCTGTGTAGAGGGAAAGGTGCTGAAAATGATGACGACCGTCATCCATATCAAACTGACGACGTTGAGAACCGGGCCCACGATGCCTCCCAACTTGAAAGGCCCATACTCCTTGCGCGTCAATTTCTTTCGTCCCACAATGAGCATATAGGCAATTGGAATGCTATACGAAAGATAGATCCCGATAATTGCCATGGACAGAACAGCGTTGAAGGCAGTGGTATTACCAAGGTAAAGGAACCCGAGTATGAGCTGAAAGGCTGTGACAACGGCCACTGCCCTGACAGGAACTTGCAATCCCTTGTGAACATGGCTGAAGTAGCTGTCGAATGGCACTGCCTTGTCGCGTGCGAAAGCCCAAAGAGTTCGGGATGCCGACGTGATACCGCCAACCGTTGCTGCGATGGCTATCGAAATCAGCAGTAGCGACATAACTGTAGCTCCCGCTCTAGACTTGGTCACATCCAGATAGATCTGCATGAATGGGAAGCCCGTTGGGGTTGTAAGGAGCGTTTCGAGGGATCCTGTCGAGAAGAGGAGGACGGTAACATATACGAGACCCATCAGACCATTGACGGCCACGCTGCCAACCATGGCAATGGGGACGTTTCGAGGCGCGTCGGGTATCTCCTCAGCCATGTGACAGGCGGCATCATATCTGTTTAAAGCTTATTAGTGAGGGGTTTCTTCTGGTGTATCCAAATGGAAAGAACGTACCCGAGGAAGGGATATACAGCACTGATGAGTCCGACCAGCCAGGAAATGCCATCATTGCTCCACCCACTGCTGTTGACAAAGTCGGTGAAAACGAAGGCGGGGGTGTTCTTGGGTGCCATCACTCCAAGAACGATGAGTATTCCAACAAAAGCAACAACGTGAATGATACCTTGATTCAGTGTCAAGTCAGTAAATATGCAGCAACACATGTAGGGGGACTTTGAGCTTCGATAAGCTGAGAAACATCGTGAACACCCACCTGAAATCATGTTTGCATGCGGCAGCATCTTTGAACCCCAGATATTCATGGCAGCTGAGTACAAAAGCACCGCCCAGTAAAAGAGCATACCCTGCCATCGCTGAGGAATGTACGAGTCTTCGTTCAGAGTAATCAACGCTTGAGTCTGCAGTCCAGCTGCAAAGGCCGCCGATGCGCAAAAGACGGTCAGCCCCCCAACGGAGATCCATCCGGTCGTGAAGGCGGCGAGGGATCGGCTTCTCGGAGGGCATAACGCAGCAACCCAGTGGTATTGTCCTTAAGGTTAGTCTAATTAGAGTTGCAAAGACCTAAGTTGGTGAGACATGGGATGGGACGTACCGCCAGCTGTTGGATAGATGGACGCAATCTCGCCCAGGGAAGCTGCAATGCATACAGAGCAGATGAAGGAAAGAACACTGTGACTCGCCGTTAGCTTATTTTGGCGAACGTTTGACGACTCAAGTAAAGACAACATACTAGTTATAGAAGAGGCACGGCGCGCCGCCGCTTAGGAGGGCTTGAGCGATGACTGTAGAGAGTGCTTCCCATGTTGCCATAAGGCAGAGGCAGAGTGCCCCAAGAGTTGGAAGTGAGAATTGCCTCTTCAGTTCCTGGGCATGGCCCAGCTGAGCCAAGCGATCCTCATCGGAAACGATGTTACCTGGGGCTGAATCAATCTGCCTCAAAGGGTCGCCGGTCTTCGTCTCGTTGACGTCCATAATGAATTCCTTATCCATCTGCGGCAATATTCGCGGGCTGTAGCTTGTTGTGATGGTTATGTCGAGTGATGTTGAATTGTATGAGAATAGAAATTGGTGGTCCTGATAATCTTGCTTGCCAAGAAGCTGAACAGTAAAGATCCTATTGGCAACTACGCAGCTCTTGCACCGGAACAGCCGTCCGCACCCCGGCTTCAGTACGATACGACGTGGCGGAACTTTTATTGATAATTCCTCAATTGTGACAGGTCAACGGTCATAGAATCTCGATAGGGGTAGCGTCCCTGATGCCCCGAAGCCCCCGGTATGAGATACAGCACAGCGATAGCCACCAGCAAAGTCCGTATGTGGGAGTTTTCCGGGTTCCGAGATAAGGACACTGTCAATTTGGTGGCTCAGGCTTACATTGAAACGTGACTAGACATGATCAGCAAGCAGAAGGCAGAGTCATGTTATCAGTGCCAACGCGCCTAGACCTGGGAGCCTGTCGGACGGAGGGGGATACGACTGGACAAGTGCTAAGAATACATCGCAACGTGTTTTCACGAAGATGGCACTTGCAACGACATGTCTAAACATGTCATCTTCAATTATCTTCAACATTTGACAAGCACAGTGACCCTTCCCCGTGGGGAAGCAACTGCACGGCGGCATGGACCAACCTCACATCCTGACACATCCTGCTTGTCGTTATCGGTGAAGGGGCGGGTAGGCTAGACCTTATTGAGACAAAATATCCGGCGGGGGTGCATAACAACTCGTCTTGTGATATCGGGGATGTCGTGGCCACGCAACGGTCGCCTGCTGGCTTCGTCACACAACATCCACGGCGGTCGGAATTCACCAGGTTCCGCTCGGAATCTTAGTCGCGGCATCTTGCATACCATCCCGACATTCCGTGCGGGGTTCTCTACCCGCCCCCACAAGCCAGGGGAAAACCTGGGGTTGCATATGCGGGGGATGACTGTAGTTAGTAATGTCTCGATTCCGAGAGGGCTGTCTTTGTCTGACGCTCTCGGCGGACGCCAGTACCGATGGGACCCGCACGGCATCGCATCTGTGACGGAGCTGAGGGCCGGGTAGGAACGGCAGGGTCAGACCGGTTTACATATCATACCGTTAGTAGCAATTGTTTTCCCACGTTTGACAGTTCGATACAGAGAGTATTCAGCAATCAAACATTCGTTGTGGTCAAGATACTCTCAACATGGCTATTGCAAATGTCATCCAAGCTTTCCAGCAAAGGGTCTTTGACCATGCTTTGCAGTCGGCCGTCACAGGCATTCTTCTGATACCCCTCATTTACGTCATTATCAATGAGTTCATCCGCTCTCAGGCTCGGATTGCCAAGTTGGATGGACCTCGAGGTCTACCTCTGATTGGCAATCTATGGGACATTCGAGTCAATGCTGCAGAGCAATACAGGAGATGGGCCAAGAAATTTGGATCAGTCTATCAAATCCAATTGGGAAATGTGCCGGTTGTTGTGGTCAACTCTGCGTCTGCCGCCAGAGCCCTCTTCGGACAGAATGCCCAGGCTCTCAGTTCCCGTCCTGAATTTTACACATTCCACAAGGTAAGACTTCGAATGCTCCTCGAAAAAGACTTCAAGAACCAAACTAACAAGCGCGACAGGTTCTCTCGGATACTGCGGGAACAACGATTGGAACTTCTCCTTACAGCGACTCACTTAAGCGCCGTCGTAAGGGAGCTGCTTCCGCCTTGAACCGACCGTCAGTCGCAACCTATGTTCCGCACCTCGATGTCGAAACCAAGACCTTCGTCAAGGAGCTCTACGAATATGGCAAGGCCGGCCAAGCTCCGGTCGACCCCATGCCGATGATTCAACGCCTGTCTCTCTCGCTCGCTTTGACTCTCAACTGGGGAATTCGCATGAGCAGCCAGAAAGACGGCCTCTTTAAGGAGATCACCCATGTCGAAGAAGAGATCAGCCGCTTCCGCTCGACCACTGGCAACCTGCAAGACTACATCCCTCTTCTCCGCATCAATCCCATCAACATGCACTCAGCCAAGGCCAGAGACATGCGGAACAGGCGTGATGTCTACTTGACTGCCCTGAACAACGGTCTCGATGAGCGCATGGCCAACGGAACCCACAAGCCCTGCATTCAGGCCAACGTCATCATGGATCAAGACGCGAAGCTCAACAAGGCCGAATTGACATCGATCAGTCTGACCATGCTTTCCGGAGGACTTGACACCATCACCACGCAGGTCGCTTGGTTTGTTGCCATGCTCGCGCAGAGGCCCGATATCCAAGACAAGGCCGTGGCAGCCATTCGAGAGTTCTACAGCGAGAAGCAGCCAATGTGCGATTCCGAGGATGACCAGCAATGCCGTTACATCGTGGCCTTGGTTCGCGAGTCCCTGAGGTACTACACTGTTCTCCGTCTTGCGCTTCCTCGAGCGTCTGTTCGAGACGTTCCCTACGGTGAAGTTATGATTCCCAAGGGATCTGTTATCTTCCTCAACGCCTGGGCGTGCAACATGGGTAAGCACTTGAAGAGAGAATTGAACGATCACTCCGAGACTAACACTTCTCAGATTCAGAAGTATGGACTGACCCCGAGGTTTTCCGCCCCGAGAGATGGTTGGAGCAGCCGGATGCGCCCCTTTTCACCTATGGTGTTGGGTACCGCATGTGTGCAGGTTCACTTCTCGCCAACAGGGAGCTGTACCTGGTTTACATGAGACTTCTCAACAGCTTCAGGATCGAGAAGTACGATGATGTTGACCATCATCCCATCACTGGAAATGCCGATCCCACGAGTCTGGTGGCTATGCCAAGGCCGTACAAGGCACGATTCGTGCCCCGTGATGTTGAGACATTGAGCAGTGTTTTGAGAGACTCGGAAGAGAAGGCCTAGGAGATACCAAAGTTGAGGAGGTTCAATTGGGTTGACTTTGTAGATTTGTAGAATGACTAGCAGTAGCTTGATAACATGACGAACACGAGAAGAAGAAAACACATCAAAAGAGAAGTTTCAGTTGAACGTTTCAAGCGGAAGAGCTTACATAAAATCGATTAAGAGATAATTTGAGATGATTCAAGTTCTTGTTGATGGACTGAGTAGCAACAATGTTTATGATGAGATGTAGATGCCGAGGGCCGAAAGGTGCCCTGTCACCCTCAAATAAGGCCGTCTAGATGACCAAAAACGCGATTCAGACATGAATTTGAACTTCATCAAACGTTTTGAACCTCAATAACCAAGTTTTTGGATTGGTAATTGCTCTTCTGTCATATCTTCGTGAGACCCACCTCGAGATTGACAACATGATGTGGAGGGGCGGGGAGGCCATGCGGGGAAAATGCCGGATCCCGGACCTTGACCCGGCCTGCGTTGATACAAAACCCCCACTCTTCCCCTGCGCGCATCACCTGCGAACTCTAACACTACCTCAGCACCCATTTGCGCGGTGACGGCGAGCCTCGACGACTTACTTGATGACATTGCATGTTTCATGACTCACTCCGCAATGGCGCCGGAAAACGACGAAGTGGAAGCACAGTCACCAACAACGACATCGTCGACACGGAGGAGATCCTCGCCTCCGGGTCCGAGCAATCCGCCAAGATCGAAGCGCGCCAAGTATGCAGCGGCAGCTTGGTATGTCACCACTTTCTAAACTTCATCACTACTCATATTGGTCAATGAGATGTCTGACTTTCAAGCAGCTCTGAATGCAAGAAACGGAAACTCAAATGTGTGAGAGAAGAGAATGAGGAAGAATGCCAGCGATGTATGTCCAACGGCGCTCAGTGCGTCTTCGGCGCCGCACCGTCACAAGATGGCAGTATGGCACCAAAAGAAAAGCCTAGAGCAAACAGGAGAGCTAGGCGGACTAGGTTAGACTTTGCCTCAATTGGATCTCTTATGGGCCATGACTCTTAACATTTACAGCTTACCGAACGATGTAATTATGGACGAGATATCAATGCTTCGAGAGCAAGTTGCAAGCTTAGCGAACACTGTGGGAAAATTGGCCTCGGACAAATCTCGACAAACGACGTCGAACTCGCCCAACTCTCAACGCCATATGTCGATACACGATACTTCCTCGCCTCAAGGAGGACAAGAACCGAAACAGCCTCAATTCGTGGGGCCGACTAGATCTGCGTTCAGTCTCAAAGTCGCCGAGACCACGCTCACCAGAATGGGAATTTCCACTCAGACCCCGTTACCATCCGGCACGAGCGAATCTCTCGCTCCAACCCGCTACCCGACTCCCGAACAATCCGAACCGGCCTTATCTGTTCCTGGGACAGATATCCTGCTCACCATGCCCCTGGACGAGGTTGAGAGATTGCTCGAAGTTTTCCAGGAGGAAGTCGAGACTGTTTACCCGTTTCTGGACACCGGAGAGCTGGTATCCAAGGCTGCAGATATACGAGCCTTTGTTGACGATTCTCCGGATCGCCCGGCGGTGAACAGCTCCTCTGTGGACCTCAAGGATGTGATCCTAGCAAAAGTCGCTATTGCCACGAGTATTGTGGTTGAGGCTCATGGAAAGAACCATGCAAGCAACAAACTAGTCGAACCGATTAAGCATCTCATCTACCAGCTATCTATAGACGCCCAGGCTGATCTGAAAGTCATTCAAATCATGACCATGATTGTAAGTCAAGAAGACCTCAAAAAAGCCAAACGGGGACGAAGCTGATGTTTGTGCAGAGCATTTACTATTTCTTCTCCGACGAAGAACTTCTTGCCTGGAGAAATATCGGAATAGCTGCGCGAGCAGCCTTAGAAATGGGTCTACACCAGAACTTGAGTCTCGTCGAGAACTTCCCGGATCCTCGAGACCGTAGTCTAGCAGTACGCGTGTTTTGGTGCGTTTATGTGCTGGATCGCCGATGGAGCTTCGGAACGAGTCTCTCATTCGCCTTGTTTGACCGAGATATCGACCCGAATCTACCTGAACCGGTAAGAAACGAGCCCACAAAGTTACTCTTTTCATGCTGATTGATACAAGTCGGACGATTTCCCATACCTTCGATGCTTGATCGGGTACGGCCGGTTATGTTCCAAAGCCTGGGACGCGTTGCCTCCGTTCAGCGCCCAGTCGCAGACCATTCCCAAAGACACCGTCGCCTTCCTCGACTTCACCGCGCAGAACTGGTCCAAGTCAATACCGGAAGACTTACAACTGCGCCATCTACCACAAGATTCTACATCGGCACCGCCATCTCGGGCTTCGAGGCGGTTGCAAGCGCTACTTTATCTGCGTGGTAACCATATCCGCACCTTAATACATCGGCATCACGTTATTAGCTCCGCGAGCATTGAGGCAGAGCCCCAAAAGGCGCGGCTGGTAGTCGACATAGCCATCGATAGCATATCCGTTTTGGTTCATCTGAGTGAGACGAGCGACATCTACATGCGCCAGCAAAGCGCCTTCAACTACTTCCTTCTCAGTGCCGTGGCGGTCCTTTTCTTGGCAGTATGTCACGGCTCTCGGATGTTCGCAGAGCCATGCAGAGACAGCTTCCTCTCCGCAGTGGAACTCGTCAAGGGGTTCTCTCGGCAGGGCACGGCGAGCCGTAGGCTGTGGAAGAGCATCAGAGGACTCTTGCCACTTGCCCAGCGGATGGGTCTCCGGGGAGACGAAAGCACAATTCGGAGAGATATAAACGACGGGCAACTACTGGTTGGTTCGACAGGTCGTATGCTCGGCGTAGAGTCGATGGCAGATGGACAGCGATCCGGATCAGCAGCGGTGCCGGGCCCCGAGTTCGGTGGGTTGTCATCGACGCAGAACTTGGGGACGATGGAGTTTGGAGCAGCCGCTCCCGATGCCTTTTCCCTCAGCAACGATCTCATGTTTCTCTTTGATGCTTTCGGGCAGACGGATGACACGTGGGCCAATGGTTTGCAGGATTATATGGGTGGCAATGAACAGCAACCTGCTATTATGGGCGAGGAGGAGATCTCCAGGCATTTTTGGGGTTTGATATGAGTTACTTACCATGATTCCTCGATGAAACGACGGCACGGCCAACCACGACATGCAAGGTTAACTACGTTCCTTGAAAAAAAGCGACGGAAGCCGGTTGGAAGCGGGGAGATTCGGTTCTCTGCCCGATGTCAAGCATACATGCATCGGATAACCGGAAGCGGCGACAGAAGTTGCAGATTCCTGAACGGAAGAGGCAGGAACGAGGTCGCAGTGCATTAGCCTTCGATCAAAGGGGAAACTGTATTGGGAGAAGGGTTGGCGTTGTTGGCATTATTGATCTTGGACCCTGGTTGCCTTGCCGAAACTCGAGAAGAGGTCAACATCTGGTGTGCGCCGTCCAGCTCAACGCGTGCTTGACCAAGATAGACACAAGCGTTCTGGGAGACACTCTGGTAACTTATTAAAGCATGCTGCGGTGAGGCTCTTATACTAATTCATCAGAACGTCTCAAGTTTGCATTCTGGATGTGAGAACAGTCTCTCCTTCTGAAGCCGTCTCGAGGCATCCCACATCAGTTGTCAGATTCGAGGAGGAAGAACCCGGATGGGCCATTCTGACCATGGCTGTGCATGGTGCTTGGCAGATTAAAAAAGTGCCATACAGATTCGATGACGAGATGAGTAGAGTTGCCAAACCTATCAACACAGTGTACGGCAAAGAAGACGGGGAAGTTGAGTTGATGATATTAACCCAAGGCCGCGGTTCCAATCTCCTTCCACATGGGGAATAGGGGGGCTTGGGTGCTAAAGCGGGGGAGATAAGCGGTCTGCATGCGAATTGCGGCTTTTTGCTCGGTGCCAAGCGCCAAGCTACCGGTCGTGTTGGGAGGAGAACAGGCACTGATTTGATCTTTTGCGGGGACCTGCTTCGCCCCCCAAAACCCCCTGTTGATCGCATGTGCACCGGCCAAGCGGTTGAAACAAACTCTTTAACCTTTGAGATAGACTTCGCCCGGAGTCGCTTGTTTCCATGTCACTTGTAGAGCCAGACCGATGAGAAGACGGAAGCGGGCCTTCAGAGTCCCGGCGACGTACCGGCCCCGTACGAAGCTAACAACGGAAGGTGGGGCCGTTGTTCGCGGACCGACTTCCGCATTGGATCAGACGTTCCTGTTCGTCAATGATCCAACCAACACCAACAGCCGTCTCCTTAGCAAGAGGAACCCCTCATCTCCCCTCAACTCTCTATCTTCCCGGAATCATCGCCGGGAAGCCCACCCTCCATCGTACAGACAGCACTGAGGTGGTACCCAAGACATCTCAAAGGTGATCGATCCCTCACACAGCGTATCAGCCACCGCCACGATGGCTCAGCATGCACAATCCCCAATTGAGGCGGACGACGATGGCGTCTCAATCGACGGCTACTCCACAACAGACGATTTGCAGATCTCACTACGGTCAACGATTCTTAGGTACCGCCGCGAGAACGGCCGTACATACCACGAGGACGACAAATACATTTTGCCCAACGATGAATCTGAACAAGAACGTCTCGACATCGTAAACCATGTGTGGATGGTTACCCTTGACGGCAAGTTTTGCCTCTGTCCCAAGGACAATGGCGCAAGACGTGTCCTTGACCTGGGTACCGGAACGGGTATCTGGTCCATTGACTATGCGGAGGCCTTTCCAGACGCCTGTGTTACTGGTGTCGACCTTAGTCCCATTCAACCGAGATATTTGCCTCCTAATTGCTACTTTGAACTGGATGATCTCGAAAAGGAATGGACTTGGGATACTCCTTTTGATTTCATCTTGGCTCGGAATATGGGCGGTTCATTTTCCGACTGGGAGGCCTCAATCAAGCAGGCTTATGAGCACCTCGAGCCTGGCGGCTGGTTCGAGATCCAGGATAGCGAATGGCCCGCTGTCTGTGACGATGGCAGCATGGCAAAGAACTCCGCGATTGCCGAGTATACGAACTTGATGGCGCACTGTTGTGCTGAGATCGGGCGCCCGATCACATTCACCCACACGTTCGATGACCTCCTGCGGAAGGCAGGCTTTATCAATGTGGTCAAGGTGCCTCTCAAGTTTCCGATTTCGCCGTGGCCGAAAGACAAAGCTCTGGAGGAGATCGGCTTATGGACCCAGACGTCGTTGATTCAGGGGCTTGAAGGTATGGCTTTGGCGAGCTTCACGCGGACCTTGGGTTGGAGTAGGGAACAGACTTTGGTCTTGTGCGCGAAGGCAAGAGCCGACATCAAGAACCTCAAGATTCATGCCTACTGGAACGGCTACGTCATCTACGGTCAAAAGCCTTTGGACGCAGAGAAGGACAAGTAGAAACTGTGGTGCACAGTTTCTGTCTCACTGCAAGTACTATCTGATATTTGCGCACATAAAAGATTCGGGTTGAATTGGTGGTGTCAAGTTGAAGATTTGCAGTTTGTCCTGTTTTTGTTGTAGGAGATACCATAACATAGCTTAGGCTACTGGCTGCTGATGTCGATTTAAGCTCAGTTAGAGGACGAGGTTGATCGCGTGTTACAAAACCATAAATCTCTTGCCCGATGTTATGTCAGCAGTATGAATCTCTCATGCTCAAGATGTTGTGCTGACAGTTGAGGGGACGAAATCTCGACTGGGGGTATCCCAACCACACAAATACAGGCCTTTTGCTTGGCACATGGTTATCAACACCTCATCTCCTTCTCCAGCCAATCGTCACTCACAGCACTTGATCCAGGCACAAACAGTTCTTGGCGCAGGCAAAGCGCACACCGCGAGCCTCATCCCGCATTTCACGGACTGCGGACGCGTCTCTATGTAGCCGGATACATCACCCGTTCGCTATCTTTAGCTTCCATGCCCGAAGCACGCAATCGGCCTCCCAGGTCAGATTCCTGAAGGTTTCCCGACAACACCGAATCCGAGTCAGCTTCTCTTCGGTCCGGCCGCCAGCGCAAAAAGGCTCTGCTGCCTAGGAAGCACCCATGAAAGGTTGTGAGACCTGCAGCGCAGCGTGCTGATCATGGCTGGCTGCATTGCAGCTAAATTGAGACTGCGTTGAGCCCGGCGTCTCCAGACAACACATGCAGCTCGAGCCCCAGAGTCACTCCGGTGATTATCATGCAGAGCTGCCTGGAACAAGAAAAACGAAATGCTCGCGTACATCTCGCGTACGCAGGCCGTCAGCATTGGTAGAACGCGGCCTCGCAAAAGAGAGGCCATCGGTGCCCTCTCCGGAGACTGTCCCGCTTTTCTTATGCCGCGGCCACGAAGCTTCCCCGGACCGTTGTCCGCCAAGCCGCACTTAACCCCGGGACCTTCCCGTTTAAGCTCCTCGCCAAGAGCCTCCAAGAACACTTCCCTGAGTTGCCAATCGAGCGGCAAACCACCGAAATCACTTGCAAATTATCGCTCACGCACCAATGCTACTCTGCTGCGGCCTCTCAATGGCCAACTCAGAGCTCGCATCCGGCAACATGGACGGCCATGTGCGGCCCTCCTGCGGGCTGTCATCTCTTGGTAGCATCCGAGCTTCCCTGAGTAGCATTTCACACGGCCCTTTGCCCCCGGCAGTGCCCAGAAATGCCCAGATCGATGGTGCATGTCATGAACAGGCACGCATACGAAGTACGGACCTGATTGTTGGGATTTGTTGACAGGACTCAATGACTAGCAAAAGTTCCGTCTCTGATTGAAGCTATGGCCCCTCTGCTGGGCTTACACATAGATTAATGCACAGAGATATAAATCTGGGGCCCCTCCTCTCCATTTTACGACTTTCCTTCGAGCTTCAAGGGATCTCGACCTCACCTCGACTCCTTCACTTGACAAACTCGGTCCAATCCAGCCCGCAATCAAACAAAATCTACCGATTTGTTTGCATTGGACATCTCCACCATGGTCCGCGCCTCCTCCTACCTGGGCTCCCTGGCCGTCCTCGCCACTTCGGCGATGGCCAAGGAGATCCAGCCCAACGCTGCCCTCGCCGCTGAGCTTTATGACACCGGTATTATCCACGAGCAGGTCATTGCAAGCAAGAAGGTGAATACAAGAATCCCCCCGAAACTCACAACATGCTGATTCGTCCCAGGCCGAGTTCTCCCGTCAAAGAGAGGCTGGTGCCTACGCCAGTGAGCAGTATCCCGCCCTGGGATACGCTGCTTGCGTCAACGGCTGGGCTGAGGCCATCGTCGGCGACCGCAACAACACCTTCCGTTGCCACAACGCCGACCTCCACTCCTTCCTGAGCCACGCTGCCCTTGGCGACGAGCTCGGTGAAGGTTCCTCGTCTTGGGGTTGGACGTCCGAGGATGGCCGCGAGTTCGTTGCTATCGGCCAGTACCAGGGCACCGCCTTCGTCGAGATCGACAAGGACGGCAAGCTGATCTACCTCGGCCGTCTGCCCCAGTACTCTGTGCCTTCCGAGTGGCGGGAGATCCGCTCTTACAAGCACTACATGGTCATCGGCTCCGAGGCCGTTGGTCACGGTATCCAGATCTTCGACATGAAGAAGCTCCTGGACATCGACCCCGCCAGCCCCGTCACCTTCGACGCCAAGACCGACTTGACCAGTCACTTCAACGCCCTGCTGCCTCTGGGCCGTGCTCACAACGTTGTCATCAACGAGGAGCTCAACTACGGTGTCGCCGTCGGCGCCGCGCCCCGCAACGACACCATCTGCGCCGCGGGTCTGAACTTCTTCGACCTGACGGACCCTGCCAACCCCGAGTCCCTGGGTTGTGCCAGCGGCGATGGATACGTCCACGACGCTCAGTGCCTCGTTTACCACGGCCCTGACACGCGCTACGAGGGCAGAGACATCTGCTACGCCTACAACGAGGACACCCTCACCATCTACGACGTGACCAACAAGGCCAACGTCACCAACATCATCTCTCGCATCTCGTACGAGGGAGCTTCCTACACCCACCAGGGATGGGTTCTGGACGTCAAGAACCAGGAGTACCTCGTCCTGGACGATGAGCTCGACGAGTCCCGCGGCAACGGCCCCGGCGGAGACGGCTACCCCGTCACCTTCATCTGGGACATCAAGGATCTCGAGAACCCCAAGCAAACCGGTCTGTTCAAGCACCCGACCAAGGCCATCGACCACAACCAGTACGTCATCGACAACTACATCTACCAGTCCCACTACGGCGCTGGTCTCCGTGTTCTCGACGGCCGATCCATCCCCACCGACCCCACTGGTGCCGGAGTCTGCGAGGCCGCCTGGTTCGACATCTACCCTGAGGACGACGACTTCGAGGGCGGCGGCTACGTCGGCTTCGTCGGCACCTGGTCCTCGTACGCCTACTTCCCCTCTGGCTACATCTTCATCAACACCATCGAGCGCGGTGCCTTCGTTGTCAAGTTGACCGGCAAGGAGTGCCCCAAGGCCCCTGTCTGCAACGCCGACAACTGCCTGCGCTCTTTCCGCGCCGAGTCTATCCCGGGTCGTCTCGTCGAGTCCCAGGAGTTCTGCAAGTCCTTCCTCAGCTCCCCTGTCAAGGAGGTCAGCGCTCTGCCCGAGCACGCTGTGAAGAACTGCGCCAAGGAGGACAAGGTTGCCCAGGCTAGCAGCGCCTGCGCTTGCTTGCCTGCCGCCACCCCGGCCCCTTAAACTGTCACGAGTAGATTATGAGGTTGATGTAGAAGTCAAATGATAATGTAATTGCCATAAAAATACGTGCCCCTAAAGTGAGATTGTTGTTTGCGTGTTGTTGATCATGCGTACCTTTACCTACCCAGTCTTACACCATTTGCGGCGCCGACCGAATCTCGGCCCCGGATATGTGGGCCATCGGAAGTTTGGCCCGGCAGACGACACGTGGAACGGCTTCATCCGGGAAAGCATTAAACATAATCTCAAGTTTAGGAACAACGGTTTCCACCTCAAGACTTGCGCCATGCTTAATCAATCGATCAGACCTAGGGATTGATTCGCCTACTGTTCAAGCAAGCGGCAGCAAAACACCCCAATGATACGGTTAGCGTAAGCGCTCCACACCAAGCGACGGCCCCCTTGTCAGGACGGCTGCCACCAACGTATGCGAGCAAGCTGCAGCACCAAGACGAGGGGTTGGTGTTGTTTGCCCAATCCGACGGCGATCTTTCCTCGAGCAACGTGCTGCCATGCGGCAGAACGGGGTTTTAGGCCTTGTCAATCCTTGCCAGCCGCCGCACTCGAACGGACGTCATCTTCGCCAGTTGTACTGTAGCCAAGTTCGGTAACAGATAAAGATAAGAAAGACGATGCGGGGTCACATATGAGATGGAAGTGCCCAGAAATAGGCCGTATATCTTCTTATCCAGCCTCGTTCTCTTTGGATTCCGTCGCAAGAATTCTCACACTTGAAAGAGTCAATCAGTGATGAACATGGAACACCCTAACGTCACCAAGAGAACGTCGAAATCACCGGCTACAGGAAACGCCGAAGCAGCTGCCATCCACGCTACGTGTGATCCTAGTAAGCTTGGTGACATCGAAAACGGGCCGGGCGACAATAGACATGGCATCGATACCCGTGCTATCCACGTCGGAGTCGACGCTTCATACGAGAAGAAGGTTGCCATCATGAACGAAGCACTCATCGACATAGGTATGGGGTCATTCCAGTGGAAAGTCTTCGCCATGACCGGTTTCGGCTGGTTCGTTGACAATGTACGGTGTTCAAATTCCTTCTTTCCAAAAGTTCACAATTGGTTTTCTGATTTCTTAATAACCGACTTTGAGCAGTTCTGGATGCAAGCCATCACAATCATCAGCGCCCCAGTCCGCAACGAGTTCGCAGTCGAGCGCATCGCCTTTCTCACAGTAGCCAAGTACGTCGGCCTCGTAATCGGCGCGACCGCCTGGCCCATGACGGCAGACTTCATCGGCAGGAAGCTCGCTTTCAACGTCACGCTCCTCATCTCATCGATCTCCGGTCTGGTCGGGGCAGGCGCCCCAAACTTCGTCGCCATCGCGACCTTTTGCGCCTTCATTGGACTGGGCACGGGCGGGAACCAGCCGGTCGACAGCGCCATCTTCCTTGAATTCATCCCAGCGACGCACCAGTACCTCCTGACGATGCAGTCTGCGTTTTGGTCGCTGGGCCAAGCCGTCGCCGCGCTCATCGCCTGGCCCCTGATCGCGAACTTCTCCTGTCCGTCGGGTTCGCCGGCTGGACAGTGCCGGTACGAGGATAACCTCGGATGGAGATACACCTACTGGGCTTTTGGCGGACTGACTCTGGTTATGTACCTGTTGCGTCTCTGTTTCCGGGTTTATGAGACGCCCAAGTACCTCCTTGGAAGGGGGCTCGACAGAGAGGCGGTCGAAGTGGTTCAGAAGATTGCTGCGAGGAACGGGGGTTCGACTTGGCTCAGTCTCGAACATTTCCAAACCATCGACGCCGAGTTACAAGTAGGGAACGATGATACCTCCCGAAGCGCACCAACCATCGACAATCGGGGTGTGCTGCGGCGACATCTGGAGACCTTCAAGCCTGAGAAGATTCTAACCCTCTTCTCGACACCGCGGTCTGCGCTCTCGACCACTCTTGTCTTATTCCTATGGTGCTCCATCGGCATGGCGTTTCCGCTGTACAACTCATTTATTCCTATCTTTCTGGAGAACAAGGGGGCGAGCCAGGGCGACTCCTCGCTGTCGACCACGTACCGCAACTACGCGATCCAAGCCGTGTGCGGTATCCCGGCGTCGATCCTCGGCGGTTTCATGGTCGACATGAGACGCATCGGTCGGAAAGGCACCGGGACGTTCGCCTGCCTCGGAACAGGAGTATTCTTGTTTCTCTTCACGAAAGCGACCACACCGGCTGGGGTCACGGGCTTCACATGCGCCATCGCCTTCTTCCAGAACCTCGTCTACGGGCTTCTCTACTCGTATACCCCAGAGCTATTTCCTGCGCCGGTTCGAGGTTCCGCGAATGGCCTTGTGGCTTTGTTCAATCGCATGAGCGGGCTGATGGCGCCCATCATTGCGGCGTATGTTGGGATTGATACCGACTTGCCGGTGTGGATCTCTGCTGCGTTGTTTGTGGTTGCCGGGTTTGTGTTTCTGGTGTTGCCGTACGAGACTCGCGGTAGGGCGGCAGCATGAGTGCGATAACAAGAGGTCAGGTGTCTTTTTGGTCAGAACATTCATATTGTGACGATTGTAGGACGGAAAGCCGTTCTGCAAGGTTCATCGTCGGCCGGTCTCAAATCGCAGGCTACCAACATACTCATGAGCCGCTCACTGGGGCCCACGACTACAGCCAATCAAATACAACTGTGAAACCAGGATGAAATTTTCTCTGCTACTGTTGAATTTTGACGAATGTGAGTATAATATTACTTGAATAGGCGTGGGAAAAACTAATCCAGTAATACCAAGAAGTTGAGTGAAGTCGGAATTGAGATTGAGGAGCACTGCGGGGGTTAAAGCTTCACACCAACACTCCTGCAAGGGTCACAAAACAAAGCGGAGCAGCCTGTTTAGAAGCAGTCAATTGAAATGTCAGGGTTCCATAGCACTAATACAAATAACCGGGATACCCCCCTCTCACTCGAAGGCTTTCTTCCCTCTTCATGTCACCCAACATCTGCCACCGTCGACCTCTCACGTCTGCGTCTCGACAAACAGTACTCAATGGCTACTAGTAACGGGGCTGACAGAACCTCGCTCGAGGATTTCGCCTACAACCAACATGAACTCGTCTCGCTCATCAAGAGATACTACGAGCTCCTCGTGGAGATGGCATACTTCGAGACAGAAGATGTCCGTTGGCCTCACGAGCCAGCAGGGTGGTCCGATTCTGAACTCGACGTGGACTCGCTTCGCTTGCTGGGTCGCAACGAGACGGTGATCGACTTGCTACGACATCTCCCGTATCCACGCGAAGACCGCACCGAGATTCACAGCTGGGCCATGGCTATATCCTATTTACGCGAGCACTGGCGACCCGAGGAGTACGGTCAGCCCGGATGGCACCAGAAGGACCTATGCATGCTCGGATTGGCTCCCTACGATGGGCATACGCCCCCGAATTTCATTTGTCTCACGCAGGACGGGTCGACGGTAGGCATCTGGTGGGTTATCGATACACAGCGAGGTCAGATCCCTAGCCCTCTATTCTGTGCCTGTTCATTGACATTTTCTCTCGATTCTTCAGGATGCATCTACCCACACGGAGGTTCTTACATGCTATTCGGAGACGAGCCTCCCGAGGCAGAGGAGCAATGGTGGCTTCATGCGAAAGCTGTGACATTTGCCGAATTCTTCAACAAAGTCATCAACGACTTGTCGTCATTGGAACTCGTCCCTCTGCCAGCAACCGAAAATCACCCAGCAGGGGTCGCCAATCATCAGAGGGAGGATGCACAAGTGAGTTTCTCCAGCGGCCATTGGCAGTCACCACCGGCCTGTGCAAAATCTTGCGGATCTCCTAACGTATTGTAGGCTATGAGAGATTTGTACAGAGAGTATGGTTGGCCGCACGCTTTTCGCAGAGAAGAGTTTCGTCAAGCTGCAGTTCCCGCTCGTCTGACTGCTTTACGCGAGATGTTTCCCCACTCGGACTCGGAGATGGACCCGGCTGAGATAGAGGCACTGGAGAATGAGGCTCGCGAATCCGGACACCAGTGATATCTTGTTACTCAAAGTTAGATATACGCTGATATACATCTTCTTCCGAGTCCGAGCCACTGCTCACTCAACTCGTAGCAATACAATAAAAGTAGTTCGGCCATATCTGTGTCCCGCAGTTCTCCCCTTGAGGCCCGAGTACCGGGTTCAAGGCAAACAGCACCGACATGTCAATACCGTTGTCGTTCGCGAGCTGCCAGCAAGACGCTCCAGCCAGAGCCTGGACGAACTTGGAGCAGTTCGCGGGGATTCCGGCCTGCGTCGCTGTCGGCTTCGCTGGAGCAGTCGTCGTTGCTGGCGGTGCCGCCGCACTCGTTGGTGAACCTCCAGATTCAGAGGAGACCCCGACGCAGTAGTAGTAGTCCGGCCAGATCTTGGTGCCACAATTCTCACCAGCAGCACCGAGGACTGGGTTGTACTGATAAAAGAGCGAGGTATCGATGCCCGCGTCTGTAGCGAGCTGCCAGCAACCACTGCCCGAAACGGCCTGGACCCATTTGTTGCAGGTGGAAATGGTTCCTTCGTGCTGGGGCGTTGGCTTAGGTACAGATGGAGATGTCGAGGTCGCGGCGGGAGCGCTCTGCGTAGTCGTGGGGTTCGGGGTGCCAGTGCCGTCTCCTTTGGTCCCGACGCAGTAGTAATAGCCAAGCCAGATCTGTGAGGTGCAGTGTTCTCCGCTTGCACCGAGGACCGGGTTCAGCTCGAAGAGTCGGTTCTGGGTGATTTGGGCGTCGTTTGCAATCTTCCAGCACGACGCTGTGGTGATCTCTGCCTTGATATAACGGCTGCAGTCGGCCGCGATGCCCTCCTGGACGCGGTCTGCTGGGACAGTGGAAGGATCATCAATGATGGGGAGAAGTTCAGTGCTGCCAGGTCCGCCTCGAATTGGCCCGTTGCTGTTCTCGGGTAGATCTTCATCAGCGGGCTTGACCCAAGAACCACCAGGTCGCCTGATAAGAGCAGAAGCGTTAGTTATGAGCCCGGTTATCTCGAGACATCCATGTACTCACGAAATACATATGTACTGGCTTTCGGTCAGGAAGTCGCACGCGCCCATAATGTTTGGATTCCACGACATGAGTTGCGTGACAGTGACGGGCTGCGTCGTGTTCGAGATGGCGTCAGCAATGGATGTGCTGTAGGGAAAGTCCGATGTCAGCAGTCCAAAATCTGAACATGAACATCTATTACATCCCGCTCGCACGTACGTACCATGTATCACCGGCGTTGACTCGTAGAAGCTCGCAGGCTTCAGGCACGCAGACAAAGTCAAATGAGTAGCAGTCCTCAGCGTTTGTCTCAAACATGAGCTGACCCGTCGCCACATTGTACGTCTCGGCCAGGACGTTGCAAGCATCGATGCCCTCTCCGCTGGCAGGCCGGACGTCAACGGCACGTGCTGTGCAGTTGGTCGGCACAAATGGCTCCTGCTCGGGCAGGGGCTCCGCGTTGTTCATGTCAAGCACCTCTTCCGGAAGCTCCACATCAAAACCAGGATGGTCGTCAGGCCCAGGGTTCCAAGGGTCGGTATCAACTTCTGGGGTACTGGTAGGCTCAGGAGCAGTCTCGTTGAACTCAGAAGCAAAAGGGTACACTGCAACAGCACGCGTTGCCAAAGGTCCCACGCTTGTCTGGCAGACTGACTGGATGTCTTGGAACTCGGCTACTAGGTAGTCGGAATGGTCAGTGTTTGGGAGGAACTCGGAGGTGACTCTGCGGTAAAGCAAGTTCAAGAAGCACTCTGAGCAGAGGAGATCGTCCTCGTACAAGCTCGAGATGCGACTATTCTCACTAGATACGTTGGCGGGGTTGATGCACCAGGGGTCGGTTGGGTTCGCAGCGCAGTCGACTTGCACGACATCCGAACCGGTCCAGTTGTAAGAGTGAGGTAGACACCACTGCTCCTTTGTGTCTCGCAAACAGGCAATTTCCATGCCCTCTACAAACCGTAGGCTCAAGGTCTCGGCCGGAACAGCACGGTCACCCACGACAAGCCAGTCCCCTGAGCAGGCGGAGGATACGGCTTCCGTCCAGGAACGGGCACTTGATGTGCAATCGGGAACGCACAACGTGGCGGCATCTTGTTCGGTCCAATAAATATCGTCAACGTTGACAGTCCACTTGAAAATATCTTCGTCGCAAGGGAGTGTTGTGTTCCTAGTGTTTGAATATGGAAGCGTCAGTCTGGAAGACTTCTTGCGCAATGGATGATAGAAGGTCTCTGTCGAAAAAGCACTCACAAAGCCGCGAGACAGGTTTCGCTGATACCTAGCATCTCTGCCATAGGCTGGGATTGAATGAGCGGATACAGTTGGAAACCCAACTTGCCTAGGGCCACGGGCAAGAATGCCACACAGGCAAGAACATGATGAGAAGACAACATGGCCGCAAACAAAAGAGTGTAGTTTGCGAGCTATGATGGGGTGCAACTCATCTCCAACGCCGTATCCGAGCTGAATGATAGTCCTTTTATGAGCATGTCAACGAGGACAGCTATCTAGCAGTGAAAAGTCTCCGCCCATTCAGTTGGACTAACAAGATTCATGTCCAAAGGGCTAGACGGGCCGGTGTAGTGAACCAAAGTCCCTTTTATGCCGAATGTTGGCGTTTGCCAAATATGGCAGGTGGGTGGCATCGCACATGGATCAGGAACTCAGCGCCGAGGCATTTTTCAGGAGGCTCTTCCAGACTTGATATTTTCAGTCGAACGTGATGAGTATGGCACCACTTTGTCACATTTAACGGAACGGTCCCATGCAGATTTAGACCTGCAGCACATCTTCTTGCATGAAGCCGGGCCCAGCCAATACTATGTACGCGGTTGAGATCCTGATGCGACTCTGTGTTGGTTCGAACCCCGGCGAACATGTCAGGAACGGTGCTTAACCGACTTAACCTAGCGGATCGTTGTGCCTTATTGTTCCATCGCGCTGCAGGGTTTAATCTCGGGGTTGGCGATATTTCGGCCATGAGGCTCCGAGAGGCAACATGGAATCATTGATGCCATGAGCCGATTTTCCCCTATCAATAATGCATTGAACCCCTACCTTCTGCTACCCAAATGACTTGAGCCTCCTTGGCGCATAGCCAAGTCGGACAGCGGCTTGCGAACTTGTTCTGGGTTCAAAGCTCGATACCTTTCTTTTTTGGTACTTGGGCCTGGTGACTTAAGTAGTCATGACCATCCAGACCATGAATAACCTGTTCATGATGTCATTTGCAAGACATTTCTTCCGGTCGTTTGTTGAAACCACGCTCATTTCTGAATCTTTGCCGGCTCCTTCGTAGCCATGCAACTTTCACTCGCTTCTTGGACCTCGTTGGTCCTGTCCATTCTTCCTTGTCAAGTTGTTGCAGAAAATTATTTTGCTCTGAACTCTGCATACGGGCTCTTGACAAACACTATCGCGGCTGAAGATCTTGAACTTCCCGTGGGTACATGCAACGCCAACACCCCTTGCGTGAATGGTGCTTGCTGCAGCGGCGTATGTCTCTACTCTTCTTCCTTTTTTCTGTGACATTGATGCCAGCATCTGAGATGATCTTCAGACTTTTCTAACTTGTGTATCTTCTCCTGAATCAGAAAACTGGCCTTTGTGGGTATTCTCCTGCGGAGTGTGGCGCAGATTGCACTTCAAACTGCCTTGCTAAGGCAGAGTGCGGTCAATACGGAAAGCCTGGTAAACAAAGCTGTCCCCTCGGGGTCTGCTGTTCCAAGTTTGGGTAAGTCCTTGGTACTCGCAGCCAGCCACAAGTGTTTACTGACCGTCTTTCGTATATAGGTTTTGCGGTTCGACATCAGAGTTCTGTGACGCTGAGTGCCAGAAAGACTTCGGTGGCTGCGGCGACGTCAATCGACCCTCGTGCAGCAAAGATGGTGGCAGCATCAACAAGCGATCCATCGGTTACTACGAGTCTTGGGCCAACACCAGAGCTTGCAGTGCTGTCTCGCCAGAGGATCTCAATCTGGATGGCCTAACGCACATCAACTTTGCGTTTGTCTTCTTCGACCCTTCTACGTTCCAGATCATTCCTATGGACCAGAATGCCGGCACTCTGCTACACCGCTTCACCAAGCTCAAGGAGAAGCGAGCAGGCTTGGAGACTTGGGTCAGCGTTGGTGGCTGGTCGTTCAACGATCGTAAGTGGCTTTCATGTGTTGATGCACTCGCACATGCGATTGGGAAACTTCGAACGCCCAAGCTTTCTTTGGCATGATCTGATTGAAGAAACACGTTATAACATTGTTTTTAAAACAGCCGGCCCATACCAAAAAGCTTTCAGCACCATGGCTTCGACCGCTGCCAACAGGAAAATGTTTATCGACGGCCTGATCAAGTTCATGGACACATACGGCTTCACGGGCATGGATTTGGACTGGGAATATCCAACAGCCGGTAAGCTGATCTTCCAAATGCCTTCTTCATTCGTTATTTCAGTGACTTACATAGTAACAAAAACACAGAGGACAGAGGTGGCGCCGCAGACGACACTGCCAACTTCGTTCTTCTCTGCAAGGACATCAAGCAGGCGTTCGGCACGAAATACGGATACTCGATCACTCTTCCAGCTTCATACTGGTATCTTCAGCACTTTGATCTCGCAGGAATGCAGCCCTACGTCGATTGGTTCAACATCATGTCTTATGACATTCACGGCGTGTGGGATGCCGCTTCGAAATTCGTCGGCCCGTACGTAGCTCCACACACTAACCTCACGGAGATTGATCTCGGCCTGGATCTACTTTGGCGTGCCGGTCTCAAACCAGAAAAGGTCGTTCTTGGTCAAGGATGTAAGCATTCAGGCTCTCGACGCCATTGTTGAGGCTCCGTGTTATGTGCTCAAACATCTAACGTGGAGAATGAAACTAGACTATGGCCGATCCTTCACCCTCAAGGACTCCAGCTGCAGCAAGCCCAACGGCGTTTGTCAGTTTTCGGGCGGCGCAAAAGAGGGACCTTGTTCCAAAGCGTCTGGTATTCTGACCCTGCAAGAAATTTTCGACATCATTGAGGAGAAGGCTCTGTCGCCCGTCTTGGACGAGACAGCGGGTGTCAAGTGTAAGCAAAACGCTCCGCTCTCTACTTACACATGGGGGTTCTAATCTGATTATGATTGTAATAGGGATTCATTGGGATAACGATCGATGGGTGTCATATGACGACGCTGAGACTCTTATGATGAAGAAGGCATTTGCAAACTCTCGATGCTTAGGTGAGCGAACTTCTGGGTGTTTTGCATGGCATGGACACGCGTACCATACCTATTGCGAAGAATCAGGCTAATCATCTCAGGTGGATCCATGATCTGGGCGTTGGACCAGGTCGACCAGAAAAGCAAGAGCTTGCAATACCCGGAAGATTGGACGGAGGAAGAGATCTCCATGTCTGAAGATTTGATCTCGGATGAAAGCGTCAAGGGCGTTTGCTACACGACCAAGTGCGGCGAGACTTGTCGAAAGGGTGATCATGAAGCAGCCCAGATGAACGGACAACCTGGTTCTCTGTCGACAATGGACCGGTGCCCCAAGGATAAGTTCCGACGACTTTGCTGCAACAAGGGCACCACCATGGGCAAGTGCCGCTGGAGAGGATATCGAGGTCTCGGTTTGTCATGTATGGGTGGATGTGCCGATCTTGAGACCCAAGTCACGCAGAACACCAATCATCATAGTGACAAGGAGGACCAGACTTGTAGTGGAGGACTCCAGAGCTTTTGCTGTGCTGGCTTCATGCCACCTATCAGCAAGGAACAAGTGCAGAAGAAGATCAAGGACGAAGCAGCTGATGCTGCCATTGCTGCTGCGGAAGCCTTGGCTCTTGAGATTGCTGCGAGGGCGTTCTGTCGAATCGCCATTACCGCGGCTCTCACACCCCTCACTTTCATACCTGTCATCGGTGAGTATTTGACGCTGCCTATAGGCAGCACTTTTCGCTCGAGACGAGGCGCCTCGACTCCCGCTTCCCCGAGTACTGCTAACAATAATCCTAGGCTGGATCATCCGTCTCGCTGTACAAGCTGCCGTCCCTGCTCTGGCCAATCTCTGCGCCAAGGGAATTGCCAAAGCAGGCAAGTCGGTCTTCAAGTTCCAAGGCAAAGACTACGACGTGAAGCTCGACAAGCCTCTCACGAAGAAGACCGATCGCGGCGATCGAGGCAAGTCCGACAAGCCAGACGAAAAGGCTGGTCACTGCGACCGTGCCAATAAGAATCTTGCCAAGCGGCAGCTCCGCGATAACAAAAAGACGGTGACCAAGACGATTCCTGTGCGCCAGACTGTGGTCAAGGTGTGCAACGGCAATCGGTATCCTCAGGCGTGTCTTCATTATTCGTCCGTTGTCTCGAGAAACGCTTTGGATCTCATACCTTGCGTAGAGAAGGGCGCAGAGCCGAAACGTCCCGTTGTCATAAAGTACGACGGGGACCATCACACTAAATGGATGAAAGGGTGGATGCAGCAGGCCAACTTGAACTGTCAGAGGGACGAGTTTCCCCCAGCTTCTGTCTGGCAGGACCGGGACATGAATCAATGGATCCGCCTCATCCCCGGAAGCGAGAACATTTCCGCTGGTCAGCTGTTCAGGGGCGTCTGCCCAGACAAGTATAAGAAGTCACCAGAGGAAGGGCTACGAGAACTACCCCCGACACCCCCCAAGCAAGGCGACTGTCGCAAATATCGCAATTTCGAGGTGACTGTCACCGCGACAAGAAATTACCTCAAGATGAAGTTCATCAACATGCCGAACCTCCCCGACGACGGAATCCCCGCCAACCCTTGCTATCCTAAGATTCTCGTCGACGACCCAGGCTTTGCCCTCTTGATCGACGACGCCTGGTACAGGGAGAATCCGTCAAAGGGGGGGTGGAGGCGTCTGTACAAGAACCAGCCGAGTCCGAACGTCATTGGAGACAAGGTTTCCCGACCAGGTTATGAGAAGAGAGACTATGGAGATGCCGACGACTTCACAGCTGGTGGGTTTGATCCTGACCAGGTGTTGGTTGAGGAAGGCAACTCCACCCGCAAGGCAACCGACGATGAGTTGCTTAACGAACTAGGCTTCTTGCGATGTGAGAACGGCGACTGCAGTAGTAAGCTGGAGGAGTTGGGGATCCATTCTGCGCCGTACGTCGGTCTCACTCCGACTGTGCTCCCTTCTGTTTCTGCGTTTGCCACGGTTGTGGATGCAGTGCCTACGTCGCTTGCCAACGCGTTGGACTCGGCAACTGCGATACAAGAAGAGATCAGGGCTTTGGTCACTCCGCCTGCAAAGCTCGAGTAAACAAGCGCATGCAGAGTATGATCGCGGGTGTCAGTACCGGGGCGGGGGCCATGGTCATACGATGAGAGGGTTTTTGGGGTTCGGTCCGTACTCATTCTTGCATATAGTCAATTGTTGCTTCATTTGTGATAAAATGTCTTCGCTCATCTAGTTGCGGGTGCACTCATTCACGTTCTCGTCGGGTACTCAATTGGTTAGCGCTCACAGTCTGTGTCTCTTTTGAGGAGTATCTAATTTGGATGACAGTTGGATGATCCCATCATTTCTTCTGTCCCGCTCTCTGTCTATGAGCTATTCTATATGTTTTGTGCTGTATCATTAAGAGAATTTTGCTGTTGAGCGGTTCTTCATATGGTGTTGCTAGCTCTATCACAGCACACGGGACTCAGATTGTGAAATGAAAGTGAGGTCTTGGTTCAACTCCACGATCCAGCTTGGACCCTGGAGCACTTAAGTTCCATGCAATATGATAGAAGCTTTGACTACGGGAGGTAACATGTCGCTAGCGCCAATTCTCAATGGTCGGTTTTCATTTTAAAGTGCGCAACAAGCTCAAGACTTATAAGCCCCTCACGGACCTTGCTGCGGAGATCTTGAAACGCTTGCTTGAAACATCACGAACACCAACCCGGGGCCCTCCCGAGTCTTTAACCCATTCCTCGGGAGGGACATCAGATCTTCTACTGTTCTCATTCCATCAATCACAGTTCACGTCCTTTTCATCATGAGATTGTACGTAGTGCTCGCCTCATGGGCCTCTCTCGCCCTCGCCGGCAGACAAGGCCTCAAAGCTCAAGTTCCGATCCTCGATCTGTGTGCGGCCAGCCCGCTGTTCCCCGACTACCAGCTCGCCTGTGGCAAAGGCTCCGTCTGGGCCGCGGACTCGGGCATTCCACATGGCATCGCCAACAATCGGACCAGTAAGCCGCCAAAGAAAGAAATCTGGCGTTCGGACGAAGGGTGGCATGGCCCTCACTCTTGCGCCGGGGCGTACTGCGCGTATTCGCGACCGTCGTTCGCCAACGGCCGCGGTATCGTACTCGTGAGCACGGCGTTCAATGCCGAGGAGGCCTCGCACCTGTCCGCTTTCACCCAGCCGTCGAATGATAAGGACCAGGGCGACAGCGGCCTCTTCAAGGTCGTTGAGATGCCCGGGAAAGGGCTCGGTCTCGTCGCGAACCAACACATCAAGCGTGGTCAGCGCATCATGGCTCATCCTCCGGCGGTCGTGATTCATCGGCGGTTCATCGACAAGGTGGACCTTGAGAATCAGTACAGGCTTTTAGATATCGCCGTCGCTGAACTGCCTGAGCCAACGCGCAAGATCTTCATGGAGCAGATGGGGCAGTCTGGCGGACACAAGGTGCACGACATCATTCACACCAACTCATTTGAAGTGAGGCTGGGAATTAGAGACGGTCATCACTTCGGAAACTATCCTGAGGTTTCGCGGTTTAATCATGACTGCAGGCCAAAGTGAGTATCACCAGGATCCGAAACTGTTGACAAGACATGTCTGACATAGTACAGCGTTGCGTTCTATATTGACTCGGACCTCCGCCACTACACCCATGCTGTGAGAGACATCAAGCCCGGCGAAGAGCTCACCATCAGCTACGTTGACTCTCTCAGCTCTCGAAAGGTCCGCCAAGATCGGGCACATCGCAACTGGGGCTTCGGCTGCACCTGTGAGCAGTGCAGCCTTCCGCCGCCACTGGTCCGCGACTCGGACAACCGTCTGTGGAAGATGTGGCAGATAGAGCAAGACCTCAGTAACTGGAACTCGGTCAACTTCGACGAAGACATGATTGAGACCCTCATAAGCCTCTACCAGCAGGAGAATCTTCACGAATCCAACGGTTACGAGGCTTACAAGTTAGCTGCTTTGAATTACAACGCGCTGAAGAAGCAAGAGAAGGCAGTAGAATATGCGAAGCAGGCCATTGAGCAGTTGCTGTTGGAGAAGGGGCCACAGGCAAAGGATCTTATCGACATGAGGGCGCTTTCACAGGAGCCGACCAGGCATTGGAGCTGGGGGAAACGAACTTGAGAAATGATCAGAATGTTAACGTCGGTGTAACCTGGAATGAGTTTAGCTTTAGCAGTCAGTACGGAATGGAGTCAGCGTTTATGTTTCATGACGTTAAGAAGTTAGTTCACTGATCTTGGTTTGTCTAAGTGAAGTGCTCATGAGCACCTTTTCAACTCCGCTAAGGTATAGAAGCTGTCCCGTCGTCAGCAATCCATGGATGTGAAAGCTGATGGGATGGCCGAAACTGGAAGGCAGCCAAGGGCGAACAAATGTGACTTGCCGATACCGCGACTTTGAGATTGCCTCACAGATCCCATGAACTTGACCTCTCATTGGCGTTTTCGTTCCTTGCTGTACCTCCCAAGTTCCCCTCAGTCGTTCGACAGGGGGTCGGCAACGTGGTCACTAGCAAGGGTGTCCCTGGCGACATCATTCACATACGTTTAATACCAGCAGGTTTCCCTCCTTCACGTAGCATCTGTCAAAGTAAATACAACGAAGAGCACATGTGCATCATGAATTCTTGGGAATCGAGGTTTTCAGCTGTTTCTCTCTCATTGGCGATCGAGTATTATACAAACCAAGCCATCATACAATGTCTCAACCGCGGATTATGAAGGTAGGGGACCAACACCTCCTCGACCCCGAGCAACTCAACAGCCAGTTCCGCGACACCATGAACAAACTCACCCACGAACGGGGCTTCGTCGTGGTACGCACAGCATACGCGGCAGACGACGACGCGGACGCGACAGAATGGTCAGCCGCCCTCCAGAAACTGCGCGCCTGGGCATGTCCCACTGACGACAACGCCGAGATGGACCCGGACACCTTCGCTCTGCCTGTCATAGCCGATCGTGAAACCCTCAACGGCCTCGACTACACTGCCGTCCGCCGCGCGTTTGCCGGCTGGGTGGAGTCATATCTACGACGGACACTCGCGGATGACGACGAAGATGACCCCTGGCCGTCGGACGTAAGACATGACGTGTGCATTGTCGCTGACGGCTCCGCGCTCGCCTCCTTGCGAAATGCACCGGAAAGGCCAAGTGCTGAGTTTATGGATAGGGGGCCATGGGTTGTTGTTCTAGATGCTCAGGACCCGGCCAACGCCCCTTATCGTGGCGGAGGTCCTTACCAAGGTTGGATGCGAGCTGAAGCCAGAGCGCTGAGCCAGCTGGCTGAGGATTTGGATGACAGGACACTGGCTGGAGGACTATGTCCGGTTCGCGAATACGGAGGCCAGATCCCTCTTTACGACGGAACTCCGGCCGGCCGACTTGTTGATCCGCCGGGAGGTGTTGCTGGGAGATATAGGTTCCCTCGTGGGACTCCGAGGGGCGTGGACGGCGCTCAATCCATGCTGGCCGAGATCCAACGGGCCAACGGCGGATTGTAACCAACGAAGAATCAGATGGGAATTGTGAGATACTGAATAAATGGACGTTTTGTGAGTTAGTCGTCTCACTTTTAGTGGTACCTATCTTGCGTCGAGAATACTGAGAATCTGATCCTCTGCGAGTCCTTCCAAACCTGTGCCGCTTCCACGCATATTACCAACCCTTCACGACAGCCCTACATATCAAAACCCCTGCGCAAACGATCCCTCTGCACGTGGCAATCTGTTGGTTTGTTGGTATCAAATCAAATGCAATTCCCACAACAACCTCGTCCCTTAGCATGCATATAACCAATCAACTTAGACACGCGAGCAACCATACGAGTGGGTGACATAAGAGACATAAGACATATTCCAAGCTCCTGGGCCTTCAAACCTTTGACAAGTTCTTCTGCCGCTCAGACGCAAGCACCCACATATCCCTATGCGCAAAGATGCCAGCGAAGTTGGTCTCTTTCCACGGAGTATCGGGCTTGGCAAGACACCAGTCGAAGTTGCGCATCAACTACATCAAAGTCAGCGATAACTCAATCAGAAGCACGCGTGCTACTTTACCTCAAAGACGGTCTTGTTGATCTCCATCATGGCGATGGGCCTACCCAGACACTGGTACTTGCCATACCCGAACACGAGCTCATGCACCTTGTTCATGGTAGCCAGCTTGGCCTCGTCCGTCTCCAGAAGCCAGCGCTCCGGACGAAACTCGTCGGCATCTTCGCCAAACACCGCCTTGCTCAGATGCAGAGGCCACACGGCGTAGTTGACGTTGGTGCCTCCGGGGAGGAAGACGGCCTTGCCGTCAATCACGACCGTGTCGCCTCCGTCCGGGACGCGCTTGGGAACGGAATCGGTGACGGGCGGATGGACGCGCATACCCTCCTTGATCACCGCCTGCAGGTACTCCATCTTCCTGGTCTCGACGTCCGAGATGATACCCGACGCCGTGGAGACCTGCTCGGTGGCGTGGAAGGCGTCGACCTCGGCCTGGAGCTTGGCGTACACACGCGGGTGTGTGAGCAGGTACAGCATCACGACTCGCAGCGAGGCCGCCGTGGTGTCGGACCCCGCGATCATCTGCAGCGTCGTCTCGGTCAGCATCTCCTCCTCGGTCAGGCCGTGCTTGATGAAGGAGGCGATCATGTCCGACTGCTTCTCGGCGTTGCGCGCGAGACGCTCTTTGATGATGGCGCGGCCGTTGGCGATCATCCTCCCGTAACCCGAGGGGTCCGTCTCTTTGGGACCCAGGTAGGGAGAGACGAGGGGGTGTTGGACGAGCTTGTATAGCCCGAAGGCGATGACGAAGGTGAATGCCATGAGGCCGTCTTCGGCGGCTTTAGCAACGTCGTTGGTGTCCGCGTCGGCGAGCACGTCGCCGAAGGGAGCCCCGAAGGCGACGTCGCTTATGACATCAAGCGTGAGAAACTGGACTTTCTGGGAGAGGTCCATTGGTTTCGCCGACGCTTCTGTTGAGAGGTATTTTGAACGGATGAGATGGAGCAGCTCAGCCACATGGGTGTCGATTGAGGCCTCTAGTGCCAGGTTTTCTTTTCCGGAGTACTACAATGACATCCAGTCAATATTTGGTGCAATCTAACCGACGGTACCAACAGGAAGCGAGAGAAAATGAATGGAATCAACTTACACCAGCTGCCATCCGAGATCTCAACTGCTTATGCTTCTCCTCGTCCATCTCGCTGAAAACATGGTCCTTGTCAGGCCGGTGTCGACAAGCGCGGTAGAACCACTCGGTCTTGGTATAAGACGAGCGGATAGCACTCATGTGCAAAAGAAGCTCCGGTGAAGAAGTGACCAGATCATTGGGTCCAACCCGGGCAATTGGTCCTAACGGTGTGTGAGCCCAGCACGGCGGTGGGAGAAAAAAGAAAGCATGAGTTACGTACCGTACTTCCTGCAAACCTCGTCATATTTCAAATGCGACTTGAAGCTCAAGATGGCAAAGGAATGCCACATCTCGAACCAGCCGGTACTGAAGGGCCCTCGGAAAGCCTTGAGGCGATTATACGTCTTGATCTTCTTGCCCACGTAGACAGTAAGCAAGACCCCGACGACAACCCACCGAAAGCCGTACAACTGGGCGAGGAGCGTCATGACTGCCGGCCGTAATTTTTTTTCGCAATGAGACACCAAGCAACGAGGGTGCATAAGAGACAGGAAGCACTGCTGCGTCCTGGGGCCATGGACTCGGGTCGTCACCCCCTACTTGTAATCCCCGTCGCCTACATATTACCATGCCGTGCTCCGAGAGGTGATAACTGAGTGGGAGGAGGCGTTCTCATCACATTTGTGGCTTTTCCGCCCCAATGCCACCCGATACCACTCTCGTGGCATCTGCATGCGGACCACGCCTCGCTTTTCCCGCTAGTCGGGGGTGGAAAACGCGCCATCACACCGGATAGTCCTCCACCATTGCCCGTTGACACCGTGTCGTGCGAGGCCAGAACCCCAGGCCTGTCAAACATGTCAGGACATGCGCACTTTTGTGGTGATGGCGAGAAGGCAGGGCGACTGGGACTGGAACCGGGACACCGCCGGATGCAGCCAAGTGGACGACGGGACAGCGCACTCGAGGGCGAGCGAGAGGTCGCATTTCCCAGATTTTCTAGTTGCGTTAGTCGGGTCGGTACGACGTGCAGTGCATTGCAGGCCGCATGAGATTCACCCAATAGTCGCCGGTATGATTTAGTGCGAAAAAAAAAGGGAACCTCTCTTGGGCCAGCTGCTTACGGGACTAAGAGGCGGGACTAATGCACGGAATCGGCATCACCAGCTCAGCGGGGAGGAGGGGGATATGGAAGCAAAAGTGCCTGATGCTCGTTCGCCTTCGCATTCTCTTGGGAAGAGGAGTTGTCACGGTCGTGCTTGGCGGGAGGGCTCGGTGTGGTGGCTGAGAGAGAGTTACAAGCACCTACCGGAAGATCAGCAGACAAGCCGAGACCGGGGCGTCGGCAACCATTGTGAGAGACAATGGATTGTCCTCGTTCTGGCTCGGTATGCGGGTGTTCTGAACATCAGACTGCAACATTCTGGATGTCCATACCTAGTGAGGGGTGTTTCAGTCAACTTACCATCACCGACTCACCGACTGCACGCACAGCCAGGGGTAAAATCCTAGAGTGCATAAGCTCATGGCGCTATTAGGAAGACGGAGAAGGCATCACAGCGAATTGCGGTTTCCAGAAAGATTTGCAACATAGTATGCATTAGGTCATTCTATTTTCGTAGTAATCCTGTAATCATCTGTCATTCCTTTCCCATTTCCAGTTTCCCATGTCCCATCATGCGCGCCTAGGTGCCTTGAAACGCCGACGACTCCGAATATCCAAGTACGTGTTTACTCCTCGTCAGCCTCAACGGCCGAAACGGGGGCAGGGGTGTTGGCAGTCGGAATCATCGCGACAGGGACAGCCGGGGCAGGGGCCGGGGCAGCAGCGGGGACAGCAGCCGGAGCAGCGGCAGGCTGTCCAGCCTCAGGCCAGGGCTGCTCGGCGGCGGGTTGCTCGGCGGCAGGCTGCGCTGCAGGAGCAGCGGGCGCGGCTGGAGCGGCAGGAGCGGCAGCCGGATCAGCGGGTGCTGCGGCGGGGGGAGCAGGAGCAGCCGCCGGGGGAGCCGGAGCAGGAGCAGCGGCGGGAGGGGCAGCAGCAGGAGGAGCCGGGACCGCAGCGGGAGGAACAGGGACCACCGCGGCAGGGGGAGTAGCCGGAAGGTTACCCTGAGCAGGAAGAGGAGCGACCGATCCTGCAGCGGGAATGACGATTCCCGGGGCAGGTGAAGGAGCCGGAGCAGCAGGAGCCGGAGCAGGAGCCGCAGCCGGAGCAGTAGCAGGGACTACGGCGACAGGGACTGCCTGGACGCCGGGCTGGGCATAAGCGGCGATGCCACTGTCGAGAACGCTCTCAATCTGAACTCTATCCTCCTCGGCGATTCTCTGTCCGATTCTGGGGACCTTCTCCTCAAGAGCAGCAGCAAGGGCCATGGTAGAAATCTTCTGTCGCTGAAGGGAGTCCAAGGCGACGTTGCTCACGCCAAGGTTGTCAAGCACAGGCTTCCGGGAGACCAGATCATTGACAGTGGTGGTCGTCTGATCAGTCAGGCCACCCGTAATGCGGCGAAGTCTGGCAGCTCTGATGGCACCCAGGCTGCCAGATTGCTGAATCTGGAAGGTAGCCTGGTTGGTAGTGGCCTCGGTTTGCTGAGCAAGGACGAGGAGGTTGTTGGCAGTGACCGGGCCGCCATCGAGAGCAAGGACGGCAGCATCAACCTGGGCCAGAGACTGAGAAACGGGAGCCAGAGCAGACTCGATGTCGTCAAGGTTATCACGGGCCTGGATCGGAGCGGCGGCGATGATGACCGACTGGCTCAGGAGAGCAATGACCAGGGGAAGGGTGAACATTGTGAAGGTAGGATGGCAGACGAAGGGTCTTGAGAGTTTGTGAAGATAAAGCGTAGCTTTTGAAGTAATCAAGCTTCTGACCTTGTTTTCCTTGTCTGATGCTCCAAAAGAAAAGCTTCTGTCGTCGGGAGATCGAATGGGTTTATATTAAGCTTCTTTTGAGCCGTCTCTGTCTGTGGGAGAAGAAGCTTGGATCACAAACAGGACTTTGATCGAGTAGTTGCGGCATCGTTGACTCCTGTCAAAGTCGGCAGGTGGACCGTGAGACACTTCCGTAGACCAGATGTGATGATAGCTCTCCATTCTGCAGCTACATGGTGAAGGTGGGTGTCGAGGGGAGAGCCTGGGCTCTCGCAAGCGTGCGTCCCCGACGCAAGAACGCCCTGAAGCGCAGCCTGTCGGGGTCTGTGTTGATGTCCGTGTCTCTCGGCCGGGAGGTATTCGCATGTGTCTCTGCCCACTTTTGACAGTCTGGTAGTACTCAACAGGCCAGCAGCCGTTCATCGGCTCCCGGCGGGGGAACAGACTTGCGTATTCGGGAGACTTGATCTGTGCGAGGAGCTCCCCGCAGCTAACGTAGGCAAGCTGCCGATGCATCAGAGATGCGGCCCTAGCGGAGTGCGGGAAAGGCTGCAGGTTTGCTGAAACGAATCGTTCCTACTTGGTAGATGTAGCCAGCATCGTCGGCAGCAGGCCAGACATCGGGGAGACCCCAAGGAGAAGTGACCCGGAGACAGCTGTCATACGCTAAACTTTTGGACGAACGGCGAGAGCCCAGTCGATGAAGAGTTGAGATGACACAGCCGGGGACGCAATCTGGGAGCTTGGGCGCGTTTCGAAGATGCACGATCATTTTGAAGGGACTTGGAAATGAAGATGTTGTCTCAGCGGCTGGGTAAGAGTCCGGGCTCAGCTGCAACTCCAGGGCATTGGCAAGTTGCTGCAGGTGACCATTCGTCAACTCTATCTCGCGGACGTCGTGCAGTGCATCGATGGCAGTCTGAGCTTCACGACGCTCTCGGCACGTCCCCGCAGACTGCATCAATGAGGCTCCATTGGGTGTGAGGCTCATTGGAATCCAGAAATTAGGTGTTTGCGTGCTTGTTGCCATCGCCAAGGCCCTTTCCCGTTGGTTGTCGAGTTCACAGGTCTGTTGACAGCATGTAAGTCAGACAGCCATGACCACCTCAGACAGATCGGATTGTGATAGTTACCTTGACAGCTAAGAGAAGGAAGATTTGGCCGATAGTGTCTCCACTTGATGATAGTTCTTCCCATGTCGTTGAAGGATTCAAGGGACCTTTTGACGTTGCTGAAATAAACCTTGAGGTTATTTCTGTCTGCCTATAAGGATGATATTTCCCTTTCGCCTCCTGCAGGAATTACAAATGGCTGGATCTGCAGAAACACTGCACAAGTAATGCTGCCGTATGCAAATGCACGAATGACGCAGAAAGCTCACCATGCAGCAACCGCCAATACACGGTATCGGTGAGCTTCCTAAACGGGGACCGAAAGAGTCCACGTCGTCAGCAACAATCCACGCGGAAAGCTCGACGACGCCAACCAAGACGTGGACAATAATTAGTGAGTCAGACCGAATAGCTTCGGCTCCGGGCCCACTCGTAAGATCGGTTCCAGTGGAACCATCCCGAACACCCCACTTCTCCAGGTGGCGGGCTTACGAGGTCCGTAAGCTGTGGAACAAACATCGAAGTACTTGTAGGATCGCATGCGCGCGCAAATTGGAAGCCCAACCCAGTATTGTCACCAACTCAAGATAAAACAATCGTCCAGAGATATTATCGTCTTGCAGCTGTCATGCCCATCGAAGTCCAGCCGATTGTTGCAGCCGATCTCCGGCGTTGCGCCGAGATTGAGCAGCGGGCGTTCGAGGAGAGCCCATCATTCAAGATCCTGTTTCCCGGACCCCAAGCGGATGATTACTTGGGAATCCGAGCCAGCGGCCTGGAGAAGGAGCTTCGGGAGGACCCAACCGTGCGCATGCTGAAGGTGGTGGACACAGATCTCGAGGGCGATGAAGCGATCATCGCCTGGTCCAAGTTCAACAGTTATCCGGATGGGCTGCCGGTGCCGAAACCACGTGTGCTCAGTCAAGGCATGAACACGGAGGCGTGCACGATGCTGTTTGTCGGTATGGATAAGATGCGGGAGCGTTTGATGGCAGGCAAGCCGTGTGTCTGTAAGTGCTCCATGCTCCATACTCCATCCGTCAAACAGACTAGCAGCAGTTGACATCTAACGCTGGCTGAAGACTTGCATATCCTGGTGACGGATCCCAAGCACCAGAGACGGGGTGCTGGGCTGCAGTTGATGACTCCGCTGATGCAGGAAGCTGTCCGGTTGGGCGTACCGGCGTTTTTGGAATCATCCAACCCGGGCCACCGACTGTACCAAAAGGCGGGCTTCCATGATGTCGAAGAGCACCGGGTAGACTTCAGCAAGTTCGGAGCTGAGCATCCTCACTTGAACTGGGCCATGCTTTGGGAACTTCCCAGTCGGCGGTGTCCGTGAAGCCGTCACTTGCATTCTCGTTGGCTGAAAGGATTGCGCTCGGGATTGGTTTTCTTGCTCAACGTCGGCGATGTCGAGGAGGGCGATCATGTCGGCGAAGGCTCTAACGCCGATGACCTCATGATCTGGAGGATTATTTGGCCACGAGATGGTGATTTGAGAACCTGGTAGTTGAAATTGCGCGGGAAGAAACATATCCGTAGTTGTTCAGAAGAAACACGAAGGAATATTGACCCAATCGCTCCTTCCCCGATGCGCAAGGACCGCCGTGGAGTGCGAGATAATGGATTCCAACACCGTCCGGCCGCACCAGATTGGCGGCAATCGGACAGTGCGAATGATATCAGAGATAAGCAGCGTCCAAGTGCCAATTGAAGGCGGGGTCTCGGCGCATCAAGTGGTCCCTGCGGAGGTGCCTATTAGGTACCTACGTACCTACGTACCTAAGCAACTAAGGCATGCCGCCTGCAGCCCGCCCTCCGCAGTGGGCTGCAGCGAGCGCGAGATGCTGAAAGTGAACCAAATTGCCCCACCTGCAGTCGCTGGAAATTGATGATGAAATCGACCTCAGCAGAGGCCCGGACCTTCTAGCTAAACTCCGACACAGGAGCGCCTGCCAAATCGTCCATCTCGACATCCTCCCATGGCCGCAACGTTGGGACAGAGCTCCCACTTCACAAAGCTCACAGACCGCCAAAATGTCATACATTGCGCCAATTCATCGGCCCAGCAGCATACGCCATGCGCTGAGGATCCGTCTGTCTGGAGATGAGGATAGCTTGGTGGTATCGTAAGTCCTGCTGCTGGTCTTGCCCCTCCACACTCGGCGCACCTCTATGCCAATCACCCATACACGGCCTTGCCAATTCTCCATTCGCTGACTCTCTCCGTAGGAGATCAAACAGGCTCGAGGTATGGCGGGTTACGCAAGACGACATGTACATGGTCAGCTCCGCTGCACTATACGGAACAATTCTCCTCCTCCAACGCCTCTCCCCGAAAGACCACGAGACGGACCTGCTGTTCGTCGGAACCGACCGATTCCAATACTTCACAGCGAGATGGGACTCGAAAGCACAACGGCTCGTTACCGAGCAGATCATGGAAGACAATGCCGAACCCCACATGCGCGAGGCCCAGAGCCAGGACAAGTGTCTGGTTGACCCGTCAGGCAGGTTCATGGCCATGCACTTATGGGAGGGTGTTATGAACATCATGCGCCTCGGTGCCCGAGCCCCGTACACTTTGCGAGTCGACCCTAGTTGGGAGCATGTACGCCTGTCGGAGCTCTTCATGAAGGCCAGCACATTCGTCCCCACCGAAACAGGCCATCCGACCGTCGCCTTCCTGTACCAGACCAAGATCGACAAGGAGGACGCCAGATTGGCCATATACCGCCTCATGCAAGATGACAACAACGTTAGGGTCTCGAGATTTGACCCAGAAAGGAACAGGGAGTTTGAATTGGAGATCGAGGACCCCTACGCAAGGATCCTAATTCCCGTCAGTATCGAGGAAGACGACGTGAAGCGTTATCACAAGAGAGATACGTCAGCTGCCAGGGCGCAACTTGGTGGCCTCATCGTTGTTGGAGAGACACTGCTGGTTTACGTTGACACTTTGACCAAGACCACTGTTGAGGCTGCCTTGACAAACCCGACAATCTTCGTTGCGTGGGCCGAGTACGATGTCAGGAACTACTTCCTCTCTGACGACTATGGCAATCTGCACCTCTTGACAATTGAGACCGACGGCGTAATAGTCACGGATATGACTGTTACGCTCCTCGGGTTTACCTCTAGAGCGTCGTGCCTAGTATACCTGGGAGACGGCATGTTGTTCTTGGGATCACACTACGGCGATTCGCAGCTCTTAAGGGTCGATGTTGTAGCAGGAACAACGAAACTCGTTCAGACCATTCCCAACATCGCGCCTATTCTTGATTTCTCCATCATGGACCTCGGGAATGCCGGAGACAGTCAAGTAGGCAACGCGTTTTCCTCGGGTCAAGCCCGTATCGTGGCTGGATGCGGTGTCCACCAGAACGGCAGTTTACGCAGTATCAGAAGCAGCGTCGGTCTAGAAGATATGGGCGTCCTAGAGGATTTGAGCAACGTGCGAGGTCTCTTTTCACTGCGGTCGCACGGCTCTGACAAAGTCGATACCCTGGTTATCTCCTTCATCACGGATACGAGAGTCTTCAGATTTGATTCAGGTGACGACATTGAAGAAGTTTTCGACTATCACGGCCTCGCCTTTGACCAGCCGACACTGGTAGCGTCGAGCCTACCCAATGGCCAGCTCCTTCAGGTTACGCCTACCGGGGTGGCACTGCTCGACCCCGAAGGCGGCATCACCGTCAGCACGTGGTCAGTACCAGAAGGCCGCAGCGTCGTCAATGCGTCATCCAACGGCAAATGGGTACTATTGTCCATTGATGGCACGACATTGGTGTCATTGAATATCTTGGAGAATCTGGCGGCTCGGGAGCAAGTGCTGGGCACCGGTATCGGAGGCGCAGGAGACCAGATCTCATGCATTCATGCCGCAAAAGACCTTGAAGATGTTGGTGTGGTGGGATTCTGGTCCAAGGGCTCAGTATCCATCATCGATCTCCAGACTCTTAATGCCCTGCATGGAGAAACGATCAAGCAGACTGACGACAGTGTGTCCGTCCCCCGAGACATTGTTCTGGTGCAGCTTCACCCCGCTCATCTACTGGGTCCTACCCTTTTCGTCTCCATGGAGGATGGGCAGGTCGTGTCATTCAATGTCTCAAGAGAAGACTTCTCGTTGTCAGGCCGGAAAAGTGTCACGCTCGGTAGCAAGCAGGCAGGCTTGCATGTCTTGCCCCGACCTGACAGCGACGGCGTTAGCAACGTCTTTGCTACCACCGAGCATTCGAGTTTGATCTACAGTTCAGAAGGACGCATCATATACTCGGCTGCGACAGCGGAGGATGTCACACACATCGCCCCATTCGATTCAAACGCTTTCCCTGGTGCCATTGTTCTGGCCACCGACAAACATGTTCGCATTGCCCATATTGATGTGGAGAGGAGAACTCACGTAAACCCACTTCCGCTTCGCGAAACGGTGCGCAGGGTTGCTTACTCACCAGCACTGCGGGCTTTTGGCATCGGCACCATCCGCAGAGAACTCATTAACAACGAGGAGACAGTCACTAGCAGTTTCCAACTGGTTGATGAGATCGTTCTTGGCGTGGTTGGAAAACCCTTCCATCTCGATGGTGCCGCGTCAACGGAACTGGTCGAGAGCGTCATCAGAGCTGAGCTTCCGGATAGTTCTGGTCAGCCGGCGGAGAGGTTCATCATTGGCACAAGTTATTTGGATGACCCGGAGATGGACCAAAACAACGATGCCAAGGGCAGAATTATTGTCCTCGGTGTCGACTCTGACAAGAATCCCTATCAGATCGTCAGCCACGAGTTGAAAGGTGCCTGCCGGAGCCTTGCCATCATGGGGGACAGGCTTGTTGCGGGCCTTAGCAAAACGGTGGTTGTTTACGATTACTCCGAAGATTCCACCACATCAGGAACGCTCCAGAAGTTGGCGACGTTCCGACCTTCTACATTCCCGGTTGATCTGGATGTTAAGGGCAACATGATTGGCGTTGCCGATCTCATGCAGTCAATGACGCTTGTCGAGTTCGTTCCAGCTCAGGACGGCGACAAGGCACGTCTCATTGAGCGAGCGCGGCATTTCCAGTACATCTGGGCCACGTCTGTGTGTCATCTCGAGGAACACTCGTGGCTGGAAGCAGATGCACAGGGCAACGTCATGGTGCTGAGGAGAAACCCCAATGCGCCTACGGAACACGACAAGAAGCAGATGGAAGTCATCAGTGAATTTCACCTCGGGGAGCAAGTTAACAAGATCCGCCCGCTCGATATTCAACCAAACGAGGAGGACCCAATCGTGCCAATGGCTTTTGTGGCAACGGTAAGCACAGTGAACCCAACGGCGAAGATGGTAATCGCTAACGTTTCCTAGGTTGAGGGATCTCTGTACGTCTTCGCAGATATCCAACCTGCGTACCAAAGCTTGCTGCTGCAATTCCAGGAGAGGCTAGCTGAGGTCGTGAGGACGCTGGGCCAGGCGAACGAGCCCGGTGTGGGTCTGTCTTTCATGTCGTGGCGAGGCTTCAGAAATGCCAAGCGGGCAGCCGACGCGCCTTTCCGGTTTGTCGATGGCGAGTTGATTGAGCGTTTCTTAGATCTGGACGAAGAGAAACAGGCCGCTGTTGTCCAAGGACTGGGACCAACAGTTGAGAGCATGCGAGACCTGGTGGAACAGCTCAAGCGCATGCACTGAGGTGGCATATGCATATGTAGGATAGAAGATCCGCGGCGATGGGACATGGGGGATGGTCGCTGAATCTTACTAGATTATGGGTACATGAGTAATGTTATAAACTCGATGAGTTATAGAGGAAATATTCGTGTGATTCTTTCGTGTGATTCTGTGTTCAATTGACATGTACGTCGATTTGGACGGTGCATCAAGAATCCAGAAACCTCGAGTCGGACTTTGCTAATGGGGGCATTGCATCTATCGAGCACATTAAGTCATCACCTGGCGCCACTCCGGAAAGGGCCGGGTATGAGCAGCCCCCACCAGCCAATCACCAAGCACCAATTTCACAACGTTCTGCCTCAGGCCGCCAGCCAGAAAGCTTTCGGCAATCCTCAAACCACAGCATCACGAAAAAAGACGCTCTCCTGCCACCCGAACGTCATCCCTCCCCAATTGCAACTCGCAATCAGCCCTCAACCCTCTCCCCTCCACCTCCCGAATCCCACGAGATGGCACCCCTCGCACACGCTTCCCGCACCTGCCTGCGGCAACTGGCGCGCAGCACCCCGTCCGCCACGGCTGCTCGCGCCCTCAGCACCTCGGCCGCCCGGAACGACGCCACGGCCACGAGCTACTCGAGCCCCTTCAAGGGCGCCCAGAAGGGCAACCAGATCCCCGACTTCAGCAAGTACATGAGCAAGGGCTCCGCCTCCAGCAACCAGCTTTTCGGATACTTCATGGTCGGCACCATGGGCGCCATCACCGCCGCCGGCGCGAAGTCCACCGTCCAGGGTAGGGACCACAGCCCTTTTGCCACGAGTGCACTCCCGGAGGATCGAATCTCGAGAAATACGACTACGGATTGGACGCCGGGAACGATTTGGATGAGCATTGGCTGACGGGCGGTTTTCAATTGCAGAGTTCCTCGTCAACATGTCCGCCTCCGCCGATGTTTTGGCCATGGCCAAGGTCGAGGTCGACCTCAGCGCCATCCCTGAGGGCAAGAACGTGAGTGGCCTCATGCAACGGCAGGGGAATTCTCGTGAGGATATCTTTCGCTGACGTCCGGCGATCACAGGTCATCATCAAGTGGAGAGGCAAGCCCGTCTTCATCCGCCACCGCACCCAGGCCGAGATCGACGAGGCCAACAAGATCAACGTTGCCTCCCTCCGTGACCCCCAGTCCGACGACGACCGTGTCAAGACCCCCGAGTGGCTTGTCATGTTGGGTACGTGCTCTACCGACCGCTACGATTCGGATCCTGTTTTGTGCTTTGGATATACGGGCCATTGGCATCAAGCGGCGCAGGGCCGAAATTCCCTCGTAGCCTCAGGCTTGGCCTATCCAATCACACTCGTCCCCAGAGAACATTCAAACTGACATATTGATCTTTTAGGTGTCTGCACGCACTTGGGTTGTGTCCCCATCGGCGAGGCCGGTGACTACGGTGGTTGGTTCTGCCCCTGCCACGGTTCTCACTACGACATCTCCGGCCGTATCAGAAAAGGACCCGCCCCCCTCAACCTCGAGATCCCCGAGTACGACTTCCCCGAGGAGGGCAAGCTGGTCATCGGTTAAGCGCCGCCTTTGTACGAGTATAACGAGAAGGAGGAAGAGAGGGGAGGAAAGACGATGGCCGGGGTCCCCCCTTCGCGGGGGACGCGATGTGCTGTTGACGGCAACAACCACCAATTAGAGAACCGACTTATTTTTTCTTTTTTATTTTGCATCGGAGACCAAATGGGTGCCGGGGTTTGGGTTCCGGAGAGTCAAAGAGAGAGGTCATTTTCTTTTTTTCTTAGACGTGTCCCCGGGCGGTAATGCCCTTGTACAAAAAAGTCACAGAGCGTCCAGGAACAATGAGCAGCCTCGCAACTTCAAAGTAGCCGCATCAGTCATGTGATGTGATGTCGAGGTGGTAATGGGTTCTCTCGCCGAGTATACTGACGGCAGCAGTGAGTCCGGGCGCGTCGATCCTCCACGGCATGATTGTTCAAACATTCCGAGAAGCTCGGTACCGAACAGGAAAGGGATGAAAGAGCCTGCCACCGAAAGCTGCGAAATAGGACCAAGGCTGTTTTTATAAGATAGAGTTGCCTCGAGAGATGGTTATGGCAGATCAGACGCAGCCGTTGATGTGCGACGGCAATGGCATAACGCGACCAGACTTGTCGTGAAGCGACCGCAGAGTCCCATGGCGCGTAGACCCCGACCCAGGCTCCGGCAACCGGGCTCCCTCATACCAGCTTCATCCATCCACCAGTGATCGCCGACTCCTGGGGCCCGGCTAGATGACGCGTTGATGTTTTGGGACGAAAGACGGCGGGGGCTGGGTCGGTCCAGCGTGGGACGACCATGTCGAGCCGATCGCACGACGACTGTTGGTTGGGTCGGGCAGCGCGTGTGTGTTCAATCGCTCAGGTAAGATGAGAGTCCTAAAGTTGGACAGATAGCTGCCAGACAGACACCAGGTTCTGGGGCCTGGAAAGAGAGGAATGTTTCGAGGAGGGCTGGGCGTTGCAGGTGTTGTCGGGATCCGGGCGGTAAAGAGGGTCCAGATGTTTTGGAAGCGCGGTTGTGAAAATAGAGTCCTTGCTCGGTTCCCTGTTTGGCTTGCGGGGCGGCCAGATTGGCTATTGGGGATAGAGATGAGGTTGTTGTTGGTGGTCGAGGTGTTGCGCGTGTGTGTGTGTGTGTGTGTGTGATTTGAAGAGTTGGTGGCCGGTTGTTGACGTGAGAGAGATGGAGGCTCGTGGTTCATTCCATCTCGTGAGATCATCTGAAGTGTTTGGACTCGGGTTGGAGTGTGCTTTCGTTCGGCATGAATATGATCGACGCGGTCAAGTGCATTTCATGAGATGACACTCTGGGCATTGATATCCAGCGGCTGCATATGTCTTACCACAGCAAATAATGAAATCTATATTAATGCGTCCGGGTCCAGGCAACATCACGGCAGATGATGTGAATGGTAATTGGGAAAACTGAATACTGAAAGATGGTGATGCTACCATCGCCGACAGGGAGTTGTCACCCTCGATGGAAGACCCCGGTGCCCTGCGAGCTCCACATGGCCGCACGGATTCAAGCGAGCCAATGGCGGACCTCCGAAAGGCGGCTCGGAGAGTGGATGAGACGTCGTCCCGCGACAGCTGCCGTCTGATTTCCGCTTTCCTCAAACTCTGCTCAACTTCAGAGCCCTTCCGCCAAGAGCAGGGGGCGGATGGCGGATGGACCACAGCTTGATTGAATGCTGATCGGGTTGAGGCTCCTTTTGAGTTTTTTGGATTCGGCATCGAGGAGCCAACTATCCATATCAGTATCATCGAGTGATGAGCAAGTTGGCAAACGGTATTGACCAAGTGGTCATCACAACCAACTACAGTACACTGTCCAATATGAGAAGAACGCATTCGGGCATCTTCCATCACGGATTCCTCCAACGTGTTTGCTAGGCAAACCGATCTCAAACTTCGACTCCAACCTCCCGACGTCCCACCGCCACCGCTCCGAGCCGGACCAACCGCCGAAACAGGCAATCGACCAGTCGACCTCCAGCCATGACGACTGACGTCCACCCTCCGCCCGTCCTGGCGGAACGGACGAACTCTTGGCTCGCCATGGGCCGTGTCTCCTGTCTCCTTCACCCATGTGGATGAGCCGCATCGGAGCCTTGCCCAGCCGACAGCTCATACCCACAAACCAACTCCGGGTCGCTACCGCCAAGCCGCATCACAACCGCGGAGACGATCCAGTTTCCCAGAGGATCGACGCCCTCGCTTTCCCAAGCGAGTATCTTCAGGGGCGTGGCCGTCGGTCGTCGACGTTGCGAGCGTTGGGATGATGAGACGAACGGACTGGGAGACGCGGGCGGGCGGGCGTCTCGAGGGTTGATGGGGGGAAAGATCTTTTTACACTATCCCTCGTCAACATCTCTGTATATAACTCCCCGTCTTCTTTCGTTTACTAGACAGAAGAAAGGTTTTGTTTCTCCATCACGCCTCCTCTCCTTCGTTCAGTTCTGGGAACTCTTTCTTGTACACTTTCTTCACTTCCATTCTTTACTCCTTTTTGTCCTTCTCTCCAAATTCTCTGGGCCGGCCCTCCTATTTTTGGACCTAGGTTTTAAACTGTACTTTATCCAGCCGCTTTTTTTTCCCTTCTTCTCCAGGACGCGACCTGATCGAGACCCCGGATCACCATGAAGTTCCAGAACCCCCTCGCCCTCTCGGCCCTCATCGGCCTCGCCACCGCCGAGGTGCCCCAGGAGCACTCCCACGAAAAGTACCTCCGCGCCGTCAACGCGCTCCTGAAGCAGGACAACCCCCTCAACATCCAGGACGCCGTCTTCGGCCTGCTGGGCAACGCCGCCGCCGAGGCCGGCGCCGGCGACGTCACCAACCTCGACTGCCTGCACCAGTCCACGGCCGACTCGGCCTTCAGCGCCGCCAAGGCCGCCGGCGACGTCGACGGCATGGCCAGCGCCCTCGTCTTCCGCGCCGTCGAGCGCAACACGGGCTCCGTCGGCCTCAAGAGCGTCCTCTGCGACGAGACCGCCCAGAACCCCGAGATCGCCGCCCTCTCCCAGCACCAGGACCCCGCCTCCGACGGCGCCGCCGAGGAGAACAAGAAGATCACCCTCGAGCTGGCGAGGCAGCTCTCCGCCGTCGGCGCCGACCCCATGCTCGCCCTCGACGCGGGCACCTTTGAGCCTGGCGACGTGAGTTATCTCCCGGGTCGTTGACTGATGTGGGCGTGGGAAGACTGACGTGATACAGCCGAATGACAACACCGGAGCCGGTAACACCTGCGACGACGCCGACGATGCCGAGGGATGCATCTTCACCCAGAACCTCCTGGTCCAGGACGCCACCCCCGAGGAGATCCAGGCCGCTGTTTCCGGAGCCGGCGGCAACGCTGGTGGCAACGCTGGGGCCGAGGGTGCTGGTAAGCTACTTCCGCACAACCGCCTCTTGTATGAATATGACTGACCGATTGCCCTTCGAGGCTGTGCAGCCAACTCGACCGCGATCGCCAAGAGGAACCTTCGCCGTGCCACCAAATGGAGCCTCCTGAACCGCCGCGGCAAGGGCAAGGCCGCTGCCGCCGACGAGGCCGGATCCGCCGCCAACGCCACCAGCGTCTCCGAGAAGCTGCGCCGCGGTAACAAGAACGCCAACGCCGAGGAGGACGGGGCTGCTGCCAACGCTACCAGTGTCGCTGACAAGGTTCGCCGCGGCAAGAAGAACGCGAACGCTGAGGACGATGGAGCTGCTGCCAACGCCACGAGCGTCGCTGACAAGTTCCGCCGCGGCAACAAGAACGCCAACGCCAACGCTGGAGCCGCTGCCAACGAGACCGCCGACGCTGTTCAGTCTGCCGGCAACGGGGGCAATGCCAATGCCAACGGCAACGGCAACAACCAGAACGGGAACCAGAACAACAACGGAAACCAGAACGGCAATGACGATGCTGCTGATGATGCCACGGGCAACGGCAACACCAACAACAACGGCAACAACGGCAACAACGGCAACAACGGCAACAACCAGAACAACAATGGAAACAACGCTGACGATGCCGCCGATGACACTGCGGACGATGCTACTGGCAATGGCAACGCCAACAACAACGGAAACAACAACGCCGATGACGCCGCTGATGATACTGCGGATGCCGTCGACGACAACACTGGTAACAACCAGAACGGCAACAACCAGAATGGTAACAACAACAACCAGAACAACAACGGCAACCAGAACAACGGCAACGCCGATAATGCCAACGACAACGCAGGCAACGACGCCGCCACCGGAACGGACGTCCAGACCTTCACCGGCGACCTCGGCGGCCCTCCTCCCCCCGTCACCTCCGACGCCGCCTCCGACAAGCCCTTCTCAACCAACGGCGCCACCTTCGTCAACGCCGGCGCCGCCCTCCAGCGTTCCTGCGCCGTGCAGCACAACGCCTGCGCCGACGCCGCGAACTCGGGTTCCGAGGACATCACGGTCGCCGACTGCGACGCCCAGGAGGACGACTGCCTCGCCGCGGCCTCCCTCAAGAAGCTCCGCCGCTCCTCCAGCGTCGGCTCCAAGGGCCGCAGGATGCGCATCACGAGCAACCTCGTCTCGCGCCAGAACCTCGACTTCGGCGAGTGCCAGGACCCCAGCATCCAGTTCGCCGAGGGCCTCGACGGGCGCAAGGAGGCCTCCTTCGGCCCCGCCGGCGACTTCGAGCACGGCTCCGCGCAGAACATCAACATCATCAGCAGCTTCATCTGCGGTCAGCTCGGCTCGAGATGTCAGGCTGCTGACGATGCTGTTGCTGCCTGTGAGCAAGGACAGGCTGATGCCCAGGGCTTGCAGGGCCAGGAGGCCGCTGATGCCTTCAACACCGCCCTCGGCTTGTAAGATTTGTGATGACTGTTTCTTTTGTTGGAGTTTGCAAGATGACTGGATAATGACCGGGGCCAAGAGGGATAATTTGGATTAAAATAGTGCTTCGTCTTAAAAGAGGCTATAGATCAATGATGATGTGTCTGTCTTGGTTCCAACTCATGTTGAAGAAGAATATGTTAGGCTTTTCTGTGAATTTCGCCATCGCAACTAAAACAATAAGGAGGTTCATTTGACAATCAACGACAATATTTTATAATAAACTTTGAAGACTTTCAAATAGAGGAAAACGATTAATTGCGTATTAGTGTCACACTGGGTCATTGCTTGTTTGCAATCAACGTCGCACGGCCGCCAATGAAAATTCATCCATCCACAGTGGGAATCTTGATGCAGCGTTTTCCTGGATCTCATCTCCAACTTCACTCCACATCTCCAAAAACGATCACGAAATTTTTCACCTCACACATCACTCACCCACCTTGCACCACCAACAAAAAAAATCGACAAGCTCACAAGCAAAGCACACTTGAGCTTCCACCGATTTTTTTTTTCAGCATGGCCGGGTTCAACTACACCGCCCTCGGCGAGCGGGATTTCAGAATCCTCTCCCTCTCGCCAGGAAAAACCGATGAGCCCCTCAAGGGCGAGCTCCTCACCCGCCCCATCGACCCTTACATCGACGAGGCGGCCAAGCATGATGGAGATGACCTCCCCGAGTCGCCCGACTCGTACGAGGCCGTCTCGTACGTCTGGGGCTCCACCGACACCCCGCGCACCATCACCGTGTCCTCCGCCGAGGTCTCCATCACCGAGAACCTCTTCAGCTGCCTCAAGCGCGTGCGCCTCGCGGACCGCCCGCGCCTCCTCTGGGTCGACGCGGTCTGCATCAACCAGGCCGACGCCGGGGAGAAGCAGGCGCAGGTGATGCTCACGCACGACATCTACGTCGCGGCGCGCCGCACGCTCGCGTACCTCGGCGAGGAGGCCGACGGCAGCGCCGAGGCGATGGAGCTGATCGAGAAGTACTGGCGCGTCAACATCCCCAACGAGCTCAACGCCGGCGCGCGCGCGTTCTTGGAGGACTCTCTGGGCAAGCCCGTCCCCGACGCGCCGACCGGCGCCGAGGCGGAGCTCCCGCTGGAGGGCGACAAGAAGTGGTTGGCCGTCTCGCGGTTCTGGAACAGGGCGTGGTTCAAGCGGGTGTGGATCGTGCAGGAGTTCATCCTCGCGAGGGACGTGGTGATGATTTGCGGCGACAAGAGCGTGAACTGGGCGCAGCTCTGGCCGGCGACGATTGCGCTGGAGGAGCCCGAGAGCCCGCCATGGCCGCTGATCGATGAGAAGGGCGAGGAGGTCGAGAGCGCGGCGGATTTGATGGCGAACATGGCGCAGAGGCTGCGGTTCTACCAGCTCGGTGCTATGAGAGGAACCGCCGACGATGATGGATGCTGCGATGATGACGAGGACCACGACCACGACCACGACCATGAAGGAGGATGCTGCGGAGGAGACGACGAACACGACCATGACGATGAAGACGAGGCCCAGGAGGGTGAAGACGGCGAGTGGGAGTCCGAGGACGAAGACGAAGACCCGAAGCGCTCAACGGAACTCCTGAGCCTCCTGCTCTCCTTCCGCGAGGTCGAGGCCACCGACCCCCGCGACCTGTACTTCGCGCTCCTCGGCCTGGCCGCGGACGGCGACAGAGAGGAGTTCCGCCCGGACTACTCCGAGGCCTTCGAAGAGACGGCCCTCCGCTTCGGCCGCACCCTCCTCCACGAGCCCTTCAGCGAGGAGCTCCTCGACCACGCCGGCATCGCGGAGAACCTCAACGGCGGCGGCGCCGCGACAAAGTTCCCCTCCTGGCTCCCCGACTTCCGCAAGCCCTGGCGCCGCATGACCGTCGCCGACGCCGCCGAGTCCGAGGCCGCGGGCGAGACCGGCTTCGACTTCGGCTTCGACCCCAACAACGCCGAGGACGTCCTGATGCTCAAGGGCGTCAAGGTCGACACCATCGCCCAGATGAGCGGCGTCCCCCGCGCGGCCCACCTGCAGGCCGACCGCCCCTCCATGTGGATCAAGAAGGATATGTTCACGCTCTCGAAGCTGGTCGAGAAGATCCCCGGTTTCGAAAAGCCCGGCTCCTACCCCACCGGCGAAGAATCCGGGCTGGAGGCCGTGCTGCGGACCCTCACCTTCTTCCGCGCGGACGCCGAGATCGAGGACGAGATCCCGATGTCGACGCTGAAGCTGGCGTACCGCTTCTGCGCGGCCGTCGAGGAGGACGACCTCGACCCGGAGCGGCCCGAGCGGGACCTCCTGCGCAAGGAGATCCAGCTGTCGGGGGTGTCGGCGGACGAGGCGAACGAGGCGCTCGTGGCGGCGGCGCAGATCCTCATCAACCGGGTCTTCACCACGCGCTCGGCGCTGGACCTGGTGCTGGCCAAGGGCGAGAAGTACGTGGGAATGGTGCCGGACGGGACCGAGGCCGGGGACGAGATCTGGGTGGTCAAGGGGTGCAACGCGCCGTTCGTGCTGAGGAGGAGCGCGGAGCGGGAGGGGATGAGGCGGATCGTGGGCACGGCGTACGTGCACGGCATCATGGAGGGCGAGGCGGCCGGGGAGGGGGTTGAGTTTGAGCCGGTTTCGATTCACTGAGTTCGGGACGATCACCAAGTTTTGCTTATTCTCGATTGATGATGATGACAACATGACACGGGCCCGAAGAAGGGCTGGGCACCGGGATAGAGTAGAGTGCCTTCAGGGCAATGAATAAAAGTTTTGCTTTCTCTGAATGCTTGGACATCTCGCGCAAGTACCTTGATGGTCTCGGAAACGAACGATCTGACCGGGACCAAGGGCGTGGGTCTCGAGCACCGAACGGCCGGGAACGGCACGGACTTGGTTGTGGGTTGTGCCGGCCGTTCAGCGGTCCCAGCCGAGCGGGAAAAGTGGCTGATGTCGTGGGCGTCATACATCGTCATCATCCAGTGTAATAAGCTTGTTTTTGGCCATGACGATGCAGCAGTCCCAGAGCAACACTTCTCAGTTCAAAAGTGGGATCATCTGTGCCAATGCCAATGCCTCTGCGAACACTCGCCAAACAGCAAACTCGGTTTCAGTTGTTTCGACGACCCAATCAGTCCATTCCGAACAGACACTTCCTCACAACCACCTCGCGCAAGATGCCTTCGTCCAAGGGAAAGCCTACCGACCCCGAGCTGAGAGAGGAGCTCAAGGAAGGTGAGATTATCGCGATGAGAATGTTGGAGATTGTTCGTTGATTCGCTGCCGTTAGAAATCAAGCAAGAGCCCAACAAGTCTGGCGGCGGCGAGGGACAATGGTCTGCGTGGAAGGTACGTGTCTGGGACTGCGCTATGGAACACAGGAGCTAACTTCTTCACAGGCATCAAAGTTGGCCAAGGAGTATGAGAAGCAGGGCGGAGACTACGAAAATGAGGCCGGTTCGAAGAATGAGCCGAAGAAGGGAGAGCCAGAGAAGAAGAGCGAGAGCAAAAAGAAGGCCGAGACTGGGAATTAGCAGATCACAGTAGATGATAACTTAATTGCGTTGCGCTTCACACGACCAATTTCAAGTTCTGCTTTTGATCACTGACAAAGCGCTCCCAAATCTCTGTAGTGAGATACGCATGGAAGGATTCACATCCCTAACCAATGTCACGGCAAGACTAGCTAGGCTGCCAGATAGCTTAGCGTCAGTTTGGGATCTTCAAAAATCCCACCCTCATCACAAAAGCATCCCAGCATGCAAAATCTAGAGGAAGCGGACGGAGAGAGCGCGTCAGAGGATGACTGCTGGACTCCCCTCCAACAAGCCGCCCGCGCCGGCGACCTACCAACATTACGCACCCTCATCGCCTCCGGAGCCGACGTCAACGCACCGCCGCAAGGATACTACGGCCGCACCGCCCTCCAGGCCGCATGCTTGGCATCCCACGCCGAGGTGGTATCGGCGCTCCTCGAAGCCGGAGCGGACGTAGACGCAGCCCCGGGCAACAACGACGCGCGGAACGCGCTGCAGATCGCGAGCGGCCGGCCCGACGTGACCATCGTCGAGACGCTGCTGGCAAGAGGCGCTGACGTGAACGCGCCGGCTGCGCGGTACTACGGGGCCACGGCGCTCCAGTCGGCCTCGGCCGCGGGCTTGACGGACGTCGTGGAGTTGCTGCTGGCCAGGGGAGCAGACGTCGACGCGGCGCCGGCGACGACGGCGGGGAGAACGGCGCTGCAGGCCGCGGCGGCGCACGGGGAGGTGGAGATCGCCGCGCTGCTGATGGATCACGGGGCCGACGTGAACGCGCCCGCGTGTCGACACAAAGGGCTGACGGCGTTGCAGGCGGCGTCGCTGCGCGGGGACGAGGGGCTTGTTCAGAGGCTACTGGAGGCCGGGGCGGCTGTGAATGCCGAGGGGAGCAGGTTCAAGGGCGGCAGGGCGCTGCACGCGGCGGCGGAGGGCGGGCATGTTCGGGTGTGCGAGATGTTGCTGGATGCCGGGGCCGGGATCGAGGCTGGATCTGGGTGGGGTGGACAGACCGCGTTGCAGGGCGTGGTTGCGAGGGGTCACGATGCTGTCGTGCGGGTGTTGAGGGGCAGGGGTGCTACGGGAACGGAAGGTGGAGGGACGTTTTTGTTTGATAGAGTTTGAGGGCGATTCATTGCGGTGAGATACGTAGTACGAGATAAGGCATGGGATCTGGCCATGGAATGCTAGTGGAGGAATGGCGTTGATAAGAGTTGAGCATTTGGTAACAGTAACACAGCTACGAATACAACATGTAATGAAGTCGCCGTTGAGAAACATGGCTTGCTAATTAGTTCATGGATGGCAAGAGGCCGGACCCTTACTGCGGGCGGCGCATGAACACCGTCGACGACACCATCACCAGCCAAGGCTCTCCCACAAGACCACACAGACGTCCCGACATTCGACGCTCCGTCTGGAAGTTCAGCCAAGTCAGCCGACTAAGATGGACAAGGGCATCCCTCGCTTGAACAACCACAAGTCACGACTCTAGCGGTGGGTGTTTCCAGAAAGCTGTAACTATTCCATAAGTACCACACAGCGCGGGCAGGGCGGGAAAAGGAAGAGCGCTGGAATTCCACTGCGCTCTCTCTCCAGCTAAAATGAACTTACGCCCGCGTCCAACCGGGGACCGGCCCCGCCTACCATCGGCTTCCGCCGGCTCGGGATGACGCCCGGTTGGATGGGGCCCCGCCCCACCCGCCTGGCGCACCGCCCGGCGTGACCTGCCCATTGCGTCCGCACCGGCTGGCGGATCAAGGCTCCAAGACAAAACAATTACCTAAAAGAAGGCCCAGAGAGTTTCCGAGCTTTCGTAGAGAGAGAGACACGGCTGCCCACTTTTTGCTCTCTTCGAAACGGACGCCTCGGACGGAACTGAACTGAGAGTACTTCCTGCTAACACTCACCAGCGAGATCGAGGCTCCTCGTCAACCACTAGCCTCATCCCGTGACGTAAGATGACCATCCGCTTGGCTTTCCTTCACGGCCGCTTGTGGACCTGCTGACCATTCTTCCCGCAAGCGGGTTGGGGATGTGTATCACGTTTTGTACCTCCCAGTCCACGTTTCTCTACCCAAGTCTCGAATCTGAGGGCTGGCCTGGCGATGTTGCAGGTTCCCGTATCGCTGGGGCCCCATCCCTACCACTCCCTTGCCTTGACTTATGCCGGGTAGAGGCTTGAACTGGTCGTCTCAATCCTGGGGTTAACTGGGTCTTCCCCGCCATCGTTGCCTTCGTCTTGGTGGGGCACTCGTCCCCCGAGAAGCACGAGGTCTTGATAAGGACTGTGCTTTGTCCTTCCCATCCCGGACTTTGTCAAGCCGGTGTTTATTTCTTCTTACATTCCACATCAACTTGTCCTGCCTGGTGGTAAATAGACCCAATTGACCTGAACCAGCAAACCCAAAAGACAACACACAAGAACACACACACACGCAAGCAGAGCAACTCACAATGGGCTCAACCCAGGAAGCAGACCTCATCCTCACGCAGCCCACCCCGGCCGAGCGCATCCGCGTGTGGACCTCGACGCACCAGAAATGGGGCGCCGCCCTCGAGCTCGACGAGTACCTCCGCCGCGAGGAGTACCTCACCACCGTCCCCATGAGCCGCAACGGCGGCATCACCCAGTGGATCCTCACCGACCCCTCCCAGCCGCCCGACGCCCGCCCCATCCTCTCCTCTTGCGAGAGCATCCGCAAGCGCGCCCTCGCCGCGAAGCCCGACGGCACCGTCGTCGCCGACGCCGTCGCCCACGGCATCGCCTCCGTCTTCACCGAGCCCTCCCACCGCGGCAAGGGCTACGCCTCCACCATGATGAGCATGCTCGGCCCCCAGCTCGGCGGCTGGCAGGGCGCCCGCATGTCCAAGGGCGAGCAGTGGGGGGACATCAAGGACGGCGAGGTCGCCTTCTCCGTCCTCTTCTCCGACATTGGGAAGAAGTTCTACGCCAAGCAGGGCTGGCACCCGTACGACAGCGCCCACCTGTCTTTCCCGCCGCAGGCCGCGGTCGAGGGGAGGGAGGGCAAGGCGAAGCCGGTGGGGTACCACGAGCTCGCGGAGCTGAGCCACGTCGACGAGAAGCTGCTGCGCGCGAGGCTGTCCAAGGAGTCCAAAAGGAACAAGACGCGGGTGTCGCTGCTGCCGGATATCGACGCGATTTTGTGGCATCTGATGCGTGAGGATTTCATGACCAAGCACATTTTTGGAAAGACACCGACGGTCAGGGGTGCCGTGGTCGGCGAGCGCGGGCAGAGGGTGTGGGCTGTCTGGACGAGGGGATACTACGGCGGTTTGAAGAAGCCCGAGGGTAACACCATGCACATCTTGAGGTTGGTCATTGAAGACGAGAACAGCGGCGACGAGTACGTGCAGGAGGCCATCGAGGAGCTCTTGACTCTTGCGAGGTCGGAAGCGGCCGAGTGGAAGTCAAACAACATTGAGCTGTGGAACCCTGACTCCAGAGTCAGAAGGTTGGTAGAGAAGGCGGGCATTCCGCACGACTTTGTGGAGAGGGAGACTGATAGCATTGCGAGTTTGATGTTTTACGGCGACGGAGACGTCGAGTGGGTACTGAACGAGAAGTTTGGTTGGTGTTAGACTGTATATCATCCTACGCGGACTTGCATACTACGGCGGTGGGGAAATCATTACACGGAACAAGACTGGCGGGTACGGGACAACAAACAGTCCAGATTGGCATGGCAAGGTATCATTAACAAATGATCTATGAACCGTCTAACCTTGATCACTCCCCGTGGCCTAATTTTGTTTTATTTTCATACACGCCGCCGCTTCAGTGGCCGTGGCCATCGTCCTCCTCTCTCTGCTCGGGATCCAGCTTGATCAGGGTATCGATACGCATGATGCTGATGCAAGCCTCGACGGCACTCTTCAGCTGCCTGATCTTGCTGATGCTGGGCTCCAGAATACCAGCCTTGACCTCGTCGATAACCTTGCCGCGCGTCAAGTCGAGGCCGTAGTTCTTATAGGCCTTCTTGCGCGCGACAATCTTCTCGTCCTCGTTGCCCTCGCCCTCCTGGATACGCTGGGAGAGCGCGTGCCGAGAACGGAGCTGGGCGACAAGCTCTGAGGCGTCCTTGGCCGCGTTGACGGCCAGGGTCTTGGGAATAACGAGCAGAGACTGGGCGAATTCGCCGATGGCCAGCTGCTCGCGGGAGCCGACGGTACCGGCGAACTCCTCGAGGTAGATGTGAAGGGCGGTCTCGACGGCACCTCCACCGGGGACGATGCTGCCGCTCTCGAGAGTCCTCTTGACGGCGTTGAGGGAGTCGTGAATAGAACGCTCCATCTCGTCCAGGGTGAAGTCATTGGGACCACGGAGGATGATGGATGCCGAGGTGTGGGTCTTGGTGCCCTTGACGAGAATGCACTCGTCGTCTGAGATGCGCTCCTGAACAACCTCCTCGGCGTGTCCGAGGTACGCGGGGTCGAACTTCTCGTCTCCGTTGAGGTCGGACAGTGTGCTGAGCAGCGTGGCGCCAGTCGCCTTGGCGATTCTTCGGAGGTCCTCCTTCTTGCATCTGCGCACACCCATAGCACCCTTCTCGACGAACGCCTTCAGAACCATGTCGTCGATACCCTTGGTCGTCAGGATGACGTTGGCGCCAGCCTTCAGGATCATGTCTACCCTCTCCAGAATCATGCCAGACTCTCTCGCGCGGATCTGCTCGAGTTGCGTAGGGTCATCGACTGTGATCTGAACACCCAGCTTCATACGCTCTTTCTGCAAGTTCATATCCAACACCGCAATCTTGGCATCTTGTATTCTTGTGGGCATGGCCTGGGAGGCGACTGTGCAGTTGAGAGCGTAACCCTTGACCAGCATGGACTCCAAAGAGCCCTTTCCGTGGGCCTTCAGGATGTTGACGGCCTTGACGGGGTATTTCGTCTCGTTACGGTTGTTCGTGGTCTTGACGGCCAGCATGCCGTCGACGACCATGTTGGCGAAGAAGTCGGAGTCGGCGCCGATGATCTTGCTGGACATGGAGGTCTTGGCGATGTTGATGAGGGATTCGCGACCGAGGTTCTCGACCTTGATGCTGATGTTCTCGTTCATGTACTTGACGGCCTCACGCAGGGCGAGTCGGTAGCCGGTGATGATGGTGGTGGGGTGTATGCGGTTCTTCATGAGCTCGTTTCCTCTGCGCAGCAACTCGGCCGCAATCAGGACGACGGATGTGGTGCCATCGCCGACCTCCTTGTCTTGTTGTTGTGCCAGATCGACCAGAATCTTACCCGCCGGGTGCTCGACATCCAACAAGCTGAGAATAGTAGCGCCGTCGTTCGTGACCGTGACGTCCTATGCCGGGGTTTAGCGGGGTCCAGAGGGAAGGGGCCACCGAACCTACACCAATATCGTCCACCATCATCTTGTCCAGACCGCTGGGGCCGAACGAGCTCTTGACGACATTCGCGATGGCCTGGGTCGCGAGAACTGCAAGTTTGTCAGCACCATGAAGCTACAGGTGGATCGTGGGGAGCAGAGCAGCAACATACCGTTCTGGTCTCGAATATCGGCGCCGGAAATCTTCTGGCCGCCCAAGAAAAGGGTGCCGCTCCCTGACTGCTCGAACATGGAAGCCATTTTTGCGCCTCACTGCCTGCAATAATGGTGAATCGCGGGATGGGAGGTGGTTGATGGTGGATTTGGGGGGAGCTCGTCGGTGTGTGCCTGGACAGCAATAGAAGCTTCTGCGCTGTGCCTGCCAGGCCTTGTCCCCTCGACGCAACTTTTTATCGGACCCGAGTTGTTCCAGGAACCGGGAAAGCGGTGTGGCTGGTGAGGTGCACCTTCCGATAAGGACTGTGTGATATGATAAGGAAACTGTACCCAGGGGCGACTTCCCGGGTGACATACAGTGCTGCTTTCCCCAGTAAAACGGTAAACAGTCCCGCTTTTGATAAGCGCCCGGGCCATCTCTGTGTGGTCCCCTGTGGCTGCCAATTGACCCCTCATTCCCTCGCGCCCAACAGCTCGACACACGACTCACATTTTAGTGCGGGGCAGTTTTCCCGCTGTCTCTGTCCTGTCGCACTGCCATCCATCTCTGCCCGAAATCTCGAGTGACTCAGGCCGACCTGGGCACCACGCCGTCGATTCTTAAAAGCCGATACCCTTCTCGAGACGACTCTGCGATCCGCAGCTATCATCGCAAACATGGCCGACGCTCCTGCCCCCGAACAATCCAAGAGCGCCTTGAAGAAGGCCGAGAAGCAGGCCAAGATGGCTGCTGAAAAGGCTGCGAAGGCTGCCAAGCAAGCCGCCCTTCCCGTTGTCGGTGGCAAGAAGAAGACGGACGACATCATCGGCATCACTGTCAAGAAGAACGAGGACTTCTCCATGTGGTACCAGGAGGTCGTGCTCAAGGCCGAGATGGTCGAGTACTACAACGAGATTGCTGGCTTCTTCATCCTGCGCCCTGCGTCCATGTACATCTGGGGTGTTATCCGCAAGTGGTTCTCCGAGCGCATTGAGCACATGGGCGTCGACGAGACCAGCTTCCCCATGTTCTTGTCGTCCAAGTCTCTCGAGAAGGAGAAGGACCACGTTGAGGGTTTCGCCCCTGAGTTGGCCTGGGTTACCAAGGCGTAAGTCGATCTCTCCCTCCGAAACCGCCATGACCCCGACTGACAATGACTTTTCTAGCGGTGACAAGGACCTCGAGGTTCCCGTCGCGGTTCGTCCCACCTCCGAGGCCGTCATGTACCCCTACTACTCCAAGTGGATTCGCAGCCATCGCGACCTTCCTTTCCGCCTGAACCAGTGGAACTCTGTCGTCCGCTGGGAGGCCAAGCAAACGACTCCTTTCCTCCGTACAAGAGAGTTCCTGTGGCAGGAGGGCCACACCGCTCACCTTAATGAGGAGCTTGCCGGCAAGGAGGTCCTCGAGATCCTCGAGCTCTACGCTGGTGTGTACGAGCAATTGCTTGCTGTCCCCGTCGTTCGCGGTAAGAAGACCGAGAACGAGAAGTTCGCTGGTGGCTACTACACCACCACCGTTGAGGGTTACATCCCGTCCAACGGCCGTGGTATCCAGGGTGCTACCTCTCACTGCCTGGGTCAGAACTTCTCCAAGATGTTCGACATCACCGTCGAGAACCCCGAGAAGAAGGGCGAGAAGATCCACGTCTGGCAGAACTCTTGGGGTCTGTCCACCCGTGTCATTGGTGTCATGGTCATGATCCACGGTGACGACAAGGGTCTCGTCCTCCCTCCTCGTATTGCCAAGACTCAGGTCATTCTCATCGCCGTCGGTATCACTGCTAAGACTACCCCCGAGGACCGCGAGAAGCTCGAGGGCAAGACCGACGACCTCCGTAACGAGCTCCGCAAGGCTGGTATTCGTGCCGAGTCTGACCTGAGAGAGGGCTACACTCCTGCCTGGAAGTTCAACGACTGGGAGCTGCGCGGTGTTCCCCTGCGTCTTGAGTTCGGCCCTAAGGACATGGCCAACCAGGTTGTCAGCTATGCTCGCCGTGACACCGGTGAGAAGGGCACCCTTCCCCTGGCTGAACTCTCCACCAAGGTTCCCGAGCTCCTCGAGACCATCCAGTCCGACATGTACAACAAGGCCGAGAAGTCCTTCCGTGACCACCGCCTTGTCCTCAACGATTGGGAGAAGGTCATTCCCGCTCTGGACACCAAGAACGTCGTTCTCATTCCCTTCTGCCTGGACGGCAAGTGCGAGGACCGCATCAAGGAGCTCACCACCAGTGAGCCCCCTGAGAACGCCACTCTCCCCGAGGGCAAGAAGCAGCCCACCATGGGCATGAAGTCCCTGTGCATTCCCTTCGAGCAGCCCGAGGGCGGCGTTCCCGCTGACACCAAGTGCTTGAACCCCGAATGCCAGGCCAAGGCCAAGGAGTACGTCATGTTCGGACGCAGCTACTAAGGAAGGACGGTGAATTTGAGAGGAGTTGCGGGTTGAGCATTTTGGGACACTTTCGGATAACGAGACCCACGGCGGATTTGATTCATGTTAGAGCAGAGAGGTAGAGGAGTCAGCATGCCGTGATTTCTCAAGATGTTGCAGGTGGGGGTAGAGAGAAGCAAGTAAAAAGTCATTCGATACCAAGTTCATTAAACAACATATTTTCCCAAGCATGTCGAGTGTGTCATGAACAGAAGGCAGTTGTGAAGCCCACGACTCTGGAAAGCCTGGCTTCAATGTCGTGGGCTGTAGGATGTACTGGCTTTACGTGCAATCAATCGCCCACATCATGAGCGATTTCCAAACCAACGTAACATTTTCTAACCGGTCGTCCAACCTTGCCGATCTCGGTGTCTGTGGACGACGGACGTCAAGCCCGCAATTGAGTTCGGCACGGTCAACCGCGCCCCCCTGTCACTCGGACCGTAGTGGGGTCGACTCATGATGGCTCATCAATTGGTGGCCACCACGAGTCCCGAATAGGAAGGTCTTGGCTCCAAATCATGTTGGTGTGGGTGACTCACTTTCTCTTGCACCAATCTCGACTCTAGACTTTTGGTGAAATGTTGACAATTTGACATTGAAATTCTGCGTCAAGCAATTATGCACCTCATCGGAGCCAGGAAAGAGACATCATTGTCAAACGGGACCCACTTTTTGAGTCACTGAATACTAATGGATGATGCCGAACCAGCGTGGTGTCGGCTGTGTTTTGGTAATGCAGAGCTGCTTCGCCAATCAAGGATGAGATTCCTGCCAGAAACTCTAGGCGTCGCTGTGGTCGGCACGAGCTTTCGCTTTTCCTTGGAAGAGGTTTCTTCTTTACCTAGATAAGATTCGAGTATATAGCCAGCTCATTTTCCCCGGGAGGGATGTCTTTGATCAGTGAAATTCACATCAAGCAACTAGAGTCTATCGATCTGCTTCCATCGAATCAATCGACCACAGAAAACCAACGATCTCACATGATGCTGGGCACAACTACGACAAACAACACTGCCACAACAACCACTGCAACTATGGAAAACCAAAGCACTTCCCACTTCAAGCTATCGGCGACGTCCTGCGGCACCTGTGGCATCCACTTCGACAGCCCAGACACCCGCCGCGCGCACTCGAAAAGCCAATGGCACGTCACCAACCTCAAACGCCGCGTCGCCGGCCTAGAGCCCCTCACAGCGGCGCAGTTCGCCGCCACCGAAGGACCCACCGCGCCGAGCAGCCCCACAACCGCCGCATCGGAGGCGTCCGGGTCGTCGTCCTCGTCCGTCTCCGACGCCGAGATCGACTCTGAACCCGAGGGCGAGTTCGTGCCCGAAGAATGTCTTTTTTGCAACATCGTCTCGGAGGACTTTGACGAAAATGTCGCGCACATGCAGAAGACCCACGGGATGTTCATCCCGGATAAAGAGAGACTCATCGTCGATCTCGAGACGCTGGTGCGATATCTTCACTTGGTTGTCTACGGCTACCGCGAGTGTCTCCAGTGCGGAACGCAACGGCGGACTTCTGCGGCCGTGCAACAGCATATGGTTGGCAAGAATCATTGCCGCTTCGATATCAACGCCGAGGATTCCGAGTACATAGACTTTTACGAGAAGCACACCGAGGATGGAGGAGAAGGAGAGGGAGGGAGTGTAACAAGAAAGGCCATCGCAGATGCCGTCGAAGAAGGAAGCTCCATCCACCTACCCTCCGGCAAGACGCTCGCCCACCGTTCCGCCCCAGGTCCATCCCGTCCTCGAAACAAGACCACCGCATCTCCTTCCAAAGACCTCCTAGAAGCCGGACCCGAACTCGACGAGTCCAACGCCAGCTTCCAGCTCACAGCACCACCGGCCTCCGAGAACAAACCAGACAGCAAGGCGCTCACGCGAGCTCAGAAGCAAGAAACCCTCGTCGAGACCCAGCTGGCGCGCATGAGCCTCAACGACCGCGCGGCCCTCGCGCACCTCCCCGCCGCTGAGCAGAGGAGTCTTCTCGTGAAGCAGAAGAAGCAGCTTGACAAGGCCGAAAAGGCGGCCAGGAGGCTTCAGACAAGGCTGGAGATGAAGGCGAATGTCGCAGGGCAGGGGCGTTTCAAGAGTGATGTACCGGGACCGAAGAACGGCTAACCACGGAAATGGATTCAAGATGCAAAGAAGCTGTATTATGCACAGAAGTTCGGGGCACCTTGGGACAACCTGGTCATAGGTACATGGAGCTTAAACCAATGAAACTTACAATGTTACCAGTCAAGCCGTGTGGGAATTCATGAAGGGAAGTTTTGCCCATTAATAGTGTCGCTCCATCGTCTAGATGCGGCTGAACTACGGTGTCGATAGTTTGTGATGAATTCCCTTGATATATATAAACTATTGGTTCTCACAAGCCACTCTATCCACATATCATGCGACGAAGCTAAATATATCAACTCCTAGTTGCCCCTCTTTCCTCAAGCATCTCCACGATGTCACTGTAGCCTTTTTTGTGAGCAGCCTCCAAAGCCTTATCCAGCTCTGCACTCTGCGCGCCGAGATCCGATCCCTTTTCCAGGAGTAACCTCACTATGTCGGAATGACCCCTCTCCGAGGCGATCTCCAGAGCAAACCCAAACCCATTGCCCTCCGTGGTGGTATCCGCGACTTTCTTCAAGAGCATCTTTACGATATCGCCAAAGCCCTTGTTGTGAGCGGCCCGTAGGGCATCGTTGAGATTACCGCTCTCGGCATCAAAATCCGTCAACTTCTCAAGGACCAACTTTACGATACCGGTGTCGCCTTTCTCCGACGCTGTTCGTAGGAGAGGCCAATAATTGCCGCCCTCCGCGCCGAGAAATGACCCGTTCTCCAAGAGAAGCTCCACGATGTTGGCTTCACCATCCTCCAACGCTGTACGCAAAGCAGAGTAACCATCGCCGCCTTGAATGCTAGCCCCTCTCTTAAAAAGCAGCTCGGCGATGCTCCAGTGGCAATTGGACAAAGCGGCTTCCAGAGCATTGCCGTAAAAGCCGCCCTCTGCTTTGATTTTCGCCCCTCCCTGTAATAACAGCTTCGCAATATCAAATTTACCATCACACGAGGCAGTTTGCAGAGCATCGCCGTACATATCAACATGTACGTTAGCATCTGCTCCGTTCTTCAAGAGTAACTCCACAACGTGACTGTGGCCACTAGATACCGCAGCTCGCAAAGCATCGTCGAGTTCGCCATTCCGGGCGTGGAGATTCATCCTCTTCTCCAAGAGCAACTCCACAATGTTGCCATTACCCCTGGCCGCAGCGGCCCGTATGGCGTCTCCACTGACGTATGCCCCCTTCTCTAATAGCAGTTTGGCAATGCCGAAGTGGCTGCTAGACGCAGCGGCCTGCAGAGCATTGTCGAAGTCGCCATCCTGGGGGTTGAGCTCTACCCCCTTCTCTAGGAGTAATTCCATGATATCGATACAGCCGTAGGAGGCAGCGGCCTGTATAGCATTTGCTTTGACATTTGCACCCCTCTCCAATAGCAGTTCGGCAATGCCCAAGTGACCACTAGAAGCAGCAGCTCGCAGAGCATCGTCGAGGTCGTCATTGACCGCCCTCTTCTCCAAGAGCAATTTCATGATATCGGTGCGGCCGTGGGAGGCAGCGGCCTGTACAGCATTTGCTTTGACGCTCGCCCCTTTCTCCAATAGCAGTTTGGTCATGCCCAAGTGACCACTAGACACGGCAGCTCGCAGAGCATCGTCAAGGTCGCCGTCAACCGCCCTCCTCTCTAAGAGCAGTTTCACAATATCAATACGGCTGTGGGAGGCGGCGGCCCGCACAGCATTTGCTTCAACGTTCGCACCCTGCCCCAAGAGTAGCTCCGCAATACCGAAATAACCTCTGGACAAGGCCATCTCCAGAGCAGTGGCATTCGTATCGTTGTGCGTCTCTTTTTGTGCCCAGAACGAGTAAAAGTCCGAAGTACTCGCGTACTGGCCGCTTCGCGCATTGACATCCGCCCCCCTCTCCAGGAGCAGTTTCACGATGTCGTCGTGATTTCCCTTGATGGCGGCACACATAGAGTCCCCGATAATTGCCCCCGAATCCAGAAGAATCTTCACAACCTCAAACCGACCGTTCTCTGTAGCAGCCCGCAGAGCGTTTCCGTACTCGCCACCTTGGGCGTTTACGTCTGCCCGCTTATCCAGGAGTAATTTCACAATGTCGGCGTGGCCGTTGGAGGAGGCAGTCTGTAGAGCGTTACCGCCCTGCGCGTTCACGTCGGCCCCAATCTCGTCCAACAACAGCTTCACCATATCTCCCCAACCATGAATCGACGCCTTTCGCAAAGCATTGTCGTAGCCATCATTGCTCGGCGTATTGGCATTCGCTCCTTTGTCCAGCAACAGCCTGGCGATCCCAATCCTTCCTTCACACAACGCGATCTGCAGAGGACTATCGTACTGGCGGCCCTGTGCGTTGGGATCGGCGCCCGCATCTAACAATGCCTTGACAACATTGTCATGACCATTTTGCGAAGCGACTGGCAAAGCGCCACCAAAGTAGCCGCTCCGTGTGTTAGCATCCGCCCCCCATTTCAGGAGCAGCTTAACGGTTTCGGCATGACCGTGTCGCGAGGCGATGTACAGAGGAGTGCCATCACTGTACGTCCTGTTGACTTCTGCCCCCCCTTTTAACAAACGCTCCACGATCTTCCTGTGGCCATTTTCTGAGGCAAACCACAGGGCGTTGCCGGCGGTGACGTCCGCCTCATGTGCCAAGAGCAGCTCCACAATGTCGGTATAGCCTCCATTCGACGCGGCGGACAGGGCGGTATGGTGGTAATCGTCGCCCGGCGTGTTGACGTCCATCCTCATCTCCACGAGAAGCTTCACAATGTCGATGTGGCCAAATGTCGAAGCAGCCTGCAGGGCATTACCCCAACGACCGCCCCGCGCGCAAATGTCTGCCCCCTTTGCCACAAGCAGCTTCCAGACGTCGATGTGCCCTTGCTTTGAGGCGGCAGAGAGGGCAGTGCCGTGAAGTCCACCTAATGCGTTGACATTCGCCCCCTGCCCCAGGAGCAGTTTCACGATGGTGATATGGCCTCTGTATGAGGCCGCTTGAAGTGCGTTTCCATACTCGCCGCACCGCGAGTTCATATCCACCCCCTTATCCAGGAGCAGGTTCACAACGCCAATATGCCCCCTGTGCGAGGCCGCCTGCAGTGCGTTTCCGTATTTGCCGCCCTTCTTATGAGCATCCGCGCCCTCATCTAATAATATCTTCACAACATCGTAGTGACCACCGAATGAGGCGGCCTGCAGCGCATTATTGCAATAGCCACCCTCCGCGTTGACGTCCACGCCCCATCGCATCAATTCTTGCGCTACCCTCGTCAAACCCCCAAGGCAGGCGTAGTAGAATCTGGATCCTTGCGGAGGGGAGGGGTCCCCCGGCGATTGCCAGTCAGCTTGATGCAAGTGGCCCCATCGCTGAAAGGTCTCCTCTTCCTTTATGAATGCAAGCGATGCCTGAAACACCTCTTCGCAACTCTGCGATAAAGCAGCATGGCTCGTCCAGATTTCTGCTGCTAGTTTTGCAAAGGGATAGTCACCCACAATGGTTTTGTGGTTCCCGGAAACGCCCCGTAGGTATGTCAGGCAAGTCTTCGTGATAGTAACGCCGCTCACCGAAGGGCCGAACCATTCCAGAGAGCGAAGATACTCCTTCACCGAAAAGTGGGCGAGATGCAGCTGCTTTTTTGGTTCTAGCTCAAGGAATCCCCCTCCTGAATAATGCATACGCTCCGTCACTTCAACGATGGACATCAGGCTCGGGCAATGGCCGAGTACTTCGCTCTCCCCGAATACTCTGCTTTCCTTGTCAAAGCCTGGCTGTTGCGTCCTTATGTCCGTGGCCAGAATCTCAATGGCCTCGTTTACCACGAGAGGCCGAGGTGTGTGAACGAGAAAATGTAACAGGCGTATGGCGTTGTCTTTGTCGCGTTTAGGGATATTGGACAACATTCTCTCATAAGTTTCCTCCAGATCCTTCGGTAGGTGTTGGAGCGCGTCTCGGATCATTCTGGGGCTTTTGCATTCGGCAAGACTGTTTACCTGGCAGGCGGCCCATCTGAACCTGCGGCAGATGTCAGCGACCAGTGGAAGGCATGGTCTGAAAGTACTTACATCCCATCGGCTCCGCCTCCAACCTTCTTCGCGATCTGTTCGATGAGGTCCTGCGATAGATGTTTCTGTTGGAACTCCCATCGGGCCGCGAGCTGCCCTGCAACATACGCCCGGATGTCGGTGTTGACCGCCTCTCTATCAAGCGAAATGCAACTTTCCTTCCCCATCATGCGATCAAACCGCACCAGGAACTCCGGTTCAGGGCGGGCTGTGCAAAGCAGCTGTACGTGGCCCAGATCCGGCCTAGCTGCAACGTCTTCCAGCCATTTCAGTAGCTCGCGTCTGGTCGTTGACTCATCCAAGGCATCTAGGACGACACAAACCCCTGTGCTGGCAGCAAGCATCTCGCAAACGACACCCGAGATCGCCTTCGTAGCAGGCTGGCACCTACCATTGTCATGATTCTTGAATAAGTCGTCCAATCGTGATGTACCAGTCGTCGTGCTTTGGTACAGTTGAAAAGCCAGAGACCGAAGCATGCCATCCAAATTCTGTTTTCGGGTGTCGCTGAAGTCGAAGAAGAAACTGAGGACCACTCGATCTTCGTCACTGGCGAGATGGTCCAGAATCGTCGTGCTGAGAACCGTCTTGCCGCATCCAGCAAGTCCATGTAGCCACGAGTACCGGCGTGGGCCGGTGCTCCACGACTTGAAAGCCGGATGCTCCAAGAACCACATACACGTTCCCTCATGACGGAGCTTTCTCGCTTGATTAGCATTAGTAGACGGGTCAGGCGGCTGAAGCCAAGATGCGATCTTATCTGCGTGGCGTTCGGATGCAATGCAGACAACAGCGGCTTTCGTTTCGAAAGTTGTCTGCTCCAAGTGATCGAGTTTGTGATCAACTATAGATCACAGAGTCTGTCAGAGCGCGTCCGAGTGGGCAAACTCAGGCCATGCAGTTCGATTGGTAGACTAACCCGACTCAAGCACATCCAGTGCTCGCTTGGTATCCCGCACCTCTGCCACCGGCACATATGATAGGAGCTCTTTCCCATAGGCGGCCGCCGTTGCTGACGCATACTGTTGCCACTGGTCGTTTTTGTGGGAATCAGCGTAGTCGCAAATGCCCCGGATCACGAGACATGGAAACTGGTTCATGAGGCCGGCTGCCTCCATCTCAAAGCAGAGACAGTCCTCGCCGACATCAGCAACAATCTGGTCGCGCGCTGTCGCGTCCTTGATAAGCGTGTTTCCTGATGCGATGATGCCGTAATGAATCTCAGGGTCGGTAGAGTCTCGGGCGTCACGTTGGACTTCGCCAGCGGCGTCACAGTCCTGACATCCCGGCCCGGGAACATGGTCGTACAAAGCCTTGAAGAGACGATCGTTTTCAGTACCTTGATAGGCAAAGCCGGGATCCTTCCTGCTTCTTCTTCCCATCTTGGGATACTTCTCCAACATTTCTCGCACGAAATCGGTGACCTTCGAGTCTTCCCGCTTATGGCGAGCCTGGATACTAGCAAGCGCACTGAGCAGCACTGTCGGAGGCTGTCTGAGGAACCCTTTACGTTCCCTCTTGTTACCGTGCTTTGCCTTGAATAAGTCGTACTGACAGACCCCACCCGTCGTCCCATCAGGCTGGCTCACCACGATATCGCCGAGGCGGATATCTTGGCCCTCGTCCGGCCGGGCGATGCCACCGCCTATGCCAACCAAGAGGCCAACGCGAATAGAAGGGAGAGAGGCAAGGAGGCTCAATGCAGTTGTCGCAGCCGATGTGGTCCCGTAGACCCCAGCCGGGAGACTGGCGACAACGACGTTGTGCTGTCCTATACGGCCCCATGTGTAGACGTTTTTGTCGGTGTGGTGTTTGATGAAGCCCGCCGGTGTCGCATGTTCCTCGTCTAGCATCGCCTCAGCAGCAGCTCGTTCGATCGAAAGGGCAGCGATCCAGGCGACGGTATAGTGGTCGGGGCTGTCGAGAGCCTGGGAAGACGCCATTGATCGTGCGGGCCTATCGATTGCCAAAGGAGGGATGGGCTCTGTGGTTCGATTCGAAATAGCCCGTGAAGAAGAAGTCGGGTTTGTGTTTTTTGCAAGAGTAGTAGTAAAGGGCAGAGGTTGCGACGGGAGCAGGCCGATCGTCGCCTAAGGTATCGAAGGTTGCAGACTGCTAACTTTGATGAAGAGGAAGGCACGAATCTGGTTCGCGACCCGAGCTTCAACTGGCCAGGGGCCGAAAATTCCACCACTACGACAACAAAGTGGAAAAATGTGGTCTTTTGGCTGCTGGTGGCTTGCATCAGACATTATAGCGGACACCAATAGACACACAAGTGTCACCACGTCATGTCATGTGAGGCTGAGACAGTGTTGTCTGCCTTGCGCCAAGGCAGCTGAAGGACCGACGGCCTCGCAAGACGAACACTGCAGGAACTGTGGTCTTGTCGGCAGTCACGTCAACGACAGACGCGACAAGCCGGCGAACCAAGAACACACGTAAACGCCCACCGAGGTCTTGGGCTGCTGAGGAGAAGGTACAAATCCGCACAGAAAGAATGGCGAAGAAACTGGCCAAGAGAGAGTCAGTGCCTGAATTGGGGCGAGGTGCACAGGATACACATCACCAAATGACTTCGCGAGGCATCTTGACGGTTCTGCGGGTATAATAATGACCACTTTCATGTCGGAATCCTACTCTTACTGCCTTATTTGAACCTCAGATTCTTTCTCCTCGTTCAGCCGTCCCGACTCCCCAAGTGGAAATACAAGATGCAGCTCTGCGCCAAGACCAGCACATACGATCATACCTTCCAGAAAATACGGGATCCCGTCCGCTCTCCCATAGTCAAGCTGGAAAGGGCCGGACTAGTACCCAGGTCGGTGACGACTGGGGAATCCCCGGTGTTGTATGTTTTTTGGTCTCATCTCGTCTCTGTCCTGTCTCCGTCCCGTCGTTTCGTATGTTTGAGGTTTTTCGTGAAAAGAGGGAGACAATACGGCTTATCACCCAACAACCCAATGAAATTGCCTGTTGCCTATTGCCAATGTTTTGTGAAACCAGTATGCTTATTATTTCGCTGGCCTGTCGTGGTGGGGCTATCTCCAGACACCCGATACGTCACCTCGGACTCAAGAGCCTGGACAACCTGGGGGGCTTCTAGGTATCGATATTATGTTTCCGTGATTGGCAACAATAATAGTGAAATCAGAATAGTCGTTTTCAGGCTGCAGGCTGCGGATAAAACCTGCTGCTGAATTGGCGGGTGTACTACTCAAATAAGGTATGCCAGGCTCCTTATTTGTCATTCGACTTCCACCAAATCTGCGCGTATATATAGCCAATTAGATACCTTTCAGGGACCGAGACCTTTAGGTAGACGTTTAAGCATCAGAGCCTGGTCAAAATAGACTGGCAAATCTCGGTTTCGAAGTTTGAGATGTAATGGAATGCGAGCACTGCATGTCTGATTGGAAGCTGTACCAGCTGCTTCTTGATGTGGCTGTGAGGTAAGGCTGGAAGGCGGGCATGAGAACAAGCTATTTTTGAATATCGAGCCAAGTCAACCAAGATCCAAATGAAGCCCAGTGATAGGTATGAAGACCAGCTGGAAGGAAGACCATCTGGAAGAGTCTTGGCAGGCACAGCATCACAGCCTCAACTTTCGACCCTACCCCCAAACCACGTATGACAAGGGGCTATATGCAGCAGGAACTAGTGCTTACTTCCAATTCGACAAGGAGGATCCATGTTCATCTCCAAAGTGATCCGTTGGATGGTAGATAAGTACGGCGATGATCGTCTGGCATCACCTTTTTGTTGATCCGCCTCCTCCGACTCTCTCCAGTAGCACAAAACACCGAGCTGTCTGCACCGACAAACAACATGCGGGCGACACTTCTTTTCTTACTCGGCTTTCTGTCACCGGTGTGGGTCCGGGCCGAGTCACGGTTCCGTCGGCCACCCGGCCCCGGCTACGTCCGAGACTACCGGGACAACAACGCCTATGTTCGCGGCGAATACTTGGACATTGGATGGGATATGGACTTCAAGTCGGCGAAGTTGGTGTTGTGGCAGGAGTACGATACGACGAAGGCGCTTGACTATGTCATCCTACAGGGTAAGTCACTTAACCGGGACACGACTATTGGCGAAAAACATTGATGAGTTGAAGCTGACCTTTTGTTTTACGTGAAATAGAAAACACGACAGACAGCAAATACAAGTGGAAGATATCCGATGAAGGCTTCGTCAACCCGAATCTAAGCAACGTCTACTACTTCGAACTGGTCGAGGCGGGAAAGGACATGGCAAATTGGGCAGTCACATGTCACTACTTCAATATCACCGACCCAGTGACCGCCACAACGAACACGACGGAAACCACAGAGCCCATTGAATCAGACTCTGTCAAGGAACAGGCGTTGTCAGCCGGAACAGCCCTCGGGATCGGGATCGGAGCGACTCTCGGAGCGGTTTTGCTGATTGGCGTCGGAGGCTGGCTGATCTTTCGCTGTCTCCGGAACAAAAAGACATCAACAGAAGGACAATACATGGAGCAGCCCATCATGACAGGCAGCAGTCCGTCGTATCAAGAGGTGCATGGGTATGACACCCAGCAGACGGCGTCACCGGTGGCACCTACGGAGTGGACCTTGCAGACTTCACAAGTGTCATCCATGGGCCACCATCTCCATGAGGCCCAAGCCAATAATGTGGTTGTTAGGCATGAGATGTACGCTGAGCAGATCGATGCTCATGGCACGAAATCGCCAGTGGGAGTAGCAGATCGAGTAGTGTAGACAGGTACAACTTTCCAATTTCCAAGATGGGAGGCGGCAACGAGGTTGCACCTTTTTGAAGTTACAACCTATGTAAGACATCATTGCTCTGCTTGGCCTCCGTTGTAGGTCGAGGGTTCCAACAAACATCAGAAAAAGAGCATGTGTACGTACGCCAGACTCAATCGATTACCTACCTCAAGGCACGGTGAATGCTACCTATGGAAGAAAGAAGAAAAGGCAGGTACTGCTCCTGGGGTCAGACCCAGAACGATGGCTCTTGCCTTTTCCCCAAGCTTATACGAAAGAAAATATCGATCCAGCCCCTTCAGGGCTCCTTCTATCAGAAACAGTTTTGTTATCGCGTGGCACGTGGCATAAGGTAAGAAAAAAACAAGAACATTGTATCAAGCAACACCTTAGGGAGTAACTTTCTCTATTGTTGGCTTTTCTTCTAAGCCTGCCTAACCAACTAAAGAGTCAACTACCTTCAACCACCTTCATCACAGTTTGTTTTTTTAGTCTTTTTTTAGTCTTTTTTTTTTTTTTTAGAAAAAAAAATCATATCTTTTTTCGGTTTTTTTTCGTCTTTTATTTTCGTCTTTTTCTTTTTTTGGCCCGAGACCGACGTCGGCTCTTTCGCTACAACAATACCTTCGCAGCACTCACAATCCACCTTCCTGCCTCTTACCTCACCATTCCGAATGGCAAATTTGCCGCCAATCGCCAACGATCACAAACATGTCTCTCAAGCGCAAAAGAGACATGGATGAGTGAGTTTCATTTAAGTATCCGGTCTCTACCTCCCCAGCTAACGGAGGGCGCAGGCTCCTCACCTCCAGAAACATCACATTCATCATCGGACCCGACAAAGTACGCTACAGTGTACACGAGAAATCCATCGCCGGCCTTTCCGACCCGCTCCGAGCTCTCGTCACTGGGCCCATGCGAGAATCCATCGAGGCCAAAGTCACCTGGGAAGACGTTGAACCCGCGGTCTTCGTTAACCTGATGGAATACGCCTATACCGGCGACTTCTTGATATTGGGCTGTGTCGACAAGAACGCTCCGGAAGGCGGGATGAATAATCTGTCGAATGAGCAGAAAGAGGCGAGCGACCAAAACAAGAAAGCCAAGAAAAGAGATGACAAACTCCCCCAAAGTCTTTTCGAAGCCGTCGTGAGCGCCAAAAAGGCAGGAGGTATAAAGCTCGCGGCGTATCAATTCACGAGAAAGTCTTTCAAATGCAGCAAATCATGCAAGTTCAGAATCACCAACGACATCCAGACTATCTACAACCAAGAGCAAATCGAAGCCTCAAAGAAGATCATCCCTTGCGATCTCGAACATTACATGTCACTCGCGAAGCTATACGTTCTCGCCGAGAAGTACGACATCAGCGAGTTGAAAACCCTCTGCGCCTCTAGGTTCAAACACAGCATATTCCACGCCCCGGGAGCAGCAAACTTCATGGATGACATGATATTCGTTCTCCGATACCTCAGCAACCTCACGAGACCCAAAGACCAGCTACGGAAAGTCATGCTCAAGTACATTATCACCGATTTGAAGTGGTTTATGGATCAAAACTGTTTTCGAAACCTTTTGCAGGAACTACCGGAAGTTGCAACTGAGCTTTTTCTTATGATACCCTCCGAGTATTGGCAAGAAGTCAGTCGTATGTGCTGAGCACATGCAGTGTTGGTTACTGGGATGGGATTATGGGCTGTGATTACTGGATAAGAGAGACAGGTCAATGGAAAGTCTCGCAAAACACGGTATGCTTATTGTCAGAAGAAGCGAAGGCAATAAACACAGGATAGTGACGAAGACAACGCAGGCGAGGAATCAAATTGACAAAATTACCTCTATTTTAATTATAAGTGCCGCACATGCAATTATCAAGCTCGAACCACAAAGAAGGAGTGAACTCCAACAGGACATCGGCCATAAATTCCGGCAGCTCCTTCCGCATCCGTTGAAGAAACCCGCAAACTTTGAACCAGAAGACCCGCGCAACGCAATATCTGACTAACAGACGACGGAGTTCGTCAGATGCCGTGGTGTTGTCGTACACGTAGACAACAAGATCGCGTAGAACATCCACGAATTCCGGGCTCCCGGGAACATTGCGCAGGCTGACGCGCACTCGCTGAAGACACAACGACTTGAGCGTGACAGCCACGTACTTGTCGGCCAGGACGTACAGCTTGGCATGGTGCATGAAGACACCGTGATATCCGGTACGGTCGTTCTTTTCCATATCGCGCGCGAAGGGAAGGTTTTCGTGCGGGTTCTCTCTGCCCTCGTCGAAGTGCTTCTCGCAGAACTTAAGTCTGGTGTCAGTTATCGTGACATAAGCTCCGGCACTCCGGTCGCTGTTCATCTCGGAAAGCATCGAGGGGAAATGCACTCCAGGGTCATCCTGCTGATCTTTCTTCGAAAAGGATGCCATAGTGACATGTTTTGGTCGGGGCTCGTCGGTCTGGCGAAGATCGGGCACAGAATAGTCACCGGTGTACGCGAATTCGACGAGTCCGAGAAAGGTTGAGGACTCGGTGTCATCCCAGACAACGATCCCCTCTAGCGATTCTTTCATGCCGCCCGAGAGAAGCGCTTTGAGGGGTCCAGACACGGCGCCCAAAGAGGCCTCGTGGACGCTAAACTCTTTCCCCTCGGTGCCGACGAAGAACTTGATCGACCTCGATTGGAAAATACTAGAATGAAACCTTAGCATCGGACCCTCAGAATGAATCCGAGGAAACCACAAACTCTTCCATTGTTCCCTTTCGCTTGAGAGACATGATTGTGGTCGCTTGACTTCGCTTGAGTGCTGTTGCTGTCGTTCTGATCTGGTCAGTTCGACCCGCTGGATGGCGATGAGAACGGAAGTGCAGTGCTTCCCTCTCAGAAAACCCGAGAACCTTAACAACGACGGGGAGACGATTGTCCAGGCCGTTCCGAATTCCTCAGTTGCGTAGGAGGCCAAGTGGACGGAGACTTTTGGCGGCGGGGGGCTGCGTTGCCGCAAACGTCCAGTCCAAGACAGTAATGAATACTAGGGTAACTTTTTACACGCGAGCAGCAAATTATTTGTGTCACTTTCTGGCGAACTTGTTGGATGAATTAGTGTCGTTTTTATGCTATGTCTTAACAAAGAAGGTCTCTCTGGTTAAAGCGACAGGTACCATCAACTGTCTCTGGAAATTGAGAGTCCACTTGATCCAAGGACATACGGGAGCAGCCGCCGAGTGCCAGACGGCTCCTCGCCCCCAATACACAACCGAAATCAGAACTCGCTACCGACAGCCTCAAGGTTTCGCCTTCAGCTGATCACAAAGCTTCTGCGGCATCTCCGTCAACAATTCTTTGGCCATTTCAGGAATGCTCTGAAGAAGGCGGAGAAGGTAGTCGTTCCGTTTGATCCAATCAATCTGCGCGATGAAGTAGCGCATGAAAAGCCTTCGGATGTAGTCCTCAGATAGCGTATTGGCGTTGACGAAGCAAAAGGTGTCGATCAAAACGTCCATGAGCTCGGCAGTAAGGGGGGCGAACAGGAGAGCCTGGCGGATGATGTCGCAGCTGGCTTCCTTGAGGCTGTCGAAGCTGTACTTGTCCGCGATGACAAGGACCTCGACATGCTTCATGAAGTAGTTTGCGATGTCTTGGCGATCTTTCTTCTTCATGTCTTTCTTCCAGACTTTATAAGCCTCTTCGCGCTCCTTAGCGTCCGAATCACCGCAGAAGCTTTTCGTACAAAAATGATGCATGTAGGTTACATTGTAACGACCGAAGCTGTTCATCCAGTCCATCAGAGACTCGGCATCCTGGTCCGGCTTTGAGACTTTGCGGGAGTCTTTCTTCGAAGCCGCATCAACAGCGACGCTGTCCTTCGCCGAGACCTCGGCGCGTGCATCGGGGCCAATCGAGCCGTCGTATTCGCCGTTGTAGGCGAATTGCAGCAGACAGTCAAAAGTCTCAGGGTCGACGTCCTCCCAAACGACCTCTGCTTCGATTGACTCTTGCATGCCGTTGGTGAGCATGGCTCGAACGGGCATGGAAAGATCAGTGAAGGCCTCTTGGTGAACCGTGTATTTCTTCTTGTCCTGGCCAATAACGAACTTAATCGGCCTCGACTGGAAAATGCTGCGTTTTGTTAGCTATCTCCAGTATATTAACTGAGAGGTAATTCGCACGAATCCATGGATCTCTTGCGCTTCTCGGGCATCTTTGCGTTTTGGAGCTTCGTTCGTCTTGCGGTAGGTGGCCGACGTGAATGATGGCAGACTTAGTGGGCAGTGGCCGGGGACGTGGATAGCGACAGCGGGGTAAACAGGAGTAGAAATGAAGAAGATTTGACGTAAATCTGAGTTCGAGCTCTTAGGAAGCTTTTTCTCAGTTGAAACGAAGGAAATACCTTTTTGGCAGGTAGAAGAAGTGGTAGGGCAGCCCCTTGAATTCACATTTACAATGAACAGAAGGAGCTACCGAGACAACAAGCACGGCTCATCGGCAAACAGACTGCACTGTATTGCATGACTAAGCATCCACACCCGACATGCCAATAACTAATCAGTTATCCGGATCATTCTCAAACCTGACTTCTCTCACTCTTCCCTCGAATTACTCGGCTTAGGTCTCCTACGGGGATCTCCAGCGGAAAGTCCACAGACGGAAGCAAGATGGCGAAAATGAGCCACCAGCCAGCCATGCACGTCACGAATGCACACGCACCAGCAGCCTACAACACCCTGTGGTCAGCCCCCAAACCTCACTGTCGAGCGCGTGTGCGACAAGACTTACCTCCAGAAGCTTAGCAGCATAAGCAGAGTTGCCGGTGAAGTCCATGGCAAGGAACCAGTACGCCGCCGTGATGAGGCCGAAGACCGCAACGAGGGTCAAGAAGATGACGAAGAAGACGATGTTGGTCCGCAGCGAGCAGACGAGAAACACGAGGCAGATCATGCCCATCGCGAGGGTTATGAAACCTGTCATGACGCATCAGCATATCTCGTTCTTCTACAGCAGTCATCAAGATCAAGACCCACCGAAGCTGGCGTTGAACCCCTTCGTCGCCAGGCCATCGGCAGGGTTGGTCGACCCCGCGGGGGCATACGACGAGAAGGCCGCAAACGAAGGGTTCAGAGTCCCGCCGAACGTCGCCCAAAACGCTCCAAAGGTCGTGAAGACGGTCGCGGGGAAGGTGTTACCGAGAACCCATTCGAGGAGGCCGCCGACGAACATGAGGACACCGCCGAAGAAGAAGTATGAGGGTCTGAGAGGTCACGATGTTAGTCGTGGATTATCGAGAAGAGCAGGCGACCATTCGACTTACATGCCAGCCGCACCGTTGCCACCTGCCCCCCGCCATCCCATCAAATCGATACAGAGCGGCGTCAGGGAGATGAGGAAACCGACGATGGCACTGTACAGGGTCAGTCGACGGAGTCTTGGACAGCAGGTATTCCCTATGGGTCTCACATCGGCGTCGGGTTACCAAACGTCTTCCGTAAGTCGCCCTTCACTTGGTTCTGCGGCGACAGGTACAGCTTCTCGAATAGCTCCGGGGATATGGAGATGGAGCCGGCCGTCTTCATCCTCTTCAATGCGTCATCGCGGCTCATCTGCGGAGAGATGTACTCGTCGGCGTAGTCGTACCCGTTCGCCTGCGGAGGCGGCCCCCGAGGTCGACGGTGTTCATTATGGTTGGAGTGTGACCGAATCTCGTGGATCTGTTCTTTGTGGTCCATGGTCGATAAACTTATTACAGGTATCTGTGTTGATACAATGGATGGTAGGCTAATGATACAGAACAATTGGACGAACAACGAACGATGACAGAGATGTCAGGGACGAAAGACAAAGATGAGCTGAACCTGCCAGAGCCCCCATTATGAATGTCGAGGCGGCCACAACAGGTCTAGTCCTCGCATGCTGCCTCGCACTCAAAGGTGTGGACTGCTTCAGCACAGGATGTTTGTGACCGGACTGGGGTAGGATGACCGGGCATCTTGGCATGGTCCTGCTGGCAAGCCTGGTCCAGTCGGAAGGCTGGCAGGAGCACTCCATGATGGAGGACAAGACGATGCCTGTCCGCGATCATTGGAGCACTAAGGACCCCATGCAGGCGTCGTGAGGAGGCTTTTCACTAGGGCCACCGGCAGAGAGCGAGGAGGGTTCGGCAAAAGGGATGGTCCTGCACCCCGGAGCCCGGGCATGGGAGTGTCATGATGTGGGATCTACGAGGATGATTCGTCCTTGTCGGAAGCTTTCTCGTGTGGAGGGCACGTTTGGGGTTCGAGAGAGGGGTCCTCTTTTCCCACCGGGGGAGGTTTTCTGTCAACGTCTCAGTTGAAACGGTCCACCGTACGGCCGGGTCTGCGAGGTGAATTGACGTGACGACGCAACGGGGACCAATCTTCCCAGTTGAGGCTTTGGGGTCATCTCGCGTGGACGTAAGGGGGCGGGACGTGATGAGGCGCGGCCAAGGGGAATTTTCTGACAGAGACAACGAATCAAACGGCCAATGGCGTCGTGTTTCTCAGTTGCCGGATCGAGACCGGCGAAGGGAATAACACGGCGGACGGGAGGCACGCGGAACCCGGCTTGCAGTAGCGCAGGCGGCGGACGGTCTTCTCCTCCCCACGCGCGTATTGTCACCCGCAGGCGCTTCGACTTGACCCAAGGAGGAGGCTATTACGCTACCGGTAGCCCCCAAGGAGGGAAACTAAAACGACGTTTAGGTTGGGTTTTGGGCCATTCTGAGGCATGAAGCTTCAGCTTGTGTGGGGTAGAGGACGCGGCGAAGATGCGGGGAAAGCTTTGGGGATGCGTGGTGTTGGTGCGGATCAAGGGAGCAGAGGTCGGGGTAGCGGATGAGGCGTGTGCATTTTCCGTCTTGTTTGGACGCAGTGAGGATGAACAGGGGGCTTGAAGATGAGATGCATTGACATCGGTTGAGACGTGTTGAGGACTGGGTGTTAGAGGAAACACTCACGACGTCGAATTCGACAATCGAGAGTGAGCGGGTGATGTCGTTGAATAAGAGAATCGAGTCTGGGCCGGTCGTGACGGGATCACTTGAGGCTCATTCACGATCCGTCGACCACACTAGTTCCTTACCCCAGACTTGGCAGCTTCGTTGGCTCCATCGCACCGGGGAATAATCTACGAGACCATGAAGCCCCCCTCTCACCCAGGTCAATCCCGCTGCGGCAGGAGATCCGCCGCGAAGGAGGAGGGGGTAGTGTGACCTACTTATGCCCGCCGAGCCAACGATCACGAAACCCCTCGCAACTTTAAAGGACGGAACCATCCCCGGGACGGAGCTATCTCGGAATAGCCTCGCCAACGCGGATTTTCTTCACGATGGATGATCCAGGCGAGCTTCATGACCGGTTTCGGTCTTGACACAACTCAAAGTAAACGTAAATCTCAAGTCATTCGCATCTCGTAGTACTTTACTTCTAGGGTAGTGACCACCACCTCCAGCGTCTTGGCAAACAAACACGCGTTGCTGAGCAAGTCATACACACACACACACACAAACACACGCTTCCGTCTCACAGCTTCCCCGCAGCCCCCAGCGCCTTGTCGCCGTCCACGAGGACGCACCAGCCCTCGCCGCCGACGGTGCCGCCGCCGAAGCCGGCGACGACGGCCTCGAAGCCGCCCTCGCCGCGGGCGTACTCGAGCACGGCGTCGTCGAAGGTGCCGGGCTGCAGCCAGACGGCGGGGACGCCGAGGTCCCTGGCCTCGCGGAGGACCTTGAGGGTGGCGGCGGGCGGGGTGATGATGGAGACGGAGGTGGCCTTGGGGTCGGGCAGGGCGGAGAGGCTGGGGAGGGCCGGGTGGTCCTTGCCGAGGGCGTTGACGGTGTCGGAGGTCGGGTTGATGGGGGTCGCGGGGATGTTGTGGCGGAGGTACCAGGCGAAGACTGCGGGATGAGGTTAGTTTTGTGATTGATCGTGAGATAAGTGATTGTTGGGTGAAGGATGAGTGAGATCAGTGCGGTGGTGATCTTATCGATGAGGGATAGAACGGGACGGCGAGTCAAGGGGCCGAAACGCACTCTTATGCCCGAACTTTGCGGGATTCGAACTGGCGCCCACGACAGCGAAGAACTGCGAAGAGAAAAACGCGCGGGCCGTGGCTTCGGTCGACATGTCGGGCAACGGTTTGAGAGTTTCTTATCGTGATGGGCTCGTTCAAAAGTCGCGCGGAGGGCTGGCGAGGAAGAGCGAGGTGGTTCGGAGAAGAGGGGTAGCACGGCTCGGAGCAGCGTCGAATCTCCATCGCCATGAGGAGCTCCGAGCACGTCAGGTGGGTCCAGGCGGCTGTGTGGGCCGAGGCCGGGGCCGCGCAGAATGGGGCGCCTCAGTGCCCGTCGCCGATGACGCGATGGAGGCCGCGGCTGTGATGCGTTTTGGGCATGGCGGACTTGGTCATTTCTGGATATTCTGAGGCTCGTGGGTTGGGTTGTGGCGACGAGGTTCGGCTTGGAGTTGCCGTGAGAATTTTCTGAGCTCTTTGGAGAGTAGCCGAATAAGCAGGATAAAATCGAAGGGGTCGCCCGGGGTTCAGAGGACAAAGAACAGACAGACAGACTCATCATCAACCTCACTTGGGAAAGTCAACATTGCTTCGACATCAACACATAATAGCCAATCAGATCTCACCAATTACACATTCACGATGTCTGTCTTTGCGTATGAATATCCTCATCACAGACACGGGTAAAGACAAAACTGACAGACATTAGACGCTCAACGTTCTCCGCAGCCGGATATGCGGCGTTTCGCCCGTCGTACCCGGCGTCGCTCTACAAGACAATACTGGCATATCACAACGCGCAATCAGCAAACGGCACAGCGCTAGACCTGGGCTGTGGCCACGGCCTCATCTCGCGAGAACTCGCCTCGCACTTTGGCAAGGTGGTCGCCATCGACCCGTCGGCGGGTATGGTCAAGCAGGCGTCCGAGTCGACCAAGGACCCCAAGATCACGTTCCGGCAGGGCAGCTCGGAGGACCTCTCGTTCCTCGAGGACAAGTCGGTCGACCTCGTCGTGGCGGGACAGGCGGCGCACTGGTTCAACTACGACAAGGTGTGGCCGCAGCTCGCGCGGGTGGTCAAGAGCGGCGGGACGCTCGCGTTCTGGGGGTACAAGGACAACATCATCGTGGGGTACCCCGAGGTCAACGCCATTTTCGAGCACTTCTGCTACGGGGAGGGCGAGGCGTCCGCCGGGTTCTCGTACGAGACGATGGGGCCGTACTGGGAGAAGCCGGGACGTCAGATCCTCCGCGACAACCTGTCGGTCGTGAAGCCGCCCGAGTCGGAGTGGGAGCGGGTGAAGCGCATCCTGTACGACCCGGACCGGACGACGTCGCAGGTCGGGCCGGATGTGGCGCCCGAGGCGGCGTGGCAGCGCAAGAAGCTCAAGCTGGGCGAGTTCGAGGGCTACGTGCGGACGTTCAGCGCGTACCGCGGGTGGAGGGACGCGCACCCGGAGGTGACGAGCCGGGCGGAGGGCGGGAGCGGGGATATCGCGGACGCGTTGTTTGACCGGTTGCTGGAGACGGTGCCGGAGTGGAAGGCGAAGGGCGGGGAGTGGCGCGATGTCGAGGTCGAGGCGGTCTGGGGGACGACGATTATCCTGGCCAAGAGGAAGTGAAGGTTGGGCTGGGTGGAGGAATGACTCGGGGCGAGGTCTGTGGTTTGTGTCGGGACGAACCGCTGGCGGATCACAACGTGTCAATTAGCATCATCCGTATCGCCCGTCCCGTCGACGTCGCCGTAGGAGATATTCACATGCGATGTCATATCTTTGGTGGTTGTGATGCATAAGTTTGAAGCAAACAGGAGGACGTGAAATGAGAGTCGATAGTGCAAAGCCATTGACAAGATTGATTGGCAGCTGGCAGGCCCATCGGGCTGAGGCGAGGCGTCTTGGACATGTCATTGGCCCACGGCCTTTGGTAAGCGTCCCCACTACGCGTGGTTGCCCCGTCAGGTTTCAGGAGTTTTGGCGGGTGTATCAACACCAAGTGCACTGTGTTCGCTGACCGCCCGCCTGAGCCGCCCACCTCCACCACCCCAAGGCAAACCGTCCAGGGGCGACTGCCAGTGTCTCCAATAGTGCGTCCAGCAAGACTCACCGCCGCATGAATAACGGTGACTGGGAATCCCCATCCCATGGGCCATGTCCATGACTTGAATAAAAAAGCCGAACATTGGATAAAAAACGGTAGACGGGCAGAATAAGGAGACGGGAGGGGAGGGGAGGAAAGTGACATAAAGTGTTTCGACCGCCAAACATCAACTTCCAGAAAACATCATCGCCAACTCTCGTCCGTCTCAATCAACAAAGTTGCCTCTTGTTTTTTAATTTTTGTTTGATTTTCCCTCCAAAGTTCTACCAATTACATACACAATACAATGGTGAGTTTCCCTACCTACCTACCACAGCCCACATACCACACACACCACTTTGCCTTGCTTTTTTGTTTTGTTTTCATTTCTCTCTACCTGACATTTTACTCGTTCCCCCACCCCCTAAAAAATGTAAACAAAGGGGGATGGCAGCCATTCAGCGAGCTCGCCTTGCCTTGGCCCCCTTTGACTGCTGCTGCCACCTTTTTCTAGCGCCTGGTTGGTTCCAGCGGCGAACCTTGTAGAACGATTAATTGCAGTGGGAGCGAGACAAATGCGGTGCGGCCGGTCATCCACCCGCCAACAGGTCCAACCCAAACAATCCGGCGCCCAGCCACGGGGCCACGGGGGGCGAGGGCGAGGGCGGACGTGGAGTGCAGTGAGGGAGGGGAACTTTCCGATCCGCGGCTGCAGTTGGTGCATCACGACATTTCTCACTCGTTCTTGCCCAACTTCTACAACCTCGCAATTTTCCACTCCGCTTCGCGACTTTCTCTTTTCTCACTCCATCTCCGCGAAAACCGCATCCGAACACTTTGCGCAAATCTTACACATACACACATAATCCACAATGGCTTCTAACCAGTACGACGCTCAGGCTTCGACCAACTACAAGGAGGCCTTCTCCCTCTTCGACAAGCGCGGCAACGGCCGTGTCGCCATCGACAGCCTCGGCGACCTCCTTCGCGCCTGCGGCCAGAACCCCACCCTCACCGAGATCCGCGATCTCGAGAAGAACGTCGGAGGCGACTGTGAGTTTTCCGTCCACCGTCCAGATTATCATCCTACCCCGGCCGGCGAGTCGAACATCATTTGCGCGCGGCGAGACGCGAATGCAATGCGACGTGATCGGACCGAGACAGCGAAGAAGACATTGAGGAACACAGTTGACTGACCGAGCCCCCGAAACAGTTGACTTCGAGACCTTCCAGCGCATCCTCAACCGCCCCGGCGGCTTCCGCGACCCCGGCGAGCCCGAGGAGTACTGCCGCGGCTTCCAGGTCTTCGACAAGGACATGACGGGCTTCATCGGCGTCGGCCAGCTCAAGTACATCCTGACCAACCTCGGCGAGAAGATGACGGATGAGGAGGTCGACGAGCTGCTCAAGGCCGTCGACACCAGCTCCGGCCAGGTCAACTACACCGGTGAGTCCCCCTCCATCCTGCGCAAATGCAACATCTCGTCATATCTAGTGACGATGCTAACGCGCCCCGAACAGAGCTCGTCCGCACCATCCTCGCCAACTAGACTTCCGATACCACTGCGATAGACGGTTGGAGGCATAGCATCGAGCGTTGTACGACATACACACCGAGAGAGACGGGCTGGGATTGCGAGAGCAGCTTACGAAGACATTTTGCATGGCTGGCACGATGGGATGGCGTTTGCTTTTATCAGTTTTGACGTTGGCGATTGTTCACTACACTTCGTAGGGAATTTGGGTATTTGCCGGAGTTGGCTCGTCAGAGGCTTTCTCTGGATCACGGTGCGGCTTCTCATGGAACCCATACCGAAAAGGAATAAACTACTTTGATACCAGTTGTTCTCCGGTCTGTGATCACTTTGACCAGTTGAATTGTCTATGCCAATGTCGCACTTTGGCCCCATCATCTCGGCTGGCGCATTGTCTCTGGTCTGTTTTCTCTACCTTATTTGTTGTCCTCTTTTGCGACGTAGTCATCAGGCACACCAGCAGGACACAAAGTACTTTGCTGTCTGCTCAGCAACCATGAACCCCGCCATCCTGGATACATTCCAGGTTATGTAATCCATCGTTCTACGTCCTGCATACTTGGACTCCTCTGCTTCGACGGCTTCCTAAAGTCCCATTCCTTTTACCGTCTTTGCTTCTTCTGTTCCCATCTAGTCTTGCTCTCTGCTATGTTTCTGTTGTCGTCCGATATCATCCTCCATGTACCTCCGTAGAATGACCTGATTAGATAGATACCTCTCAGCTTACCTAAGCCTGACACCACAGCTGCTCCAGCGTGGGGCGGATGTCGTAGCACCGGGACAGCTGTGCTTGAGCTCAGCAAACGAACGACCACTTACACACCCGACACCACATCTCCCCGCCCTGAGCTTCTGCAAGAATCCTGAACTCTGCTTCGCCTCTACCTGACCTACCCGCCCTGTACACCAGACAAGTTTACCTTTCGTCCCCAACAGCCAACCGAGCGCGCTTGCCCTGCAGCAGCGCCTGCCCCTCCCCCGCTTCCACTCCATTCGCCGTGGCGTCGACCGCTCCCAAGCGCCGTCTACCCCTCCTCTCGCTACTATCCCCTCTCTCCTTCTTCCTCTTATTCCTCGTCGTATCTCTCATCCTGGCGGCCCCACGAGCAGTTCCGAGAATCACCTCTCTCTTCGCACAGCTACGCTTCAAGCCAACTCCCTACGTTTCTACCGCCACTGCTACCTACACATACCGTCCATTGGTGACCGCCGCCATGACGGTCCCCGACAAGTACAAGTCGCCCCCTCAGGCGCCCCCCGTCTTCACGGGCACCAAGGACTCCATCGTCAGCGACTCCAAGAAGATTTGCGACCAGACACGCGCCCTCCTGGACAAGCTCGTCGCCGACCACACCCCCGACAAAGCCACCTTCGACAATGTCATGCGCCCCATCGCCAAGGACGAGAACGAGAGCGGACTGTCTACGAGGATCCTCGGCTTCTACCAATACGTCTCCAAGGATGCCGCCCTGCGCGAGGCGTCGACCGAGGCCGACAAGATCATGGACGACTTCTCCATCGAAGTCAACATGAGGGAGGACGTGTTCAAGCTGATTGACGCCATCCACAACCGAAAGGACTCGGAGGGTCTCGACGCCGAAAGCCTCCGTCTGCTCGAGAAGGACTACAAGAACTACATCAAGATGGGATTGGGTCTCCCTGCCGGCCCCCAGCGAGACCGCTTCAAGGAGATCAAGAAGCGCCTGAGCCAGATCCAGATCGAATTCCAGAAGAACCTCAACGAAGAGAACGGTGGTATCTGGTTTACGCCCCAGGAGCTGGACGGCGTCCCCGAAGACGTTATCGATGGGCTCGAGAAGGGTACCGGCGACAATGAGGGCAAACTGAAGCTGTCCTTCAAGTACCCCGACTTGTTCCCCACCCTCAAGTTCGCGAAGAACCCGGAGACGAGGCGTTCAGTGTTTATTCAAAACGAGAATAAGTGCAACCAGAACGTCCCGTTGTTCAAGGAGGCCATCATCCTTCGCGACGAGGCTGCTCGCATGCTTGGATACCCCGACCACGCCTCTCTCCGCATCGAGGACAAGATGGCCAAGACTCCCAAGACCGTCAATGACTTCCTGGGTGACCTCCGCTCCCGATTGGCGGCTGGTGGTGCCAAGGAGGTCGAGCACCTGCTTGAGCTCAAGAAGGCCGACTCGGAGGCCCGGGGCGTGTCGAACGACGGCAACTACTATCTCTGGGACCACAAGTTCTACGACCGGTTGATGATTGAAAAGGAATACAACATCGACGAGAACAAGATCGCCGAGTACTTCCCAATTACTTCTACTATTGCTGGCATGTTGAAGATCTTTGAGGAGCTCCTGGGCTTCGTCTTTGTCGAGCTCAAGCCCGAGGACCGTGCTACCTTGAGCCCTACTGGCAAGGCGGAGGACATTGCTTGGCATGAGGACGTCATCATCTTCAGTGTCTGGGACGATGCAACCGAGGGCGATGGATTCGTCGGTTACCTGTACCTCGACCTTCACCCTCGCCAGGGCAAGTACGGCCACGCCGCCAACTTCAACCTGCAACCCGGTTACCTGCAAGCCAACGGCTCTCGCAGGTACCCCGCCACTGCCCTGGTTTGCAACTTCAGCAAGCCTACCCCCAAGAAGCCCTCTCTGCTCAAGCACGATGAGGTCGTGACGCTCTTCCACGAGCTCGGTCACGGTATCCACGACCTCGCTGGTCGATGCACCTACAGCCGCTTCCACGGTACCAGCACTGTTAGGGACTTTGTGGAGGCGCCCTCTCAGATGTTGGAAAACTGGTGCTGGACCCCTAGTGTGATCAAGTCTCTGTCGAACCACTACCAGACTGGCGAGAAGATTCCCGACGATCTCATTGAGAAGCAGATCTCAACGAAGCATGTCAACGCCGCTCTCTTCAACCTCCGTCAGCTCCACTTCGGTATCTTCGACATGACAGTGCACACCCCCAAGAGCCATGACGACATCAAGAACATGGATATGTCGTCCATCTACAACGAGCTTCGCGGTCAAATTGCTGGAATCAAGGGACCCGAGGCTCAGGGTGAGAAGAAGTATGTTGAATCCAAATACCCTATGAATGACCGCGCTAACATAAACAGCACCTGGGGTAACGGACAGGCCTGCTTTGGCCACTTGATCGGAGGCTACGACGCCGGTTACTACGGTTACCTCTCATCAGAGGTCTACTCGACTGACATGTTCTACTCTGTCTTCAAGTCGGATCCCATGAACGGAAAGGAGGGCCGTCGATACAGGCACACCGTCCTCGAGAAGGGCGGCAGCCAGGAGGAAATGTTGACCTTGGAGCAGTTCCTGGGTCGCAAGCCCAGTACCGAGTCCTTCTACAAGGAGCTGGGTATTCCTCAGTAAACTGGGTGGGTGTCGCTGGATGAAGCAAGAAAAAGCAGTGTTATACTTTGTATCCTTAGTATGAGGTCACCGAAGACGTGATCATCACAGACGCACAGCGTCTCAAACACTGCTCAAGTCCTACGCCCCTGTTTGCATGATTTTATCGATCATGATTGTGAAGTGAGTAATCGGTGAATCACAGCGGATGACAACATGAGCAAAAATCGCAGAATTATCGGAAGCAACAGCAGCAGTAATCAATAACAACAGCAAAAGTCACGAAAACACAACAAGTGTGCATAGCAATGAGGTGCAAAATGCCCTGCATACGCTGAGCTTCAGCCACAGCTTCAGAGGTCCCCGCCCGCACCCCGCCAGACCCACTCATCACCTGCATTGCCCTGTGCTGACAGTGCCGCTAGCAACGGGAACCGCACGAACTGAATGTAATGTAAACAAACGCGCCGGAACTGGCCAATGCGATTGGGGCTCTGTTGATCTAACCCACGCCCGGCGTACTCCCGAACACGCTTTTATCACCACCAACGTCGGCATTGCGCTTTTCACACTCGACGGATCAACAGCTCTCTACTAACCTCAGCTCCCTCAGCATCGCTACCTTTCACCGTCGTCGACGCGACTTATTCTCGATTTTTCCACGACCCAATGCATACTTGCAGCGAATAGCACTTCCTTTCTGCGATTGACGCGCCCGTCCCTCATACCTTCGCAAACGCATCGCGCCCCGGATCGCGACTTCCACCCTTTTTACAACCCATTCACGCCCAGATACGACGACTACGATGGCAGCCTTCGAAGGCTTTGTGCCGGCCGAGTTCTTCACCTACGAGGGTCGCCTGGGGTCTTTCTCGGAGAACTATCCATTCCCGAAACGACGCGCATCTGGGGCGACCAAAGGCGCAAAGAACCTGACCTGGCCGCACGCCAATTACCTTTTCGCCGAAGACGTACGTTTTATGCGCGAGAACAGAGAATATACTCCAAGGACTCGGAAACGCTGACCTCGTACCAGCTAGCTAAAGCCGGCTTCGTCTGGAAACCTTGGCCCGATAACCCCGACAATGTTGTGTGTTTTTTGTGCAATAAATCTCTTGATGGCTGGGAAGAAGGAGACAACGCGCTTGTGGAGCATATTAAGCACTCTCCCAGCTGCGGATGGGCCATTGTCGCAGGCATTGAAGCGAACGTTGGTGATCTGGCGGCGGAGGACCCCTCAAGCACCCGTATGATTGCCGCCAGGAAGGCGACTTTCGGTGGCCGCTGGCCCCATGAGAACAAGAGAGGTTGGAAATGCAAGACGAAACAGGTACGCCGCGTCGTGCCCGCCAGTGTGTTCTTTCCTGTGCTGACCTGTGTTAGCTGGCTGAGGCGGGGTGGAAGTACACGCCTTCCCTGGAATATAATGACATGGCGACGTGCACCTACTGCGAACTCGCTCTGGACGGATGGGAACAGGGTGATAAACCTATGTCAGTACCTTTCTTGTTGCTGACAGGACTCCACTGACTTTCAACAGGGACGAACACCGCAACCGATCCCCAGAGTGCCCGTTCTTTGCTTTGAAAGATCAGTACAGCGCGACCAAAAAGACCAAGGGCAAGGCAGCTAGGGGCTCCAAGGCCACTAATTCGAGGTTATCTGTACAATCGGTTGCCACTGCAGCATCAGACATTACGTCGATCGCCGACGCCACCGCAGAGGTTGACGACAGTGTTCTGACCACGGCATCAATGGCTAGCAAGAAGGGCACCCGCGCCAAGAAGGCTCCGGCAACGAAGGGCAGGAAGACAAAGGCCAAGAAGGATGAGCCTGTCGAGGTTGTCGAGACCGAGATGATGGAAGACGAAGAAGTACTGCCACCGCCATCTAAGCCTGCTCGTGGCCGCAAGCGCCCGAGTGATGAGGTAGACGACTCAGCCCTCACCGTGTCGGAAGCACCCGCCCCCAAGAAACGTACAGCCCGCGCCCGCGCAAAGGGTGCCGCTGACAGCTCCGTCATCGAACAATCGCAACAAGACATCAGCATTGCCGACGCCCAGCCACCAGCAAAGGCCCCCAAGGGTCGCAAGACCGCCCGTGCTTCTGGCACCAAGGGAACACGGAAAGCATCAGGTACATCTCTGAGGTCTACTGCTTCGACTGCCTCTATGCGAGCTGCACCGGGCGCGTTCCCCGAGGACGAGGACGAGATTCAACGCCAGTTGGAGGCAGACTTGGAACGCCCGTTGACAGACGACGAAGACATCATGCAGGACTCCGATTCTGAACGAAAGAAAGCTCCCGTGGAGAAGCCCAAGACAAAGAAGACGCGTGTCCGCCAGGATGAAGCCGCCAGCCCCGAGCATGCAGACAGCCAAATGTTCGACGCTGAGCCTTACGTTGCAAACGATGAGGACGTCGATGAAGAGTTTAAGCAACTGGAAGCTGAGATGACGATCGACGAGCCTGAAGTTCTCGAAGTGCCGAAGAAGGGACGTAAGGCTGCCGGCACCCGCAAAGTGTCGAAGCAGACGAAAGCTCAAAAGGCCAAGTTTGAAAAGGCCCCGGAAGAAGAAGAGGAAGACGAGTTGTCGATGACCGTCGAGCCTCCTGCGCCGGCTGAGCCGACTCAAGCAGAAAAGCCGGTCGACATGGAAGAAGACGAGATCAGCACCGCCACTGTTATCACGACGACGAGCAAGACCGCCCGTACGAGTACTGGCAAAAAGCGTGGCCGCCCGTCCAAGAAGTCCTTGGAGGCCCGTGCTTCCCTGGAAGCTAGCAAGACAGAAGAGGTTGACATGGTGGAGATGGAGAAAGCCAGGGCCGATCCAGAGCCGGTTGCTGAGCCTGAAGTCGAGCATGAGGAGCTCGTTGAGCCGGAACCCGAGGCTGACGCCGAACCCCAACCACAACCCGAAGCCGCAGTAGAGGTCGAGGTCGAGGAAGAAGCAGAGGAAGACGAGGAGGAGGTCGATGAGGCTGACGAGGTCGACGAGGTCTCCGCTAGTCAGTCATTCACATCCGCTCGCCAGACACCAGCACCTGCCCAGCCTGAAGAGAAATCCGATGGTCCGCAGGAACCTGAGGACGACCACGAAGAAACTGAAGCAGAAGAAGAGGAGCCAGAAGAGGAGCCGGAACCACAGGCCGAGCCTACTCCTGAAAAGCCAAAGTCAAAGAAGACCAGCATTCCTCTGGCAACATCTTCACCAGTAGTCGCTGCGCCTGCGCGCCGCAGTCTGCGACAACAATCTGGCACTCCACGAATCTCCCCTGCACAGTCGGCTCGCCAGGCGGCAGTATCGCCATCCCCATCCCCCCAATCTTCGGATGCTGAGAACCAGCCTCCTTCCTCAAGATCGGCGACCGCAAAGAAGCGTGTCACGCATGCAGTCCCCTCATCCACGCCGGTCCGACCCAGCTCGCCGACCAAGCGTAAGGTGTTGGCTAGCCTCCAGAGCACAACGCCCTGGAACCCGGTCGACATCGACCTCATCTTCGGCTCGCCGGAGAAATCAGACAAGAGGAATGCTGTCGACAGGCTGTTGCACAAGGGGACAGAGCTCACAAGCCCCGAAAAGAGGATGACGGTCGAGGAGTGGATCCACTTCAACGCGAACCAGGCGGAAGAGAGGCTGCGCCAGGAGTGCGAGGCAATGGTCAGCAAGTTTGAAAACGAGGGCACCAAGGCGATGAATGTTTTGGAGGGTCTGATTGTGGAGTAAATGTTTGCATAGCGTAGAGAGTCCGGAGCATTGGGTTGCTGAATTAATGATTGGTTTATGTCATGACACACACAAAACAGAGAGAGCAAGCAGATGGTGGTGTACGCGCGCTCGTCTTTGGCCGAGCCACCGCGTGGTGCTGGAGGTGGGCAAGGATGAGTGAGGCATGGTCAGCTTCGACCAATTCGGGTCGCGTTATTTTAACAAGGCATTTCAAAACACTCAACGGAAAGGGGAACCATTCTTGACAGTACTATGCCATTATTATTATCGGTTTGTTAAATAATGAGGGTGTTCGTCTAATCTATGGTCATTAAGAAGTCATCCTCCTGAAAAGGTACGTGAATATCCCAATTCGTCTATGTCATGATTCCAGTGGTATCGTTCCGGCATGCAAAGCTTCTTTCTCTCATTCCTTCCTCACTCATCCACTCTTCGATTTTCTTTCAAACGTTGTTCAATGGTTCTCCCTGGCACGCAACTTAGACGCAGTGGATGACGCCGTCGTCGTGGGTGTGGCACTCCTGAGGAGCGGAAGAGGTGGTGGCAGCAGGGGTGGGAGGAGTGGTGGTGGCGGCGGGAGTGTCCTCCTTCTCCTCCTCGAGCTCGCCGGAGCATCCGACGCCGGGGGCGGCGACGTCGTAGGCCCAGACGTCGATGGCGAAGTACTGGAGGGCGTCGCTGTCGACGACGGAGTAGGTGGCGTTGTTCCTGGCGAGGTCGAGGACGGAGGCGTAGTCCTCGGCGTAGTGCTCGACCTGTCCGAGGGAGACGGCGGGGACGTGGAAGGCGCGGTGGAGGAGGTCGGTGGCCCAGAAGGTGTTGAGCTTGGAGTTGGCGACGGTGTAGCCGAGGCCGCAGACGGAGGAGAGGGGGCGGCGGATCTCGAAGGAGAGGGGGCAGATGACGGTCTCCTGGGTGGCGTTGTCGCCGCGCCAGTGACCCGCCCAGCCGGCCTGGGTGGCGCAGTTGCGGTCCGGGTCGTCGCAGCGGAAGGTCATGGCGGACTTGTCGGCGGAGGCGACGCGCTCGTACCAGCCGACGGCGGCGGCGGTGGAGGCGTTGCCGAAGTACTTGCGGACGTGCTCGGAGGCGGCGCCGAAGCGGAGGAGGTGGTCGCGGGCGTGGGCGGCGAGCTGCTGGGTCTCGGCGAGGCCGACCTCGAGCTGGGCGCGGAGGGTGGCGTTGCAGGACTGGTGGATGGGGAAGGTCTTTTGCCAGCCCTTGGACCAGGAGTAGGGCTCCTGCGGGGTGGGGAGGGAGGCCGGGACGGAGGTCGAGGTGGCGGCGGCGGCCTCTTGGCGGCGGGCGAGGGGAGACGCGGAGCCGGAGGTGGAGGAGAGGAGCAGCAGAGCCGCGGTTGCGAGGGTGTTGTACATCATCTTGAAGGTGAGGCTTTTGAGTTGAGGTTGATTGGCTTTTCAAGAAAGAGCTTGTCTGGTGATGTAAGGTTGAGCTGGGAGCTTGGGAAACAGCTTGGAGCTTGGAGCTTGGAGTGATCGATGGAGAGGGAGGTATGCGGGTGGTCTTTTATAGCTGCGAGATGCCGCGTGGGAAGGAAAACTCTGCCTTCGCGTGGTCCCGTGTGTCTGGATCGTCAATGGGGGAGCTATTCGGCCAAGACATCGAGCTAGCCGTCCATGTCTTCCTCCTGCTTGCGCAGTTTGCTCGCGTGGGTTTGTCGACAGTAGTCGAGTCGGCTACTAGGCTGATCCTTCCCATGGTCCCAAGCCGGCCGTATGTTCTGATCGGGTCGTTCTTCCATGCCACTCTCCATCCCGCGCCGTCCATCTGCAGTCATCGCCAGCCTCCAGACACCGGGCAATCCCTCCCGCGACCCCTCTTCTCGCGGCTGACGAGCAAGCTTCTTTGATGAAAAGAACCCAATAAATCGCCCCAGTGGAGTCCGTCATGTTCGGTCGTGACTGCGCTTCTGAGAAGAGAAGCTCAGAGCGAGATCTTGGCAAAACCTGCGAGATTGGTGTTAGTCGGGTGATGGATGTGCCAAGGCGCGGGCAGCTCGACGCCAAGCTCGCGAAGCTCACGATCATATTGACAAACGGGGTTCGCCATTGGTCAATGGACGAAAACAACGAATGGCGAGGCCGGTCGTTGACAGACGAAACCCCACGGCCAAGAGGTGCTAAGTTGTTGTTGGCTCGAGGACTCGGTGACGTTGGGGGGAGTTTTTACTATGTAGAACTCTGGAGGCTGAGTCGGCGGCGGCCCTCCGGGTTCTCAAACCCCGCCCGAGTCCGGGACATCAAGGTTCTCGGGACCGGGGTCCCGGAGGATGGGGTCCGCTTTTTGTTTTTCCCTTTGTTTCTCGCTCACATCTTGCCATCCTTGAACAGCACTGCTTATACCGTCCTCACTCATTTTGTTTTTCTCTTGCCTTGCTTTTCAGCTCGGAATCGGAAGGTGGTTGGAATCATGTCGTATTGCTTTGAATGACAGCTGACAGTTGACATCCCCCGTCTCTGTGCCGTCCTTGTTGCTACCATTTCCAGTGTCGCCCCTACAGCGATTATCCCGCACTTCTTCTATTTCTCATTGAAGCCTCTATTTCGTCCTGGGCGTCTTCTTTCCCTCATCTCTATGTTGTTCCTAAAACTACCTCTTTCCCAAGTGCATACCCAATGCTGTATTCATCCTTCATTCAACCGGCGTGTCTTACATCCACAACCATCGTATTGGCTCTGAACACGCCGCGGAGACTCTAACACGGCTCGTCAGAGGTCCCAGCCGCTTGGTAATGCCATCTTCCAAGTGGCCGCCTTTCCGGGTGCGACATTATTGCGTAAAATAAGCGTCAAATACCTGCAGGACCTTCGACCTCGCGCGGGGGGCATCCCCGACCTGCCTCTGCCGATCGTGGTCCAGAAGCCGAGACTTGGACTCCCACACCGCGCGATTCCGTCCCATGCTGGCCTTGAGGGATTTATGAATTCCCTGGGCCGGGTATCCCACCAGCCCGAACAGTCCTAGCCGACATCCCGGGTCAGCTCTGCCCGATATATTCACCGACGACAAGACTCGTCTTCGCTGCTCAGGCAACGAGTGCGAAAGGGTTCTTTTCTTTGGGTTTGCTTACCTGCTCCCGGTTTGGTTATAAGACCGAGGGACCCTGTGCCCACACCCCTCGCCAGGCCGAGGGCCCCCCCTTCCTTCGCACCTTTGTACGGATCGACGAAGACGCCTGTGATTCCATCGTAGAAGCCGGTTCCAAAGGTCTGAGGCGCGGTTAGAGAAGAATATGGATGATATCACTTGTGGAAGGACGTACCTTGGCGGCAACAACGCCGCCGCTCTTCCAGTCTTCAACCTTTCCATTGTCTCGAGGCTGGCCACCCAAAAGTTTGGGGACGTTGTGTAAGCCATCGGCCAGAGCCAAAGGCATGTTCACGAGGCCGCCTTTGGCGACAACCCCAGTCATGGAGGCGATTCCCTTTCCTACTGCCATCGCGGCAGCGCCGCTCGCTCGGCCGGCTTCGCGGCCGGAAGCCCTGGCGCGTTTATACTCTTTCCAGGGATCGATGAACGTGCCCCCAAGGGCGAAAGTGAAGTCAGTCACTATCCCCAAAAGGGACGAGGCACCGCCGGTGATGGGATCCCACCGCTTGACGTCAGTGTTATACTCCCTCGTACGAAGGGGCTTCAAGTCGTTAGCCTTGAGTTTCTTCGCCTCGATCAAGTATGAGGCAGCCTGGTTCGAGATCTTGAGATGTTTGCGGCCCGACTTAGACTTGGTCTCGTAGGTCCACGCTGCGGGCTGGTCGGGTAAGAAGTCGCAGGTCAGGCTTGTAGCCGGTATGTTGCGGTGGAAAGACGCGACTGCGGCGTCGACGCCGCGCTCCTGGCGCATCACGTCTGCCACTCGACTCACGGCCTGATTCGCTTCTGGGGACAGGCAAAACTGGATGGCTGTCGAGAGTCTCTCGACGGTCAATTCCTTTTGCGGGATGGGGAGGGGTCCTGCGCCTGCATTGGCGACGACGCGGCCCCAGAACGGCTGGTCGCCGAAGAAGGGTACGATGATGGTCGGTCGTGCGTTGATGAGGCCGCAAGCCGTTGTCCCTGCTCCTCCGTGGTGCACGACAGCTGACACTCTCTTGAAAAGCCACTCGTGAGGACAGTCTCCTAAGTAGAAGACGTTCTCACTGTTGGGCTGGCCCTCGCCGAGTTTGCTCCATCCCCGAGAGATGATCACGCGGGTATTGCAGGCCTTGGAGGCTTCGAGGATGATCTCCGTCAGACGCGCAGGATCATCAACGACGATACTGCCGAAACCCACGTACAACGGTGGAGGACCCGCCGTGAGAAAGGCGTCTAGATCTGCCGGTGGCTTGAACGACGGCTCATCTCTCATGAAGAAACCGCAGACATCGATTTCCGGGCCCCAGTCTGCCGGTTTCGGGACTACCGCGGGTGACCAACAGTACGTGTGCGGAATCTTAAGGAACGTCGTGATGCCCGGACCCATGCTAGCCGGCACGGGCTCCAGCTCGAGCTCTTTTCTTCTCCAGGAGTTGATCACGTCGCCGAGGCCCTGCCACGTCATCAACTCGACGACTCCGTAAGACAGCCAATTCGTCGTCGCCGGCTCGAGGTTGTCGCCGCGCTGGATATTGGCGAGCGGGTGGGGGAAGGCACGCGTGGCGGTCCACGGCATCGTGAACATGATGTGCGCCGGAATGCCCAGGGCCTGGGCGCAGTGGACGTGGGCGAAGCTCGGGGGGTTGGCGATGATGGCGTCGGCGACAAATGGTTGCTTGGTGACGGGATCCGGGTCGATACAGGATTTCCAGCAGCCGCGAAGCATCTCGCGCATCATTCTCCGTTTCCGTCCCACGTCGCCTCCTCTCAGGGATTCCATCGAAGGTATGAGGCCGGGATTTCGGACCATGTACTTTTGGAGTCAGCGATGAACACTCAACACGAGGAAGAAGGCAACAACATACCGACATGAGGTCGGCGGGATCACCGCCGATGGGGAAGAACTCTAGACCGGAGTCTCTCACGAACTTGTCAAAGGTGTCATGTGTCGCTAGCCGTACACGATGACCATATCGACGGAGGGCTGTCCCGTATGCGATGAACGGCTGAACGTCCCCTTGGTAGGCATTGGTAAGGGACGAGTGCGCGAGATTGGATGACGGTAAGATACTCACCACGACTGCCGACAACCTGAATGACGATGTTCAGAGGAGGCACCGTTTTGTCGTTGAGCACCAGTGCGGTGGCATCGTCGGCAGTGGGAAAGGGCGGGAGTTCCTCCGCCAGCTGCTGAGGATTCTCTGACTGGAAGTTGATCGTTACATGACCGTCGGCTGCTCGAACGTCAGTTGTTGAACACGTGGATTGGATCGGTGTACGAACGCGATATCGCGGCTTCACTGGACAGCAGCGGGCCTGAAGAGTGCAGTTCATAAGGCGGAGGGATGTCCGACAGAGACTCGGTCGTATCCACGCTGAGGTTTCGTTTCGATTTCAGTATAGACATTTTGAAGAGATGTGTTGCGTGGGAGATCGCACATGGGGCTCAAAGCTTTTCGAGAACGTCAAAAGATGCATCGTATCTTATAAGTTTCATTTGCACATGGATATGGAATTCCCCGAAAAGCAATACATCTGCCGCAGCGCAGGAAGGCTCATCCCGCCGGCGTTTTCTCGCCGCAATAAGCGGCTCCCAAGCGGAGTTTTCACGCGTCGCCAGATCTCCGTCTGGGGCTGAGGCTCACCCGCAGCACCTCTAGCAGCTATCTTAGCCTACTTTAGCCATATAAAAAGGGGAGATAAAAGGCGTTCAGCTCGGGCGCGCCGTTTCTGCGCAGCAATTGGAATGCGCTACGCATGAAAAATTGCAAAAGGATGCGGATCTTACGAGGGCCTCGTAATCCTCCGCGGCTGGGATGTCGTTGGTTTAGTGCTTCGTGCGTCGTACAAATCGTATCCATCGTACCGACCTCGGCTTAGCTCGCTCGAGGTGCCCGGGATGCAATCCTTTGGCGCGTATTGACACGACGTACGCGGCTGATTACGTTGTAGATCTGCACATCGCACGTGGGACTCTAGAGATGGGTTTTAGGCAGCCTTTTAATAGTTGCGGTTTAGGCAATCAACTGAGTCGGTAACCCGTCCAATGAAGTTGACTCGAACACAAAAAAGGATGTGACTTTTCGACAACTTGAACAGCAATTGTAACGACTAAACAAACTAACAAGACTCCAGAGATAAGCCATCGCAGAAGGCAACCAATTATGTTTTTGTTTCAATATAAGAATTCTCAGATTTTCCATACGTAAGCTCGCTCCTCCTACCTCATCAGGTGAGACGACTATTATCGCGTAGCGTCAGCTCCCGAACAGAACGACAACTCGATAGTTCTTTGCGTGCCACACAAGACTAGGTAGGAAACAACGTATGATTCGCCATCCACACACTAGATGTAGTCGCTGTTGCTGCTGGGAGCCTCAAAGTCCTTGCTGCAGATCACGCTCCAGTAGTACTCCTGAGCGAACCATCGGTACTGGTCGGCGTTGAAGCGGGTGTCGAACTTCTTGTCGTCCTTGAACTTTCTGACGTTCAGCGGCCCGGTCCCGTCGAATTCGATGTCGTCCGTCCCCTCAAGGAAGTCCCGAACGTGCGTTCCGGTTGCCTCCTTGCCGATCCAATCGATGAGACTGCGTACTATCATTAGCATGACGAGAACCTCACGGAAACACACACACACACACCGACTAGGTGTGCATCGGTGGGAGGTGGGAAAGCTACTCACAGGAGTTCGTGGAGGATGAGACCCGGCAGCGAGCTCATCAAGCCGCTCACGTTATTCCCCAACTCCTCGCACGTCGTCTTGCCCAGGAGGGGGAACCTCCAACCCCTCTCGCAGATCTTGAGCCTGTAACGATTGTCCCTCAGATCGGTCCACGCGTTGGCCTGTGCAGTGCTGTTGCTGCAACCGACCCCGGGGATCGTGTCCTGGTTGACGAAGGCGACCTTCTCGAAGACGGCCGAACCGAGCGGCTCGCCCGGGTCGTCGAGGCCCGAGGCGCCCATGATGAGCGCGAAGACGCGCTCGACCGAGTCGCGGTCCTTGGTGTCGAAGTAGTGGGCGAAGACCCGGTTCCATCTTTCGGGGTCGACCTTCTGGTGGACCATCTTGGCCATGAGGATGAGCTGCGGCCACGCCTCGAACTGCAGGGTTTTGGACTGTTCCTCGGCGTTTTCGAGATTCATGTCGAAGTTTGGCAGTGGAATGGCTCTCTTGTCCCTGCTTGCACGGTCAGTTCTGTTCACAGGTTGGCAAGGGGACGTGTAGAAGTTTACAGAGGGTTCGACACGGCCGAGCCCCCGGCCGGCATCGCGGCTGCGGGACCCCAGAGGAGGGAGACGGCCGAAAGGACGTTGGTGATAAGTGCGGCTCGGAGCATGGTTGCGAGGTGGTCTTCTGGGTCTTGCTTGTATCGCGTGTTTCTTGTTGTACAGAGCGTATGTTTTGGTTGCTAGAAATCAACCGTCTTCATCGCGGAGACATTCGTTATTTTATAGCTCTGTAAGTGACCAAGGTTTCTTGTTCCAAGTACTGTGTTGGTGCAGTCTTTGAATAGCACCATTGCCAACAACATTATTTTTGGAACTTTGGATCAGTGAACATCAGCTTTGACCAAGACCCCAAAGCTGATTTGTTGGCTATGTTCGACATCTTCCCTAAGCTGGGGGCTAAGCTGGGGGCGAAGCTATGTTGGTTGGTTCACTAATGCGATTTTCTGTGCAATACAATGCAGCCACCCTTGTTATTTTGGCTCGCCATACCCAACGGCAATACATTTACCAAGTTCGTTGGTTCACGTCAACGCGAAGCCACAATGGCTACCACTCCGGCCGTTGAGAGTGTAGCAAAGTGATGCGATAATATTCATTTCCCCTTCCATCTTGCTATCGCAAACGCCCGCCAATCATTTTCTTGCGTTTCTGCTCTTCCTGTTGTACCGTGCCGGCGACTTGAGTAGACTCTTGCCGATGTAGATTGAAGCAGGTCGCGCCACTCATACTGGCATCGCCATGATTTCACCGACATCGACCGAGGTCGTTGGGGGCCTACAGCTCCCCCCGTTTTCAATGAAGTAAGTACGTGTTTCTCTGGCTACGATAGGTGGACATGTCTTGTCTGTTGGGTGTGCAGCGGCCAAGTGCAGTGTATGTTGGTGTCTGCCTGGCGGGTTGGCGTTTCTTATGTCTGCTCGTTGGTCCTGCGTGACGTCGGAGACGCGTGGGCCTCATACGTCCATCTCTTCTTGGCCATCTCAATCTTGCAACTCAAAACCTCGACTTTTTCATGAACGTTGTCTATCTCACCCCAGCATCCAGCACAACTCAAGCCACACAGCACTGCCGCCCCCCCTAACATCATCATCGTCTCGACTCACATAGTACAACCAAAACGACGAGAACGAAAATGGGAGGCTTCTTCTCGACCCCAACCCTCCCCCCGGCGGAAAAGACCCGCACGCCATACATCTCAGCCCGCATCTCCGCGTCCTCGGACAAACTCGACATCACACCCACGGCCGGGACCCCGCTCACCCTCACCATCGAACACACGCTCAACCACCCGCACCCGATCACCTTCCTCCCGCCCCTCGGCTCCGGCCTCTTCGCCAAGTCCGGCATCTTCCGCGACGAGGGCCTCACCTTCACCGACACCGCCTCCGGCGAGCGGGTCCCGCGCGGCCGCATCCACATCTGCACCATGGGCAGCGAGCCGGAACAGCCGTTCTCGAAGAAGACCCAGGACCGGTGGGTGACGCTGTACCCGGGCACGCCGCACCGCGTCGAGGCAACGTTCGAGACCGTGTTCAAGCACCCGTTGTGGCTGCCCAACGGGACGGATACGACGCCGCCGGCGTACGGATCGCAGCCGAAGAGGTTCATGTGGCTGCACGTGGGCGGGCTCGAGGACGGGAAGACGTACCGCGTCGGGGTCAGCGAGGGGGCGGGGATCCGGGGTTGGCACGAGGGCAGCAAGGAGGATTTCCTCGGGTGGTGGAGGAAGATGACGGACGAAAACCGCCGTCATGACGCGGTTGAGTATCGGGTCGAGGAGACGGTCTCGTTTACTGTCAGCCGGCCGGACGAGGATGGGAGTCTGACGTACTTGTTGTCGTGACGTGGTCGCTCTTGGTTGCTGTACTTCAGAGGCTGGGCCGTGGGTGTGACAGGACCAGATCAGAGGATAGGTTCTTTACAACCGCATTAATATTATTTCATGCCACCTTGGTTACCAATGGATCTCAAACCTTCATCTGCTGCATTTCGACGTTAGAATGGAAACCGAAGCTTCCGTCGAAATATCTTGGAAACGGTCAAGTTTAGCTCAGTAGTGGGCGGACGGCGCCTCGCATGGCAAGCACTCGTAGAGACACAAAATCATTCCACCCCATCACAATGTGAGTTTTCACCACATCAAGCCGAAAAAATCTCAGGGTATGGCATCTCATTGTCTACCTAGCTTGCTCGACACGAGAAGCAGCTCTAGTCAGTCGAGGTAAAGGACGACATACATCCTTCCTCCATCCGCCCGCACTGCGATGCGCTTTACCAGCCCCTTTCTCGTGCCCATGTCTCGATACAAGGCATCCAAAAGGACCAACGCACCCGCATCGTTCCACCCTATACAGTCGCCAACTTGCGACGACTCCACCAGCCACCAGAGCTGCAAGAAAATCAAGAACGAGAAGTAAGGGGAGAAAGAACAAGAGTGGCGCAATATACATTAAGCACTAGGCGCTTCCCTTCCCAGCACTCATTACGCCGGTAAACACATGTGGCGTTTGGTCGAGTCCGGGACGGTATATGAATCGAAAAACAAAGAACATCTTTGAATGGGTGTTTGAATGAATGTAGAGAAGGGGAGAAGAAAAGAAACCGCGAGCCTGGTTGGTTCGCAGAGGGTGTATCAAAAGTTTGTCGTTAAAAGAGTGACTCGAATGGTATAAACGCGTTGATGTCGGTTTTATTCCCATCGTCGGATTCGTCGTGAGAGTCCAGGTGGGGAAGAAAATCGATTTTCCCAAGTTCTTTTTGTTCGTTCACAGAAACGCCGTGTTGTCCAGAATGCATAGCAGACCCCAGTCTATCGCCAAATGAGAATGATGAATCCCTAGTCTTTGTGCCAAAAGACGTTATATACGCAGGGAGTCAATGTATATGAACGGTGGTTTTGGTGACGTTTACACAGCCTGGCCAGGCGGAGGAGACTGGCTCGGGGGCGGGGGAGCTTGACCGGGGACGGGCTTGCGGCCGACAGGTCCCATTGGCGGGCCTGGACGACCGGGACCCTGTTGTGGCGGGGGTCCGGTAGGGTTCATTCGGCTGGGCTGGGGGATTCTACTAGGTCCCGAAGGAGGGCTCGCCTTGCGCCCCTGTCCTCCGGGGCTCTGAGGTCTCTGTCCCGGGGGTCCTTGGAATCGGGGGCCCGGGGACTGAGGTCGGCCTCCAGGTCCGCGGTTGCCGGCCGGGGATTGGGGTCGGGCACCGGCAGTTCGAGGACGCGCAGGCGACTCGGGGCGAGGGTAAGGACCGCCCTGGGGGGTCATGGGGCGTTGCCCGGGAGGGTAGTGGGGGCCAGGACCCCGCGGGGGGCCGTTGGGACCGTTGGGGCCCATGTGAGGACCGCGAGGAGGTCCTTGAGGCCCCTGAGGTCTAGGCTTGACGGCACGAGTTGACAAGCAGGTACGCGGTACAACACCCTGCTGGGATCTATCCAAGCGAATGCAGAGCGCCTAATGACGTGTTAGTGTGATTGTGATACATAGTAGCGTGTGAAAACTTACCCAGCCGTCGTCATACTCGTGGAGAAGGCGCACAAGTTGACCAGCTCTCAATTCCATCTCATCCTCCAGAGTAGGCTTGAAGTCGAGTTGCACGCGATGAACAGTCGTGTTAGCGGGTCCGCCAGCAGCAGCAATGGCGGCAGATCCGGTGGAGCTGTTGGAGTGGTGACCGGGGCCAGCAGACGTGGCGCTGAACTCGGTACCAGACGGGCTGGCGGGGACAGTAGACAGGGGCGCGGTCGCGGGCAGGGTGAGATCGAGGGCCTTGGGGCCGTCCTTGCGGGTTGACGCCTTGCGGACAAGACCTCCAGCGGCAACAGCACCAGCTCCGGCGGCGGCTGCAGCACCAACAGCTACTGCGGCTCCGTTGGCAGCATGGGGAGGTCCGCTCACGGCGGTACCAACAGTGGAGGCGTCGACGACAGAAGGCAGAGGCTTCTCGTTGAGGCTCAAGGAGCTCGCAGTTTCCTCGACAATGGTACCGTTGATCCTCTCGGCGCCGGATCCGAAGGGGTTGGAGGGGTTGGAGTTCTGGCCCGTGACGGGTCGCTCCCAGGCACTCTGGCCGGGGGAACGGGCACCAAGGGCAGCAGCAGGGGCCATGTTTCCATTGACGTGGGGCTCTCGGCTCTGGCGCTTGTCGAGGTTGAGGTTAGGCAGGAACTGAGTGACGGGACGGAGGCTGACACGAGGAGCGCGGGGGTTGTTGTTATTGTTGCCAGCAGTGACAGCGGCAGCGGTTCCGAAGTTGCTCTTCTCATCCTCATCAGCCAGGCGTTGCTGTTCCAACTGCTTCTTGCGGCGGTTGAAAAGGAAGAAGACGAGCAAGAAGACGACCAAAACACCGGCCAAAACACCAATAGCGATGCCAGCTTTCGCGGCGCCGCTGGGCTCGGAGGCGGACTTGTCGCTGGCGGCAGTGGCGGTTGCGGAAGGGCTAGAAGTGGCGGTGATTTCGTTGGCAGTGGCAGCAGACCTGGTAGAGCGGGCGAGAGTGGGAGCATCAGTCGCGAGAGCAAGGGTCGTCTGAATGCTCTCAGTAAGAGGCTCCTCGATGACGGAGGGGAGCGAAGTCGAGGTCTCGTCGGCAGCAGAAGTGGTGGTGGAGGCGTCGGGAGTCACAGCAACGGCACCGCCCGCTCTCGCGATAGTGGTACCGGAATCGGCCGAATCGGAAGACGAGGTGGTGATTCGGCGGGTGGGGAGGGCAGAGGGAGCGACGATGAGCTTCGTGGAAGAGGTGGTAGCAGCAGCGACGGCGCCATCGGTGACGGTTTGGTAAATGGTACGGATCACAGTTGATCGACCTTGTCTGTTAGCGCGTCTGCGCGTAGAAGTGGGCTGGTCGTCGTCGTCGTCTTGACGCCTGATTTTATCATTACCTCCATTGTTGCTGCTTCCTCCGCTGTTGCTGTCGTCGTCATCGTTGGAACCGAACGGGTTCTTGAAAATGTCGCTCCAAAAGTCCGGGTTGCGAGGCAGATGCCTGTGGCTACGGTGGTGGTGTGCCATTGTGTGAGCTGTGTGGGTGACCGTGGTCGGGCAAATCAAGATGAAATAATCCAACTAGGCTCAGCCAGCAGTCGTCGTGTAAAAGAATGAAGGTGATGAGGCGGTTCGGCGGTCGGGTCGTGAATGTCGTAGTCGTGGGTCAGGCCGGAGGGTATCTGAAATGTGAGGGCGACTGGCGTGCGCGATAAACACTGATGATGGCAATGATGGATGGCGCGGCGTGGTCGTGGTCGGGTGAGAATGGGTATTTTCGGATCGTGATCGTCAAAAGAATGAACTGGCTGATGTGTAGGTCCAACCAGGGAGTCGCGGTGCCGATTTTCTTCGTGGAGGGAATGGCGTCTGTGTCTCGAATGTTTGTATCGAGAAAGTCGTGTGTCGTGTGGTGCGAGTTTGTTTTTGATTCTTTGAATGAATGTAAAGCGGCGCTGGGCCGGGAAAAGAGAGGAAGGTGAGAGGTAGGTAGGTGAGGGGGAAAAGGTTGAAGTTGTCACACTACCGGCTCACAGTGATGGGCATCAAGACAAGACTCTGTTGGTGAGTTGTCATGTGTGGGTTGAAAGAACGGATGAATCTGCACCAGTCACTCTGCGAGCTGCAGGAGAACACTGAACCTCAACCAGGGGACGTGGAAGCGGTGGTGTCGCAGCAGCGGCAGTGAGAACAGTCCCAGCGAGTGCAGTTCGGACGGGATAGAATGGGATGGGAAAGGAAAGAAGAGGACGAAAGTGGGAAGGGCCACGAGAAGAAGGGAAAACGGGGACGGGGATGTCGAGGTTGCAGTCAAAGTCGCAAGTCAATGCAGGTGCATCCTTGACGAGTGGACGAGGACCCAAGCAACGTCGGACGGATGACAAGGATGAGGGGGGTGGGTGTGAGGGTGTGACAGCCCGACTGCGACCGAGATCCTTGCGTGACAATGTGCTGATTGGTTCTACTGCCTTTTTTTTCCTTCGCGCTTGTTTCCTACCGTATCTTCCCTCTTCTTCTTACATAGTAGGTCTGTCTCTCAGTCTCTTTCCTGAAGGCTTCTGTTGCTAGTTCTCGCCTGTCGCTTTTTGCTCAGGCACTTTTCAGGAAAGCGCGGCCGTGCGGGAAGGCGTGGCTTGCATCTCCTGCAGACTGCAGTCTCTTGCCGCGTTAGCGGTTCCCCCAGGCCGCCGGGAATTCCCACTTGGGGGTGGCTCAGATCACATTTTGCACAAATACTACCACTACAGAGGTAAGGTACACTACCACCAAACTCAACACAATGGAGACCAACACGTCTGGCGCATTCCACGGCCACCTTATTCGACAATGCATCTGAACCAGGAAGCCACGCGCCGAGTCAGCGTTTCACCTTGCAGTTTGTTTCTGGGACACACTGCTTTTCGGACGAACGTGACCAAACATTTCGCGATGGTGGCACGAATGCCGCGTAGCATGATTCACTTCCTCAACATCATCAACACGGCAGAAATCACTCCTTCACCTGTCACCCATTTGCCCAACTCACTTGGCAGTTGCACAACTCCCATTCAATTCCCGCACTCGGGCCTTGCTCCAAGACCAAAATCATCCACACCGGCGCCCATCTTCATCAGCGTCCTGCACGGCCCGCGCTAACTGGGATCCCCCAGCGTCCTTCTGTCAGGTACCGCTGTCGTCTGATTGGGCCTCCGACGGTTCCACCACAATCCCACAGGATAAACGAAATTGTTTGTTCAAGGGTTTACCTCCATTTCGTCCAATCAGAAAATCGGATGTGCACCAGGAACGACCGTTTGCCCGGCCCGAGCTCCAATGAACAGCCCCCAAATCCAACTCCCCTGGGCGTCTACCGCAGTACTTGAGTACTTCTCGTCAAGTCATCACAAACCAACAGGGGCGCCATCCTGCCGTGCGAATACCTGCAGGATGCGTCCAACGGCCTTCGTGTGTGGTGACGTTGTCACCCAACGCGAGACTCTCCTTTATCCTGCTTTTCGCGCATCCAATGGGCGGCAGTCAGCTCGATTCCCAAGACGATGCTGAATTCCTTCGAGAAGGGCGGGAGGCTGCTTACGGTCCCCAATCCAGGCCGGCACACCTCATGGTCAACCACACCTGAAGAGGCAAAGACCAGAATGGATCAAAATAACTCTGTTATCGCGTCACTCCGGCCCTTCTCGAGTCTCTTCCCTCTTGCCTTCAGTTGGAAAGGCTGGCGTCTCTGTTGATCATCGTCATCTCGACATTCGGCCCGCAGCATTCGATGTAGCCAGCCACGCCAACACATGTCGCGCCTGCCAGCCACAACACCAACACCGTCAAAACCTCGTTTTTTCCTACCGAGGACGAGAAGAAGCAATCCTACACCCAAACCGGCATCTTCCTCTGTGCTCTGCAGCCAGCTGTCTTTCAGAGCCCTGACTTCCTCGGAAGTCTGGCAGATATTCCCCGGCCGCAAGAACTTCAGGTCAGTCAGTGCCTTGCAGTTAGTTGGTGCACCGACAGTACGAAGGAGACAATCCAGCCGGTCTACCTGTTCACCTGCTACGAGACAGGTCAGGCCACGTCGTCAACAGAATTTAACCTCTCGAGCCTACCCAGAAATCGTCCTATTCAAGTCAAACAAACACGAATGCACTCACCGTTCGATTCTAACCATGTGCTTGCTTCTCCTGCCCGACCGCCTAAAATCTAGCGCACAAAAACACCCGCTCTGAGACGGCACCAGATGCCAATAAGAAAGCAAAGAGAAAATCGCCCGGGGAGCGTTGAACGGCGCCGTCTAGCGCCCTGAGAATCTTTCTGAAACAGCCGACTCCTCCGCCCGAGCCGTACTTTGTGCTGTTCCCCCCTCATCGCAGATTGACAAATGGGGGCCATGATGAACCCCATGTTCCCAAATTCCTGCCAAGCCGCTCCATTCCCCACCACTACCGAGATAACTCGCCCTCAGGACCTCATCAGCCTTGCCCGTCATCCATGCAGGAACACGCGGAGCCAGAGGAGAAAATCTACGAGCAAGATTAAACTCTTGAAAAGCCCTGTTCGCAGGCAGAAAAAAACACCGCATGGTCGGCAGGCAACCAACGTCAACAACCTTCCCAGCTGGAGCCCTCCGTCTTCCGCGGGAATGGATGTGGGCACCGCAATCACGTCAAACACGCGTTCCTACTGGGTACCGTCGCATTTGTGACGGAGGACGACTGTCCAGCAGGTGCAAGCACCACCCGGACTTCGACGAACGAGATCTGCGCTGCCTCATCTTACTCATTTCTGGGTGAAATGACGAAAAACAAAAAAGGCTCCAACCAACGAACATGTCTGTGTTTCAGACGGTCCGGCATCTGAGTTTGTTTCTGCCCGGTTATTTGGAAATACTATCGCCCGCTTAACCGAGATCGTCGGCCTTATGCAGCCAGCTTGCTTGTTTGCCCGCCTGCGATCTCCGACCTGAATCTTCTCGATCAAGTGCCGGCGTGCGGTACGGATAGACCAGAACGAACTCGCGATCCGTCGAGAACGTTATTTGGAGACTCATTCTCGATGCGTTCAAGCGTCCAGCACCGGTCACCAGCGTTCACCACAGAGGCAGCGGGATCGTCCTCAAGCCCAATAAGCCACCGACTCTAAAATTGTCTCGCCTCTAGCCCACGACTGAACCTGTCTCGTCTCGCATTGTTTTGCGGTCTCAAGTCTAATTATTACAAACAGTTGCTTTTGTGAAGGTCATAGCTTCCAATGGTTTTTCCGACCTCGTCTGGACTTGTACTTATTTTCACTTAAGCCAAGCTGGCAGCTAACTCACGCCACCCGACACTTTCCAGCCCCTGGCTCCATTTGCCCAAATCCGCTCTCACAGTGCTCAATTCTGTGCAGCAGCTGGGTGCCGTATCATAGTTGCACACGACCGACACTGAGACGCGTTACTGCAGCGTTGTGTTGGTCTTCTGCGAATCTCTTACTCCCAAATGTTCAGCGCGGTCACTCACTTCTCAAATCAGCCCTTGCCCCGCCCAGCTTATTGCGGAGGAGGCTGCGCGCCCCATTGATGCGGTGGCTGCGGTGGCTGTTGTGACTGGCCTTGTTGCTGTTGCGACTGCTGACCGGCTGGTCCCTGGTTCTGCTGCATCTGTCCCAGCAACGCCGCGAAGAAGGCCGGGTTGATATAGGCTCCCGCCGCGTTCTGCCCCGTCTGCCCGCCCTGCGCCGGCCAACCAGGCGGCGGAGGAGGCGGCACGGCAGGGAATCCTTGCGCGCCAGGCTGCGGAGGCATGCCGGGGAACGGGAAGTTGAAGGTTGGCGCAGCGGGGGCCGGCGCGGACTGTTGCTGCTGCTGCTGCTGCTGTTGCTGCTGGCCGTACTGCGGCGCCTGGTAGTAGTTGTTGTTGTTACCACCCCATTGTCCCTGGGGCTGCTGTTGTCGTTGCTGCTGCGGCATGGAATATCCATCCCTGCCCTCGCGCTGCCCGAATCCACCGCGTCCGCGACCACGACCTCCTCTGCCTCGATCGCCGCGTCCCCTGAAATCGCCCCGTCCTCTGCGCCCGGCAAACCTTCCCGGCTCGGGCTCCTGGCTGAAACTCTGCTGCGCAGGCGGGACCTGGCCGAACCCGGGAGGTCTCGCAAGCGGCTTGTACGGCCCGTCGTCCTCGTCGTCGTAGTTCAGCCCGCCGTCGCTCGGTCCCGCGGCGCTGATCTCGTTCCTCAACGGGTGCGGCTCCCGGCCCCCTCTCGCGGGCCTCTCGCCGCCGTTCTTGAACCGCGCCTCCTTCTTCTTCTGCTTCGCCTGCCTCTTGTGCTCCGCCTCCTTCTCGTCGTCCGAGAACTCCATCTCGTCCTCGGCCACCTCCTCGTCGTGGATGTTGCTCGCGTCGGACCCCTTCAGGTTCTTCAGCGGCTCCGTGAACACGAACGTCGCGTGCGCCGGCGGGTAGTACACCTTGGATCCGACCTCGAGCCCGGCCTCCCCGATCTCCTCGGCCGTGTTGAACAGGACGGTGTACATGGGCTGCAGGACCTTGCCGATCGTCTCCCAGACGGCCCCGAACACGACCCTCTCCGCCGTGCACAGCGCCGACCCCGTGTCGAGGACCTGGTACTCGCCCGGCGTGAAGGCCTTGACGACCATGATGTTCTCCACGATCTGGTCCACGGCGCCCAGCGCCTCGATCTTGTCCTCGGGCGTCAGCGTGATGTCGGGCTTGGGGATCGCCTCGGCCGCGACCTCGTTCTTGGTGCGCAGCTGGCCCGAGCCGCCCGCCTTGGCGGCGCCGTCGCCCCCCTCGTCGTCGGAGCCGCCCTCCATCTCCATCAGCATGCGCGCCGTCTCCTCGACGCCTAGGAGCTGGTAGCCCTCGCCCGACTCGGAGTCGTCGTCTGAGGAGTCGTCGGAGGACGAGGAGGATTCGGAAGAGGATTCGCAGGGGGAGGAGTCGATTTCCCATTCGGGGTGCTCGCCTTCGGCGGCGGGTTGCTCTTCGGCGGCGGCGGCGGCGGCAGGTTGGTCGGTGGTGGTGGTTGTAGCGGTAGCGGTAGTCGTAGTCGCGGCGGGCTCGAGGCCGTTAATCATAGCCTCCAGAGCGTCGGTAAGGGAAGGTGGCTCGGCCGCGTCGATTTTCATAGCTTCTGAATTCGTGGGCTCGGGCAGGGGCGGCAGTTGCGGTTCACTGGTAGAGGGATGCGCAGACTCTTCCATCTTGACGTCCTCGTTCTTCACGGCGGCATCTTCAGTCTTGACCTCGGCGGTCTCGACGACCTCGCCGTCCTCCATCTTGACATCCTCGTTCTTCACCTCACCCTCCTGCTTGACCTTGACGTCGTCGGCGGTCTGCACGCCCTCGAAGCTCGCGGCCGCGGCGAGCACGTCGGGGGGCAGCGGCGGGAGCGTCTCGTTCGGTTTCGCGAACCCCAGGCCGGGGATCTGGAAGCCGGACATTTCTGAGTGTCTTTGTCTTTCGTATACCAAACGGTCGCCTCAGTTGTAGTGAACGGATCTTTTGGGTTGCAAATATTTGGAGGTACGTTTGAGGTGCTGTTGTGAGGAAGACGAGCAGACTTTCGACACTCGGCGCAAGAAAGAAATCGAGTCTTGGGGGGATGGACGGGTGAAATTTTAGCGGGGCGATAACGATAAAAAATTAGAATGGGGTCGCGCTACCTAGTGCACGTTTCGGTGGTCGGTGAGACAAGTGCCGCCCCTCCTTCACCGAGCTCACCGAGCTAACATCACAATTGCCAAGTAGCTTGATCCCCCCTTCTTTCTTCCTCCCCCAGTCGTGTCTCAATCATGCAGCTTTAGCCTAAACGGCTTCCAAATACGAGTCTCTCAAGGATCACTAATAAAGGAGGTCGGTGCGTACAGTCCTCCACCGTTATCCTTTCCTTGCGGCTACTTTCTGCTACTTCTGTGCCTATCCCTGCTACTATTGGCTCTGGTGCTGCGGTTTTTATCCTTTGCTGCTGCTGTTGTTGTTGTTGTTGTTGTTGTTGTTGTTGTTGTTGTTGTCGTTGTATAAGTATTCGATCAGGTATAATAGCCATGGAGCAGCGTAGTTCAAGTAGGTCTCGGTGAGGGACAGCAGTAATAGATCAGTCAGAATGGGAAGTACTCTTGGTAGGCTTCAGCATAATCGTTCTTAATCATAGCAATTTCAATTGAGTAGATCTTAAGAAACTATCATAATCAGTCAAACTAGCAACTCAGTAGGTCATGTCTAAATCGCTCTTTCTCGGAAAGAAACCATCCATGTACGTGATGGCCTGTACGTGATGGCCTGTACGTGATGGCCTGTACGTGATGGCCTGACCTCTCGATGCTTCATTCGCTTGAATCATCGGACTCATCAGAATCCTCATCAGAATCCTCATCAGAATCCTCTTCAGAATCCTCTGGAGAGTCCTCTTCAAGCACTTCATTCCAAAGGTCATAGAGAGATCTATAGAGTCTTCTGCGGCCGTCCGCCGTACTAAGGTCCATCCACTTGCCTTTTCTGACCGTCAAGTACTTAGTGAACCCAGGAGGTTTTGCGATCGAGGACTTGAGAGCCGTTTCCAGCTGCGTCAAGTAATCCTGGCTGATCTCAACTTCCAGGAAGATTGCGTGAGTCCCAGAGACCGCGATGACACGTAAACTAGAACTGTAAGAAGGTGAACTATAAGATCACATGGAGACTGACTTACGACTGGTTATTCACAACTTGAGTGGGAGGATCGCTACACTTTCGTGCGGCCAGAGCCTCGGATACAATCTGTGCAAGCCATTTATCTTGCATATTCAAGCCACCTGCGCCATCCGACGTTGTGGCGCTTCTCTTGGCCTCCACGGAGAGGACGCGGGAATCTCCCCAATTTTCCTCCTCGAGCGTCACCCCGGCTTGGCGAATAATTAATCCGCCGTCATCGATCGATGTGTATTTGAGACCCCCCAACTCGGCCTCGAATTTCTGCTCCCCCGAGTCCCATTGTAGGGTTGAGCTGATGCCCTCCTGCTTCGGCATGTATAGCAAGCAGAGCCTCATACACGCGCTGAGCAGCTCGACCGTGATGCGCTCCAACGGAATGCGTTTGGCACTGGCTTGGACCTCGATGAAATCCCCATCGGAGGTTCCAGTCTCCTGCGATTCTCCTGTGTCCATGCTTGACGGATATTCACCAGAAGAACGGGATTCGGTGTCTGATGGGGCGTTCCCGGTATTCGAATCTCTAGGCCGCAGCCCGTATCGTCCACCAGCACCAGCCGAACCAGAAGCACCGGAAGAACCAGCAGCTGAGGCGTTTGCCGTTAGGCGGCCCAGAAGAGTCGCTATGGTGCTGATGCTCTCTGACTTGTATTTATCAAAGAGCTTGCGTTCGTCCATGCACCTGATGTCTTCGTCTTTCAAGTTGATGAAGTCCCGAATAGCCTTAGGCACGTCGGAGTCTTTCAGCTGAGTCAGGCCCGAGGAGTCCTGGATGTAGGTACGAAGACGCAGCAAGTGTTCTTTGCCCCATCCTGAACCGCTTAGATTTTTGTTAAAGAGTTTCTTGAGAGAGGACGAGGTCATCTTTGGGAATCCATCAAACTCCTTCTCATGTACATCTTGTGAGATGACCTTGGTGAGGTAACTTGAAGAGGAAGAGGTTTGGGGCGCCATCTTTGTTTAAATAGATGATAAATAATTTGCGTTAGAGTGCGTATTTCTTAGTTGAGTATATCTCTTTGCGTCACAGGACAGGCTGGAGATGTTAAGTGTGAAGAAGAATGAATACAGATAGCAAGAAGGGGATGCTCATATACAGATATAAATAACACAGGCTGAATGTAATTGCAATTTGAACAGTTCTCTTGATCACAATCAGTCTTATTTGTTCTGAAAGGCACACTCACCATCATGTGGATCATGTTGGACACCAGACCAACATTGAACATAATTTTTGTCACTTTCACTCAATCAGTCTGTGCAGAAATAAGAGTAGATAAGTCAAAGAAAGATAGCTTATATACAGGCTGTTCACTTCTACCAGGTCAGCTCCTTCTAATTTGGTGAGGCTATAGACTCATAAGAGTCACAGTTAAGCTATAATTATAAGTTATATTGAATACTTGCTGCTAGCTGCATAAGCAAATATATTGATAGTATTCCGACCCAATACGTCTCAGCTAGGGAGGGAAAACAGTAACAAAGATGACAGCAGTTATAACGACAACACCAGTAGCAGAGATAAAAAGCAACCTGGATAGCTCCTGCTGTTTGATCTGTTTGAATAGCTGAGTTTAGGTAAATGTACGGCCCAGGCAGTAGGTAGCAAGTCCAAAATTTCGAGTGATGCAGACATTAGTGCATTTCAATTAACGCAAACATGGACACCGTACGTTTGTCGGATGCGCTTAGCAGCGTCGTCGCTCATCCTCTCACCCAGCAGCAATCAGATGAAAGTGAACTCTTATCTGCCTTGGTAGATCCAGCAGTTTACGCAGATCTATATGACCTCACCGACGAGATCATGGATTTCTATAGCTCAACTTCATCGTCATCGTCCGACCAAAACTTGCCAGTTACTCGGATCTTTTCGGCGAATACTTTCCAAGGAGCTAAGGATAGCGCTGATGACCGACATCAATACCATTGGGATGGATGGGCCGAAGCTCCGGTCATTCACAGAGTACCTCATCGGTACCATCCTGAAGCCCAGTTTGTGAAGGTCCCATTCGTAGTCCGGGTCCGTACGTTAATATGAGCCTCTCGACCACTAGTGAAGCTTGGAAGTCGGATCCGGCCTGCCACATGATGCATCTCCATCGCCTGACTACTATGCCGCGACCGGATTGTTGACTGAGTTTCAGACATCAACCAGCCGCCAATAACAAAAGCTCCAAGTGGAGTGTCTGAGACGAGACGGGTTGCATTGCGTATTCAGTCACTTCTTTGATCGCCACTGCGTCCTGAAGCGCGGTGTCGTGCCGCCTGATGGAGCTTCTGCCCGGCCTACTCGCCTTACGCATACATTGCCGCTGGCACTTGGATATTTTTACAACAACACCAGTGAGAGAGACGCCGTGGGTGTAGTATGCATCGCCTTTTATCGGTACTTCCCGGGTTTGAGGGGCAAGACAGGCCCTGGCAACTCAATCAACACCAAAATCTCGTCACGTTTAATGACTGCACCCAGACCGACTACAAGGAGTATTTACAAGTTTTCCATCCCATTGCTGGTCAGGCAAGTCAACTTCATATTTTTCGTGCTAGTTTTCTTTCAAATGCTCACCACAGTTCACTCGCCAGACCAACCGGTATCGGATCGAGAACTTGTCACAATGGGGTCTCGGTGTCACACCTCCACAGGGCCGTCAGGAAATCATGACGCTGGTTTCCTCAGATGACGGGTTTCCGCTTCCCGATCCGGAGTTCTTCAAGGTACACTACCAGATCGCAAAGATTCTGCAAGAGACTGGGATCGGGTGGAAGATCAGGGTGGAGATGGAGGTTTTAGTGGATGACCCTGACAACATACCTTCCAATGGCCCAGTCGACTTATAATCAATACTCAGCTATAGATGCATAGATATCTCAAAGGCGCCGCATCTGCGGACTGCTGTGATTAGTGGTATGTCTCCAGGGGCAAACTGTGAAACATTGAGCTTGAGACATTGACAACCAACTAAGTAATTTAAAACCAAATCTAAATTCTAGTGCATGGGAAACCTTTAATCTCAGCATGCACCCAACTGAATTGGAAGCTGGGCTCAGCAAACAAAAGAAATATGCCGCGCAATACAATGCAGCCATCCTTGTTCTCTTGGGTTGACAGCTCACCATACTTACCCAACGAGTACACATCTATACCCAACATCTATACCCAACGAGTGAAAGATAGGCTCAGCCCTCAAACCAACAAGTAGGGTTTCTTTGTTTTCTCCCCAACTTGGGATGCAAGACTCTGCTTACCTAAGATAAGTACCTAAGATAAGGTACCTTTTTTTAAGTACTGTGGCCAAACCCCGCGCGACCCGCGTCTAGGCTTTTGTCTTCATTCATTGCAAACGACAGATCTGCGACACCTTCATCAACTACAAATCGCAATGGCCATACAAACAGATGGGATACAAGGCAAAGTTCCCGAAGATCTTCCATCTCTCTCGATCGACGAGATACTCCGCCGGCACCCGAGACAAAAGCTCCTGGTTCAACCGCTTGCATGGACTGCTCGTCACCTCGAACTCCTCCGCTGCAGCTGGCTTGAGATGCCTAAATCATCGCGACCGCCGCGGATTACAACTCGATCTCCATCTCCAGAGATCGCCACGTCGTGGGCCAAGAAGATAGATCTCAGCCCGGGCTATGTAAAGACTCCATTTATTAAGTCGCTCTTCAGCTTCTACTCATTCAGGAAGCTTTCGTGAGTAAAAGCGTACATTCCGGTTTGGTATACCCAAGCCATTTGCTAACATTGCAGCCAACCTCTTGCGTTCCGTTACGGACGGTACGACTTCCATCTTCCATGCGACACCTTCCTTTCCCCAGTGTCTTCGGATACAGACTGTCCGCTATCTGTCGCATATGTCCATTACAGGGACATGATTCAAATCCCTCGCTTCGACAGACTCAGGAGAAGACTCTTCCATTTTATTGGCTGCGAACACGACCCCTACATCGCCGCCGTAATGATTGCGCAAGCACAAGCTCAACAGAATCGAATGGCCAAGACCAGTTCTAATTCAGACAAGCGTGATGCTGAAGCAGGGTTCTCCTACAAAGTAAGATTCTCTCTCAAGAGAGACCAATCTCAGACTTCTTACTTCATTTCCAGGTATCCGTTTTCATGGTTTGTCTCCCAGGTCATGACGACCATATCCGTGTGTATTCGGCTTGTATACACAACGCCTTTTTGGACAAGTTGGCCTACCCGGGAAGAAAGCCGAAGTTGCCTGATCTGTCAAGTCTCGTTATTTGGCATTCACCTGTCCCAATTAAACCTAGAAAAACATTTCCCTCGCGGCTTGTCGAGGCAATGCATCGTTCGCCTAGAAGTGTGAAGCGGCAACAAGAGACCGAGGATGAATCTGGATGCACTTGCAACCACCTTGCCATCCGTCCAGTTCAGGCCGCTGGCGGTGACGACCCTCCGTCATGTCAAGTTTCAAGTACAATAAAAGCTAAGGTGCGTGACACAGAGAGAGAGGAGGGCGATGACATTGATGCGCAAAAGCCGCCAAAGCTAATGTCAAGCAGGAAACTCCACGACTCGGCTGCCAGCAGGACGCCGAAATGCTGCCCGCAGACGATCTTCCGCGACGCTGAGAACGCGTATAAATACATTCATATGGTCTTGATCCTCTGGCAGTACCTTCAGTTACCTATTATCAAGGCCAATCTCATCACCGTTTACATGGGAGGTCGCTTACTTCCTTGAGGACTTTGAGGAGCTCTATTGCAGGTACCTTCGGGCACGGATGGTGCTAACGGGTGCGGATAAATCGTTGCGGCTAGGAAGAGCTAGGTTGATGTCCGGATGAGCAAGATGCTGGAGGACTGGGTCAGGCACATTGAGGAGCTTGAGGAGCTTGAGGAGCCTTTGGCCAAGGACGCCGACTTGTCGAGTGATCTAGCAATTGGAGCTCTCGACGTTCTCGGCAAGCCGGAGCTGCTGGTAGCAGTACTACATTCTCTTCTTCATGTGTAATTGCGCCCAGCTGTTCGTCCCACAGCTACTGTTTTCAAGCCATTCAGACTCTACCTGATGATGGGAATAAGGAAGCCTCGAGAGAAAATACCCCTCTCAATAGACCATAATGAATGAAAGAATCATGATAATTGGATTATATGGGTCATTGCGTACGGATTCTTGTGTGGAGTTGGGGAACTGCAAACGAAGCAGAATCGCCCTCAAAATCTTCGTTAGTTGACTACAACTCAGGCTCAGACTAGTTCAGCTTTGGCAAATCAGGTCCACGTCAACCAGGGAATGCTGGGAATCATCGAACCGTGTATCCTGCGCGGGTTTTCATATCCTTTTGAGTCCTCAAATTATGACAGGTATCTGTCTAATCGCGGGCGTTGCTAGATAACTGTAATCCAGTTATTCAATAAGCTTATCCTGTGGAACTTTCCAGACGATCTCATGTCGATCGGATTGATCACATTGGTTCTCAAAACCCAACTGGCGTCTTTGACAACGAGCAACGTGCACGCAATGCGTTCGCCATGAGCGGATCAGATGAACGTCGGCGACGCCTAAACGGAAGAATGACATCAAGAATGCCCCGGGTCACGGCGGCTTTGAAAGACACAACGGCAACTAGGCGAAACTCGTGGGGTTTTGCTGGCGACTGAATTCCCCCGCACGGTTTCAGTTCATTAGGGAGACAGTTGACCTATCGTCTGGGTTAACGATTCGGTTGTTTCCCTTGGTCTGGAATTATGGCTATTTCATGCGCCTTGCTGACATGTAAAACCTCGACGAGGGTTACATCAAACATATCGACTTGAGTAATGCAGTGTGTGTGTGTGTGTGTGTGTGTGTGTGTGAAAACCCAACCGACGGCTTGGTATTCTCGGCGACGTGTGTCAACGAGGTGCTGGGAACCAAGTCCAAACAAGGACCCAGGCGACTCAGCGGGGGATATGACGATGCGAAAGCGAGCTGGGGACATTTA